AACGCCACGTTGCCGAACCTCCCTTCGCGACCGGATTAATTAACCGAAAATATCACCTGTGAATAGTACATAAATAAAAACTAAAAATACTAACTACTAGTTCAAAAGTTTTAGTGGATTTTTTTAGGGGTAACTCGCTGCTTATAAACGAACGATTAACCCCAGCAATGCCGAGTACCTGTTACGAGAGAATGTTATTAGTTTTTATATTAAATATACCCGTATTCCCGTCGACATTCCCGTCGAATTAATAAGTGTAATACAACTGGATTACGGGGAGTTGGGAGAAAGGGCGAACGGGGGGAACTATTTGGCTTCGATGATAATGCGGAGCACGTGACCGAGGATTACTTGATCCGCAATATGTTTGGCTGTGTGATTTATTGATAGCGACATGAGCACTCAATTAACATGAATAGATAAGGTTGTGTTTCTCCGTCACCGGTCGCAGTCGATCGACAGGAGCGTGTGCTCCGGTACCTCTGTATTTTATTATTAAATTTTCAGGGATGCACGATGCGATTTCATTAACGGATGTAGATGTAACGGTTTCGGATTGTAAACGATTGGAAATCCACGACGATTGTTTTGTACTGAATTGATTCGTTTTGTAAGAAACATATTTCGTTGTTAAAGGAACTTTGGATTTGCGTTTTTCATTCCAAATGTTGAGGAATTATAAGGAGAAATATTGAGGAAAGCAACGAAGGAGAAATATTGATAATGAGAAATATTGATAATGAGAAATATTGATAATGAGAAATATTGATGATAATTATTAGATGAGAGTTATTGGGAATAATATTGCGAATAAGAGAAATATTGTGAAAAAATATTGAGGAGGAATATTGATGGGAAATAAATATTGAAGAAAAGCATTAAGGAGAAATACTCATATTGAGGAGAAATATTGAGTAAAAATATTGAGGATGAGAAATATTGATAGGACATATTAAAGAAATTAAGAAGATTGAGGAGAAATATTGAGTAGAAATGTTGAGTAGAAATATTGAGTAGAAATATTGAGTAAAAATATTGAGGATGAGAAATATTGATGGGAATTATATTGAAGAAAAGCATCCAGGAGAAATACTCATATTGAAGAGAAATATTGATGTGAAATATTGATGATAATATTGATAATGAGAAATATTGATAGGAAATATATTGGTGAGAAATATTGAAGAAAAGCATTGAGGAGAAATATTGAATAGAAATATTGTTGAGAAATATTGCAGATAATAAGAAATATTAATAAAAAGGAATAATCGATGAGAAATATAAATTTTATGAAAAATATTAAAAGAAAGGCATTAAGGAGAAATACTCGTATATATCAAGTATATAAATAATGAGGACAAATATTGAGGAGAAATCTCATGTAACATAGAGTCAAATCATTTATTTTACCCACTACATAGATAGCAGGACACAACAAAAATAAAACAGATAACAAATAAAGAGAATATGGAAATAACGCCAGCTACATCAGGCATACCTATACGTTTCGACGGATGTTTCCCATTAATTTTCCTCTCAAGAAAACCCGCCGTCTCCGGGTGTGTGCAAAGAGACCGCATTACCGCTCGTAAAGCGGAAATAACGCAACACTTCCGCGACTCATACAAACCTTTTCACGAGCCAACGAAAATCCGTCCGAAGCGCCGAAACTTTCGCGCGGCGCGACGGCAATTTCGCCGTCGCGGCGCTTTTATAATTTAATTTTCCGGTGGGTGTGTTGGCGTGCACTCGACAGATCAATCTCGAGCTTTTCCAATTTCCGAACGGGACTCCCACCGTTCGCCCAACGTTTTTGTTTTCTTGCCAACCGTTTAACGCCGACGGGCTCCGCCAGATAATTTCGGGAAATTTAATCGGTTAGCGATTAAACGAGTTTATATATCCCAGCTGCAAACTAACGCTAATTGTTTGCTCTTTTTACTACACCCACAGCCTTATGAGTTTCATTATTTTGTTATATATATATATACAAGACTCTACAATGTGAATTTATTGTACATCTAATAAATGAATAGTGTTTTTAATGCATGCACGTTTACTATATACATATCGGGGCTGCCTTTGTTATAGACAACAGAGTGCAAAAGGGTAATAAGTTGCATTAAGTTGTGAATATAAGTCGGGGAGTTGCATGCAGGGAGAGTTTTTATGGGCCCACCTGAGCGACGCTTTTCGCATGCACGGAACCCGATTGTTTCTGAACTAACGGACGTCGATCGGTCGCACGACCGGCACGCGTCGCTGTCAGCGCCACCCTTGATTGATTTATTGATTGCAGCGCCTGCTCTTCCTTTTTCCCCAAACTTTTCTACCTGCCTTTTCCTACCGGCCTTCTTTAACGCGACGTCGTGTATTCACAAATTCGGTCGCATTTAACCGGTTATAACGGCGATATTCTATTAGGCGATCGGCGAAGGCGTCGCGACGACGATTTGCACGTCATCCGCGTCGCTGTAGCGCCATTCGAATGGGAAAAGTTTTTCCTTCTTTACCCGCCGCCCGCTTATTGCTGGGGATCGACGGGAAATTGCCGATCGGGAGAGATCTTATCGTCGGCCATCACATTCGAGCAAATTGAATTTCTGATGCTCCTAAATGAATTCCCCTTCGATACAACAACTTATTGGAAGCTCCTCTTTAAACTAACCAACGGAATTTCAACTTAAATCATTATTCACCACTAATTATTTGTTAATATTCATCAAATTAGAATCTATGTTGTGTAAATATTAGTATCCGCGCTTTATATATACAGTGGCCCAGAACTCACGCCCCCACCGGGAAATGCCTTATGGAAACGACAATGGAGATGCCAAAACTGCAGTCGAAAACATGATAAAGTAATTCCTTTGGTAAATAAAGAGGTTCAAAATCGACCAATCCCAGTAGGAATTCAAATCCACGAAAATGACGTGAATGAGCTATACACCAATTTGACATTATTGAAAGATTCTATGTCCTTTTCACTTTCAAAGATTTGCTTTAAAATTAATCAAAAAATGGATCATTCGATTGAACCACTTTTGAAGCAATAACAAATTCTGTATAGGTTTGATATCAGCACGACGAAGCTTCTGAATGATCGATTTGGAAGCAAATCTTTTATCAATAGTCACAACTGATTTTGACAGCTTCTGTTAACCTTGAAAGTGAGAAGGACATAGAATCTTTCAATAATGTCAAATTGGTGTATGCTCATATTCACATGATTTTCGTGGATTTGAATTTCTACTGGGATTGGTCAATTTTAAACCTCTTTATTTACCAAAGGAATTACTTTATCATGTTTTCGACTGCAGTTTTGACATCTCCATTGTCGTTTCCATAGGGCATTTCCTGGTGGGGCGTGAGTTCTGGGCCACCCTGTATAACAATTTCATGCGTTTTAAATTTCGTAAAAAGGAATTGTGGGGTTTTTTTAAAAACAAATAGGAAGGTACAAGTTTCTCTACTCCATCATTTGCGTCGCAATTGCGTCCCGGGGGATCGGTGCTCGTGCGGGGAAGCGACTCGCAATTTCAAAGTTTCGTGGTCGAAATAAATATCAACGGAACTTCTGTATAAGTATACATATAACACTTTAAATATCGCATTTTATTGACAGGCGTATTATAGGCTCGTGCTCATTATTACCGAATCATTTTCGTCGGCGTATACGGAGTCAATGTCGGGTGATATAAAACTCCCCAGGAGAGAACGACCGAATGATTTATCGACTGAACCATTATTGTTTAATACAGGCTGTATAGTATTTATTGAAACAAAGTGTATTAAATTTAATGGACGCATCATGTCAAAGATAAACCGAATATTGTGCTGATGTATTAATTTCTTGGTAATTGTGCATGTACAATTATGGGATATATTAGTTAATTGCAATTACCTATTGTTACTTAACAATTGGTAATAAGTTGTATATTGATCTTTTTTTCAAACTCAAAGTTGAGTTGCATCCATAAAAATAGGTTTATTAGAGTTATACAGGGTGGAAACGCCAAATGGATTAAATTCATTATTTCGGTTACTGGTATACTTTATTTATAGAAAATCCCGAAACACGTCAAATTTTATTTATAATTTGACTTTCATCAACGTCAAAATGTGAGCCCTATCTTCAACCCCCTTCGAATGACAGTTACAATCCCTATTTTTTTAAATGCTGGGAAGTATATTAGGCTTGTGATATATCGTTTGAAAGGTCTCTTCATTCTCTATCCAAAAATGTTGTTGGTTTCCAGTTTAGATATCTCAAAAATTAACTTTAAAAAAATTAAATCTTATTTCCCGTTTTTGCCTTAATAATAAGATTATAGTTTGTTTAAAGGGCCTTAGAAAATTGGTTTTTGTATAACTATAACTGAATGAGAGTAGTTGTCAGTGTTATAATGTTTGAATTTTGTTAGTTGCGATTAAGAGAAATGGTTATAGATTAACAGAAACGCATAAAATAAGAGTTTAACTTTTTTTGTTAAATACTGATTCATTTACTATCCAAGTGTGTAATCTTCTTGTGATTCTAACGTTATTTAAAACATTTTTCTCGCACAGAATAAATACGAAATGTAGGTGTAAAAAGGGCCGTACCCATCCATCATCCCTTTTATGTAAACACATCCACATCCTCCGATGTGCGTGGCCTTACCAGAAAAAAAAACCCCACGACCCACGAAAAGTTTTATAATTACTTTTTCGCCGGCGTAAGTTATACCTGTTAGTGCGATTTTTTCGAGACCATCAGCTAGAGTCAGATCGGGCGTAAGTCGAGTATAATATGGAAAACAACGAAAGCGTCGCTTCGCGCGCTTCTCTAGCGACGCGTCAGCAATGGCAGTCGGTGGCTCCGCCCGCGCGACGCCCGTCCACGCCCCGGCGGGGGTCCGGGCCCCATTGGCCCGACTCCCACTAGAGCCCGGGCTCCGTTCTTCCGGCCGTCCGAACGACACGTATTCGGCGAATTCAGTTTCGAATCAGTACTCATTAAATAAACAGTGCGGTGCGTCGGATGCGGAGTAGAGCTGCCTCGACACCATGCTGAACAATCTGGGCCCTGTCGGTAAGTTAGTGGGGGCGCTAATTGACGTTAAAGTCTTTAGCGATTCAGCGTACTAACGATAGGCTAGTTAAACGGGCTAAATTGAAGCCGCCTCGCCCTCATTAGGCCAATATCGCACGCCAGTCCTGGTAGGCCATGTAATTAGGGAACGGGCGCCGCACTCTGGATTTTCCGACGGCTCTTATTTCCCACTTTCAGTTCTCTATATACCGCTCATTTACACGTATGTATATACGCCTCAATCGTCGGTAAATTGTTTTTAACTATACCCAATCGATGCAGTAGATACTTCGCGAACCCTCTATTCAAATCGTGATTGTTCTACTCTACTCTAAAGCAAGTTTCGATCTGATGCAAATATGGAAGTTTGCTTGAAGAATTGGGATCTTGATAGTTTACACTCCGATTCGTTTGGTACTTAGTGGATTTATTTGTTTCATTACATACTTATGATAGTGGCCGATATGAAAAAAGTGTTGTGATTTTTGTATTATCTATTAGGCTAAATGTGGTCGCTTTTCAAAAATTACCATGATGGTTGGTATGTAGTTTTACTTCCCCTGTACACTTTATTCAAATAATTATTTTATAATGCTATAATAATTTCGATTAGCACTATATTAAGGTACCAATTCAACTTTAAATCGGTACTAATTAGACTAGTAGACTAATAATATAGACTGTTGTACTTACTAATTTAATTGCTGTATCTAATCTTCATCAGTCCCAATTTGAAGTTGAAAGAGTGTAAAGCAGAAATCAAATTAGGTACTAGGAAAATTGCACCATCTTCAAAATAAATAAAAAATCTTCTGTGCCGGTGTAATATAAGGTCTACCGCCCTAAATCTGGTCTATAATATGCTATCTAACTAAGTACTAGGCGGTCTAATATATGGTCTAAAAAGATGTCTAATATGTGGTCCAATATATGGTTCAATATGTGGTCTAAAATGTGGTCCAACATGTGGTATATTAGCGAAATGAATGTCAATATTTTGATTTTATACTTATTAAACTTTCTTGATGTAATATTCTATAGAATTGGATTAATTTAAATAGAGCCAAAAAACTGCAAATTACCCCACAAATTACCCCATTGTTTCTATACCTTCATCAATAATTTGCAAGATTTAATAAGCCATTCCTATAATAAAGTCTATCGAGAAATTTATCGTCTATCTAATCCATGATATTCCTGCATGCGAGGAAGAGGAATTTATTTGCAGAATTAACTACATAAAAACTCTTAAATATCTAGCTGATTACTGTGTGGAAATTAAACATTCCCACGGGCAAGTAGACCGAATATTAGATAACCGACACCCCAGCAATCTACTTCGATTATTATGCACTAAAACTCCACTCAAAACATCCACATACAAGAATATACAACCAGCAAAACAAACAACTTCCCGTTGGAATTGCACCGATTCCGCTTGGTTGCAGGCATTAAGGAAATGTGCGGCGAGGACATAAAGCGGCACCAAGGCGACCTGAAGCTCCTGGACCAGGCGCGCGTCGGCGGCCTCTGCGACGGCGGCCTGTCGGGCATCGGGAATTCCCTGAGCAACAGCTCGAACGACGGCGACAAGCCGACCAAGCAGAAGAGGCACCGGACGCGGTTCACGCCCGCCCAGCTCAACGAGCTCGAACGGTGCTTCTCCAAGACGCACTATCCCGACATTTTCATGAGGGAGGAGATCGCCATGAGGATCGGACTGACCGAATCTAGGGTACAGGTAAGCGACTAAATTCCACATTATATACTTCTTCGATAAGTAGGTATACCTACAATATCCCCAATCAATCATTTATAATTCAAAAAATTTTGACTCCAACATTGATGAAAATTATCTGTCACTTATTAAGTAAACGAGGCAAAAAAAGTAAGATAGAAAAATAGAGGTATATAACATGGCGGATCCAATCAGGCGCCTTGAGCGTATAGGAAAATATAGTTTAAATTAGAATTGTTATGGTAAAAATGTAACATTATTTATTATTTCGTAAGAAAATTTTGTTGATATTGTATGAAAAAATAGTCACAACAGCTTCCCGGTTTCCCGCTATTTGCTATTATTCGCTGTGAGAATGAGATATATGCTGTTCTCTGATCTTTCTTTAGTCGAAATCGTCCACAAATTTTAGTTTTTAGTTCATTAGTTTTTAGTTTTAAGACGATTACATAATAATGATATAAAAATAAAAAATATAGCAGAAGGAAATTGTAAAAAATAGCGCGGTAACATGCAATATTTTACCTCTATTTTCTGTTAGTTGGTACCCAAAAATTTTGTAAACAGTTTCATCTATTCTAGTTACATATCTATGGTATATCTACTACAAAAAGTTCAATGCTCTTTTCATCTCCTCCATTCTCAATTGGCAACTTTCTTTGTCTCTCCGCACACGAACTCAATCAATATTTCTCCGTATAATCCGCGAGCATTTTTAAGACCCAGATTGAAATCATCACTCTTCATTAAATATTTAAACAGGCATTTGACTGTATAATGAAGCTCGCCTTTTGTGGGGAAGGTGTAATGTTGTCGCGGCAAACCCTAGGGGAGTGATGAAAGCTACCCCGCGGCATAAATCACGCAACTTATAGACGTGCCCGATATATATACGAACAGAAGAAGACCCTTTAAATTACTAAATAGTCCGACATATGCGATAATCCGCACATATTGGATACGCAAACAACCGATTTTCGATAGCTGATTTTATCCTAATGTTATTCGTAAATAATGCGTGTAGTTTGAAATTAGAAAATTACAATAGTGTTAAGTACAGCGCAAAATTATCTACTACACGCTATTGATTATTGTTATAGTGAAGCAGTGCTGATCGGTAACGAAGCTTATATGAATTAATTTAAATAGAGATTTTAACAATGCAACGGAATGTTTACTGCATAAACGGCTGCTCCGTTTGTCGAATTTATGCGTAATTAAATTTCAATCTGTCTATAGTAGCTCGAATCAAATATCTATGCAATTTAATTATCGATATTCAACACTCTGTTCTTTATTGCTATTTCATAATGAACATCGAATCGGATTAATAATGAATAATGAACGTTAAATTTTAATTAACTCGTTTACTATTACCGCGCGAAATTCAACAAAATACATCTTTTCGTGACATGCGGCAGCATCTTTTGCTTCGATGAAGCGAATCGATGGTGCTCGAATGAGGAAACTTCGACAGTTCACCTTCGTCATTGGAAGTTTCACTTAACTGTTGTCGTCTAGAAAGTTGGGAGAGGGTTTGCTATGAGGAGCTTTAGGAAGCTTTAAGGGAACCCGTGAGTCTGGCGGTTTTGCGCGATTATTCTAAGCCCGGAACGCTGCGGGATCCGGAACTATTGTTAATTAATTTCGAAAATTAAACCAAGAATTAAACTTCACCCAGCGAGACGGTTACGTTACCCGACGAAACTTCCATTATGCAACAGAAGACTCGTTTAATTAGCTCCTCTATGTATCTTGCTTGATTGAAGTATACATATAGAGGTAATATCAAGCGTCGTTTAATATCGATCAATTTTGCTAGGAGTGCAACAAAAATGTTCGAGGACTCGAAGCTTATTGAATAAAATTTCCACTAAAATAAAGCTCTGGTCTCTGGTCATAAAAATAGGATATCTCATTTCCGAATTAGCTTGCAATAATTATTAGAAGTCTAGTGTCAAGTAAAGGTAATTGCTTTACCAAACTTAATCAATGTAATACTAATAGACGATAATTGATTAATTAATATTAATATAATTTTAGTTTACATAACTTATAACGTTTAAAATGTTAAAGTAATATTGATCAAAAAATGGGTTTACCTACTTATTACATGATGACAATGTTGAATATTTGGAATTTAAAGTACTCGATCAAGGTTAAATACTTTATCAAAATTAAAATTGATTTACTGTATTTGAAACTATCTACCAACTTCTCAATTTAGAGTATCTATATAATACCTATCTACCAGCTATTATTTGTAGTTAGATAAAGAAGAAAAAAAACAACGAGCAAACACCGCCGGGTTGTAAATTCGACTCTTATTTGTTCTGTTATTTTGTTGATGGAATCTTAAAAAAAGCCAATAAAATATTTCGTGTCGATTGTAGACGGAGTCGAAGCGACTTTATTGTTTGACCACCATAAAACCGGCCTTCCTAAGTAAATCTCGCACTGTTCCGTCCACGGAGCGACGGAATGTCGGAAAAAAGCTGTTATATTCGACAGGAACATGTGAAAAATTCGAAAAAAAACACAGGTAGATCCGTTCCAGTTCGAGCTTACGCCCACGATAATCTCCCGAATAACAAATCATTCGATACAATTTTATTTCCGCCACCACACACAATTGATTCGCTGAAAACAAACCAGCTTTACGCCGGATCGATTTTTATGATTTCCTCCAAGGCCCCGCTAAAGGCGTATCGCCTAACCGAGCTAATTAATCATCTCATTTAGTTAACACCCGTTGCGGTATCGAAGCGAGCGCATCGCATTCGGTTATTTAGCCGGGGTTTAGAGCGCCAAGTTGGCGGTCGGTTTGCTAATTGACCGCGCGGATCAACGTCGGATCTCACCTGCCCTTCGGAAATCCATCTGGCACGCCGGTGAATCATCCCCGGAACTTTTTCAGAGCCGCATTCGTCCATCAAAACCACCAAAAATCAAAATATTATACCACCAAATTCATAACTTCAATCATCAAAATGCTATTAAGACATTTCCATTTTTTGGAACATTAAAACCTTTTCTTTGAAGCAAAGAAAAACTTATAGAAACCCTATATAAAATGTTCTTCCAACGATAAGTATTTCCGAATTTGCAATGAAATCATTTTTATTATTTCTTCGAAATGGTCTTATCCAATTTTCAATCAAAATCATGAATTATTTTTCGCCGAAGAATATTATATTCTCGACTTATTACCGCGGTATTGTATTTTTTTAAACAATCCAAAGGTAGAGAGAAAGAAATGAATAGGTGTGTATGCATTTTTGGTGGATCGGGCGCGCCCGCTTTAACCCTAATCTTTAACTACAAAGTGATATATTGACTTTCATCAGCCCGATAAATGTTTACAAGGGACTATCGGTCCGCATCTGGAGGAGGGTGCGTGTTGATGAAATGCTAAATCGCTTCTAGTGGCGTTTGATTTGATTGCATGCAGTTTATTCGATCTTTATTGATGGGGGAGCGCGAGCCACGTATAAAAAAATCGCCTAATAACCGAACGAACGGATTTCGGGCTAACGTTTAATTAAAAACTTATTGGAAATTCGGCCGATTTTATTTGAAATTAAGTAAGATGGATTATATGGGTAGGTAGATGCTCTAATATAATTAAAATAAATTATCGAATTGTCAATAACAATCTCGTTATTTTTTATGCATTAATTCCCGCCTGAGATTATGTCACAATTTTGTGATGAATACAAGAATAATCCATTTGCCAGCATACCAAAACTAAATATAAGTTTTTGCGGCTTTCCATGTTTTTCGATATTTCTCGCAAATCGAACGCGTCAATTTTAATTTCATATTTTTGGAATATCACACGCCAAATTAACAAGATTTTAATGCGATCCGCGAGGTGACGTCCCGTGCAATATATGGCTTATTATAGAATTCAATTTGGTTTCGATACATTTTTGATGTGCGACACGAATATGCCTGATTAAGTGGATTGCTTTTGCTAGTTATTTCGATATTTGGTTTACTTGGGAGAATTTAAATAATCGGAAAATGCACTAGAAATTAACGGACAATAATTTATTTGAAGCTTTGAATATTTAAGTACGTTAGTATGTCACTTAAAGTATACATTGATGTCCAAAAGAATTAATTAAATGTAGAGAGTATAAAATCACAGTGAAATTTAGTTAAATGAGTAAGAAGAATTTTAATTTTGAATAAGTTACCTTGCTATAGTAAAATGTATACAGAGAACCATAATAATCTAAGCAGATTGAAACTATAATAATGAATTATTATTAAGAGCGCTTTTGAACTATTTTAATAACATTTTTTGAGTGATTTTTGTGCGAGTTTCAATTATAATAAAAAGTTATATAATACCGATGTTAGAATAAATGCATAAAATAGTTAAACAAATAATAGCGGCTTAATTTAGATTAAACGTTTACAAGGAAAACATAAAAAAATCCGACGAACAAAAGACAAAAAACAACCCGTAATGAAAGCAGCGAAAAACTTTTATCCGTTTTCATATTTTCATTAAACAGTCCGGTCGTTTTTACGAGTAAGATGGGAAGGATAAGCCTATGGCGATATTGCTATTCTAACAAATGGTTAATATGTTAACGTTATTGCAGCGGTAAGCCGGCAGGAAGTTAATTTCGGCCGCGTTGGCATCATTAATCCCTAATGGGGCGCGGTTGATGTATGATCGGAGTTTCGGCCCCGCTCCTGCACCACGCTGTGTGTGTGCCGCCGCCGCCGCCGCCTCCGCCGGGCGCTCCCCCACGGATCCTCCGCGCGCCCGGTCGGACTTTATTGGCCTCGGGGTTCCCGCGCCAGGAAAATCAAAGGTCATAACTTCCGGATAAGCTGCAATAAGTCTGCGTTTATTTAGCGATGCGCTACCGCCGACTTTACGTTTTAATAAAGGGATGATTTCGTTTGAGGGCCCGGCTCTTTTACTGCCTAATGCTCTTTGATTAGCGCACTATATTAACAAATTTTTATACACTCCATACATCCACTAACTTATTCTTTGTCTAGTAGAGTAAGTGCGCTAAATATGGACCGGTCTTATAATATGGATCACAGCCATTTTAAAAAGAACATTCTTTATATCGAGTAAATGATTATCATATACACTAAGCATCACTCCTTCCTTGACCCATCTGTCGCTTGCAGTGATCCAGGATGCACGAATATATTTACTACAACCTTTTTTAATTTTCTGCAACGCGCGATCTAATTTTCTAGCTAACTTTGGAAGTTTTTTAATCCAAAAAATACTATTTTATCTGAAAGTGGATAAGACCACGAGGAAGGTGAGTCATGTTACAATTAATTGTTTTAATATTCTATAATATTCCAATTTTCTGAAAAAAAATAATAATCTCAAAATGATTAAGTATCACAATATGGACCAGTGGTATACGTTTTAAATATGGAGTGGCTAAAAATTAATTTTTATGTTCGAGAATGGCTTCTAAAACAATAGAGAAGACCTGACAAGCATGTGGGATTAAAAACGCAAATAAAAAATGGGCTTTTTGAATGCTTTCAAAACTTACACCCAAAAACCCATCACTTAATGTTATCACCACCCAAAAACTTGGGAGACAATCACCATTACCGAGTGAATTGGAATTAGTCAATTATATTCTAGAAATGGAAAAATCTGGATGTGGTCCATATTATGTTCACTTTCTAAAAGTTGATAAAAATGATGTACTTTAGAAAATGCTGTTTATTTCAAAGATTTGTTTTTTTTTTGGGAATTTTATTATGAGTTTTTCTTAACTAAATGGTTAAGAAATTGTTTAATATAAGTAAAGCTTATTAAAATTAAAAATTCGACTTTTTATTATTGAGAAAAGTACTTACGGTGGTCCATACAACGTCGCACTTCTTCTATAGTATAATAATAACAGTACCACATCGATTCGACCTCGACTCTTTCACCCTAGTATTATAGCCATCTGACTTTTTCCGCAATCAATCAACATCAATAAGTAATTTAATGAAGCGGGCACTAGATAATAGCGGCAGTCGGTGAAAGTGTTGGGTGAGTGATGCTCCGTCAGTTTCGGCAACTGGGGCGTTAAATCTCTGCGGGCAGCGGGATAAAGCACGGTCGCCGCCTCCGCCGCCGCCGCCGCCGCCGGACGGGAACGCCGAACCGAAGAGCGCTAATGGTGTTGGATTATTAACGTCCATACATCTCCCCGCAATGGAAAACCGCTGTCACGCGACTCTGGGGAGTTTTGTATCTTCCCCGGGGGGGACCGGGAGCTCTGGGAGAGACTCCGCAGCGCTTCGATCTGGTCAGATTTTATACATTTAGGCTCGTTGTGTTTTTCGTGCACTGTATACAGGAGATTTTTTTTAACTACTGCAATGTAGAGGGCTTACAACTCTTCAAACAACTCTTCATAACTTTTTATACATCGACATATTTTTGTTCAAATCTCAACGGTTCTCTTTTAGAACTTACCTACAACTAATTTATTCTTCTTCTTCTTTACACATTCTTGGCTTCAGCTGCTGACCTATTCGGCCAAACTTACAACTAACTGTCACCTGATTATTGACACTTTTGACAGTGACCGCGACGACACATGACATATATCTAGGGCTGGCCTTTGATTAATTGGCTAAATGACTACACTACAAACATACATATCTCGTTTTGAATGTGCTTAAAAATTCAATTATCGTGCTGTGTTAAGTGCGAATAATTTAAACATTCAAAAAATCGTATAAGGTTAGTTAAGAAATCGGGGAGCGGGGTTTTTCCATTTCCGCCGGGCTCGATATGGAAGGGGCGGCGAAAATAAGACCGCGCCATGAATTTCGATAGCGGATTTAGACTTTACGGCTTTCGATTACCTTTACGGCACCTTTTCGAGCTCGATTAGCCGCCGCTCGGATCATAAAATATTATGATTGCGCAGCGGCGGCGAATTCCGCCGGATCGCTTTTTTTATTACCGACTCTCGCTCCTAAAGGGATGCTTAAACAATCGCTTTCAATCGCCATTTTCAATAAAACTGTCAAAACTGTCAAATTGGAGTAACTAGGAATCTCCTTAGTTACTCCATAACAACAATGTAAATCTGTCAAGTTAAACACGCGACTTTAGACTCACTTTAATGGCGTTAATGACTGAAAGTGCACTCAAAGTAATTTTTTTGTTTCGTCTGATGCACTGTGCAAGTGTTTTGATTTTCATTGTCAATCTGGCCACCAAAAAACACTTTTGGAAATCAAAACACTCGCACAGTCCACCAAATAAAACAAAAATTTTGCTTCGAGTGCACTTTCAGTGCGCACTTTTTTACCAATGGAAAACGCTATAAGTTAAACAGAGGCGCTGAATACGGGCGAATGTGTTTAAGATAGCTTCGAGAAATCGACCATTCGAGAAACAGATTCTACCTACATTTTATTCGTTGCTTTTATAGCCCCATTACAGTCCCTTTATAGCCCGCCGGCAGTCCGTCTGCGAGGCGCTAAACAAATTTCCCGAAAACCGGCGAAGAATCGTCGATAAAGGCGGCCGAGGAGCGAACGAGCTAAAAAAAAAGAGGATATAAAACGAGGCGATTCGTTTTTCAATTTAGTTTTCATAAAACGAATCGAGCCGGCCGAGAGGGAACGCGCTCCCGACGATTATTGGCTGACGTCCGGGGGGCCAGGAAGGGACGGATCCTGGGGATAGATAGCCGGAAAAGCGCTGGTGACGGGAGCGTTACCAGGACGAACCCATCGCGAAGGAGGCGAGGGCGAGGCCGTTCGATAAAACGTTATACTTTCTGATGGCTTTTGCATCGCCGATCGCGTGCCTTTTTGATATCCACCCTTGGACTATACAGCGTTTTTTATTAATACATCAACTATTTTGTTGTCAAAAAATATCTTAGAGCAGATTTCGTAATAAAGTGTTAAAGTATCGCTTTATAGAATCGTTTTGAAATCGCTCTAAAACCGCTCCAAAACTGCTTCTAAACCGCTTATTTCAAGATCCTTTTTTGGAGAAATATTCGAAATTAAGATATAAAGATTCTCGCTCTTCTAATTTTAGTAGAGCAGAGAAATTTAGTTTGCTTCAAGAAATCGATTTCCAATAAATTATTCATCTCACCAAACTAGTTGAAAGCCTAATTCCTTAAGTAAAATGAGTTATAAATTCGCATTGAACAACCGCAGCTGATTGCCGCGTTTCCTCTGTTCCAGGTGTGGTTTCAGAATCGCCGGGCGAAGTGGAAGAAGAGGAAGAAGACCACCAACGTCTTCCGAACTCCCGGTGCTCTTCTGCCGTCCCATGGGCTCCCACCGTTCGGCGCGATGGGCGACGGTTTGTGCGGATCCAGCATGTTCACCACGTCGGATTCGCGATGGGGCGTAGCCGGTATGGCCACAGGTTGGTCAAAAATTATACAATAGTCAATCGTATTACTTATTTCTATCGATAGATGCCACAAATTGATATGCAGGGTGTCCACAAAGTGTGGAAATTTCAGTCTAATTGCTGCAGACTATCCTTGAAAGGGTAGCTTTATGATTACTGGCAAAGTTTTGATATTCAACCAAGTTTCTTTAGTATATGTTGGTAGTTTTGATGTTTTAAACTATTAGTGTTACATTCTACCATCTTTTAGATCTCAAGGAGAGAGAAACTTGGTAAAAAATCGCTAGAAGTTGTGGCATTTGTCCGTGGAATTGCGCGTGTAAATGTTTGTATAAGGCATGCTGGTAAATTGTGGATGTTTTCGCAGGTTTGGGTCAGCTGAGCCAGAGCTCGATGAGCGGATTCGGCCAATCGTTAGGTCAACTAAACCAAAGTTCCGGACTTAGTCCCGCTCTACCAATTAGTAGTTCTAGTACAGTTTATCAAGCCCATTACGGACTGAATTCGTTAGGTAAGTTACAGTTTACTATATCCAACACCCTCTCCAGGTTGGCTGATTACAGCAGGAAAAATCGTTGCGTAGTCGAATTTATTTGCTATAGAGAAACTGTTCTTAAACTATTTTAAGCCATCCAAAGCAAACACCCAGTTAAACTACTTCCAGTCGTGAAAGAACACCATTCGAAAACGAGTTAACGTTAGGAATCTTGTGTGCCCAAGTAATTATAATAATTGACGAGTATTTCGGTAGCTGGCAACTAGGATGCTTCTAATCACTGCTAATTGTATGTTTTGTGATCGGTCGCCTCCCCGCGTCGCCCCCCCCCGTCGTACGGTTTTCGTCGAAGCGCAGAACCCGCCGTGACCGTGGCTGTTGCAACACCGGCGACGGTATTTTTTCGAATGGAGGTGTCAAAAGTAAATGCCGTGGGTTCTGTTTAAGTTTAGCTGGTCGGTAAACACGTCGAAAGCACATGTACTGGGCGATTATAATGCGCTTTCCGCGGTGCTCCGGTGGCAGACGGGGGACGGTCCGGCCGTGCACCTTTGTTTGCTAAGGACGCTTTTCGTTCGATGTTTGTTCAAATGACAATGGTAAAAAAAATGTTTATGGGATCGCTCGGTTTTGTTTCGATGCGGCTTTTGATAAGGTTGTCGACTACCGGGAATTAGGGAAGTTGGGTAACTAAAGGGTTAATTATTTTTTTACATGTTACATAAATTATACCACATATTATATGGCGAAATTAGGGTCCTATTTGCCTATATCCAAAATGCTATACAAAATAAGTTATAGCCTTGATTTAAAAAGTGAAAATTGAATTTTTTCTATAACCTCAGAAGTATTCAATAAATCTTCATGAAATTGAGCACGTTATTTTTATAACAATTTAAAAGCATGTTGTTAACAAAAAATTAACATAATCTCTCTCATCAAAATTTTAGAGGGAGTCATATACATTTAATGTCCCCCTATTTTTTGTACTGTATAGGATATTTTTATGTGTCACTAGTTTCATAAATTCATTCTAAACATTTTTTACCTCTTAATATATCTTCAAAAAATTGATAAATCAACCACAAATTTTTATTTGTCCTTTAAACAAAATATCACTCGTTTTGTGTTGCATTTTGAATATGCAATTATAGGTTGCAATCGACTTAATCTTGACCTCAGAATAAGTGGTATAAATTATTGTTACATCCTGTATAATGCTTCTAAACATGAGCTTTTTTTCAAATTCGTGGTTTTTTGTCTAAAAAGCGATTTTTTAAAAGCGGGAGTGTTAAAATCGGTGCATTTAAAAATGCATATTTATCTTTCGATTTCCAGCTACTTCTCGTTTTAATTAACACACTTAAAACGTAATAATTAACCGAGTAAAACCATTAAATACCTTCTAAGTAAGCATTTAAAACATATTATTGATGGTTTATTTATTGTTTTAATTAGCGCCCGTGTTTTTTTAGCTCGTATACCGACGATAATAAAATAAGAATGGCTTTTAGAGTTTGCTCGAATATCTACTTGTTTCATAAAAATTTTCCGGAAGCGTGTGTGTTTCGTGGAATTAACTGCATCAATTCTTTCGAATATATTTCTGATGCTAAAACATCGATTTATTCAATAGAGACTACTCTATGTTTTATTAATATGCATACGAATTGGACAAAAAAATATTATAAATGTCACACGTTGTCGATAAAACATTTACTGTTTACACGGATTTTTATGATGGAGTTTGTCGAGTTCGACCCGTCTGTATGACGTTCCCAGACGAAATCAATCCAAAATTAAATAAAAAATATCTCTATAATAAATTTTTATTTAGCTCAATAGGTTACAAATTCGCTATTTCTGTTGATGATGTTACCGAAAGTAGGTTTGCAATGCAAACGATTATAATGAAAAGCATGACAATGTGTGCATTAATTTGCATTTAATTGAAAAAAATATTAATATCTATTTCAAATAAAACAGTAAGTACATATGAAAAAGGGCGATCCAACCGGATCTTTTCAGTTTGTTCTACCTGCATAACTTAGCACGTTTTAAATTAGCAGTTTACTCATGTTTGTGGTCCATGTTGAAACAATGATTTATTGCTACCAGCCTGAGAAATTAAATATTTAATTAATCCTTTTGTCACAAAAATTACACAAAGTAGCGATTTCATTTTAACCGCCTACGAAACCAAAATTTATCCCACAAAAACTTTAATTAATTTATACAATTTTAGAGCCCATCGCAGTCCCATTCTAGAGTCGCTTTAAATAAACCTCAGACGCGAACAACTAACAAAAGAAATGGTTAATTAAAAAAGAACCGAAATGATTTGCTTGTAGGTGACAGTATGATGACGTACTGCAACAGCGGCGGGGGCGGGAGCGGGAGCGGCGGCGCGGGCGGCTCCCCGACCCCCCAGATACCGTGTTCGAACGCCGCCACGCCGCCGGGCACGTCGGGCGCCTCCCCCAACGGGGGCGGCGGCGGGGAGGAGGACGACGTCTGGCGCGGCCACAGCATCGCGGCGTTGCGACGCCGAGCGTCCGAACTCAACGCCACCATTCCGTCTTATCTGCAAATCAACTACGACGCGCACAACAACGCTTCTGTCTATTAGTTCTGTTCTTGGTTATTTTTTTTTTTTGAATTTTTTTCGTTGAATTTCTGTTGCTGTTTGTCTCCGACGAGTCGTTCTCTAAGTTTGTTATTTTTTTTTTTGATAATCTCGATAATCTATAGTAGAAAAATCCGTACTACTAAATACTAAATTAATACTCAAACTGTACTATTTATTGTTTAGTTGCATTTGTAACATCTACCTATGTGATGTGTATACGATGTAAAATATTGTCTGTACAAATTGATAACTAGATATCATTAACTAAGGATAAAAATCAGTGTGATGTAATTGAACAATTTCTCTCGAGTCTGTAGATGTAGCTTGATCTGCGTGATGGTTTAGTTCAAAACATACCTAAAAAAATTACAACACTTTCAGATTGTTCACTTAAAGTTAATCCTATTCTTCTGCTAATAAAAATTCATGTTGAATTGCAGGATGGGGTAGAAAAAGTTTGATTGAAATAGGGCCTGATGTATTCGAATATTTTTTTAAGCATCACGCAGATGCGGCATGTTTTCTGATTAAATGTATTATAAAATACCGACTGTATACGGAATTTGTTTCAAATTAAAATTTAGGCTAGAAGTCATAGGTTAGGTCTTTTTTCCGCGTTATATCGGAGTGTAAATAAATTGGGAATGACACTATTTCTTAAACTTAGGCATTTTTTTGAAAATAAAAATTTGTGTACTTACCTATCTGTTAATCGAGATTTTCCTAGTTTATTCTGTTCCCACTTTTATCGTTCCCCTTTTATTCCCAATTTAATTATACTTAAAAATCCGTTTTTTAGTCAACATTTCTTGTAGATAATAAGCATAAGTAGTTTCATATTAAAAAAAGTTATAATTTTTATTAGTTTTATTTATTTTTAAGTTAAATTTACTATTTCGTTTGTTCGTATAAACATAACTTTCCGAATGTAGTACAAACTTTATTGCTGGAAAGAAAAAAAAAACTTTAAAGACATTTTTGTAGTTCTGTTCTCTTCGCGCTGGCGAAAAAATTGTTGTTGTGAAATGACTTCAAATTAAAGTGAATTTAATTGTAGATATTTTCTAGTTTGTGTTAAAAAACTGAATAAACTAATAGGTGTATCATTTTTATTTTGGAATAACAGAAGCATAGAAAGTTATTTGTTCTTCATTATCTGTTAGTCACAGAACATTCTTCTTCTTTCCTATAATGGCCTCAGCTACTTGGCTATTCGACCAACCACAGAACATTATTAAAGAATTGACGTGCCGTGGGAAGCGCACCCTAGGAACGGCAGCGCGGACTAAAGTAATGTATTGCATAGAAAAACAGGGATGATTTTTGGACTTTTTAAGGGTACAAAACTACCCCTTTTGTTTAAAAATAATGAAAAACATGTACAGATCATTGAATTTATTAACTTAAGTATAAACGTACAGATTTTAAAACAAATCTAAAAAACAGAGTAATATCAATACCATAAAAAATGAGAGAAAACAATGAACCCTAACGATCTTTCCAGATACTAAAAAAAGGAAAATAAAAATTACTAGAGCAGTCTCATAAACCTAGACGTTTATAAAGTAGTTTTCCCTTTTTTTTTCTAATCAATTGTACAGCTACTTCACATGCTCTAAATAGAAAACAAAAAAAGAGTAAATACGCAACGAGGCAAAATATTTAAACAATTTAAATATCTTGTGAACTAATGATTAATACTTTATATTAAATAAAACATAAAATTAAGCGGGCTGAACAAACGGAATAATTGATAAAAGTAATTCATAGTGGAGCGTTTTCGAACAAAAAAGTAACTAAACAATACTAATTACAAACGTGATTAATAGATATATTTAGATTTTCTCTCGTAAATCCTTCATTTCATATGAATTATTAAAAAGAAAATGACATGTATAAAACCACATTATGTACAGTCATTGTGTTAAACATACCTATACTCATTTAAATAAAACTCTAAACGGTTTTATTAGAAAAATCAATTCCAAAAACTTTCGACGCTTTCGAAAAACTAATTGTATAACAACGCTTAATCGGGTAATGAGATTTCATTTTAAGAAAATAACAAAAAAATTCGACCGCTTTTCCAAAAAATTTATAAAAATCAACCGTCGCAAATTTTTGGAACGTACAATAAACATAACGCAAACTCCACTTCTACTAGTATATTGCTAAACTAACAAATTTCGAAACGTTTTAAATCGCACACGAGCCATTTATTTTGAAAGTACTACAAGTCGCTTTAATTTTATATCGAAATATGATTCAAAATAATCGATTCAAAAGTATTGAAACTTTCATAATAAACGGCTCGTATTTCTCGAAATATTTTCAATACCCTTTCATCGATATTACATCAACAAACACCAATTTCTCTTCTCCTCTTCTTCCGCTTCGTGAGCTTCCTCTATCTTACCTACATCATCCAAATTATCGTTAAAATGCAAATTGCTCCTGTCGTCTTTGTAGCCCAACAGTTCGGGAGTACTCGAAGGCCTCTCGTCCCTCTTCAATCGATTCTTCAAACTGGCGAAAGGGCTGGCGAAGAAGCTCCCGAAACTCGACGTGTCCAAGCGCAATTTCTTCGATTCCTCCGGCGACAGGCTTCTGTCTTTTCGCTTCACCCCGATATTCAACTGAAAAAATAACTAATAAAAGAAATGTCCAAACCTCGAAGAGAAAAATTCTTACTTGTTCGAATGGCAAGTTGGCGTTCTGAGCGTTCTTCAACACTCTTCTTCTGTAATCTTCGGCGCATCTGATCGGCCTTCTGGACACCAAACGTCTCTCTTTCAGATGGTCCAGATAACTGGAATCGTGCTCGAATGAATTGTTGATATCCGAGAAATTCAATCGGGTCGAATCGCCGCCGATTTCGACCTTCATCGAAGAATCCGTGGATGTGGATTTCAACGAATCCATTGCACTTTCATCGAACCGTTCCTCATTCTGTGCAGATGTGTCTTGCGAACTATAAAATAAAGAATTTGTTTTTATTACACCAGCACGGAGTAGTAATTTGAATAGTGTAAATTGGCTGTACACTCTACCTGGTATCTTCCGGAATAGCCTCTTTCTCTACCGGTTCTATGACTTTTGGTGTCTTTTGCGGGGATACGTTTTTAGGGGAGGATTTCTTTTGAGAACTAGAACAAAAAGGATTTGTTTTTAGTGTTTTTTAATGTTATTTTCTAAATCTATCATACCTAGTATCTTCCTGAGCGGCCTCATTCTCTTCTGTATCGACGACTTTGGGCGTTTTGGGAGTGGGTATATTCCTAGTGTACGATCTCCTGGTGATACATCTGTTCAATAAAGGCGATGAGGATCTTCCCAAATCATCATTATCGGAACTTTCGACTAATAACTGCAATTCCGGATCGGCCTCATCGCTTAAAACTAACGGTTCCATTTCCACCACTTCCTTGTCTTTCTGCTCTTTTTCAGGTTGTTGGGTTGTATCCATTTGTTCGGGTCGTTTCTCAACAGCTAGAATTAATGTTTCGATTTAGTTATTACATATAGAATGAACTATTTTGAACACTCTCGATCAATCCAGTATTAGTGGCCGGAAAGAGTTCAGTATTGAACACAGTCGATAACTGTTATTTGATATTTACCCTTATTCGATTCATTTGTATCGTGCGCGACTTTTTCTTCGTTAATTATTTTTTTGTCTTCATTGATTTGGATATCTTTTAAAATTACTTGTACGTCCATTTCTCCGGCTCCGTTCTCGCTTTGCTCGCCGTTTTTATTACCGTTCTTGTTTCCATTGAGATTTTCTACGGCTTTTCCAGCTTTATTCCCGTTTGTTTCTTCGTCGATGCACTTTGATTGAGATTCCTGTTTCTTCTGTGGAGTTTTCGATCTGATGCTCCTCTTCGGTTTCGAGTGCTTCTGATGCCGGGAATCTTTCGATTTCTCCGGTACTTCTCCGGGAACTTTCATCAATATCTGGGATTCCGTATCTTTGGCAGACTCCATTTTTTACTAGAAAAAATTACGTATTTTTATCACTAAATGTTTATTCATTTAGTTAAATATATTTGCTGTAAGCTCATGTACTTTCATTGATAACAGTTAGGTGATAAAATGAACGCGTTTTCCACTTCCTGTTAAGAAAATGTGTTTTGTACTATTTGATAAAACTCGAAATCTACTTGTAGAAATAAAAACCTTATTAGACCAAAGAAATCGCTAATTTAATTGTTTTAAATTAATTCGTTATCCTCGTTTGTTCCAGATATTTTCAATTTAACGATAACTCGATAAATCCTTGAAAAACCACACACACTCGAACAATGAAACAATGCTGGAATACCCGTACCAGAAATATAATATACTGCACAATTGAACTGGCTATGTGATAAATAAAAGGCCTAAAGGAGTGCCCCTGAAATAACAGCGTGTAATTAAATACAAAAAGGAATTTATTCAACCAGAACTGGGAGTTATCGCTAACAATAAATGTGGAAGTACATGCGATAGGATCCCGGGTAATCGCGTAAGATGAGCCTGAAACTAAGATTGTTAACCTCTAGTACACAGAGCAGAAGATGTATTTAAGGATGATAATAAAAAAAAAGAAATAATAACGGAATATGCATACCATACCGCCAAGTAACGAGTATTTTGTTGCAATTGTACGGTAAGAATTAGTACGAAAGAACAACTTACGGCGTACTAAACGGGCTGATAAAGATCAAATATTTTAAATTACTCACCTAATTTAAGTTTATTTACGTTAATAAATAATCCCGGCACAACAACAAACTTACGCCATCGGCCATTGAAGTATTTTTCGATACTAAAATGACAAGATGGCGTCTCTTCGCGATTTACAGGAATCTGTAAATTTGACATCATTTTTTTGCAAATGTCGCACAGATGGCGTGACGAACATAAAAATTCACAGTAAAAATTTCCAACAAAGAACAATAAAAATTATTTGAATAATATAAGGAAAAAAGAAAGAAAGAATTAATGTTTACTGTAATATATTTTATTGTAATCTCAAACAACTACTGTTATAACTAGAATAATGCGCAATAATCACTAAGCCTAAAATAGAAGCGACTAGAACTACACCAAAAAACGCGAATTAAATATTTATAACGTTATAATGAAAAATTAATCGTTTAAAACGTATCGTGATGCGAAACAGCCTCCATTTTTTTCCTTAAGTAATATCACCTGACCTACTGATCGTTTGATCTACAACATCTGAACTACTATTTCATAGTTAAGTACGTCAAAGTAGACACTGTACATAATAATAAATAAGCCCTCTTAGATAAATACGGAAGGTAAAATATATAAAGTCAATTAAGATATGACTAAATCACAGTAACATTTATTTTTCTTGTTCATCAAAAAAGCTTTTTATCCGAATTTTTATTTAAACGGCATTTATTCTTCCTTTCCCACTGAACAAAACAAGAAGAAAAAACTCGAAAAAATACACAAAAATTAATTGCACTTAACAGTAAATTACAAAAATTAGGCATTCTTCTCATCTCTTTCTGGACAATTGCGATTGCAATGTTACTAGTGCACTATCGGGTAATAATATTTACACTTACATACAAGTCAATCTATATAATATTTACATAATAATTCGCAATTCTTTATTTATTTACTATTTTTTCGCGTTTAATTAACAACACTTTTAACATATTTAATTAACGATTCACTTCCGCCGAATAAACGTGAACTAGTAACATTCAGAAGGGAAATTACAATATAGGAAAAAGTCAATTAATTACTATACAGGGTGAATCGTGGGGAATTGTATAAGTACACTGTAAAAGCATGTACAGTTTCTCATGACTCACACTGTATAATGTTCGAAAATAAATCGAATATACCTTTTTTCATAAATACCTCTTTCGACATATCTTTGTAACAAATTATTATTCGTTTTACTATCGAACGTTGAATTAAATATACTATAATACAATAGGATAAATACGTATAGCCTACAGTTAGAATAAGTTTAAATGGCGGATAAATGTACGCCTACAAATGGACAAAAATATTCATTCAATAACAATTTTTATTGCTTCGTATTTCTTAAATGAAATGGATATTTCGATAGGTCGGGATTCGATACTTTTATTAGATTGTCTTATTAGAAGTATCGATTCGGTATCGGAATATCGACCGTTTAAATCAACCCTTTGAAACGCCTAATCCTAAGGATATTTAGAGTTTATTTTTTTAAGTAGTATATATTTTTGTCCTACGAAATAATGTAAAAAAAATAGTTTGTGCAAACTATGTGGGATTATTTTTACTCCAAAAAAAATCTCTACAAGTATAAATGCTCGGAAGAACGTTTAAAGATTCTAATAAATCTCTATACAATGCGTATTAAATGTAAAATAATAAACTATTTAGTATTTGTATCGACGAAATTAATCCTATTTGTTTGATTACTAAAATGTAAATTACAATTAGAAAATAAATCGGTTTTTCAACATTATTGCTTAAAATCTCACATTTTTATAATATATCTATATAAGTAGCTTTAATGCGTCTATACAGGATGCAAACAAAAATTCGGAAAACCACAAAAGAATCTCTCAAACAATTTAAGTAATTACATCGAGAGTGCCGCGATTTTGACGTTTACAAATCATCGTTAGGAGTTTCCGAAATTTTGAACCAACCTGTACGTACTATTTTGAAAAAAAAAATCTATTAAAACTAGTACAACATTCGAGTGCAAACTACTCGATAGCATCGAGAAAAGTAGTAATGTATAATAATAAAAAAGGCGACTCTTTTCGTTTTCTCCAACTAAATCGTCCCCCATCAAATTTCTTTTTATAAGGAAGGGGTAACCCCCCCAGTTTAGGATTTTAGGAGTTTGTTGGCGCGTTGATTGGCCACCGCAATGCGTGTTTCGTTGCTCTCGCCCTAACATCAATATTTCATATCATTTCAACGTTTTCACGTTCGTTTTTTTTTTGTTTATTTAACCGTAGGATAAAATTATAACTTACGGTTAATAATAACCGTTAACCGACGCTTTTCTATCCCGAACCAGGAGCGGTGCATTTACGGGTGATAATTACCGAAAAAGTTATTTTTTCAAAGCAAAAATTAACGGGAAGAAACGCGTCGGTTTAGGCAAGAAAACTTCTACGTAATATACACGGTGGTCAAAATAAAATCGAAACATTTTGACCACCCTGTTTATATAAATATATATAAGTAAATATAAATATATAACGACATTTCTGTGTTTTTCTTTTTAGTGTTTATTTTTGTGTCTACTTGAGAAGATCGTGTGCCCTCTGATTCGCCACCTCTATCCTCGTCGCATTCGAATCACCCTGTATATTTGATCCAAAAGTCGCCGTATAACAATTCGAGTGTTTTACAGTAGGAATTGTTGTTGTTGTTGTTGGAAATGTGTCGGTGAAGTGAACGTAGTAGCAATGTAAAAACAAACATTTAGATTAATAAAAAAGACAAGCGAAACATTTCAGCATCAATTCTACCTTATTCGTAAAGACCGTGGGGTTATAATAGATTATTAGTATGCATACGAATAGGGTACAATTAAGTTACAATTAAAACGCTTTGAATAGATAGCATGAATACGGAACGTACTCGTCGTTAATCTGTCAATGTCACTCACCTTGGAACAAAAAACTCAAATGTCAAATTAAAAATAGTCAAGATGGCCGTATTATTCGCGTTAACAAATTGGCGTAATAAAAGCGCCTCGTTCCGTTCTCATACTATACGAAAAGCCACATTAAATAAAAAGAAACGAAGAAAAGATCGCTCAAAAAAAATGCAAAGAAATTACCTTGAGATTGATGCGATCGATCTGTCTGTTTTGATTCTCCAATTCCGATCCCATATCGATCGCCATGTTACGCAAATTGCCGATCATCGTGTTCACCTGGCCAACGTTCTCCTCCATTTCATCCTCTCTGGCATCGTTAGTTATCCTTCCTATGTATCCGCCCTGTAAATATATTACCACGTTATATTAAACCGCACCCTTCCAGTAGTCCTAATCAACCCTTACCTGCGGTCCCATGCCGTTGCGATCGTCCATCATCCTTTGGGGTTGATTGTTCACCACTTTGCCATCATCGTTTCCCTTCCACGTTCCTTCGTCCTCTTTGAACGACGAGCCCCTTCGTAAAAAAAAAGATTATTGAAGGGGACAAGCTGTATATAGAGTACTTACTTCTGGCAGGGTAGGACGCAGAGCCCGCAGCATTTTTCCATCCCGGTCAGATTCTTCTCGGCCTCTCTCATGTCCGTATTGATTTGATCCATGCCATCTTCGATTCGATCCAATTGTTCTAAACGCAGAAAAATCGAAGGGGATTAGTAGGGGTCTAGAATCGATTACGAATCGTTTATTTTTCTTTTTTTTTTTTAGTGTAAAAGGGAGGACATGTAAATGTCGAGTAAATATCCATGCGCATGCCATGTCATTATAGGAATTACTACAAAACTACTGTTTGGGAACACTGTTCACAAGTCAAAAGTTACGATTTAAAAAGCGTTCATTTTTTCATTTGTGAACTTCGGACTTGTGAAATCCGGTCGCCCAGCTAAATAATCACGAAAGCTAAATGTATCGGTAGTTTTTTCATGCTATATAACCCTATTTAACAATGCTAGAATGTAATTAACCAAACTTTTTAATAATTTTTAATTCAAAAAATTGCGCCATTTCAATTGATTTTATTATTCTAACGCATTGGCAAATAGGGCGTATTAATAGAGTACATATAAAATTGATAGAGTTGATTTTTTTTGATTTGGCATTAGCGAAAACTAAAGAGTGATGTGAATTAAAAACGTTTATTTATATTATAAAGTTCGGGAGTTTTCAGTGTCAACTTACTTGGATGGTGTTAAATCCTTCAAATGTTGGTAAATTTGTTGTCTTTAAATGATTTTTTTTAATATAGTTCCGCATAATTTTTATACATGTATTAGTCTGGATTGAAGGGCGTACAGGGTGTCCACGAAACAAAACTGTATATTCCAGATTCGATTGACACCCTGTATATTGCGTGTTATTAAAAATTTATCGTGCAAATATTTAGATAACTTAAAAACGAAGGAAATACCAAATGATAGTGGAGTTGCGTTGAAATAATCAATTTCGCGAGCGAAAAATTTTTAATAACAAACCGCACGCCACTCGTATATAATGAGATTTTTCGTGAAAAGAAACAGAGAAGCATAATCCTTTATTTTTTTTGTAGATTTGCGTTGTAACTTCTAAAACAAATGTATTAAATTGTAATTTTTTTATATTCATTTGTAGCGTATTTTATGGGGGTTGCGATAACAGAGGGGTGCGATAATTTAAAGTGAAAATTTAATAAATTTCGAGAAATATTTTTATGATAAAATAGCAACATCGAACACACAACTAATGCTAACACATAAATACATATACTTACCGGGATGTGTATGTGTGTTTGTGGAAAATGCGGAAGGTATACAAGGTGTTCGTAATAACCGAGTATTTCGTAACTAAAATTTCATACAAATTATTTAAGGACACCCTGTATAAGCCTGCAAATGACTCTTAAGAAAATTTTTCAAATCAAGTAATCAGTAATGTGTAAATATTTTTTTTTAATATTGTTAACTAATTTGCTAACAAACAATTAATTGAGAACAATTCGTAAAAAACACGACCCCTCTATTATCTAAATTTAGAAATTTGCGTACATCAATAACACCAGAAGTAATATAGTATATAGGTCAAATATCTTATTGCATATTTACAAATATTTATTCGTTTTATAAACGTATTATTCGAGCAAATTAACACGCTAAAATGAGAGTTTCAGAAAATTTACAACACGAATTTACTGTATATCCTCGTTTCCTAATTTACTACTTAGGAAATTAAGGTACAAATAGAGGCATTATGACTTCCCCTTCCCGAATATACAGTGTGTCTCGAACATTCCGAATAAATTTCACATCGAATATTTCACATACGAAACACACTGTATATTTTATATAAGTAATACCTTCTATTGCTGTATTTTTTCGTGTCTTTTTTTGCTATGAGTGAGCTAAATCGTACAGTTGCGAGTGATATGGAAATATATACAGGGTGCCAGAAAATTATGAAAGAAAAATTTAATAAAAATTGTTATTCTAAACCTACCCTGTTTGAGACGCCCTTGAATCAGAGATCAGGAAGTAAAAATAATGGGGATATTGTGCAATAAAAAACATTTTCGGACACCCTGTATAATTGGTAACGAAAAATTATATCATCCTGTACATTACGCTATATTTAAGTAGTCAAAGTTTTGCTAATAATCCGCGCCAAAAATTTTCAAAAATCAATACAAATTTCATTAAAAAACGGTTGTCCCAAATAAACGCGAATAATGAGCTGTTAAAAGAGAAAAAGAATATCAGAAATTAGTTATAAATATACAGGATATCTCCGTAATTATATGTATAATGTAGTTTAAGGAATAATAAGGACCACCCTGTACCGTAAGAAAATGTTAGTAAAACGAATAAAAAAAAGCTACATGCTTCGTATTAAATTAAATTATCGGCGGGATTAAAATATTTATCATCTAAATTCGCCCTATTCGAGATTACCAAAATTCCTTACATTCAAAATCAATTTACTATTCTTCGCGAATATGGCGAATATTAAACACAAAATATAAGCATATATGTACAATCTGTATTTTACACCCCTGTCAGGTTATCATTGCATTGTTAGCTCGCCTCGTATATCGTTCATACGAGGCGCGTTCGAAATACTTTCGACCGAAAAATTAGTAAAATTAAAATAAAAAATTGAAAATGAAAATGTTTTTGCTTACCGCCCTGTTCATCCAGCATGACCAGGGTCTTCATACCGACTTCGTGACTCTACAAATGGAAAAAACGTTAGAGCCTGCCCTTAATTTTTTCGTTCGGTATATTCCCTAAAATTCGAACCGGAAATTTGCGAGAGGGGGGGGCGATGTAGAAACAATTCTGTAGCTCAACACAATCTCGTTAAAATTATTCCTATTTTTGCATTATTCGGGACGTTTCGATACGAAAATTTGCGAATTTACCAGATCGAAATGATAAAAAAGAAGGAACCAATTTGTATATTTAAAAGTTTAATAGTTTAGAATACTCCATTTTATCGAATTTCGACGTCACAAATCCACATTCTCATACCGAAACACCCCGTATATACTACACGAAATACATATTTATTAAATACCAAACGTGCAATTCAATGCACTTGCATCATCATCGGACAATTCCAAGTCCAATTCCATCGACTATTTTTTCGCAATTATTTAAACGTAAATATGCAATAAAACAAAAGACTAACATCGAATTAGAGTTAGATAGCTTCACCATATAAACCAGCAACACCAACACAAAACCGTTACGTTTTTTTATTGTATTTTTTTTATTTCTGTAATTTTTCATTTGGTTTTTTAGAGAGCTTACCGCCTTGATGATGGACGATCTCCAATGTCTTGGTGCCGGCGTCGGTACTCTATAACAGGCACAGTGCCGTGGCAAAAATACTCTCACAAAAAAATATACATCGTAAATAAGGAAGAAATCAATAAGGATGGAAATAACTAAAGAAAAATACGGAAAAATTCGATCGGTCAAACGGAGAAAACGTGGCGGAATTGGCACACTTTCGTATAGAGCTTGAAATTTTCGTCCGTTTTCCGATAGAAATTCAACGTTTCCCGACGAAATAGTGCATTAAAAAAAAACACAAAAAATTCTACTCGAATTATAAAAGAAACACGGAAATAACATACGAATAAGGCAGAGCCTACTCGGTGCACAAAAAAAGCTTCTACAAACATACGAAAAGCTACGTGGAAAATACTGATGAAAAATCGTTATAAAAGCCAAGCCGAAAAAATCCAGACAAAGAATCATGTTTTGTGTGTGCTAGTGTAGTTTTGCTAATGTCAATTTATATATAACATGTAGAAATTTTCGTTAACTTACGGATTAGTAGTAATTTTAAAACATTAGATAAAAATAGTATGGATGAAAATGCGAAATGTATCGAAAAAATCACGAAACCGCGTTCAATTTAAACATTTTTACATCAAATCTATTAGTTGTGGCTAAAGATACGACACCGGCAATTAACCGGTCGAGAAAAAGAAAATGAACGCAGTTCCTTGATTAGAGTCAAAATGGCGGATAAAGACACATGATGGGCAGGTATCGGTGATGAAAATCGGGAAATGTATAAGTTAAAGAAAAAAATTAAAAAATTATTAGAGTTAGAGGGACTCACCTCCCTGGTCATCTAATGCGACCAAGGTACGGATTCCTGCCTCCTTACTCTATAGCAGCACAAAAACAAGTGTTAAATATGTCATGTTAGTTTATACAGTGTGAGTGATTCACGCCCGCAATAATTGAGCAGTATTTATTTTTAATTTATTATTTTTTTTAGTCCAGCTGTAACTATGTCGTAGAGGGATAAATTTGAGTTAAGAATATATCGTTTATTTTCCTATTTTCTCGGCAATTTATAAATTCCAGATCGACCGAGTGTATGCAGTATAATTAAACTTGATAAGTTAATAGAATACTCTAAAATGGATACTGCACCAATCAGGAATCAGTAAAATATAAACCTTATTCGCGAGTAATTCGCAGAGTAATAAATTATCTTATAAAGAGCCGAAAAAAGTTCAGAAATTTTGAAAAATTCATGTAATTTTTACGCAAATTTATTACTCTACGGCATTAGAAGATTTTTACCGGACGTAGTCGAAATATACCGTTCAAATAACAAGAATTAATCAGACTATTCAAACATTTCCGGAATATATGCAAAGATAAAGTTCACTTTAAAGGTTTACAATAATTCGACAACGTCAAATTTATTTATTAAATATTAATTAAATTAAATTAAACGAGAATATATATCAAGTATGTCATGGTAGTGGCTGTTTTGTTTTTTCAGGTTTAATTTTCTCAGTAGGCCGGGTGTGTGGGTGTGTACGTGTGTGTGTGCAAAGTGCACGTGTGTGAAGTAATTTATATACAGGGCGGTCCGAAATTAATGCATCGCTTTACAACAATTTCGGACCGCCCTGTACGAATTCTATGTATATTTATATAAATGAGAAACACAGCACAAACACAGCCACACTGCAGGGCTACCGCTACCACAACATAGATTTTTCCTAGATTTTTTTTAGTAGCACAAGGTGAATTTTTTGAATTTTTTTCGAATTATTTAGAAGAAAATTCCAGATGAAAAGCTCACCTTGCGGGTTGATCGCATCGCCATTTTATACACTTATTCACCTTATTGGAGAAAACAAATCATCTAATGCTAATGTGATGATTTATCATAAAGTTTCGAAACAGTTCTGAACTAGTCAAATATGATTTATTACTCTGCGACATGTGTGAATAAGTTTTAATGGGATTTATAACGCGTTAATTAAATAACATTAAGCTTCTTTTTACCCACATAATACCGCACTTTTACCACACACACACATATACAGGATGTCCCAGAATAAGGGCGCAAAAACGTTACGTATTCCCGACTTATTTTTATCTGATATATTCTGAGACGCCCTGTATAGAAGCTGAAAACAGTAAACTCCTGCCCTGCTCAGTAAGTTAGTCAAATAGGTCTATTCTCGGGGAAAGGGACAGGACAAATAGAAAGTGCAGAACATGCAGCACAGAGAGACATTCTATATATAAATATATATAATTGTCCCATTTTGCAAGTTACTCGTCACTTTGATTTGCATTGAACTTGTAACAATTAATTTTTATATAACGGGATGATAACTCACAAAAAAGGCGCTAAAACATTTAGAGCGAAAAAGAAGAGTTAATTAACAGATTAACAAAGAACTAAAAGGTTGGTTTTATTGTCAATAATCTCCTCCTGATTTTCCACACAGAACCTTCATTCAACAGAGAAATCGATAATCGACAATCGATAAGTAATAGACTCGATAGGAAACGAAAAAAAAAAAAACAACAACAACAACAAAACAATGACATTTCCGCATTGACCTTTCAACCCTCTCTAGAAAGTTATACCTATAAAAATAACGAGCTCAAGAATTAGAATCACAGTTTCTTAATGAATTAACATCGACTTAATTCCATTGATAATAATCGATATTTACCTCTTCGCAAAGGGCCAGCATGCGTCTCGTGCTCTCCAGCGACTGAAAATCGAATAAAAATTGATCAAAAATGAAGTAAATCGATCCTGAAATAATCGAAAATATAATTACCTCATCTGTGACCTGACCGGCTTTGAGCTGGAGCTCCTGCAGTTCCGTTTTGGGAGCGCCATTTTCAGCGGCCGGTGCTGGCATTTTCCTGAAATATTTTCCGCCGATTAGTTCACCACTTAATCGAGAAAAATTCCAATTACATATCTAAACATTACTTTTATCTAATAGAATTAATTTACCGAATTAAATAAGCATTTGTCGTTTATTCGTTAAGACGATGTATACAGGGTGAGTACGTTAGAAGTGTATCGGAAACTCGGGTGTAGGGAAAGTCAAGTTAGCCGTGGTGCATGAATAAAAAAGGGGTATTTTTTGGACGCACCCCGTATAAGCGGGTAGGTGCATTGTCAGCGCGAAAAATCAATAATGTGTGCGGGTCGTGTACTCGTACCGAAAACACAATAAAATCGACAAGAATGCGAAACTATCCCGTTAATTTTAACCGTTTATTTTAACATTCCGGTATTACTGTATCTCTATTGTTGAAAAAATTAATCTTTTTATCATCAATAAAGCCGTTTTATCGTGGAAGATCGAAAGATTACAGATTGTAGATGATACTTACTCGATAGAATTGGGTCAAGAGTGACGTTAGGTCGAAACTGATTTATACTAATTATTCACAATAACCGCTAATCACATAACACAGTTGAAAAAAACACGGAAAACAGTCCTTGTGAAAATTATCCGTGTATTTTCTTCGAACGTCAAAAGACTGGGCGAGAAAAGAGCCGGATCTTTTGCTACTGGCCACGGAACACGAAACTCGACTGACACATGACAACTAGGCGTGTTCTGATACTATTATCTTATCGATACTAGCGTAGTATCGATTCTTTTTATTCGTTATTCATTACGGTTATTTTTATCTTATAGATAAAATAAAAGGATATTATGTAATACAAATTGTAAGACTACTTTTACGCAATGTTTAGACTATTCGTACTAGCTGTATAATGTTATGTGATAATGAAATTGAATATGTATCGATAGTACTCAAGAGTATAAGTATCGATTCTGTGGGTGTACGAATTTTCTAGCGTTCCGTGATAGATCGCGTTTGCGTATGACACATTTTCAAATGGCGCTAAATTTAAATTGGCATTAACTATGGCAAAACTATGACAACGCAACTTCAAAACTAATCGGCAATTTTCAACGCAACTTTCGAATCGAGTACCTCAAAATTCCAAGTTAAAAAAATTCGTTAATACAGAAATAAAAAAAAAACCGAACATGTGTACGCCCGCTCCCTGTCCCGTCCCCTGTCCCCCCACGTGTGGCCCGTTCCCGCCGTGCGCCCCCTGTCGCCCGCCCGGCTGCAACCCCATGTGCGCCATCCCGCCGTCAGTCCAAGCCGGGCTGCCCATTCCGTGCGTGGCCAGCATCCCGGCGCCTTCGCCCCGTTGCGGGCCCTCCGCCCCCATTCCCTGCTACGGCACCGTGGAGTGCTTCCCGACGCCGCCCGTCCCGTGCGCCCCCCTCGGCCAGCCCTCCACCCCGACGTCTTTGATCTACACGGCGACCGTCACCTGCGTGCCCAGCCCAGTGGCGTACCCGTGCCCCCCTTGTCCCCCGTGCGGCGGCACCTGCGGGCCCTGCGGAGGCCCCCCCGTCAGCGCTACGTGCCCCAACCCGTGCGATCCTAGGTGCATGCACCCGCCTTTCGAGCCCTACTGAGGGGGCACTTGATTAGACTAGTAATATTGGTCGTAAAAAATTAGTATATTATACTGTTTAAAAACGTTTAATAAAAGGTTGTATGCATTGTATTCTTGTATATTATTTCTCATATCTGACTAGTTAGTTAATAGAAAAATATTAGAAAGTGTATTGGAGAGTAGAATAGAAAAAGTTCATGTAATAAATGATGAAATAATGGACTCATTGTAAACAAAATTGGAATTAAATTTTTATTCGACCAAATAAAAACTTTAAAAGCAATTAAAAAATATACATTTTCACTGCACGTTGGCCTTTCACCATGTGATCTTGGCGGTGTAGACGAGAGAGGTGGGCGAGCAGGGCTGCGCCAGGGGCGCCACCGGCACGGGCGGCGGGGGCGCGCAGGGCGTTATGGCGGCGCAGGGGATGGGGGCGCAGGGCTGGCAGGGTATGCATGGCGGCGGGACGCTGGGCATCAGCCCCAAGGGGATGTCGGCGGTGCAAATGGACGGGATGGTGCAGCAGGGGGTGCAGGTGGGCGGACTGCAGGGCGGGCAGGGCGGAAATGGGCCGCACATCGGGGGCAAGGGGGTGCAGCAGGGCGAGCCGGGACACGGGAGAATAGGGCAAGGGGAACACATTTTAATTTGTTTTTTTTTCACCTCAAATTTCGTTCGAGTGAAACGCGTGGAATTTTGCAAATAAAATATTGATTAAATTTGTTTATATAGTTACTGGGGTAACTAGATTTGAATAATGCAAATTTGCAAGGTTGCCAGCACAATATAGATCCATCTTCCTCATTGGCCTCAGCTGCATGGAATATTCGGCTACATTTGGGGGTTGACAATAAAATTAGGAGTAACAAAAAAATGAATTTAATAAATAACGGCGAACGACATTAGATAATTCCTAGTTTAATATCAAATGTAAGTACATGAAATTTGCTATAAATAACAAAACAAATCGAGGTAAAACTTAAATACATACCCTATAGCACTTTGATAATGTAAATTTGCGACTGTACTTACAAAAAAAATCTCGGTAAAATTACGAATTCTTTGCCTTATAAAATGGATTAGTGATAAAACTCGTTCGCTCGATTATAGGTTCCTTCAAACAACGCAATAAAATAAATACATATTTTTACTCATTTAAAGACCGGCCAGTATTGAGCCGGGATTTTCTACTCCTTGCTTCACTTTCCTCAAGAAGAGCACGGCTTCACGTCCATCAATCAACCTGTGATCGTACGTTAGAGCAATGTACATCATTGGTCTGATAACAACCTAAAGAGAGAAATGTAATTAAATTACCAAGTAATTATAATTTTAGATGATTTATTCGTGTAATTTACCTGTCCTTTCAAAGCGATCGGTCTATCAAATATACCGTGCATTCCCAATATAGCAGATTGCGGAGGATTGATAATAGGCGTACCGTAGAGGGAACCGAATACTCCACCGTTACTAATCGTAAAAGTACCACCGTCCATATCCTCAACAGCCAGTTGACCTGAAAGCGAAAGTTAAATAAACAACTCCTTAAAAAAATGAACAATTCCCTCTACCTTTTCTCGCCTTCTCGGCCACTTGGGCAATGGCCAATTCGATATCGGCGTAATTCATCCGCTCCACGTTTCTAATAACCGGCACGACGAGCCCTTTGGGCGTCGCGACGGCCACCGAAATGTCCACGTAATCCCTGTAGAGGATCTCAGCACCGTCGATGACCGCGTTAACCACCGGTTGATCTTGCAAAGCGTAAGCGGAAGCCTTCAAAAACGCCGACATGAAGCTCAATTTCACGTTGTGCTTCTTCAAAAATTGCTCCTGGTTCTCCTTTCGGAAGGCCATTATGTTCCTGAAATCGAACCGATTCAATTGAGTTTTCCTTTCGGATGACCAGTCGCTTACGTCATATCGATTTCGTTAAAGGTAGTCAACATGGCGTTGACGTTTTGAGCTTCCTTCAAACGTTGCGCGATCCTCTGGCGCATCCTGTTCATTTTCACTCGGTGCTCCGATCGAGTACCGGAGATTTCCTGCGTAGGATCGGCCGGAGGCAACTTCACCGTAGCCGCTTCCAGCGATTGCGCGTGACGTATCGCCGCCACCGGTATGGAACTCAACGGGGCGGCGGGAGCCGCAGGTCTCGGAGGCGCGGCTTGCGGTGGCGCCGGCGGCGCGGCGGCGGGAGCGGCAGGCGCCGGAGTTGCTGCAAAAACAATACCAATGCAAATTCAACTGTAGTGCAACGCGGGTTGTGGTAATTACGTGGCGGTTTGGGCGCGGCTGGAGGCGGCGGAGCGGCGGCTTTGGGCGGTTCGGCGGCCGGTTTGGCGGCGGCGGCGGCCGGCGGTGATCCTTCGCCGACGTTTAATTTGAACAAATCCTGTCCCGGCTTGACGGTGTCGCCGTCTTTGACTAGAATTTCGCTGATCGTTCCTGCGGCAGGCGAATGCACGGGCATTGCCGTTTTGTCGGTTTCGATTTCCATGACGACCTCATCGGCTGCAACGTAATCTCCCACTTTTTTCTGAAGCCTACAAATATACATACAGACAACTTCCATTAGATACTTATAAAGAAAAAAATAAAGGGTGACATTGTATAAGTGCATAGTTTGCAGAATGATTAATTCTATGAGTTGAACAAAGAAAGATTATTAAAATAAACGTGGTTAGAGTGAGAAAATTGCAATCCCAAAATATCACTATATCTTCTTCCTTTTGGCGAGATTAATGGAAGTTGTAGTTAATGGAAGACGTCTTAAAAAATTATTAAATCAAACGGTTGGTAAATAATATTACATAAATAGAAAACTATAATTTATCATAACCTTGAATAGAAGCCGATAACAAAGTGTTTTACCATTTACCTATCATAATTGGCCTGAAGCCAATTATAAGTTAATTCTTATTTAAACTTTAGTAAATCATACAGCAATTTTTAAACGATACCTATTACCTGTATTATGATTTTTGATTTAATATTAAACTCGAATTTTGTAATTATCCATTTCGTAAATAACAATATTTTTATTTTTTCCTCTCTTTTACGCAATAGTAAATATTCAAACTGATACAAGTCTTTTATAGTAATACAACAATTTATAAAAACAATTTCATATCAATTACTATAAAATGTTGCAAGATATTTTTAAGTAGATATGTATCAATAATAATGCGCGTAGTTCTTCTATGTTAATTGATTTTTTATGGTAAAATAGATAAAAATAAAAATCAAATTAGATGGAAAATGTGATAAACTCACTTGACATCTCCTTCGGTAACAGATTCAGCAAAAGGGGGCACTTTAACGGTTTGGTTGTTCCAAATTGCATTGGATGTTCGAATGTGTCTGTTACAATTAACGATGCAGCTTCGGTAACTAAAAAATTTAAACAAAAATCGATTATACACAAGTAATATGAAGCAAATTAAATATAATATTACCTGAACTTGTCCGAGTTATTTACATTAATACTATATTTACGGATTATTTGTTCACCTCTATAAACACATCCCTGCTGAACAGTAACCTGTAATAATTCAAGTTACATAATACACGAATAAATATAAAATGTCCTTAACGTAGCTTAATTTATAAATGTATTAAATTCGTTACATCACGTTACTTTAACGAGTAAATTGACTACCTAATCAAACTGACCTCAGTAATTCCTTTTTCCAAAGATTTTCGTAAATGTCTAATTGTGTATCGAGGTAGATTTTTTATTACTAAATTCAACATGGTCGACATACTTAAACTGTACAAATTAGATGAAACCCCCTTCTAAAAAGGTATTTTACTCGAACACGGGGGCTCAATATTCAAAATCGCTGATCATATGCCTCCCTTTTTGAAAGGCTCGCGAGACAACCTGCCGAAAACCGATAGCTGAAACGAAACGTCACTTGTCAAAAGTCAATTGTCAGATTTATCCACGTTTTCAAACAGCTAACAGTTCTGCATTAAGGAATAAAAAGTCTATTTATTTTATAATCTTGTAAGCATATACATATATTTATATGTATATGCTTGTAAGCATAGACAAAATAAAAGACATCTTTCTTTCTCTATGCTTGTAAGTTGTAAGCCGTAGAGAAAGAAAGATGAGAGAGTTCGATCCATAACGTTGACGGTGCTGCCTCTCACCTGGTCTTCACATTTATCGCGAACTAAACAAGGAACCAAAAGGTGACCAACTAACCTAACATTTTTGGCCTTTAAAAAAATAGAAGAATTGTCATGTCAACTGTCACGAAAGTCAAAAAAACGTAACGAATGAACGCGATGCGAAAACAAAATACGAAAATGCCCATTTTTTTGAATATTAATTAATTCATCGCGTTGAAATAACATTCCTTATCGAAGTTCGCGATAGTGATATTTTTCGATCGATTTAATTCCATCAACGGTCTAATTTATTAGATCGGAAAGTAATTAGAGCAGGTGTCTAACGGTGGATCAACAAGTTTTTGTTTGAAGTTTGTGTACACAATTAAAATATGGATATGCTAGGCGAATTGTGACCGGTAGAAAAAGGTAAAATTACCTATCGATTATTTATAATGCATTAAATACGTTCTGTTTTAGGCGTTTTCATTTTGTAATGTTTACCTGTGATAGAGGGCTTATTGGTAATTTCGATCAAAGATGTCCCGACAAGAAAAGGCTAAATCCGTGACATTTGTGAGTACCATTTATCCAATTTCATTAAATAGAAGAGTAAAGCTAGAATAATAACCAGTTTATTATGGTCTATATGATATTTAATTATCGAATACGAAACCGAGACCTTGTAAACATATATCGATAAGCAACCACAAACCATGATGAAAGTATCCAAAGAGTTCTTTATTTAAAACAATTAATAACACCGTTTAAAACGTACATAAATGTTTTGAAACGAATCTCGGAATGCTATTAACATAATTAAGTAAGAAAAAAATGTGGATAACACGAATTTCTATATACACAATTATAAATTACGCGATGAGATAATATTCGATAACATAAATACCCTCGTTAATCGGTGTTCTGTAATACCAGCATAAAACTAATATTTGCACAATCGTAATACACGCTGGAGCTTTTGAAATGAACGCACAATCATCTGCAATAATGTCTATTAGAGGATAAAAAAAGGAAGAAATCAAAATGACTAAAACGTCGATTGTAAACAGTCATAGGAAACGGTTTAGTCACATGGGTTTGTCACCTTGTAATTTATTTAATCCAGGTAGGCATTATCTTATCACCAGTTTTGCTAAATATCACTCGAAACGGTACAGTCGCCTTGGTTCGTTCGAAATGTGCTAAGTGCTCGTTCAATGGAAGGCAAAATGGATAAGAAAACCAAAGGGAAAATGAAAGAGAAGTCGCCCAAGTTGACTTTACGCATGTCATTCAGCAAGAAGGCTCGGAATAAAACGGCTCCCGGTGGTGGAGTTGATGTAAGAATTTTAATTTTACGTAGAAATTAGGTAGATAATTTGCGTATTATCTGCTTAATTAAATAGGTTTTTTTTTGTAATCACCCTGTATTAAAATTGCGTTATTTTTTGCAAACGTCTTTGTTCTATAATTTTTCGTTTACGTCTCATTATAATATTTATCGTTTTATATTGCAGCTGTATTGTTTTATTGAATTTTATATTAGCATTATCGCTATTCAAATACAAATATCTGCTTAGGTAGGCGATTATTTATAGTTTTATTTTATTGGCGAAATTTGAGTCATTTTTCAAATTTGTTTTCTAACGTTTCGTTAACAAAATAACATTGAATGGTTTCCTTATATTTAATGTTAATCGCATATCATTGGATGTTTCTTTATGTTTAGATTGAAAAAACATTTAGTGATAGATATGTAGATAATTTTAAACCGAATACAAACAATGTAATTTACATAGATTTCGTATTTTTTTGTGCGATTAATAATTAATCACTAAGTGCGTAAAAAACATAAATGAAAATTAAGTCATGAATTTCCCTTAATTAGCTATGTTAAGTTCAACAATACATTATAGGTCATTGAATTTGATAAAATTGAATTTTTTTGTCAATTTAATACACATAAAAGTTTGCTATAGTATTCGGTCAATTCTACGCGTTGAACAAGGAAAGACTACACTAAAAGTGGCGAGTAAGACAGAGTGAGACAGTTGCGATATAACCCTTTCTTTTTTCTTTACATAAGAACTAAGGGAAGTTGTCTTTGTTGCACCCATTGCAAACTAAAATACATTAACTTTTAGACCTCATTTAACTGCCACCCAAATAGGATTAATATGAAGGTTTTAACTTGAAGCAGATTATCCTTAATGCGCATTATCCTTTATTTCCAAGATCAAAACAACCGTTTCGGATGCAATTTTTGTGAATATTTTATAAACTGTGGACTTTTCGTAAGGTTACAACCAGCGTGTAATTTTCGTGTTTACCATGGGTGCATCAACAGACTTTACAATAACAAAAAAAAACAAAAATTACTCGGAATCGATTCGAGGAACAAAGAAATTATTTACCTTAAGAATTCTGTAATATTCTTATGTGCACATCGCGTTAACACGGCTGGGACCTAAATAAACGAAAAAAAAAATCACTTACCTAACACTTGCGAGTTGAAAACTATTTCATTTACTAGAGGCGTACTTTAAATTTTTTGTGTGTAGAAATTTTCAGAAATTCGCCATTTTGTTTAAACAATTTGACATTTCACCTAAGGCCCACTAGAAATTGCAAAAAAATCTAATCTAATTGTTCTGTTATTTAAATGACATCCACAGCACGCTATTAAAATCCTACGAATAATAACACACAGAGATAGAGATAGTATTTTAAACAGTACATATTAGAGAAAAAAAATGTTGAGAAGTTTCTAACACCCGCCGCTGCCTATGATGTCACGTCCATTAACAATATACCAATGAATTTATTATCTTAGCCGCTAAACGTGTATTTCATTCAGTGTGTTGTGTTGTTTACTGGTTTGTTGTTTGGAACGGATTCGGTATTTACTGAAATACATTTTGGAAAAATTGCGTGTAATAAATCGATCCGAAAAAATAGCTTGTCGTTTTAAAATGCAATGCGAAAAATCGGCTCGTCTATTTTTTTGAACGGTTTTCGGACGGATTTTTGGAAGGTTTCGAATTCGAATTCTGATGTGATAGCATAACATGTGTTATGTTTTAGTTTTTTTTTCTTCTATGTACAAACGCTTATTATAGTTTCGCGGTTGCGATTTGAGTGGTTTTTTTGCATCATGTACGGATATGTACGTATAATTTTTTTATATTTAATTGGTGCTTTATTATTTACGGGGTGCATTCGAAAATATTGTAGGAAATATGACGATTCTCGTGATATGTGAAGTGTTACATATAGTGAAAAAAATGGATTTTTTAAACTATAGGTCAAGTGTTTATCTTGTATTGATAACGGGAATCTCCTGTTTAATGTTATTTTTGATTATTTTACAAAGTAACTAAAATCAATTGCATGTTTAATTAATTCGACATTCGGGCATTTTGTTTTTTTTTTCTCTAGTGAATAACAATAAAAATATTTCGAATTTTTGCAAAATGAGAAACCATTTGATTTTTGTAGGTGGTAAAATAAGTCACGAATTATTTAAAACTACTCAGTGCTACTTGATTTTAATTGATTTAAATAATTACAGAATTGTATAATTGTCCAATAATTAAAATACGAAACTAGGTAACGCTCGCGCGATTAAATTTCTAATTTTACGGGTCAATTTTTAATCAAAAATGCACAGTTTGTCTAATTGTTATTGTTAAAAAATGACCTTCATCGAAAAAAAAAAATTCAAACGTTTTTCGTTTTTTATTTTAATATTATACAGGATGTTTGGCCACTCCTACACATCTCTAATTCGTCCACTTGAAAATCAAACGGGTTTTATCTCCATTTAAAAATAGCCATTACGAAACCGTTGGTCAAATCGCTATTATTAAACCATTACACGCCGTTTACCTGCCAATAAAGGTAAAAATAATCGTTATTTATTAATCGGATGCCCCCGTAACAAATCTAGGCTAACTCGATAATTAATGATAAATTGGAATGTCGAATGAGTTTTTTAATAATATACACGAAAATATTTTTCCGAAGCGTTAAAGACCAAACTTTTAACAGGAAGTTCCGGTTCGTTTATGACAGTTGACGTTCATGTAAGATTTGAACATTTTCGCCCAAAAATAACACATCAAAAAAGTATCCCAATTTTATTGGTTTAATAAAAGAAATAAAATGAAAATTCATTAATCGGATACCCCGATTTTTTTGTAATAAATCGTACGAATCGAAACTTAAGAGAGCAAACTTTTAACAGAAAGTTCAGTCTCGTTTTTGACATTTGACATTTACGCAAAATTTGAATTTTTATTCTGGCATAAGGAATATCTCGATTATTTTTCTAATATACGCTTTTCCGTCCATTTCCAGTTGGAATCATGGTTCAAGACGGGCACTACGAAGAAACCGGGCGCCCAACGGCCCATCTCCGCCATGGTGGTCAGGCCCAACTACGATACGGACATCATCGACGTCGACGAAGAAGAGGAGCAAAAGCTCATAGACGCCATGGGAGAGAAGGAAGTTAACCTCAAAATCGAGGAATTATTGGTACGTTAAATTCGCACTATCCAAGGATATACAAGGTGTCCCAAAATACGTATTACAACACGAATATCATTGGATGCAATTTCTTCTTCTTTTGTTACGGTCTTTTACCACCCAGGCTTTCAGTCACACAATTATTTGAATCATATACGTTTTTGTAGAGCGATATGAATTTGAACGACGACAAAAAGAAGCCGTTGCGTAACATGCCGTTGGAGCAGAAGCGGGAGATGTTGAAGATGCAGAGCAAGAAGAAGGGCCAACAGGACACGGGCAATCGTTTCAACGATCCGGAGGACTACTACAAATACCTGGACCAGCACGCCAACAACAACTCGGACTACCTGCAATTGAACAAGTGCTTGGGGTGCATGGAGAGCCTTCGCGTGGCCGTGGCCAACAATCCGGTCAGCTGGGTGGAGAGATTCAGCTCGATCGGTGGCTTGGAAAAGGTTATAAAAGTCCTGGATTTGGGCGTTAAAAAGTTAGTATTAATTAGTAATGAGTAGTATACGGTATTACATGTAATTGTTCTTTTTTTTTGTAGCAAAGACGTGAGATTGCAAATAGAATGCTTGAAGTGCCTAGAGAAGTTTATGAACAACACGACGGGTTTGAAAGCTTTTTTCAACTATTCCAAAGGCCACTTGACGGTGGCCAGATGTCTGGATTACGAGAAACCACCCGTCATGATACAAGCTTTGAAGGTACTGCTTGAAATTAGCTTCGAAGGTTCGATTTTTGGTAATTTTTGTCGTGGTGAATATTGCAGTTATTGGCTCCTGTGTGTGTCTTGGACGAGAACGAAGAGGAGGTGGGTGTTAAAAGGGTGCTAAAAGCCATCACCGAGGTCGGCGAAGAGATGAACAGGGAGAGGTTTTTGCCAGTTGTAAATGGTATTACCAAAAGCGATAACGTGGATTTACAAGTAAGGATTCTTCCACATTGCTATTATCACTCGGAATTTTAATGGTCCAACTTTGGTTTACCACCCTGTATAATTTCTACTTCGGTGTTTACTATTTTGTTTATTGTCGATTCTTAATACCTTTGCACAACAAAAAAAAGGTATCCTTTACTTACTAGTTAGATATGTTTTTGATCAGTTGCGTTTCGAGAATGTGAATTTGTGCTTGTTTGATTTGTGTGATTTTTAATGAAATTAAATATGATTTCGACGATAAAAATAATGATAATGATAAAAATTATACTTTTAATTTTCAAAGATGATTTTTGTTGTGCTGGTTTCGTTGTGGACGATGCCAACAACAGTTTTTGGCTGATGGTAGTTTTAGCGGTAAATTATGGTTTTTATTTTGTATTTAACAATATCCATTTTGTTCTTATTTATTTATTATTATGAATAAATCTTCTACAAATAGCCCATGTAAGGTCAAAATATATTCTAACATTGCCGAAAAATGATAATATAATATCCCTATCTATTTGTATTGTAAGAAAAATGTGGTAATTTTCCATTCACACAGCCATGGTGGTGGTTTTGAAACATTTTAGATACAAACTCTCGGTGTGACGTCCTATTTTTTTTTTCATGTCAGTACCAAATCCTTCAATTTATCTAATTTAACAATCCATTACCAACAATATAAATAATATCCTTCATTTTGCAGAGTATGTGTTTTCAATTTATCAACGCTCTATTGAGCGAAACCGAAGACTTTGAATTCCGAATGCACTTGAGGAACGAAATTGTCCGAAATGGACTCTACGACAAAATACGTAAGTACCAAAAAAAATCTATTTAAAAATGTAAAATTGGAAGTCGTAACAAAGTAGGTGTCATCTGTCAAAATCACGAAACAATATTGTTGACAGGTAAACGTCATTAGATTTTCTATCGAGTAGGCGTAACTCATTACCTGTCAAAATTAGAGCATATATGGATTGATTGACCGAGTTTCTTTTTTTAGAGCAACTGAAAAACGAGGCGCATCCGGTATTGAAGACACAATTCAACATATTCGAATTGAGACGCGAAGATGACGCCGACGAATTGCACGAACGTTTCGACAAGGTCCGAATGGACTTGGACGACATGCAGGATTGCTTCGAAGTACTCAAAAACATGACGTTAGACACCCCGTCGGAGCCCTATCTCTTGAGTATCCTCCAGCATTTACTCTTCATCAAGGACGACATCGCGCTGAGGTACATTACACTCCTCTTAGTAGATTTATGCTTATTATAAATAATGTTAATTTGTAGATCGGCGTACTTTAAGATCATAGAAGAAGTAATAGCGCAAGTGGTGCTTCACAAGTCCGGTTTGGATCCGGATTTTAAAAAGAATCACATAGAAATCGATTTGCAATCGCTCCTGGACGAGCTCAAAGGTTTTTTTTAATAACTCTACACGTGTTTCGCGCGTATTACATTCGAAATTTTGCAGACAAACCGAACCAAATCGAGAGCGCCGAAGTGGAAAACCTGAAGAAACAACTCGAAGAAGCGCTGGCGGCCAAAACGGAGGCGGAGGCCAAGCTGGAAATAGCCCTCGGTCGCGCCGTCTCCGCCGAATCCACCGGCAAACTGAACCCCGAGCTGGTGAACAAGATCACCGTCCCGCCGCCGCCGCCGATGCCGGGCGCAGGCAGGGCGCCGGCGCCTCCTCCGATGCCGGGCGCGCCGCCGCCTCCCCCTATGCCCGGCGCGCCGCCGCCTCCGCCCATGCCGGGCGTCGGTGGCGGTCCGCCTCCTCCTCCGATGCCGCCAGGCGCCGGACCGCCGCCTCCTCCGCCGCCGCCCGGCATGGGAGGAGGCCCGCCGCCACCGCCCGGGATGGGCGCGAGACCGCCGCCGCCCATGGGCGGCATGGCCAGGCCGGACCTGTTGCCGTACGGTTTGAAGCCCAAGAGAAAGTGGGAGGTCAAGGGGCCTCTGAAGAGGGCCAATTGGAAGATGGTAATTTGTGCTGTATATAATAAATGAATCTGATGGTAAATAGTGTTTTTTTTTGTAGATTCTACCGCAAAAAATGTCGGAATCATCGTTTTGGATCAAGGCGAAAGAGGAAGAGCTGGCCGAGCCGGATATTTTGGACGGTTTGGCTAAGAAGTTCTCTTCGAAACCGCCCAAAACGACGAACGACGTGACCGATAAGTAAGTATTTTTATCATTTTTTTAATTGTCCCGTTTGTCGTTTTCGTTTTTTTATAATAATATAATGTTTAGATGAAGGGGTGAGCGGCAATAACACGGCTTAACTGTCCGCTATACACACACATCTCTGTAAAACCTATGCAGGTAAATTCACGTAATTTCGGTGTTGTAATTGCCATGAGCTACGTTTTAAGCACGAGTATCGGACCCCCCCTGTATGCTAATTTATTCTTACCACCTCGTTTTTTTTATTTTTTTAACCCTAACATTTGGTTTATTTTGTCGAAAACTAGTCGAGTATTTTTGGGAATTTACTGAATACGCTTACGATTTGTATTTTTTTAGGTGTTACTCGACCGGCACGCTGAAGCGAGTAAAAGAATTGAGAATATTAGACGGAAAAACGGCCCAAAATATCAGCATTCTCTTGGGCGGTACTTTGAAGCACATGTCTTACGATGAAATCAAACGGGCCTTGTTGAGGTGCGACGAGGAGATTTTGACCGGTAATACCATCGAACAATTAGTACAAGTACGTTGCATATTGTGTATACTTACGAGTAGGTGTTGTTGTAATTAATTTTTTTTTGCAGTATTTACCGCCCGCGGATCAACTGAACAAATTGCAAAATTTGAAGGAATCCTATCAAGACTTGACGGAAGCCGAGCAATTTTGCGTCAAACTATCGGAAGTCAAGCGATTAATGCCCAGATTGAAATCCCTAAGTTTCAAATACCATTATACGGAAATGGTGCAAGACACAAAACCTGTAAGTGCATATAATAAAACCTAATTTAGTATAGGAGTAACTCGGAGAATATTAACTGTGCCATTGTGTATATAACTATTATAATTTACAGGGCATTGTAGCCGCTACGACTGCTTGCGAGGAAGTTAAAAAGAGCAAAAAATTCGCCAAAATATTAGAACTGATTCTACTAATGGGTAATTACATGAATACTGGAAGTAAAAACGGTCAAGCATTCGGATTCGAAATGTCGTTCCTAACCAAGGTATTTTTACATCGATTATTCGCACTAACCAAATTTTAATGTACCGCTCCTATTCTAGTTAACAGCCACCAAAGACATCAACAACAAACAAACCCTTCTCCACTACATCACCGAAACGATAGAAGCAAAGTGGCCGGATTTGTTGAGCTTCTACGACGAAATGCCGCATATAGATCAGTGAGTAATTCGAATATTTTATATACCTTACAGATAAAGCTAGAAATACCCAAGAAACATGGGTAGGGAAGTTTTTCGTGGGTTCTCGTTATGCTACGAGAAACTTAGTTTCTCAGTTTACTCGGGTAAACCTAGGCTTAATTGTTTATAAACTTTACACGTTTATTACAGAGCCAGTCGAGTGTCTTTGGAGAACATACAGAAAACCTTAAAACAGATGGACAGCAGCATTAGGAATCTAAAAACGGATCTAACGCACAACAGGGTGCCGCAAAGCGACGACGATAAATTCCTCGACGTGATGGAGGCGAGTTTTAATCGATAAATTTGCGAGTATAGTATAACGGGAATGATTCTCTTGCAGAAATTCGCCGAAGAAGCCCGAGAACAGTGCGATATACTGCACAAAATGTTCAAGAAAGTGGAAAATCTGTTTGGAGATTTGGCCGAATACTACGTGTTCGACAAACAGAAGTACACGCTCGAGGAATTCTTCACGGATTTGAAGACGTTCAAAGACAGTTTTTGCGTAAGTTGGATCGCCGATTTTTTTAATTTTTCTATTTTTTCAATCGTTCCGTAATTTGCAGAAAGCCAAGATGGACAATCTGAAGGAAAAGGAATTGGAAGAGAAGAGGGACAAGGCGAAACAGGCGAAGTTGAAGCAAGAGAAGGAGAAGGAAGAGAGGAACAAGAGGCGACTGGTGGATATGAATCCTTCCGAGACTCAGGAGGGCGTTATGGATAGGTTCGTTGGATTTTGTCTATTTATATGGCGATAATTTTAATATTTTTTTTTTTTTTAGTTTATTGGAAGCTCTTTCGACGGGTAGTGCTTTCGGAAGGGAGCAGAAAAGACGAAGAGGACATCGACCTGCCGGAGGTAATAATTAATCAATTGAATATTTCCCAAACAATTTAAGTTAAATGTATTTTCTATTTTAGCTGAAAGAAGAGCTCAATTAGTCAGGTCGAGATCGAGAACGGCATTAATAACCGGTAGAGAATTAACTAGGTAAAATTAAATTTATTTACGCGATAAAATTGAGTTTATAATTGTTTTTCTTTACAGCGATATAACCGCCTAGGGATTATACAACGAATTAAACAAGCTCAACGAATCAAACAGTTTTTTTTAATGTCGATATAATTTATTGTTCCCGTTTGTAAATAATAGTTTTTTTGTATTTGTATATTTAGCGTTTCGAAACGAATCTCTCTCGATTCTGTTTCAATTCGTTGGAAATTTTTGGTCGAAATAATTGTATAATTATTTTTTTTTAATTTCCAACGAATCGAAACGAATAACGTTTTTATATGTTTTTAAGTCACTACCGATTTTCCGTGCCGTCCCGAATTTACTTCTTTATTGTTTAAATCTCTCGTTAATTCCGTTTTTTAATTAATTAGTAAATTATCAATTTATAATAAATCATTACAGGATTCTTCATTTAATTGAAGCTGGCTCACACTGTATATAAATAACGAGAGAACGACAATATTAAGTAATTTAGAAATTAGGAGAAAAATGGGTCATTTACTTAAGGGATTTCCGGAAATCTTGATACTTGTAAAATATTCCTGTAAAATACGTACAATAATTAGTGAACACTTATTATACATATTTATTTATAATTAATATTTTTATATAAAAGAAATTGTGAATATTATAAATTTTTAATAAATTATTTTTAAATTGTTAATTAGTTCGTCAAACTCGTCCTGTTCCACATCGAAGAGAAACCAACAAGAACAATTAAATTTTATTTAAATAATAAAATCGTCATATTACTTTTATATTTACAATAAATATACTTTGATAATATTTTTAGTTGATTGTTCGTAATCGATTTTAATAACTTCTAAGTATATTAATCACATTTCTGAATATAATATATACAATATATAATAGGCGTACAGGGTGAGCTAAATTAATTTATCAACTACTTAAATCACCCTGTACGAAATATTTAAATTGAACCCTTGTGCTTTGTTTACCCAGTGCGAGTAAATTTAACGATGTCATGCATCTACTATTAAATATGTAAATTCAGAAAATACTACCGATAATTACTTTAATTTTCTTGGTAAAAGAATTCAAAATAATCTTTTTTTTATATATTAGGCTATCTAATTTAATTTACTAACCGTATTATAAGTAAAAAATAATTTAACAGCAAAAAAATCGCTACTTATTTTAGAGTATTTCTGTATTATATATTTTTTTTAAACCAGAATTGGAAGTACTTTATTGGAAGAAGTGAGCAAAAAATCTCAAAAAACTGTATAAAATGTCTAAAGTCCATTCATTCTCAAGTGACAATATGTTATACCGAATTATTCTTCACTTTAGAACAAACGAACCCCCATTAATCGTTTAATTTCCTTATTTTATAACGCACAATCCCACAAACACATCGTAATATACGAACAAGAAATTTTCTAAATAATTGAGCAAACAACGTAGATGTATTTTAGGCAAGTACGAGACTATACTTTCTGCACGACATAAGAATTATTAAAAAATAATAAATAAATTGGTTTAAAGTTCGAATCCACGAACAGTGAGTAAAGCAATGTTAAAAACTGCCACATGATGTAGTCATTCCAATTTTTATACTTACTACAATCCCTGGTCGTATGTAACAGGTCAGGGAACTCCCGTGGAGGGGGGATGATCTCTGTTGATGTGACTCTCGACCAAAGTCACAATACCCGCGGCACCCCTCTACCACAAAAAATAAGACGAGTTTCCAGACCAGCAAGTAAGACCGTGCTATACAATCCTCGTCAAATCAGACCGAACTGATGGCTTGATGGGACGTACAGAGGCTGTCCGATGAACAAATCGACAACGGAACGGGACTATACGTCATGTTATTGTAGTCGTTGCAGTTCAAATACAATCTCGAACTCGTTCGGTCGCAATCCGGACAGGAACGTTTCTTTTTCTTGTTCCTCTTGAACAATTCGTAGGCACATCTACAAAAAAAAAACCATCCCAATTACCCACCGACAAGTCCGCCGACCATTCGTACCTAGCGTGAAGGATATGAGCGCAGGGCAGGGCCTCGAGCGAATCGCTTTCGAGCCCGTAGGGCGACCCGCAACCGCCGCATTGCAAATCCAAATCCTCCTGCAGCCTCATCGCCAATCTCTCGTGATGCACCTTCTGGTCCTCGTCGCCCAGCGCTTGGTAGATGCGCGCCAGCCTGAGGCGCACCTTCCTCACCAGCAACTGCAATTCACTAAGCATCACACACATTGCGCAAAAAAAAGCTTAGTTACCATCGGTTACCTTAGCGCCCACCGAACTGGCCACCTCCAATAGCCTCGTATTGAACTCCAACGGTCTGCAATTGCAGATTTTCCGCTGCAATCGCAGCGCTTCGAGGCATCGAGCGGCGCCGTCCATCGACTCCATTTGGATGACCCGGTCCCCCATCGCGGCGGCCGAACCCATCGCCGTTTCGTACTGGCGAAAGGCTTTCTGAAACCGGGAAATTAACTGCATTCGGCGACAGGAAAAAGGCCAATTTCACTTACGTTAATATCAGACTTTTTCCTGTAAATGTCGCCCATGATTCGTATGCTCCGGGCGTATGTCGCTTGATCGCCGGACGCCAACGCCAATCTAGTAGCTTCCTGCGAATAAATACGAATTTTACGATCGATTATTACTAGAAAAATGTATATTTACTGAACAATAATCGTGGGCGTCGCCGAGTTCGCCTTGTTTTCGCAGCGCCGAAGCCATTTGCAGGAGAGCCGCCCTAAGAACATTTAAATTAAAAACGCGCTGAATAACACCATTAGTAACGGGCCATTTTACCTGTGATGCCTGGAATTCAAATCGCCCAATTGCAACGATCTTGACAAATCGTACGCTTTCGAAGCGTATCTAGCGCTCTTATCGGCGTCCTGCAAACGACTGAACAATTCCGATAGACCCACGTAAACCTGTGAAAATAAACATCCCTTAACTATTGCCCATATAATTGGTGCGTTTCAATGCACCTGCAATTCCAGTGCAGCATCGTGTACGGCTTGGGCTATCCGATGGGCGTGCTGGAAGCTATCCAAGGCTTTGTTGAAGCCTGCCAATTCCAGGTATACCGAGCCTACGGTGAGGTGCACGTGCCCGGCAGTGGCGTGCTGCTCGCATTCGTTGTACAAAGAATGTCTGGCGTACGCCAATGCCCTGGAAACCAACAACAGAATAATTGGTACATCAGTAAGAGGCCATATAGTGGTTGTTGGGATACAGTGGCTGAATATGTGTACCTTTCGAGGCCGCCGAGTCGTTGGTGAGCCCGGGCTAAATTCAGGTAGGACTCCGCTCTCATGTTGGGACTGTCCAGTTCTTCGGAGATGAAAAGTTGCCGGTGAGCGTACTCCAAGGCGTCCCTGTAATAGTTGGTATTGTAGCGTGGAAAAATAGATGTACAAAATGTAATGCCTGTATTTGCCCCAATCCATGTAAGCCAGATAGAGATAGCCGAGCAGGCTGAATTTATCCTCCCTCTTCTGGATAGCCTTCAGGGCGGATTTCCATTTTCGCACGGCCTGCTGTTGCTTGTGTTGGTTGTACAGACGAAGTCCTTGGTCCACCTGGAACACACCAATTTATGCATATAAAGTCGATAAGTAGTCGTTCAATTTCAATTTCACTTAAATTTCAAAAAAATGTCACGAAACGAGAAATTATTGACATATAACGAGAATTGATTGACATAGAACGTGAAATGATTGACAGATTGACAGGATCCGCTCGATTAAGTTCAAAACAGAGAGAGAGAGAGACGACATTTTAAAATTGATAAAAATGTAGAAAATAACTGACCTTTCTTTTGGCGATGCTGTGATGGATGCGGGCCCTGCAGGCCTGGAAGCAGCCCCACGTGAACCTCGGCGGTCGCGGCGTCCGCACCTCGGTGTAGGTGTCGCGATGAAGGCTGGAGTACGAATTGGTCCAAGGCCATACTTGCTCGAGCCCTTCGAGATGGTGACGGGAACCGTCCGGGGACGAGAGCAACCGCGTGGCCGATAACTGATGGCCGATATTGAAGTTACTGCAATCGTAAAATATACTAATTTTATACGTTTCATTTTAAAAGGGACATCATGTATGTACTATATGACAAGGTAATTGCATAGTAAAAGGCCATTTACTACTGGTTATAATGTTTTATGTCATATATTTATAGTAGTAGGCGGTTAGTAATAAAGAGTTATTAACAAGTTATCGTTTCTAATTACAAATTTCGTTGATTTTGGCCATAATTTGTAGTAAATTTCTACGTATAATAGGGTCACGCCGATTTGTCTGCGACGTCACTGCAGGGTCGCCAACTTTAATTTAGCGATAGCGTAAAGTCGTGGCGGGAAAATTAAAAAAAAAATGGGGGAGTTGATAGTATCGTGCATGTTCTATGTAAATTTAGGTCAAACTGACGCGAAACTGCATTAATGCAGCAGGAGATGAGGCGATGTACGTGCACACTTCGACTACAAAAGGCCCTTTAATTAGATTAAAAAGTAAAAACCGCGCGTTTTAACAGCGAGAGAGTATTTCAAACGTAACTTTTTCTACGACCCAATGTTCTACGATTAAATGATTGCAGTAAAAAAAATGTGGGTCATAGATTATTAATTTAATACGTTTAAAAATCGCTCGATGTACGAAAAAATTCATCGATATAATAAACGATGCGGTATTTTTACCTGAGGTATTCGTGATGCTGCGAATTGAGAGATTCCCAAGACATTTCACAAAAGGATATTTCCTCAGCAACAAGTCCTCACGAACACGATCGCCCCGAAAATCCCGCAAAAGCCCAACAAACACATCGTATTTTTTCCCGAAAAAAAATCAAAACCCTCCGATCCTTATTCGTTTTCGATGGACCATTTCGACGGGCCACGTCCCGCAAGGACACGCAGGATAATCGGAATACGCGTACACGCACGCACACACCCCTTCGGCCTGCGGCTGTGTCCCCATCGGCCACCCCCTGGATCGGCGTCCGGCGATTCCGGAGAGTCTGGAGCGATCCGGAGTATCTGGACCGAGAAACGGGAGCAGCGGGACGCGTCGCGACGCTCGTTCGCCGTCGGCGCGCGTCGGCAAAATCGAAATTCCGACCGCGTCGGGATCTCCGAAGGGATGTCGGGATGTCCTGCAGTTCGTCGCTTTGAACCTTAGATATAATGTACATGTATAGGTAGGTTTTTTTGTATACTCCGTTCGCCCAACAAAATTTACCTATAACCGTCCTTTTCTAATTAGAACTTATCGTAGCGACGTTTGTAATTAAAGCACATTCAATATTATCATCTAGTTCATAAAGTTGTTTTGTGCGAATTCAAACGAGGGAGAATGGAAAGAAATATATTATCGGTATCCTTCTCTGTTAAAACTTAACGCGATTTTGGTTTTACGTCCTTTTCTAATTAGAACTTATCGCAATGACAGTTCTAACTGAAGGGTTTCAAATTTAAAAATTTCTTAGCATTTCTGAAGCATTCTAAATTAATATGAATAGTTCTAATTCATCCTAAACTGTCCTAAATAATTCTGCACAATTCTAATTTACCAGGAAGTGTTCTAAACAGTTCTCGACAGTTCTGATTCTTCTTTTGAAGCATTCCAAATTAATCTAAATAGTTCTAATTCATCCTGAACTGTCCTAAATAATTCTGCACGATTCTAATTTACCAGGGAGCGTTCTAAACAGTTCTCGACAGTTCTGATTTATCTTTTTGAAGAATTCTAAATTAATATGAATAGTTCTAATTTTATTCTGAACTGTCCCAAATAATTCTAACCACTTCTAATTCACCACAAAGTGTTCTAAACAGTTTCCGACAGTTCTGATTCATCTGTTGAGGCATTCTAAATCAATATGAATAGTTCTAATTTAATCCTGAACTGCCCAAAATAATTCTAACTAGTTCTAATTCACCACGAAGTGGTCTAAACAGTTCTCGTCAGTTCTGATTCATCTGTTGAGGTATTCTAAATGAATATAAATAGTTCTAATTAGATCCTGAACTGCCCTAAATAACTCTAACTAGTTCTAATTCACCATGAAGTGCTCTAAACAGTTCTAGCTCGACAGTTCTGATTCATCTGTTGAGGTATTCTAAATGAATATGAATGGTTCTAATTTGATCCTGAACTGCCCTAAATAACTCTAACCAGTTCTAATTCACCACGAAATGTTCTAAACAGTTCTCGACAATTCTGGTTCAACTTGGAGCACTCTAAATTAATCTGAATAGTTCTAATTTATCCTGAACTGTTCTAAAGAGTGCTACACAGTTCTAATTCAACACGAAGTGCTCTAAACGGTTCAGATTCGTCCTGGAGTGTTCTAAACTGTTCCGAACAGTTCCAAATTAATTTATAACAGTACCTTATAATTTTAGTCTCTAGTTATTCCTTTTTATAATACGAAATATCCTGCTTGAGTTATCCGAATATTTCCGCTCCTGATACACTAAGTAGCGCCGGCGCGTCGCCGTTTAATGGAAAAATCCGGGGAAACCCCGGCCGGCGGGCGTGTCCGCGATTTGTCCGTCCGTTCCGGCCAATTGGCCGGCGCGTCCGGCGGGCGTGGCCGGCGCGAAAATCCGACGGGGAACGCGGTGAAAAAATCCCGTTTCGGGACGGAAATAAGCGCCGGCGGGCCGGCCGATCGACGGGTAAAAGGCCACCCGGGGGGGCGTCTACGCGGCCCGGCGCCCGGACGGCGAATTGGGAATCGGGAATGGGATAGACCCGGTCCCAGTAGACCCCGGACGGGGGTTTTTCAGTGCTGGTTTGCGAGGATCGTGCGGCGCATGTACGGCGTTTCGAAGTGGTGTTTAAGACGTGTTTGTGCGCGCATTTATTTCTATACCGTTACGTTTGGTTTGTGTACTTATTTGTAATAGGGTTGTTTTAAGTAGAAAAAGGTGCGATTAAAATGGAAGTATCATCTAGTGTGCCTGTCAACACGAGAGTCTACTTTATACAAGGTGTTAATTAATTGAGTGCCGATACTTCGGGATGTGAATATTTGAGGGATTTTAAGAAGAAAAGTTTGTATTAATATATGTCCTAAACCTCTTAGTTTTCGAGATACAGGGTAATTTTCTTATTGCTCCAGATATTTTTATAAAATTTTGTACACACTTTTTAATTATTAATGAGCATTTTTTGAAGCAGAAGATTTTTTAAAATTTGTGTCAGTGACGTCCGTACGAGGTTTGAACTGGATATGTTTCCATTTCCGGATATGCACCATTTTCGCGTAAAAAAATAAAAACCAAAATAATTTTTCCCAATTTCATTGAGACTTTTGATATTTTGTTGAAATTTGGTAGGCACCCAACATACATGGAAACACTTTTTTTGGAAAAAAAATAATTTTCTACTATTACCAGTGACCTCCACGTCCGAAATTTCATAAAAATATCTGGAGTAATAAGAAAATTATGATAAAAAAGTTATTTTTTTCTAAAATTCTAACACCATGTAGTTCGAAAACTAAGAGGTTTAGAACATATGTATATTGATATAAACTTTTCTTCTTAAAATCATCCAAATATTCACATCCTGAAGTATCAGCCCTCAATTAATTAACACCCTGTATAATACAGCTAGAGCAATGTACGGATTCATTGATTGGAGAATTTTTTTACCGGAGATTCGTCCGTTTGATTGGATTCGGCTTTCAAAAATTTCATCTTCAGTGCCTAAATTGCGAAAAACGGGCCCTTTTCTTCGTTATGTTCAACTTTTTTTCGAATTCCGTGGATTGTTTTTTCTTCAAACACTCTCGAGCTCTCGAGATCTTCATTGAGAACTCTTCTAATATCCGTTCTTATAGTCATTTCTCATTTTGGGAAAATATTTTGAAAATTAGTTTTGAATTAAGTGATTTTATTACAATTCCCCAACTTTTCCTTTTTACGACACTTTTCCAATAAAAAAACTTATACAAGGTGTACCAAAATTACGCAATAAAACACTTATTAAAGGCGCCTTGTATATTGTAAATATAACAAAATATATCAATTCATTTAGAAGACACCCTGTATGTACTGTCATCTGATAATGACGTTTTATTATACTATAGGGAATCCCCTGATTATAACGGCAGCTTATTATTTTTATTTCGTCAATTAAATTGACATTTTCCGCATTGTTTTTCTCTTTTTTTTCTGACACGACAGATCCGAAGAATTCACCTCTGTAATTCCCGCATTCCTCTTCGAATATATTTAGAAAAACGCTTTGAATATCTTGCACGAAGACCCCGAACGTTCGATTTGATTAATTCCTCCCTGTATTTATTGCGTATACACTCCAAGTTGACGGGTAAATTAGGCAAAAAAATACAGAGCGACACAAAAAAAGTTACCGCGGGTATAGTAAAATTAAATCTTTAGACATATAAAAAAGATAGATAGATAAATATTAAAAATTTAATTCCCCTGTATTCCTGGTTTTCTTCACATTGCTCATATTTTGAGCCGCTCTGTATACACTCACGACAACTATGGCTGTATTAACGCATAGGCCGAGACACCGGGTGAAATTTAATCAGTGATACGCACGAAGAAATGAACTATTATTCCAATTATTTGGGCTATTGCCAGCAAAGGATCAAATATCCGGATTACGGGGAATTCGGGAAGGCTTTTAACAGGAACCAGGACAGCGATAAGGACGATTTGAGGAGGACGAAGGGCGAGAGCGCGGCGGAAAACTGCAGGAAATCGCCCGGATCGGATAGATCTTCGAATTGCAGTCGATCGGGCGAAGATTGTAGAATTATGAGGTAAAAAATATATATACAGGGTGATACAAAAAAAAACGTTACAAATACAACCAGTTTCTATTAAATATGAAGGGTACAGGGGAAGAACGACAATAGTCCATCTAAAAGATTTTCGAGAAAAATTTAAATATAAGTTTACTTACTCGTTAGAAAGTGAAATTAAAGGTATCTTTTAGCTGTTGTTTTGGGGACTTCAGCAATTTTTACCATTTAACGATTTTATTAACTGATAACTTCAAAATGCTATAATAATAAACTGTGATCTTAGTTTTGCAAAAAAATGGACTATTGTCGTTTTTCCCCTGTAGCCTTCATATTGTTTTGTTTGTTCCTTGTATATACAGATTGCTTCATTTTAGTTTGCAATATTAGGTTATACAGGGTGCGATAAAAACAACTTCTATTTGACACTTATAAAGAAACAAGAAAGAGTGACATTGTGTCATTGCATGCAACTGTCATTTTAATAATCTTTCTTTGTTCAACTCATAGAAATAACCATAGTGCAAAATGAAATGAAGCAAAGTGTATATATACGAGGGTTGTTCGAAAAGTATTGGAATAGCGTGGAAATGGTCTAATAATGGTCGTTCGAAATGATGATAATTTAATTGCAAGTATAAATATAATAAATATTGAAAAAAAAAATGTAATATTTTGTTGTAGAATAGACACGGGCTACGTGAGCGCGGAAAGTTCAATCGAAAGCGAAGAGGAAAAGGAATCGACGCGTCACGTGTTGGAACCGGCCGGACCGCATACAGGATGTTCGATAAATGGGCCGAGGAAATGCCTGGCGTGGGCTTGCAAGGCGTGCAAAAAGAAAACGGTGGCTATCGACCGAAGGAAAGCGGCCACTTTGAGGGAACGCCGCCGCCTCAGAAAGGTACACGCGAGCCATTTTATTTCACCGCCCACCCTCGTATATACCAAGCTTTAAATATTTCTTCACTGTTCGAACAACCCTCGTATATAGAACAACCCTTTAAATATTTCTTTACTGTTCGAATAACCCCCGTATATACTCGAGTAATTAACACCTCTTATTAATTATTAAAGTCATAAGTTGTAATAAAAATGGTAAAATATATTCCGTTAGGTGATGTAAATATACAGGGTGTGTATATTTTTAATTTTTGCAGGTAAATGAAGCGTTTGAAATGCTGAAAAAAAGGACGTGCAACAATCCGGGGCAGAGGTTGCCAAAAGTCGAGATACTACGAGGGGCGATCGAATACATCGAATATTTGGAGGAAATCCTGAGGGGTTCGAAAGCGTCTCATCAGGACGGAAATGCCGGTGTAGTTCCCAAAAACGAATATATGGTAAGTGGATTTCAATTGGTTTTTGTTATATACGAGTGGACCTCGCAATATATAGGTACTATATTTGTGTCTGCATATGTATGTACTAAAGAGATTTATAAGGTTAATGTCAACATGTGGAGTCAACATGTGAAAAGACATTTCAGACGAGAATTTATTTTTTTTTTTCTGACATTCTTAATGGATTACATAATCCCCCGCCGATATTACGATCGCAACATTTCGAATAATATACGTAAAAGGAGAGCCTTTCGAGTACGTTAGAGTAGTTTGTACACGACCGGTCTGTCACTTGCCTAATTTGACGTTTGAATGACGTTTGAATGACAGATGTATAGCCTACTAATAAAATGTTATCAACAATATGTAGAAAATGAGAATACTTGATGAATTAGTTATATGTTTTGTGGTTTTTTGACGTTTCAATCAATTGACATTCGAATTTGACAACCACAGCCACCTAATAGAATCGCATAATATTTATAATCTATAATGAAATTTCCACGGGTCCGTATCTGTTTCGGAAAAATCTTCCCCGCTCGGCAAAAGTTAAATATTCGCGATTTTGGATTCGATCCAAACGTTAACGAAATCTAGACAGCGTCGGATTAATCGGCCCGAGACAACCGACAAGCGCTTAAATTAAATTCCGCAATCTGTATATCTAGCCAGATATCCCGCGTGTACGGGAAACTTCTCTTCTAATTCTCAGCCCCGATTTATACAAATAATATTAATAGAAACCGCGAAATTTATGTCGCGCCGGCTCCGCGACACGCACGTCTTATTCGGAAAAATATATTCATATATACAGATTGTACCCAAACAAACATTTGTACCCAAACAAACAAACAAACAACACATATGAAAATCGACATATGACAGTTGCCACATGACAGGTGACATATGACAGGTGACATATGACAGGTGACATATGACAGGTGACATATGACATATGACAGGTGACATATGACAGTTGACGTATGACGGTTGACGTGTGACAAATGACAGTTGATGTATGACGGTTGATTTTAAATGTATTTTAGAAAAGAGTGTGAATAGCAAGTTCGGATCTGTTTCGAGCTTGAAAGTCCTCGACTGTACGAGGAGAATTATTTATGATCGTCAACAAAAATGCAACGGTCGAAAATGCGTCCGTATAATAAATAGGAAAACGTCCGACGGATTTTATTTTATTCGTTCCGAAATATCCCCGTATTAATTTGTTTATGATGTAGTGTCTCCGATTTTACGATATAATATATGTATTAGTGTATTTCGAGGATGCGAGTCGTTACGATTTCGGGTTTTATGTTCGAATGGCTTCGCGTTGGCGTGATATGTATTAGAGAGGATTGAAAAAAAAATATTAGGAATATACGGGGGGCGGTTCAGAATGTCTTCGAAGCGTATCGGAAACGATCTGTCATATCTGTCATATCCTTTCTCGTGTTGGAAGTTAGCCGGGCGATATTGGACCTTATGAGTCTGCCCGAATATAATTTTGTTTATGTCCCACTCTGTATAAGTTTATACTAAGATCCAATCGAAGTGACAGGGGCGTTTCCAGGAAAATTAGTTTAAGCATTATTCGTGTAAAATTATACAAAAGTTCATACAAAAATGGACATTTTACATATTAAATAACTCAGAAATAAAGAAAAATGAACACCAAAATGCAGTGTTGCCACGTCTTCATTTCTTCCCTACCACTCAAGAATTCACTATTTCCCAAAATATTAACAAACTATGGAAATTTATCACTTATGTATCTATATATTTATCCGGCGCGTTTTCCCATTTATTTTCGGCCGAGATCAAAGCTTTCCCATTAGTCGCGCGTCAATTTCGAAAAATTTATCGACCCGTTAGAAACGAGTAAATTCGAAATTTGTAATAGAGGACGGTGATTGATCGAATAGTAAACGAGACCCGATGGATTCGACGGCGAAAAAGCCGTTCTACGCCACTGGTGCAGGACGATATTAATCCGATATCGTCGAGATTATGGATTTTTTTCGAAATTTTTCCGACCGCCCGATATTTATTGATCCGGCCAAACGCCTGAGATTTCGTAGATTGTTTGACAGTTGCGTTTTTACTGCTCCCAAAACATGTATAAAAATCTTTTTTTTTTTCGAATATTTGAAAATTTTGTAGTGCTAATTTTTCAGTTCCACTCTGTACATAAAACTACAAAGGCACTTTATCTATCTTACAAACTTATTTTTTTGCAGATTAGCCCTTCAAATCAATTCATCTGCGATAGATTGCAGCAATTCAGCGAACCTTTGCAGAGATTTCATTCGTCCAACGGTGAGTATGCCATTTTATAAACATTTTGTGACAAAAACTAATTTTTCTATAAATAAAAATGTTTTATTTTACGCAAGTCCAAGTTACATAAGGTCCCAAATTGCCTGAATAAGTTCCAAGTAAGTTTCTCCGATAAGTTTTGACAGAATAGGGGCACCGATAATTCATATCTCGTTTCCTTTTTCAACTCATTTGAATCTGTCATCTGTCAATTTTTTTACTAATCATATACCGTGCTTCATTCGCAATTGCAACAGGGGCATTTCTATGAGTTGAACAAAGAAAGATTATTAAAATAACAGTTGTCAGAGTGAAAAGTTGCAATGACATACTGTCACTCTTTCCTTTTCCTTTATAAGTGTTCAATTGAAGTTGTCTTTGTTGCACCCATAGCCTATGTTGCAATGAAAAATGGAGCAACCTGTATACTACAAAACCTATTTAAATATTTATTATCTAAGCGCAAATAAATCCATACGTCTTCTTCTTCGCTAATAAAACGCATCCGCGCCCGCGAAATCCATTCGTCCCGCATCGAGAAAATAAATCTCTCGTACACCGAATATATACAGGGCGATGAGTCCGTTTAGACCGGCCATCAGCAGCCCGTTTTATTTGTCCGCAAACGTGTAGTTTCAGTTTAATTACCGCTTTTGATAACGCACACACCGCGCACCACATTCCCATTATAGCCGGACGAAATTTGTACGGAATATACGAGAGGAAATTAATCGTTTTATTTTGTACAAATTACTATCTTATTAGCGTGGATTTGGTAATACATTACGCTTTGATTTCGGGTGATAAAAGTAGGAAGTTTTTAAGATATCCGTCCGGCTAAATTGGCATTTGTTCCACCCGGTGCGATTTACATCTGGACAGATTGTTTATTTGTCATCTCAAAGTGTACAAGAGGAGAGTTTAGAGCGGTAGACATCATAAGGAAAGTATGATAATTTGCGGGATAGATAGGCCGGAGCTAATGGGCGTCGGGACGCAAATAGACGCCGAAATAAGTCCGGGTTTTTGATTAATATCGACGCGTCGAGCGGGCTTAGGAAACGGGATTGTTTACGCTTTAATTGCTTCGACTTTTCCTCGCTTGTTTTTTGTATTAATTAATGCTGCAATATACGAGGTAATATTTAGTTCGTCAAATTATTTCGAAACCCCTTTTAAAAACACAAACCTACGCCTACTACTAACAATAAGTTCAATCACTCTATTATACCGATTGGATCAGAAAAAACTTTTATATGAGTACCTATTGCAAAATATGCTCTAACTCTAAACTGTCATGTATTACATGAAGTTGCTGCGAGTGGAAAAAATGTTCGTATTTCTCCCGTTTTATTTCAATTTGTTTTCCCTGCATCCATATGGATATTTGAGGAGGAAAAAGAGGAGGTTGTGATCGAATTTTACAACATCCGTTTTATGCTCTGCATTCCTGTCGAGTATATTTAGTCGCAAATGGGAATATTTACGGTGTTTATAGATTCTATTTGACAAGCAGGAGTGAATTCTACTTTTAATGGTTCCTTTTATATTTTTGTTTTTATTTTTATTTCTCCGAGAGGCATCCAAAAGAGAGATCCTCAAAAAACCGGAATTCCACTCGTGTCGCCGGTAAAAGCTCTTTTAAAACGCGGCTCTTTATTTAATTGCACTTATTTATACAGGGTGTTGTATATAGAGGATGTCCCCTGCAGTACAACACCTTCATAATAGAAAGAAATAGGTCGAAAGGTTGTTTTTATATGCATATTTAAATGTTAAACCAACATAATAGATAGCCATCCTTCTCTAATTAGAACTTATCGCAGTGACGTTTGTGACAGGAGGGTATATTTGACATATTTTCGAAAATAACAATTGAACTATTTATAATGTCAAATATAAATAATTACTCCTTCCATACTATCCTATATCTACTATCCTATACTCAATATTTATTCTGAGGACATATCCTTTGTGAAGTATATATAAAAAAAATTTTCTGATTGAATTTCGTAAAATGTATCTCTACAATATTAATAACGTTTCTCCTTGTACGAAATGATAAATATAAAACGGTCCTTTTAGAGTTTATAGGGGGATATAAATTCGATTTTCTTTTCGGGTTTCTTTTCGGTCTCGGAGATAAGACAGATGTTTCCTTTCTTAATGCCTAAATCGTGTCTTCGTGACCGTTTGGCAAGCTCCAGTCAAAATACCCACGGAAATAGACAAATTGCGTACCGCCCAGGTCATAAGTCAATTGGGAACGAACTGTCGCCCGTGAATCCCCCGGGTGTTTACCGGATATCTAGATGTTTAGGAGCTAAAAAGGTGCACATGTGGACGAATTTCCCTGTATATTATCGATATAAATTTTAATAAAAAATATAAATAAAAATAATCAATCATGCAGTAAGCGAGAAATGTATAGTGTGAAGTAGAGTAGATTCGGAGTAGAATAGTGTAGGATTAGGTACACTCTTCGTTATGCTTCTTCAGATTTTCCTCTTATGGCCTTTTATGTGCGGCAAATTCGGCCAAAAATTCGCGCGAGTTCGAGTGCGTATCTGTCGTAATTTTTCGAAAATTAAAAAAGAGAAAAATAAAATTCCGTTACGCTCGGCGCTGCCCGAAAGAACGGGATAGCGTTGATAAATGTCCGCTATTAAAATAATGATGTACGAAAATAAAACGTGTGTGCGCTTGTGTCTGGCTAAACACGTCTCTACGTCGAATTCGGATCGGGAAAACTCGAGTTAATTAGCTCTATCGAGTACCATCGAGGTCATTGTAATTACCTGGTTTCGATTGTCACTGTTGCCAACTCAATTTTTGACGGCTTTCCGGAAAATTTGACGACTCACGGCCATCTCTATTCAGCAAAAACAATTTTAAAGCCCCCACACACATCGAGATGGCCGTGTCTCGTTAGAAAAAATTTACGCGATGAAAAAAATAAAATAAATCCCCGGTTTCTCAAACAAACTACTTGACAGCCGGATTAACATCCCTATTAATAGAACTAATAGGCCGAGAAAACGCATAAAAACTCCGTTTTCCAAGAAGATGTTCGCCGTGTACAGGGTGGTTCGAATAAACCGATAAATCTCCGAATTGCACGTTTGTAAAAGACCGCGAAATTTACCGTGCTACACTCGTAAAATCGAGCGCTTATTTCGCGACATATTTATGGGGGAAACAAAACGAGGAAAACCTAGACCTTTCCTCGTAAATTTCCGCCGTCTCGGGACCGCTTTTATTTTTATATATCGACTTTACAGGATAGTATTCCAGAACTGTACGTGCATAGGGAATTTTATTTCTGTCGCAAATTCCCTAGATATAAGCGTCATAAGTAAATTTACTTACAACTTCTAAGTTCTGAAACTAATAAGTTCATTTTAGTAGGCTTTGTTTTATATTATAATTGTATGTGTTTCTCATTTACAGGTTGTGAAATAGGAAGCAGTACTTCGAGTTTGGACTGCTTAAATCTGATTGTACAAAGCATATCGTCGAAAAATAAGCAAGAAAACAACGATCACGTCACCTAGGTTTTCAAAATGAATTTCACAAAAGTATTTACTGCATTAGATATTGTCGTTACGTTAATAAATATATACAAAAGTTACTTACTTAAATAATTCGACTCCTAAACAGATCCTATCAAAACACAATAATATCAATCCAAACACAAAAGTTTTTCGTTAAAAAAATATTTAAACTTCTGTCAACTCAGTCAACTGTCATTTTTTCTTGGGTGTCCGAATCCCTCAAAGTAATAGTCTCGCAAATAAAACGAAGCAAAACTGCAAAACAATAACATAACCTAAAATAGTGAACGTAAATTGTACATTTTCGAAATGCACAAAAACTTAGAAAATGTTTATAAAGAACGCGAAAAATTCCTAGATCATTTACAAACCGACATAAATAAGTGCGACAGCACCATTCGAACATTAACCGACGAGCAAGAGGAGTTGAAAAAGTTGATAGAGCACTTGAATTCGTTGAAAGTTTATCCGGAACACGAAGCCCTGATCCCGTTAGCCAAAAATATTTACACTAAAGGAAGACTAATCCACACGGGGGAAGTTTTCGTGAAGAAAATCGCCCATCCGGATCCAATTGTTACGCTACAAACGACCGATCAAGCTATAAAAACGTTGGAAAACGAATGTAAAGCCAAAGAGGAGGATTTAGAGAAGGCCGAATACGCTAAATATCAAATAGAAGAGAGGATAAAGGTGTTCAAAGGAGAGGAATCCTTCGGATCGGACACGAACGATTTACCGAAAGAAATCAAATCGGACAAAGGTGTTGCGTTAAAAGTAGGCGATTATTACGAAATATTAGAATACGAGGAGGCGTAGGAGAAATGAAACAAAAATAATAGCAAATGATTATATTAAAAAATAAAATGGACGGTCAAGCTGCATGTGAATGCATAAAATTAATCTCCTAAAAATATACAATAAAATGCGAAAATATTACAAAAAAATACTTATTTAATCGTGTATATATATTCAAAATACAGGCACTGCGTCACTTTTAAGGCAGTTCCAATTACGTAACAATTCACAAAACAATCAGGAATGTTCCAAATATAATAATAGCTACGGAATGTAAACAACACAACAAAACAACCTATTGTTCGAATAAAACTTTCAAAAATTGTATAAATCAGATCTGTTTCAGTTAAAATACTCATATAAAAAACCTAATCTACATAAGAACACCCGAAAACACCCCATTGCTCCCACCATATACTCACACCGACAATCAAATTTATAACAACTGAATTTCTCTACAAAAAAACAATAAACTAATTAGTACGTACTGTACGTAGTCGGACGTAGTTCAATATATAGTCGAGACAACGGGAGGCTTGGATCTTTGGGGCCAATAAGCCGGTGTCGTATCCAAAGGTATCTCTTCTAAACAGGCATCGTCGAAACTGTACTGTGCGGGGTCGTTGGGCGAGAGCCCGCCAGAGACGGGACTGTCGACGTGTTTAAAGACTGCATGGTGCCCATCTAGAAACCACCATAACAATTAGACACGTTCCTAACTACTACTCGACTAATTACTTTTGTTATAAATAAACTTACCTTTCTTATCAAACGTCTGCTTGTAAAATACGAATCGATAGAGCTTATATTTAGTATTTATAGAGTTAAAAACTTACCCTTAAATGGGCCAAATCCTCCAGTCGAGTGAGCTCGGAGAGTTCAATGTACAGGGAGTACACCAATACCCAACCGTACACGCTCATTACTATGAAAATGGTCCATAAAAGGCACATGAGTATGTTATAACCGAAGATCATATCGTTAAGTATAGAAAAGAAGAGGTAAGCGAAGAATCTGAACACCGTAAATACTGCGAATGTATACAGCCAAGGTTGTATTTTCTTTTCGTATTCCTAAAACAATTCACGGTTAGTGCAATTCATCCGACAATATGATATTAACTGTACCTTTCTTAATGCGTTTATCAACATAATGCTCGTAACGAATACTGCAAGGGCTAATATTATAGAGAAAGCTGCGAACATCACCAGAGCATTCCTCACTAAAATACAAAACAAAGTTTTATTCGTGATACAATAAAGTGTGTTGTTTCAATCTTACCGTGTCTATTACCAACATAAACGAATTGGAAACTTATAATATAATATCCGAAATGGGTGGAACCCGGCGCTGCCATGGCGTAGCAATACAAATCGAAGCAAGCCGTGATGATGGTGAATATTGATAAAACCTGCAATTGTTATTTAATCAAAAATAATTAGGCGAAATGGGTTTGGTGGTTTATACCAATGAAAATATAGCAGTGATAAGGGAGGCGCGTTGAACGTCTAAAAATACGGCGTTTTGTACGAGGGGCTTCTGATACCAGGGCGTTTTCAGCGATTTTAGACTCCTGGAGCCCCTTAAATTCGCGTTACTCCTGGAAGTCGTGTGCGAGTACACGGATGGCGTGCCCGTAGGCGATTTTTTCCCGTAATTCATCTTCGCTATTTCTTCTACATCAACGACACACCACAAATTAATAGATTGTTCACCAGTTATTAGAAATTTAATTGTTACTTGATGACAAATAGAGTTGACATGTAAACACAGGGGCGTGGTAAACAAACCCAACACAACTGTCAGTTGTCAGTATTATTTACTAAATATCCGCAACAACCAAGGCCGTTTTATTTAACAATTATTACAAAAATTGGTCATATCAACAAATATAGTTAATACACAACAACTAGGAATTATTAATTAGGTACAGAGAGGATTAGTTAAATAATTATATGAACATAAGAATAGGTGTAAAAGGTGTTGCCTAACGTCAGTGTCATTGACAGCGGCCTACCTGACGAAAAGTGGAGGTAACTTTGAAAGAGAAAGTAAAATAAACGCGCACGTGAATTGAATATTCAAAAGTCGCGAATATAGCGAAGACATTACTCACACCGTCGCCTCGCCCAGTCGAGAAAAGTTATTCAACTCGTAGAAAACACACGCATCGTCGTGAAATTATTAGTGAAATTAAAATGCCCGTCGACGGGGAAAAACGGATCTAATGGGATCGATTAAAGTCCGTTCGCAACGAGAAACGATAAGTGGCGAAAGCAAAATGTGCGAGAAATGGCTTTGATAAAAAACTGTTTGTGTTGCAGCGTTGCGATCGCGTCCGGATTTTTCGCCGCTTATTTGTTGGTGAGCGCTAATTAATTTGAAATTTCGAAAAGTGCGTAGTAGGCGTTCAATAGTTTGGCAATTGTGACACTTTCGTATTACGTCTAATACGTCATTCTATCTGCCTACTGCTATTTTTTAAATGTATTTTCTCGCACACTTTGATGAGGAACATCGGAGAAAGCGCCTTGGAATATTTCGATGCCGATGTAATCGTTATTTTTAAATTTATCTATCGATCGGCTAGATATGATCTCATCTTCGAACAATTATTATGAAAAACACGTATTCTTCGAATTCCGCTACGAAATTTCCCGGAATTTTTCACCGCCAAAGAATCCAATCGCAATTTCGAATTTAGAAAGCAATATAATTCCATCAGTTACATACACAACTAATAGAAAATCACCTACTTTAATTCGGCCGGATTCGTAACGTGAGAATTCCATTTCAATTAGTGTAAAGATTTCGCAATTTATCTTCCAGATCGCCTACTTGATAGCGTTCGCATTCGAACTGCTATGGATCATCGAATCGGAGGCGGCCTTGCCCAATGCCGCCATACTCCTTTGCGCCGGATATTTCACAATGGCGCTCTTCGCCGCTATGCTAATACACGGTTTAGCAACAGTAAGCAAATACCAACGTTATTTATCTATTATTTATGCATAATTATTTCAATGCCAATTATTTATACGCAGAAAACCACCGTTTGCCTGCTGGGGTGGATGCTCTCGGTGATGCTCCTCACCTTTCCAGAAGCCGGACTCGTCATTTACATGAGCATTCAATATTGGGTAAGGTTTCATTAATAAAACCACAAACCTAGTCTCTTACCTTTCATTACACCAGCCACTAATTTGCAGAGAATAGAAAGCATGTTGGGAGTAACGGAATTATCCTGCTGGTTGATCAGGATAGTCGTGAACCTGGTGGAAATCATCCTGATACATTCGCTACATTCCGCTTGGAAGCACGAGCAACTGGTGCACAAGAGATTAAGAGACTTGAACTTGATGAACGTGGCGGTACCGGCGGAGAACGCGCCGCCATTGAACAGCCAGTACTACCACAACAACGGCTACGAACATTCCATGGAACACATCGAAGGGTAGGGTTTTTTTTCGCAAGTTTACAGGGTGTTTACGAGATAAATTTTAGGTACAATTCAATGCCGGATATATGGAACGCGATACCGATGTTCAGCTACGGAATGTATAGCACGAGCGAATTCAACGCCAGCATTTTTGTGCCTAACAATTCTATAGGTACTAATAACATCTCTCGAGTACTCGATTTATGGCTGTATACGTTACAGGTAAAAGGGCCCAATCGATGATGGACCTTCGACTGCTTGAAGAGCACGCTATATTCGGCGAGAAACCCGCCGGGGAAGTACCTGCAGCGCCGAAGTTATCCAAATGCGCCTCTTTGGACGCGTTGAACGGCGAGAATCGCGTGATAAGGAACTGCACGGGGTTCTACGCGCGCCCCATCGAAGACTACGGCGTGCCGATCTACTACGGGCCCCTCGACGGCCCCGATTTCCTCGTCTACAAGAAGCGCCTGGACAAATCGTCCAGCAGGAATTCGCTCAGCAACACCACCAACACGTCCGCGGACGACGTGCACAAATACAGGGACATCGCTCTATAAATTAAACATTTTACTCGTTAAGATATCTACAATAATTAGAAGTATAATGTTCAGTTGATGGCCGATGCCCATGGGGGCGTCATCGGCTGGGGGTTCTGCAAATACGACATCACTATGGCGGAAATCGACAGCATGAACGAGCTCAGAATCTGCAAAATAAAACGGACCCGTCAGAGCGAATTTGCTAGCGTAAAATCAAGACGAATTACCTGTTTGGTGTCATCGGTGATCCTGGAATTGGCGAAGCTGATGCACGAACAGTACAAGGCCACCCAAGCGCACCATTTCAGCCGCATCATCAGGCCGCACATGCTGAATATCATGCCTGCGAAAACGAGAGAATATAAACGTACAGGGTGTTCCGGTATCGGCGGGGATCGGTTTACAGGGCGGGCAACAAAAAACGCCTCGTGCCTATTTCGAACGATATATTTCCGCACAATGAAATACTTTTATATACTAGTTATAACACAGCCATAATTGTCTAATTAGTTCTCTTTACAATACACGTTCACCGGTCGTTACAATCCACTCTTTTTTTGCGAAACGAAACCGAAAAAAAGTTACATATTATAATTTTTTTTTGCTATTCTTTCTACTCTCCAGATTCGCTCGATATTTCTCAGTAAAAATTAATCAGTAAATGCAGCTAGTGAAAAACAGAAAGAAACTATTAAAATATAACGATATCATAAAACTATTTCTAATTAAAAAAAGAACCCACGAAGCAAAATACAAGATGAATATAATAATTTACGCTAAATACTCGGAGCGGCGAATGTAGTTTTTTTTTCGTTATACCGGGCGTCCCAAAAATTCGGATGGCGTATTTACAAGAAACAATCAACGGGACGCCCCGTATACGATTATGTACAGAAGGAATCATCAAAAACTGCTTTCGTCGCGTTCATATTCCTTCATATCGTGTACATTCGATACAATTAGATAGTTTTATTCCTATAAGAAATAGTCGAATTTATATTTATTTCATTACAAAAATATCGATTATTCTAACAGAAAGACAGCTCAAAGGAGAAACTATAATCACAGATTTTGATAGCACCAAATTAAAAAAAAAACTTCGCCTCATTCTCCGAATTAATTACACACCTGCGCAATTTGCCAATGATAATAATCAATCGTAATAAAACATGCTATATAATATAATCGAATATTAGAAGACGCTATAATAGCAATAAAACTTTAGCTTCTGTGGTGATGGGAAGTTATTTCAACACGTCCACTGCCGCAAATATACCGAGCATAGTTCAGAATTGTGCAGAAAATCGCGTAAAATACATACTAAAATACTGTGTAAATAAAATCGTACAAAGATAAACAATTCAATGAAATGAGCAGTCTTGTGGAAATCAAAATAACCGATTCGCGTGTAAAATGGCAGTAAAGGTGTCATTAAATTAGGAGAATAAATAGAAAAATACAGGGTGGTCTTGTAGCAAAAACGTACCACCCTGTATACCGTAGCAAAAATCAACAAAACGAGCACCTGTTTACATTTGCACAGGTACTAATTAATCCATCGAAAGGATACCATCAAAAAGGAAGTCATACATTTTTTCCTTCTTCTTTTTAACATCTAATAAAAACGTTGAGAACGTTCATTTAAATATTTTTATTTTATATATTATATCACTTTTCAGGGTTTAGACATATTGAATAAATCATTCTGCTACAGATCAAGTCTAAAAAAAAATTAACCGAAATTTTCACATCGAAAATCGCACGTACACAAAACATCTAGTAATTTAAATAAAAAAATGTACATAGAGTCCTAATCGATAACAGCATTAAATTTTCAGTATGTCCGCGCAATCATAACGCTTTTCCTAACGGCTATTTGTGCAAAGGTCGTTAACGGGAAATTCAACTTTAAATTTTTGTTCGGAAATCGATAAACTTTCACAAGTAGATTTTGTTCGCGTTATAAAAATATTCTCATTGGTATCGAGTGCACCAAAAAGTACATCGCAAACAACAATTTTCATTCTTTCGATATTACAAATTTGCAATTAAAAAAATATAAATAACCTACTGGGTAAAGTAAAAAAAAACAAAGTGATATGTCTTGTAGAAATCGAGTAAAGTTTTTCATACGATTAACGACCCTCACGTTTAGCGTTAAACTTACCTCACGGCCTCTCGTCGATCGATCATTGTCCGATTACTTAAACAACTAATCAAAGAGAAGAACAAAATACAAAAAAAAAAACTGTCATTACGGAAAGTACAAAGAAAACCGAGATTTGTCTATTTCGAATTGACGGTTTCCACCGTACTCGCCGGCGCGTTCGCCAACTGATTGTTCGCCGTGGACGCGTTCGAGCCCGTATTGGGCAACGCGTTCGAAAAGTTGGCCGTCTGCTGGCCGGCCGGGGCCGGCAAACTCTGCCCCTTCGGTATCTGCGACCTGAGGAAATTGTTCTCCGTCTCCAATTGCTGGATCTTCTCCATCAGCTCGGCGATCTTCTCCTTCAGCACCTCCACCTCTTCGCGCACCGTATACATCAGATGGCTCTTCACCAGGTCCATGGCCTGTTCGATTTTGTTATCGATCGCGTTCACCACGGGATTGGTCTTCGACAGATCGTCGATGTTCTCGCTGGGATTGCCGCTGTTCGTCTCGCCCAAATCCGTCGCGTTCTCGCTGTTGTCCAACACCGTCAGGCTGTTGACGCTCATGGCGAATTGGGGATTCGTGTAGACGTTGTTCGCCAGGTTCTGGTCGAACGTTTGAGATTGCGCGGGAGCGATTTGCGAGGACACCACCGGCTGGACGAGGGCCGGTTGTTGTTGTTGGTACTGTTGCTGCGGCACGTTCGGATTGTTCTGCTGCATCGGCACGTTCTGTTGCACTTGAACCGTATTGTTCGAATTCAACGTGACACTTTTACCCGTCTCGCCGGCCACCGGCTCGTTCACCGTGAAATTGTGGCCGTTCATCGTCGGTTGCACGTTCGTTTGGGACACGTTCGGCTGGCCCGCGTACGATTGGCTCTGCTGGAAGTTGTTCGGCAACGGCTGCGCGGCCGATACGAACGCGCCGCTTTGGTGGTTTTGGATCAAATTCAAATTGGCCGGCACGTATTGGATGTTCTGGTAGCCCTGGGGCATCGAAAAGTTCGGCATGTTTTGCACGACGCCGGCCGGAAAGTACGTTTGATTGCCGATGAATTGCGCTTGAACGGGCTGATTCGGCGGATAGAAATACTGGTTTTGCGGCACCAATTGCGGCACGAATTGCGCGCCGTTGGCGAAGCCGCTCTGCAACAACATCTGCTGGATCTGCTGTTGCGGCAGGCTCTGCGTTTGCATGTACGCCCCCGCCGATATTTGTATGCTGCCCGACGATTGGGGCACGCGGGCCGCGCCGACGGGCGGCGCCTCGTCGACGTAATCCATGCATTTCCACCGGCCCCGTTTGAACGGCTCCAAGCTGGCGATTTTCACCACTTTGAACCTGTCGTTGCGGCTCGGCGTCGAATGGAACTCCTTGTCGTCGGCCGGCTTGGCCGTCGTGTCCGTCACCGTGCCCGTCGGCGGCGTGACCGTGTCCGATGCCAGTTCGTTCGTCGATATAATGGCGACGCCGTACTGAGCGCTGGTGGGTATCACGTTGGTGGCGTTCGGGGCCGATGGGGCGTCGCCGCCCAATTGCTGAACGTCTTCAAGGATCGGCTGCACTTGAAGGTTCGGTTCGAGCATCGCAGTCGACTCGCCGTGCTTTTCCGTCGCTTCGGTCATATTTCCAGCGGTCTGCTGCTGACCTACGGAAAGCCACATGATAACATTTTTTTATTAGAGCTAACCCGATTACCTGCTGTGTCATACCCACTCGCGCTCAATACGGTGTACTCTACCTTATATGTTATACTTGTACTAAACGAATACCTTCGGTCTTTACGTATACTACTTCACTTTACCACAAAAACCGTACTCGTAGAGTGTGTTCGATTCGTACGTACGTATATAATATACGAAAATTATTGTGTTGTGTTCATTAAACAAAATACTATAACCATTGTGCACTAATAGAATAATTGGGCTAAAAATAGACGTTTGCACTTACCCAAGATATTCATGTAATCGGGGGTTAGATCTTCATTGCCAGCGCCGTTGCCGGACTTGGGGACGTACTTTTGTATTTTCTCCGGCCTGCGAGGATCCACGTTCATTTCAAATCTGCAAGGCGATTTATCGAAACGTAACCTTGTGGATGTTAAATATGCCATAGATGGGATTCATTTAGGGAAATCGGAACAGAAACGTCAAAATCAGATGAAAATATTAACGGGATCGTTTTTGGACGAGATCCCGACGGGTTGTGGCGTTTCGTTCGGTTTTCGCTAAACGCGCTCACGTCTTTTGTACAGTTGAGGGGTACTTACTTTTCAATTTAATTATTATTTTGATTATTTTTCACTATAACATTCACAATAACGAGACAATGGCGACGACTTTTTTAATCAATGTGACCAATTGAAATTTGCGTTTTATACCAACTGTCAAATATAATGTGACCGAATACCTACAACAACCGAGACGTTTCGCATGCCAAATACGTCATTATTGTCACTAACTTAGCGTAACATAACCTTCAATTTTATTCAAAAAAAAGTGCAGTGTTTTTCGGCGAAAATGTTACAAAATGCATCGAAATTGAGGCTCCTCTGTTTGGCGACGCAAAACGTACAGTGCTCCAAATTGCTCAACAAATTAAACGCCACATCCTCCGTAGCCCTCCTTCAAAGAAGGTTGAAAAAGACCGATACAAATCTATCTAGTCTCTTCATCCCTGTCGAAGTTAAACCTAATATAGACGATATAAACATCGGCGCCGAATTAAGCGGAAATTTAAACAAAACCGACCTACTAAAGATACTAAATAAATTCTTTCAAAATAAGGAAATCAAAACATTACTAGCCGATAATGGTTTAGATCGTACGTTGTAAATTAACCCACTAATTTCATTTCTCTACCAATAATTCATTTTGTAGAATATCTGCAACATCAAGCCTACGTCAGTTTTAGAAGGTACTGTTTAGAAGCCCAAAATCTACCAGCAGACATTCACTTAGTATTCAGCGATGTCTTACACGGTGCGGGTAACATCACGGACATATTCCCGTACTTCCTCCGGCACGCCAAGCTGATGTTCCCCCATTTGGACTGCATGGACGATTTGAGGAAAATATCCGACCTGAGATCCCCGGCTAATTGGTACCCCCAAGCGAGGGCCGTCAACAGGAAGATCATTTTCCACGCGGGCCCCACCAATTCGGGCAAAACCTACCACGCTCTAGAGCGATTCATGACCTCCAAATCGGGCGTGTATTGCGGCCCCTTGAAGCTCCTGGCCAGCGAGGTGTTCAATAAATCCAATAAACGGGTAATATTTCGCGCGGGATTTCGTAGAAAAGAGCTGTAAAATTTCGAATTTTCAGGGCACCCCTTGCGATTTAGTGACGGGCGAAGAACGGAACTTCGCCGATCCCAAAGGTGATGCTTCCAATCACGTTTCGTGCACCGTAGAAATGACGTCCGTACAAAACCCATGTAACAATCAAATTAATCGCCACAATTGCGCAATTACTGATAAATTCTTGTAGACGAAGTGGCTGTAATCGACGAAATCCAGATGATAAAAGACCACCAACGCGGCTGGGCGTGGACCAGAGCCCTGCTCGGCATCGTAGCCGAGGAGATCCATCTGTGCGGAGAAGCAGGGGCCATCGATTTGATCCGACAAATCTGCATGACCACCGGCGAGGACGTGGAGGTGCGCAATTACAAGCGCTTGACGCCTTTGAACGTCGAAGACTCCGCCGTGGGGTCGTTGGACAACGTCATGCCCGGCGATTGCATAGTGTGCTTCAGCAAAAACGACATTTACAGCGTATCGAGAGGCATCGAGGCCACCGGTAAGGAGGTGGCCGTGATATACGGTGGCCTGCCACCCGGTACTAAACTAGCCCAAGCTGCTAAATTCAACGATCCCGAAAATAGTTGTAAAATATTAGTGGCTACCGATGCTATAGGAATGGGGCTCAATTTGTGAGTATATACAAATCTACTTACTACACGATAAATATAAGAAATTATTGTATTTTAGGAGTATAAAAAGAGTAATTTTCTATTCTCTTATTAAACCTACGATGAACGAAAAGGGTGAACGGGAAATGGATACGATATCTGTATCTGCTGCTTTACAAATAGCCGGTAGGGCTGGAAGGTTCGTATTAAATCTACTTATCAATACACTTACTTATGAAAAATATATTGCAGATACGGAACGCAATGGCCCGAAGGATCTGTTACCACATTTAAACAAGAAGATCTAACCACATTGAAGCGATTGTTGTCGTGTACACCGGAACCCATCATTCAAGCCGGGCTACATCCGACTGCGGATCAGATCGAATTGTACGCTTACCACTTACCCAACTCGTCTCTTAGCAATCTTATGGTATTTTATAGTTAATTCCATCGGTTGTTTGGCTTTATTTGATTGTGTTTTAGGATATATTCGTTAATTTATCCACCGTAGACGATTCCTTGTACTTCATGTGCCAAACGGAAGATTTTAAGTTTCTAGCCGATATGATTCAGCACGTTCCCCTGCCACTCAGAGCGAGGTACTTATTCTGTTGCGCCCCTATTAACAAGAAGATGCCCTTCGTGTGTACTATTTTCCTAAAGGTAATGCGCTAGAGAATTGACTGCGAATTCTATAACGTTGTGGTTTTAGTTTGCGAGGCAATACAGTAAAAACGAAACGATCTCGTTCGATTGGCTGTGCAGGAACATCGGTTGGCCTCTACAGCCACCGAAAACCATCCTCGATTTAGTCCATTTAGAAGCCGTATTCGATGTACTGGATTTGTACTTGTGGTTAAGGTAAGTTATAACGAATTCCACGTACGCGTACATTTAATCTTGTTAATTTCTAGTTATCGTTTCGGGGATTTGTTCAACGAGCCCGATCTGATACGAGACATGCAAAGGGAACTGGATCAGATTATTCAGCAAGGGATCGTTCAGCTTACGCGGTTACTGAGGAATTCTGAGACTGTGATCAGTTCTGGTACAGGCGATGTGGATGGAGAGGAGTTTTTGATGAACAGGCAAAAGCAGTCATATCTGCGAGGTAGACGAGACTGTTTCGAGGTGATTTTGAAATTATATTAAACTCTGATTTGTAGGGCAAAAGGGTATTCAATTGGGTAAAGGAAAATTAACGGAGCGCTTGCTTGCCCAAGGGATATTGACACCCACTATGTTACAAGAATTGAAAAAAGAATGGAACAAAAAAGATGCCCCCGTAGAGAAACCGAAGGAGGATGTGAAGAAAATACGTAGAAAACGAAAAACAATCAAATAGGCTATCAAATTTAGTATATTATACTTCAAATTAAATAATTTTAATAATAAAACTATTTGTTACAAAAATTCTTCGGAGAAAACTTTATAATAAACCTTAACCTAACTTTTTATGGCCTCAGCGACTACGGCTATTCGGTCTAATTTTTAACAATTTAAATGACAATTGACAGTTTAAGCTAACTGATAGTTATGCAACCAGTTTAACGCCATAGTGTGAGTTTGGTGGCCTCGGTTCAATTCGAAAAATCCTTTGGAGAATTCGCAGCTTCTGGATATATTTTCTCAAGGATGTTTTTTTCGGCGCCCGAAATCGATATCCTACTACATTTCATTCAATTCTCCCCGTTGTGGAACGAGCTCGATTCATCGAATCGTTTTCCAAAATATACCCGATATTCGCGAGCAGACACTGGCTAAAGGTAAGGGAAGTTTTTTAATTGGCTTTCCATTCTTGGGATTTTGTTATAGAAAATTTTTGAAATAAAAAATGTAGTGGTTGGTATTTACTATCTATTTTGGTAATGAGGTGTTTTTTGGTCGAAATTTTCTTACGGTTATCGGTGGAAATTTTCTGTTTAAACCACCGCAAAGAATGATAATTTCCAAAAATAGGAAGCTGGGAAATGCCCGTACAGCGGTTGGTTTAATTTAAAAGCACGTACACTTATTAATTATCCTCACTTTTATTTTAATATTCACCTTATCACATTTCAGTACATTTGAATTTTTAACCAGTTAGAATAAATTTGATAATTTTTTCCAGAAACCGTTCAATGAGCAAAAGCGCTTGAGAAATGAAGGTGAGTTTAGTTTTCTTATCGTATAAATTTTGTCACAAATACCTACATTTTTTTACGTACCTATGCCCACTTGATTAATTAAGACCGCAAAAAGCTCCTTACTTTCTGCGTATTGAAAAAAATCTTGTATACGTGAAAAATTCAATAAAATATTCCGTACTCATTGAACCGAAGAAATGCGTTATATTTTCGAAAACAAACGCGTCTAATTTGAATTTCGAATAGATTTTATTCAGTCCTTGCGCTTGCGAAAGAGATTACGTATTGCTGGAAATCTGTTACATCTCATTCGAAAGGTTGAGAGGTCTTTAAAATCGACCGTTTGAAAATTTATTTAGTTATAACATTTCGAATTTCCCTGGTAGAAGGCATTAATTAAATTAATTCGCACGTTATTGGACTTTTAACATTGAAAACGACAATGGTTGATTTGATTACGGCGTTTCTTTATTTTATTTCAACGATTAATTATAATTGTTTCGTTTTTTTTGCAATAATTTATCGCCTTTTATACGGGGATTCGCTCAAAAGCCCTCACAAACTTGGTCAATGTCGACGGGTCGTCGTTAAAAAATATGTTTTTTTGTGCAATATGAATTATTTTATTTTACTTTTATGTACTCTACTTTTGACGCTTATTATATTTTACTAGATTTTTGGGAACCACCCTATATGTATACATTTAAGTAGAAAAATTACATTTCCAATCGAGAAAAAAATTATCGACGAATTATGTAATTCTATACAATTTCGCGTAGATGCTTTGAGATATTCATCAAAAACATTCAAGATTCACCTTTCTCCGGTGCGACGCGGCGTTGCCAAATCGCGAAACTCCCCAATTTCCAGAAATCATATGCCGTTAAGAAACCCCCCGAGTCTCTTCCTTTCTGAGGCCTCTTACTATTCAACTTACATAGCCACATTTACAATTCCAGCTGCCTGTGATACTTCTTTTCGCACTAGCGGCCACATTGCCCGATTTATCCGCCTCCAGCACCGTTTACATATCGGATTACGGCATGTCCAAGATGATCGAGTTGAGCACAAAACCGCCATATTGCGTCGTCCAAACGGACAGGTAAAGACCATTTTAAAATCTCGATCGGCTTCTAAAAATTCGTCGTGTTTAGGGGAAAGATCAGGGACAAGCTGCTCAGCTCCGATCCGAGGCGAGTGCGGAAAATGTCGGACGAATCCGTGGAAAATCTGGCCAGGGAGTGCCAGAAAGACATCCATTCGCCGCATCAAGGAGGCTTCATTTACCCCGGAACGAAATGGTGCGGTCCAGGTAACTAGATAACCGCGATCGTCCCGGTTTCTATAACGGTTTGTTGGCAGGAAACAAGGCGAGGGATAATTCGGATCTGGGCTGGCATTGGAAGGAGGACATGTGTTGCAGGGAGCACGACATGTGTCCCAAATTCCTGGCTAAAGGCCAATGTATGCAGGGCATTTGTAATCATTCCCATTTCACCAGGTGAGGGATTGTTTGGGGAATTGTTGCGTTAGTAAATTTTGTTTTTTTTTTGGAGGTCTCATTGCGATTGCGACGCGAATTTTCGCAAGTGTTTGCAAAACGCCAATACGGAGACGGCGAATACTATAGGAGCGATTTTTTTCAATATTATCCAGGTGATTTGCTTCAAAGAGAGGACGCCTTGTACACAGTGGCAGAGGTAATTTTGTATAGAGAAAAATCCTCGCTTGTTTTGTTTTTATTTTTATTATTTTTTTAGTTCAAATTCGAATAATTTAATACCGTTTTCTGAGGGTCCCGGGAATTGCGCTTACGAGTTCGAATATTCACAAAAATACAAGGGAAACTTGATAAAGAATTACGGGAGAAAAGACGCCAAGGCGCATTTCATAAATAAAATATTCCGCAAACTGAAATTCCTGTGATTTTTTAATAAAATTTATTTATTTTTTTATTTAATTTGCGCTTTTTATCTACCTTCTAAGTTATCTCGCTTCCTCTGGGAAAACCCGGACAAAGAAACTGCCTTTGTGGATATTTTACAAATTAATTCGGTATTCTCCTTTTCTAGAAATGGTTATAATAAAAACGAAAGCGACGAATTATGCGCGAGAATCCATTTCAGACCTTCCGAAAAATACGTACCCCTGATGCCTCTACCTTAAACCAAGTGTGAGTAGTTTAAAAATTCAAAATGCAATAAAACTAGCAGCAATAATTACCTAATTTATTCATTTTAAAACTTCTATTTAAAGTTGTTAGAAAATGTTACTCCCTGACAGTTAGACAACCAAATAAACAAGCGACTTTCTCCCGCTCAATCGGTGGCCTTCACCTTAGTGTTTATGCGGGCAATTATCAAAATGTTTATTTAGCTTGTATAAACTGTTTTGAGATAAGTTATAAATAGAGAAGCAAAAAAATTATCTTATATGCAGTTCTCTTCATCCATTAAAAAAATAATTATTATTTCAAATAAAAAAAAGAAGAAAAATAAAACCTAAAATGACAGTTATGAAATTTTAAATTCAACTCCAGACGTTCTATAAACAATGAATATTTTATAGTTCATTTACATTTAACCCAGCGGAACTTTATTATCGTTTACGTTACGAAAATTTGGCAACGCCGCGGGAATTCCCGTTATACCGGAATTCTCCTCCAGAAAATCCATAACGTTGGGGAAAATCGCCCGATTTTCGGTTATCGAACTGCGCAGGCGCTTCTCTTCCACCAGTGAACCAAATCGCCAATGCGCCCGACGGAAGGCGGAATAGCGGAATTCGATTCCAGTAACGCGCCGGCTGGCTGTAGTGCCGTTAGTGTGTTAGCGGGACCTCCGGTAAAAGTAAACCACCTATAGACCATTCGTCCCGAAAAAACCGAGGTTAATGCAATAAATTTTGAACTCAAACCTCGAATAAAGGTAAGAGCTGGTTTATTGATTTTTTTAACACAAAATCTGCGTTCGATTTCGCATGCTTAATGGCACGTTTTTTTCATAACTGTCGAGAAAAGTTTACGCGATTTTGTAAATTTATGCTGATAAAAATTCTTCGATATCCGTTTGTGTTATTGGCTTTTATTTAGATTTGAATTCTTCGACATCCTACTCGTTTAATTTTTAATCTAAACGGTTTTTCGATATTAAAATTGTTCGTTTCCCACGCAAAAGATATATTGATTTGCCAAAAACAAAATCTAGTAGTCTTGAATTAATTGTTGTGAAGTTAGCACTGCTAAAAATTAATTTATTAATAGTTCTACAGGGTGGCCCGTTTTCGTAGTTACTATTAATTTTTAATCTGCGGTTTTTTTCATTCAAACCTTGAAGAATATACTTAAAAAATCGTGTAAATATCAAAAACAGTTAGGCATTAAATTAAACGTTTCACAATAGTGACATTTTTATCGAATTAACCCATAAAAATCGCATTGTTTACCATCGTATATCTGACATAAAGTACATTTCACAACCTGTTTCAATAATTCATTAATTGTTCGATTGAAATCGAATTTAATTGCTATACGATATACATTGATTTGTTATTATAACCTTTTTTTATCGACAATACATTGCGTATTCTTTTTAATTATTTAAGTAATGATTTTAGTTTTCCTACACTTTGATAGAACGGCCTGAAAAAATGCCAGTTTCAATTACATTCTCCCTTATCAAACGCGATAATGAAAGTCGTACGATATTTTATTGGTTCATTTTTTTATTTAAAATTCGATAATATTGCTTTACGCCTGACATTTTATTTATTTTATTATCTTACTTACTTAAATAATTGTACGAATGTACAGTAAAATTAATTTTTGTCTGGATTTTTAAGCTTCTACTTAATCTTGTTGTGTTGCCAATAAAAAGATAATTTTATCGTGCATTAAGATGCCCTATTTTTAATGTTTACTACTCTATTAAGTTATTGTTCAGCAAAAAAAACTAATCCAAAACACTCGACATACAATAGACATTTTCACTACCCTATATTGTTATCAATTTTATGCCGCGAACAAATTCGCAAATTCTTTATTAACAAAGCACTCCTTACAAGACTAAACCAATTAAAGCAACAAAAACCTCGATAATAAACCAAAGTGTTTACTATTTATTCGTTTATTTCCAGACATGAAAGATATTTAAGAATGCGGGTTGTCGATTCAACGCAGTCAATCGAATAATTGCAATCGGTAAATAATAACGTAAGTATATAGATATTTTCACGATTATTTTTATTCGAACCGAACGTAATTCCGCGTCGTGTGAATCGTTATAACGCGAATTTATTGTTACAAAGTTTGTTCGATATCAAAATCGTGCACGTGATACACAAGATCGCTGTGAACTCTGCGTTTCTTTGTAAACGAGTTTAAACAGAGGAAATTATTAGTTAAAAGTTCATTCGAGCTGAATATGAGGCCCACTCGTCGTTTAAAAATCTCTTAAATTGTAAAATATTGCGAAAGAAATGTACCGTTTGTTTTGATAAAAATTGTTGCTTTTTTCCAGAAATTAAAATGAGTTTCGATAACGTGGTGTCACGTTTAGGGGAATTCGGACCGTATCAAAGGAAAATATATTTTTTGCTATGTTTACCTGCGATTTTGTGCGCTTTCCAGAAAATGGGCAACGTTTTTTTGGTTGCCGAACCGGATTACAGGTAAGTTTTCTTCGTCTATAATTTATCGCGCTTTCTGAAAGAATTTACATTACATATCGATAATGTTTTTCTTATTTTCTAAAAAGTCGATCGCACTTCGCATTTCAATTGAAACATTTGTAAGGTCAGCAATCTACCGAACAGCTGCTTGTGGTAGAGTTGTTCGACTTCGAAGCTGCAAAATTAACCATTTTAAATAATCTAATTTAATTAATCGTGGTTTAGTTTACCCTGCTTTGTTGAATAACTCTCGACAACCGTCCTGGCATTCACTTATGGCCAGTTCAATGCTGTTAAATTGGTTAGTTCTACACCAACTTTGAGCCGTATTTACCAATCTCAATCCGATACCTTTCCTTCTATACCTACAATTCGTTTTTACTCAACATCTATCGTACATATAATTAAATCTAATTACTTTTTATCCACTACTAATCTGAACAACCACGAGGATTCTTCCTTTTGGAAATGCTGCGATACCGCTACACTACCAATTATCTACAAAACGCGCAAATAAATCAATTTTTTCCAAACAATAAACATAATAATATACTCTTCGTTGGAATTGTTCCTCCTTAACTTCTCTACGAAACTCTTCTACATCATCAACTATCTTATACCAGCATTGTTTGGGATCTTTGGCGAAAAAGTAAGGTTCGTACGCTTCGGCTACCCAACAACTTAAAGGCCTTTTCTCGTACAGTAGCTGCGCCGCTTTCATGAAAAAGGCCGAATATATTGCGAAATATATGCCGGTCAATACTACGGGAACGGATACGATGCTGTAGTAAAGCGGAACTCCGAAACAGATAAAAAGCAGCGCCGTTATCAGAATAATGAATTGGAAGGTTATCTGGAAATATCCCGGGTTAATTTTGAATAAAATTCGTACGTTAAAGATCGACATACTTCGTGAAATAAAGCGTTTATCCATGCATTGTTTACGTTCGATGCGTAGCCGTTTCTCACCAGCTCCGATAATGCCGGCGTGTCGCTATCCGTTTTTTCTCTTATCACTATGTAATAGGTCATTCTGCTAATTGAATTTTAACGTTGGAAGTCTGACGAACACGAAAATCGCTTTGTATACAAGCAAAAGTGGGGTTATGTTGGTTGACAATTGTTGAACAAACTGGCCTCTTACATAGAAGGTACTGACTCGTCATGTTACAAAAAAAAAGAAGAATTTGACATTTTAAAATTTGAAGCTAATGTTTGAATAAGTTTTTAAAAGTTCATGTAAGTTTATTTTAACGTTTTAGGTGCAGACTACCGGATGAGCCAAAAAATGCAAGTTACCATTTGAACAATACAATTTTATCTACATATTACCCAAAAGACAAGCTACACCAAAAATATTCATCGTGCGAAATAATAATAGACGGAAAAATTGAAAAATGCGATTCGTACATTTTCGACGATTCAGTGTACGGCTATACATCAGTCATCGAAGTAAGTCCAATACATTTATTTATGTAGAATGCATGTTGATATGTAAATTTGTTTGAATGTTTAGTACGATTTGACGTGCAGCAAAGCCTACTTGATAGCTACCTCGAACGCCATCTTCATGGTCGGAGTAATGCTGGGCTCGATAGGGTTCGGTGAAATGTCCGACAGGTTTGTACACCCATTTTGTGAAAATTTCCTGGTTTTTGATAAGAATTATTGTTGTGCAGGTGCGGTCGTAAACTGACCTTCTTCGTATCCCTAGTATCCTTACTAGTAACGGGCTTAATAGCGGCCATAGCGCCAGAATTGTGGACGTTCACGTTTGCTAGGATGTGCGTGGGGGCCTGCACTTCGGGCGTGTTTCTCGTCGCCTATGTAATAGGCTTGGAAATGGTGGGGCCTTCTAAGAGGTTCATCGCGGGGACCGTTTGTCACATATTCTTCTCGTTTGGCTACACGCTCATAAGCCCCATGGCGTATTACATATACGATTGGAGATGGTTGCAATTCGCTCTCACCATACCGGGCGTGTTCTTTCTAATGTACTGGTGGTGAGTAGCCAACAAAATCCAGGTTATTTTGGATTGGTCCGCATCCCGGTAGACATATCGACATTTGCTGGGGTTTTTCAGGCTCATCCCGGAATCGGCGCGCTGGCTGTTGACCAAAGAACGTACGAAAGAGGCCAAAAAACTGATTCAAGAAGCCGCGAAGTACAATAAAGTTTCCATAACGGACGAGACGTTGGATCAATTATTGGCAGATGCTAAAGGTACGAACGTACCGAAAGACAACCAAACCACGTCGATATTGCACGTGTTTAAATATCCCAATATGAGGAAAAAGACTTTAGTTATATTTTTCGATTGGTAAATCATTCCCATTAGTTATCAAATAAGTTAGTAATAATGGTTAATTTTTAAGGTTTGCGAACAATCTCACGTACTATGGTTTGTCGTGGAATAGCAACAACTTAGCCGGCAATCCGTATTTGAATTTCGTACTGTTAGGAGCAGTCGAAATTCCCGGTTATTTGATATTACTTTTGTTCCTCAACCGATGGGGCAGGACGAAATTGATGTGTTGTTGCATGATGGTAGCAGGAATTATGTTGCTAATAAGCATAGCAGTACCGAAAGGTGGGTTATCGGGCGGATTTAATCGCAAATACTTTTACAAAACTTGTCTTTTTAGAGCATCAATGGCTCATTATAACGTTGACGATGTTAGGTAAGTTATCCATAACCGCCAGTTACGGAGCCGTTTACATACTCTCCACCGAACAGTTCCCTACTGTCGTTAGAAACGCCGGGTTAGGGGCCGGTTCAACTATGGCGAGATTCGGGTCTATATTGGCTCCCTACATCAACGCATTGGTACGAATTGCACTGGAAATGCGTAGGGGAATTGATATTAATATCGAGTTATTTCAGGCCCACGTGTGGCAGCCATTGCCTTTGCTCATATTCGGTTCGGCCGCTCTAATCGGAGGCGTCATGTCCTTGGTTTTACCGGAGACGTTGAATAAAAAATTACCCGAAACTATGGAGGAAGGCGAAATGTTCGGACGGTTCGTATACTAGTTTAAGATTGATCAAAAATTATCCATATTGATATTTTTTTGTAGGAAGAAAAAGAAACTGGACATCAACGAAATGGATTTGAATCAACCAAATAAATTAACCGAAAACGGCAACGCCGAAGATAAATTAGTACAAAATAACGGTGCCCAGTGACCAAAAATAAAGTTAATTTTTATGGATCTATAAGATATAAAAATAATTTTTACCTCGACGACCTTATAAATTGCATCTCGATTAATTTTTATGCTATTTTAAATATACAGCTATTTATATATTTGGAGTAAGACTTTTATTTAGAAAAAAATTTGAGACGGGCTCAAATTCATAAAAAAATTAATCTGTAATAAAAACTGTGCTATAAATAAAAATATCAGATACTAGTATCCCTACATTAAAGGCGATTCTATTGTGAAAGAATCGTTAATTTAGAGAACTTAGTAAAAATTAAAATAGTCACCTTAATATAAAAAAGACCTACCTACTTGGTTTTGGATGACCCTCGTACTATTTTTTTCATTACCACACACTGTACCCGTGCACTTGCACATTTCAATCGCTACACATATTACCCGTTAAACCTTTATAAATATTCAGCAAGCAGGCGGTGGATCGTAGAGAGGGAGGCGGCTGTGTGTGTGTGTGTACATATTACTTTACACGAATTAATCTCGTTAATTTATAACGCGCATATATATGCGGGCTCGATTTCTTACTTTTTCTCTATCTCCCCCCGTATCTCTACTCGTTTACACATCCATTCGGACGCCCCCTAATATCATAGAGGGCCTACGCCCCCGCTCGAACTCGTACTGTTCGGCAACACAGCAACAACTCGTACGACACCGCTCCCCTGCCAGCAGCCATTTTAACAGCAATACAACGCCCAGCCGCAGCCTGCTGTGCACATAAAATAACCGTTAGTCCATTTTTTATATAAAACAAAAAATTACTTAAACTTTTTCAATGTTTAAAAGTCGCCCATTAATCGTTTAATTACATGCGTTTAAAACATTTTTGGAATGACTTTTATACATTTTTATTTAAATTATATGAAAAAAATTTCAGCATGACAAGTCTAGACATTTGATATATTGCAAATACAAACTAATGCGAAATATAATTAATGCCGAAATTTTCCTTTCTAATGCAGTAAAAAATTGTGTTCAACAAAATTTAACTGCACAGAAAATTACTTAAATTTAATCTTCCGCAAAAAGGGGGAACAAAACAATTATATCTAATTTATCGGCTAATGTTTTGTCGAAAATAAAAACCGTTCTTTCCTGTTTTATTTTACTTACTTTTTAAACATAATAAAATGCACGTTATATATATGTTTCGATTAACCAAACGAAAAAAATAGCACAAACGAAATTTTTATATACAAAATAAAAATTACAGGTATTCGTCTATCTTACATGCTCTTCGTCGAATAAACCATACAATGAAAAAAGTGCTTAATTACTTAACTTTCCGATATACAAACTAAAATAATTTTTCCCGTTTAGTCAATTTACGAACAAATCCCATTACATCATTTTCAAATATTTCATCCAACTATTTTCGTCGCTACATAAACAAACAAGTATTTTGGTTTCGTTTCGGTTTTTAAACTACACGGAAAAATCATATTATATACGGAATTAATTAAAAAAAAACGAAAAAATAACTCATATAGGTCATTAGGTGGTAATTTTAATAATAAATACCTTATGAGAGAGATATTAGGCGCCTAATTAACTGCACTGCACCTTTCACCCTCTGCAAACACCTAAAAAAATATACAAACTGTACCAGCATCTAGAAGATGAACAATTACAAAAAAATATATTACAAAACTTACCTAAGACCTAGATCTAGAACGGGACTTGCTGTTCGACTTCGAACGATCCTTATTGTCTCTCGAAGCCGATCTGGACCGACCTCTGGAACTTTTGCTATCCGAACGGGACCTGCTCCTGCTGAACGATCGACGCCTTGACCTCGACCGGCTCCTTCTGCTCCCCCTACTGTAACACCAATTCACATTAAACACACTCGAGGAGAGTTTGAAGATGAAAACATTAAACCGGCCTTTTACTATGCTAGTTGCTAATTAGTGAGATAAGGAAAACAGTACCTGCGACGACGCCCGCCGTACCGACGATGGGGCGACGTAGGCCTGCCGTATCGGGCCATTTGCACGCGGAGCTCCCTGCCGTCGAGCATCCTCCCGTCCATGGCGTCGAGCGCGTCTTCGGCGTCTCTCTTGTCGTAGAATCTTCAAACGGGTAAAACCGTTAAAGCTGGATTCGCGGCGAACTTAAAACACTCACCTGACGAAGGCGAAGCCCCTGCTTTCCCTGGTGAACCGGTCTCGGGGTATGTAGATGTCGCCGACTTCGCCGCATCGTTCAAAGACCCTTCGCAGGTCGTCCGGCGTCGTCCTGTAGGTTAGATTGTCCACTTTCAGGGATACCATGCCGTCGATGCGGGGCGGCGGTCTTCCGTAACTCATTTTATGAATTTTATCTCATAAAATTATTCGAAACGTGCGAGAGTTTGCGCTAATTAAAAGAACTTTCACCGACGCACGACTCTTCGATAACTCGCGCTTACAAAATGGCGATGTGTGACAGATGAATTCGAGTACAGTCGTGCCAACGTTACTCGATAAAACAATCGGAAAATACCAGTTATTGGAAAAAAAGAAGAGTCATGTCATGGAACGCATAAAACACTACAACTGTCAAATTCAAAAACAAATATACGAAATTATAACCACAAAATTCAAAACTAAATTTGACGATCGGAGGAATATGAGTTAGTTTTATTCAAAATTTATCGCAACATGTCGACGAAATTGAAATTATATTTAGGCAGAAAGGTAAGTACGAATACGTAGACGCATTGTAACCAACTAGCCTATTTTTAAGGTGATAGAATCCTTGCATAAAACCACCAAACTCAGCCCACTAGAATTGCAGCCGCTAATACAAATAGGAAATACCGATAAAATGGAGTTAAATCTACCCATGAATCTGCTCGAAACTCAATTAGGTGTGACCAACGTAACGGAAATATTAAAAATCCAACCGGACGACATCATTCGAAAGGTGCAACTAGTCCGAGACAGAGCCAACAGGAAGATCTCCTTCGAAATAGACCAGAACATTTTCATGACGGACGTGATCGAAAACGGCGCCTACCCCGATGTTAATTTCAAACCGAAAAACGTAGTGGTCGAATACAGCTCCCCGAACGTAGCGAAACCCTTCCACTTCGGCCACCTACGATCCACCATCATTGGCAATTTCATCAGCAACTTGAACCAGTTCCTGCGCAACAAAGTCACCCGACTAAACTACATAGGCAACTGGGGCACTCAGTACGGATTCATACAAGTGGGCCTTGAGGAGCTGGGCTTGCAGCCCGAGGATATCGAACGCGACCCGTTGAATTCCCTATACAGATCGTACGTGCACGCCAACGGTCTATCGGAGAAGAACCCCGACATATCCAAGAGAGCGAAGGGGATATTCGCTAAATTAGAAGGCGGCTCCAAGGAGGAATTGGACCGTTGGAGGAAGATGATGGGGTACTCTAAAGCAGAGTTAGTCAGTACTTACAAACGATTGGGTATCGAATTCGACGAGTACCATTACGAATCCGATTACAGCGCGAAAGACATTGCAGGCATAGTGGACGTATTAAGAACCAAGAATATCATACAGAAAGACGAAGAAGGAAGGATGGCTGCGGAAATAGGTAAACTTCTAATCATAAGCGTCGTCTAATAAGTGACCGTATTACTTGTCAGGTAACAGGCGAGTGGCCGTACTGAAAAGCGACGGTTCCGGGCTCTATTTGACGCGCGACATCGCGGCGGCCGTGGACCGGTTCAAGCGGTACGACTTCGATAAGATGTTGTACGTGGTGGACAACAGCCAGAGCGATCACTTCCACGCGCTGCGCAACATCCTCTACAAGATGGACCTGCCGTGGGCCGATCGCATAGCCCACGTGAAGTTCGGTCGGGTGAAAGGGATGAGCAGCAGAAAGGGCAACGCGCTGTTTCTGCGCGACATTCTCGACGAATGCAAGGGGATGGTGCTCAAGAAACAGATCGAATCGCCCAGTAAGTTTGCGCGGATAAATTAGCCGCGGCCTTGTACGTTTCGGATTCATTTTGCAGCTACTAAAACTCCGTTGAACGATGAGAGAACCGCTGATATTCTGGGCGTGTCGTGCGTTATCGTCAACGATCTGAAAAGGAGAAGGCAGAAGGATTACGATTTCGATTGGGATAAAGTTTTACAGGTGCTTATTCTCTCGTATGATCCAAAACATTATCTTATTAACTTTTCCTAGGTGCAAGGCGATACTGGCATAAAACTCCAATACGCCCATTGTAGGTTACGTAATTTAGAGCTGAATTGCGGGGCGGCGCCGGCGTCGCGATGCCAGCCGGCCCTGTTGCTCGAGCCGGAAGCTCTGCTACTGATCAAAGAAATGGCGAAATTCCACGATGTCCTCTACGTGGCTAGCGAACAGCTAGAAGCCTACGTATTGGTGAAATATCTCTTCGATTTATGGTAAATTGGATCTAATGAAACGTAATCGAAACACTTTCTAATCATCTTATTCTTTCAGTAATCATATTAACAAAGCATTCAAAACGTTACGAGTGAAAGGCACGCCGGACGAATTGGCATCGCAGAGACTGTTGCTGTTTAACACCGCCAGAAAAGTCCTCGAAAACGGCATGATAATCCTCGGATTAACCCCGTTGAACAAAATGTGATTAATAAAACGACTCAAATGCTTAGAAATTATAATAACTAGTCAGAAGGCACTTGGTTTTATCGTCCGGTATTGCTCACCCGATAAGAACTCGTTTTCTACCCCTGAGTTTAATTTCGTCGTACTTGTGAAGCACTTCTTTGCTGCCGTTTGTGTACTGGGCTTGGTAGCCGCTCAAGAAGTGCTCGAACGATTCCTCGGCTAGGCTGTGGGTGCTGATCAAAGCTCGTTCTAACACGTACAAGTCCACTCCTTTGTCTTCGGCGCTCGATTGGATTCGACTCAATCCGAAATCTATCGGCACGATGATCAGGTCGCTCGGATTGCAATTCTCCAGCGTTTGCGGATTATGCTTGCTAACGACGAGGATGTTGGAGGACGTGAGATCGCCGTGAATGATGTTGTTTTCGTGCAGCTTGCCCACCGTTTTGCCTATGTGATAGAAGAACTCTTGCAGGCGAGAGTGATCATTCGATCTCGAATAGTCTTCTATCAGGTCTTTGGCCGTTTTGCTGTGCAGCACATGCTCCATGTAAATGGTGTTTTCGGCGAGGTTTACGGCGTAGACGGCGGGCGTGCGGATACCGGCGATTTTGCATCTTATCAAAGCCCGGTTTTCGGCGGTTATCCTCTCTTTGGTGAGGCTGCTGTCTAAGCTGGGATGGCGGTATTTTTTGGCGAAACGCTGTTTGGCTATGGCCGGTTTGCCAAGGTAAGTGCCTTGGTATAACTTGGCTTCGGCGCCTTGTTTTATTAGCTCGAAATTTTTCATTATTTTCGATCGTTTGTTTATAACCTTACTTTGTTTTACCAACTGTCAGTAATGTCATTTTAAAATTAATTATTAAAAAAAAAGAAGAAAAATAGGGTTATATTGTTATTATTGTATTCTAGTTATATTACAATTAAAATAATGTTTAACAAATTAAGAAATTTTAAAAATTTTAACACGTTTTGTTACTGCACGAAGGCGCGATACAATGACACAGTTCTACTGCCGAAAACGGAGTTTCCTTTGAGGTTAAGTCAAAAGAAACTGCAGGATAGAGACCAGCACATTTACACTGTTAATTCCATTTAAATCGAATTTAAGCTCCTACTAATCGTATGTTTGCAGGCCGGCGGGTTCGAGGACTTGTACGATTGGCAACGGGGCCATTTATCCGAGCCGGAATTCGTGCTGCACGATGGACCTCCATACGCGAACGGACCGCCTCATATGGGACATGCTATCAATAAGGTGGCTTATTTATCATTTTTTTACTATCGTAATGGGAATAACGCGCTATTATTTTAGATTTTAAAGGACGCTATTGTGAGATACGAGATATTGAATAACAAAAAGGTACATTACGTGCCCGGCTGGGATTGTCACGGTTTACCCATCGAGTTGAAGGCCCTGAAAGATGCGGACGCAAAAGGATTGGAACCGATAGAGCTGAGAGCAAAAGGCAAGAAAATTGAGCATTGCTAGAATAGGATATGAGCTAGCTAAATTGTTATTTTATAGCTAGAAAATTTGCTGATAAGAGCATCGAAGACCAAAAACAAGTGTTCAAATCTTGGGGCGTTACTGCCAATTGGAAAAAATACTACACCACCCATTCCACCGACTACGTCAAATGCCAGCTGAGGCAATTTCTTAAATTATACCAAAAAAATTACATTTTCCGAGACGTGAAACCCGTTCATTGGTCTCCATCGTCTCGGTAATACAGTAACACGTTATCAACTACACACGATTCTATTACGTCTGTTCTACTTTTAGTACAGCCCTAGCCGAAGCCGAATTAGAGTACAACGAGAACCACAAGAGCCCCAGCTTGCATTTCACCGTACGCATTAAGAGCCTACCGAAATTGGGGCCTTTAAACAAGAACTAGTAAGCAGCGCATGCGCACTCAAACATGTTTCCTTTAATTCTACCGGATAATCCCTACAGCTACGCCATCTTGTGGACGACAACTCCCTGGACGATTCCATCGAATCAAGCCGTATGCTACAACCCTTCGCTATCGTACAGCATAGTAAAAATACCCCAATTACAAGAGGATGCCGTGTACGTGATAGCCACCGATCTGGTAAAGGAAGTCTCGGCTATTTTGAACACCCCCATCGAAACCGTAGACGAAATTAAAGGGTCGGCGCTAGAGGGAGCCACCTACGAGCACCCCCTATACAAGAGCGATAAAAACGATTTGAAATTCGTGCAAGCGGAGCACGTGTCTTCATCGAAGGGCACAGGCCTAGTGCATTCGGCCGGTGCGCACGGTCCTGACGATTATTTAGTAGCCCTTCGTAATAAATTCTCGATCGTAAGTACCTTTAATCAACGAGATTCATCGATAATAATTGAGATGGGCTTTTAGGTGGATTTGGTGGATGATGCGGGTTGTTTTACAACGGAAGCGGGTTCGAAGTTCGCAGGAAAGTACGTACTAGAAGCCGGTAACGCTGCCGTATTAGAAGCCTTGAAGGAAGACTCGAGTTTGTTGCGCTTAGGCGATATCACTCACAGCTATCCGTACGATTGGAGGACCAAACAACCCGTTATAATCAAAGCGAGTCGACAGTGGTTCATCGATACGGACTCCATCAAACGTAGGGCTGTCGTAAGTGTGCGCGGTGTATTTACGAAACGAAAGTAGTGATTAAATTTGTTAGGAATCCTTGGAAAACGTGCGATTTCTGCCGTCTGACAAGAGCGATTTGCACAAATCGAATCTCATCAAGCAAATCGAAAAGCGACCGTACTGGTGCATATCGAGGCAGAGGAAATGGGGCGTACCTATACCGGTTTTGTACGACAAAACCACATCGGAACCCATCATAAACGAGTAAGTTTAGTAAACGAATAAAACATCTTCACTCAATGTGTATTATTTCAGAAACACAATCAACCATCATTTGAATCTACTGGATACCGTAGGCGTGGATTTCTGGTGGAAATGCACCGCAGAGCAACTGCTACCGACCGATTCGAATTCGTCATCCTCCTACAACGCAAACGACGTAGTTAAAAGCGAGGATATAATGGACATTTGGCTGGACAGCGGGCTCTCGTGGGCCAAAGTCTTGGACGGTTCGAAAACAGCCGATGTCTATCTAGAAGGCGTCGATCAACTGACGGGCTGGTTCCAGTCGTCGCTGTTAACGTCGGTGGCGCTGCGCGACAAGGCCCCTTTCAAAACCGTCTACGTGCACGGATTCGCCGTCGACGCCAAAGGCGCCAAGATGTCCAAGTCGCTGGGGAACGTGGTGGATCCGGTGGAGGTGGTGCTGGGGTCTCGAGGCAAGCCCGGTCTCGGCGTCGACGCTTTGAGGTGGCACTCCGAAAGCACTTAATACAAATCGCTTGATTTACGTAATGTTGTAGATGGTGGGTGACCTGTCACGCGAACCGGGACCTCCAGGCCAGCGTCGGGGACAAGGTGTTGCGGGCGTGTTGCGACGAAGTGCAGAAAATCCGGAGCGTCCTTCGATTCGCTGTAGCCGGTTTGAGCGATTTCAACAGCGCTCGAATCGAAAACCAACCGTTGCAACACTTGCAACTAATCGACAGATACCTAATGCACTTGCTGCACCGATTCCAAACCAAAGTAATCAACCGGCGAGTAATATAAACATCGATTTAATCGAATTCGATCCCCCAGGTGGCCGATTGCATGTCGGAGTACCAGTTCCACAAGATATCCGGGCTGCTGAACAACCTACTCACCAATTCCGTATCCGCGCTGTATTACACGTCGATCAAAGACCGGCTGTACTGCGAGCCGGCCGAGAGTCCCGCCAGGAGATCGGCGCAGTACACGCTGTATCACGTGTACGAGACGGTGTCGTTGGCGGTGGCTCCGATGCTGCCGCACCTCGTCGAGGAGTTGCATCTGCACAGCCGGACGAAAGAGGCCAAGACGTATTTCACTGCGTGCCATCGCAGAGTAGGCGACGAGTGGTTGAACGACGATGTGGAAGGGTTGTTTCGGATGATTTTGGATTGGAAGAGGGAGGTTAACGTCGAAGTCGGTGCTAATACGGGCGATTTGGATGTTGAAGTGGTCGTTTCGAAGGAAATTGCTGGAAGGATTAAGGTATACTTATCGAAATAATACTTGAAATGGGATGATTATAGGGTTGTTTTTTTAGAAAAATATAGATTTACATGAACTTGGTGGGCAACTAATAGACGTTTTCCAAGTTGCTGGGATTTCCGTTAAAGAAGACCCGGAGTATGCTCCGGATGCACATAAATTGCGCTTGAATAAGAGTTGCAAACATTTCTGTCCGAGGTGTAGGAAAGTGAGTTCGCTCGAGGAAAATAGACTGTGTTGCAGATGCGATAATGTGGTGGCAAATACCGTCAGAAAAAGTTTTGTAAATTGATTTGGCAATAAAAAAGATTTTTGCCGAAACCAGGGATCGAACCAGGGACCTTTAGATCTTCAGTCTAACGCTCTCCCAACTGAGCTATTTCGGCACATTAACTAATCCTCCAAATTGTGCTGTTATACTAATGTCTTCGCGAGGTACTCAAATATGTTCACAATCTTTTGCTCAATCCCTTTAATTAATTATATTAGATTTACTAAAGTAATTATTTATTGGTATATCTTCTTTTTTTAAGTAAATTTTTTATGGACGTTTACACGAAAAGTACAAGGCCAGTTTGCCGGTAAGTGCTAGTCTATAGTCAGCTAATTTGTTTTAAAAGTTTCCCACATAAAAGTGTCGTAAAGAAAGTTATATTTTTTCTATCGAAAGTGTATTCAACTTTTATTTTGTGCATGGTTTTTCAATTCATCGGTATAAGTATATAGAAGAAAATTCGAAATTAAAAAAATATATTCTTTTATAGCATTATAATTAACAGCGTTATAAAATAGCAGAGCATTTTTTAAATATTGACATTTCATTGACATTTGACGGAATCACAGCAAGCTGAAAATAAGAAAACTTTAATAGATAATTATTGGGTATAAAACAGTTTAATTGGTAATTATACCTTTACTAATATCCTTCTTCTTTTGTTGCGCTTTCTTCCGCGCGTTCTCTTCGCTTTTTTGTTTAGCCCTATCACGGGCAGTTTTCTCAGAAGTACTCCTAATCGTCGAAATCGCCGTTTTGTGGCGAATCTCCGGCAAACTGTTCAGAATCCTACACAAAATTGCACCGATCAGAAACTCTACCTGTCATTACGTCAAATTTGACATACATGTCAAAATTGACCTGTCAAATAAAATTTTCCGCTTACCTCCCTTCGGTTTTCCCCGTTTTCCTCTCGTCTCTTCTCTTCAACTCCGGCCCCAGTCCTATGGACATTTTCACCTGCACCGTCTCGGCCTTCTTGATCGCTCGCGGCTTTCTGGCTTTCCTCGCGCGCTCGGCCCCTTCCTGCTGCAGGTCCTCGGACGATGAGCCGTTTCCGCCGGTCTGCGCCTTCAGCAGCGCCTCCCTGCTGCTGGCCCTCTGCAACCGACGCGCCCTCGACGCGCCGCCTCCTTTCGACCGCCCATTCGCATTCTCCACCCTTTGTTTCTCCGCTCGGCTCGCCACGACTCGGCTCGCCTCTACTCGACTCTTCTCGGATCGATTCGTGTCGGATTGATTAGACTGCGTTCGGATAGTTTCGGATCGATTCGTCTCGACTCGCCTGCGCCGCTCGTCCGCTCGCGTTTGCTTGGTTTTGGCTTCGGGAATCGGGTGCTTGGGGGAGATCGGGGCAGGTTTCGGTGGTGTAGGAACGGGTTTTTTGGGGGTGGAGGAGTAACAGAGGCGTCGGGAGGATTGTAATCGAGGCGAGATGGAAGTTGTTGGGAGTTGTTTCGAGCTGAAATATAAGGAGATTTATTAAGGGTAAATTTTTTGTATTTGATGCGTTTGGTACCTCTTGGAGGCGGTTTGGAGTGGTTGCCGCCTTACGTTCTCGTATTCAGGCTCCTGGGGAATTCTCGAATGTTGCGTTGCGACGCCGAAATAGGCCATTTCTGAGGGTTTCGGCTGCCTGAGTACCATACCTGCAAGTACCGGGTAATTCACTAGGTAGATTTTTTTTAAAACGAAACGCCAAAAATTCGTAAAAAGCGAGACAATTCGAGTACCTTTTTCTATTTTACCGGCCCTCCTGCTGCGACTAACCTCGCCGAATCTCCTCATTCTGCTCCAGCTGCCCGACGGTACGCTGCTGTTATCCTGCTCCTGCGATTGCCTCGCTTCCCCCTTTTTGGCCAGGAGATTCTGCACCTCCTTATCGGCATCACCATCGCTCAAGGCCTCCTCGTACAATTCCCTCAAAGCGTTCAAATCCCCGGTAACCTTACTACTAGTACTCGTTAATCCTCTATGTGTTACCTCAGAAGCCTTAGAAAGCTTTTTAGGTTCTTTTGTAACTTTAGAGACGGATTGCAGTTCTTTATGGAAATGCTCGAATCTTTCGTGAACGCCGAGAAGACCATTCAAGGCTCCTATGCTTTCGGTAGCCTTCGGAATGGAGTTCGATGACTGTAATCCTGTTAAATTTGTAGAAAGACTAGGTAGTACGTTCAACACGTTCAATCTCTCATAAAAGCCATCCTCTAAACTCCTGGGATTCGGTACGACATTCAAGGCTTCTATTTCTTCGTAAATATTGTCCTGGTAACGCGAGGATTCGAGTTCTTGGCGGGAATTCGGCGAAGCGGGAGCCTTCGAGGCTTCGGAAAGGCCGTCGTCGGCCGCCATTTTGTTGTTTAAAGCGCCCAGCACGAGCGAAGTGGATTTGAATCTAGTCGGCTGTGGCCTGACGAGAGCCTTACTGCGCTCGTCCTTGCCGATCCTGACCACGAGCCTTTTGTGGACGAGCGGGCGCGAGTCTGCAACGGCCGAGTATGGAAATTGTTTTGCGATAATTCCGGATTTTTGACACATGTCAAATTTGACATATTTGACAGTTAGTTCAAAACTACATTTTGGTGTGCGGAATAAAAACTACATATACATGCATATTAAAAATAGAAAAAGGTACTACGTGTGTATTGTTTTTACGTTATACTGATTATGTTTCGAAATAATAAATAGTTGGCCATGCAAATATTTATTGGATTAGAATATGAGCGATGTGTCATCTGTCAAAGGTAGTATAAAAGGAGTAATTTTATGTGGGGAATTAATATGAAAACTACTAAAATGTAAGGAGTAAAGTACAAATAGATTAGGACATGTTTAGTACATACTATAGGACTAGCAGGGAGTTTACAAAAGGAAATACAGGATAATACAACAACGGCCTACTTAGATAAATCGTACCGAACATTATAAATGCTTACCGCTTGGCGAATTCCGGTTTTCGGGTACTCCGGACTCCTGGATATCGTTTTTCCGGAAATTCCGATCATCGACGACGATCGTCTCGCCGGCGCTCAGCCGAATTTTGGTCGAGTAGCCACGCCCGACTGGCCGCAGATTCTTCAACACGTTTTGAAACTCCGGCTCGACTTGCTTCGCACCCTACCAAATGTGTTAAAATATTGTAATTTTTCGTACGAATTAATTGTTGAAGTACACTCACCCGATCGCCGAATTCGTAATTCTTCACAGTAACAGTCGATCTCCAAACGGGCGTGTCGACGCGCTTTAACGTCACGCCCCATTTCGTAATCTCCTCCTCTCCTTTGTCGCTAAACTCCTCCCCGCTACGCCATTCGCTCATATCCGCCCCCTTACCGCGAAACTCCTCCCCTTTACAGCTAAACTCCTCCCCGTCCCCTCCCATTCGACCGCGCCATCGGTCCTGTTCCGACACTTTACCGTTAAACTCCTCCCCGTCTCCTCCCATTCGACCGCGCCATTGGTCCGGTTCGTTTGGCTCCGCCCCTTGACCGCCCAGCAGGTAGGGCGTGGGTTTGGGGGGTTTGTTTTTTAGAATCCCTTTGATTTCGCTGTCGGACGATTCCTCTCGCTTTTCCTCTTCGGAGTACGAAAATTCTCCCGAATTCACGGTAACGGAGGGCGGGGGGCGGTCGCAGGATGGGGGCGGATCGGCGTCGTCCGGGGGCGGGGGCAGTTTGTCGTAGGGCGTGTCTCCGAAATGAATCAGCTGAAAATTCATAATAAATAATCGATTTATCGATTAATCGCTGTTCATACGAACCGGTAATCCGGAATTTCGGCGGCGGCGTCGGAAATTACGCGCCGGTGGCGGTTTGTCGTCGGTGGCTATGATATTGACGACGCCCGAATCGGCCGTGAAGTGCACCTCAGTTTTGCAGAACTCCACCCTTTTGGGGCCCCTTCTGGCCTCGTCCTCGTCGGGGTCGCCGGCACCGCTCAGGTACCGCGACGCGTCGACGGCTATCGAGTGACGTTTGACAGTTGACGTTGACGTATCGTTGTCGAAGAACGACGGGGACGCATCGAGCCATGGTAGGTCGATTACGTTGTTGTTTTTCGATATGGGTATTGTTATTGTGGTCGATTCGAGTTCGGGGTGTTGTTGATGGTATTTTACCAATGGATTTGTTCGTTTGAATTTATTCTCGTTTTTCGTATTCTGGTCCTCGTTGTTGCGAAACTAAGACAAATGACACAAGTAGGCTATATAAACGTCAAATATTTGAGTAATATGTAAAGTTGGCCGCGAACGCCAAAAAAAAATATGTCAAATATCTAAGTAAGTAATATAGTTATATCGTGAAGTTGGCTACGAGTGCCCAAAAATGCCAAAAAACTAACCTTATAAATATCGTTCGTTGGAGAATTAGTTCTTCTTAATCTACCTTTAACCTCCATAATCGATTCGACAGTAACGAATGATCCACCGGATTTTCGCTTAATCGAATCCTCTTCTTCTTCCTCTTCGTCTTCTTCCCCTTCAATTTTATCGATCCCATTCGTATTATCGATTTTATCGGCTCTTCCATTAATCCTCCCTAACCTAATATCTAATTTATCAATCATTTTTGCCACACTATAAATTTTACTATCACTTTTATCACCGTTCCTAACCGTTTTATCGTCATCGATTAGATCCTCGTTATTATTGCTATTATTTCCGATTAATTTATCATCGATTTCGCCATCGATTCGTTCGACATCCTCGATTCTATGCACAGTATCAATCGCTCGCATTAAATCGATACCGTTCGATTTATCGCGCCCCTCTTCGGCGTCGTGACGCCGGCGCGTCGGCGGCCGCCTGGCGACGCTTCTCACAGCCGACGCCTTGGACTTCTGCGACGTCACGTCCAGCGCGTTGACCGGCAACTGAGGAAAAAAAATCGAATAACCGATGGTAGAACCCGAGTAAAAATCGATTTACTTGGAGACTCTCGAAGTCCATCGAGGTCCATTTGGTGGACGTGGCGGTCTGCGACTGCGTCCTGATCACTTGGTACCGGGCGCCGGGCGTCCGGTGATTGAAGACCTCCATTTGGCGGGCGGCGAGACGCCGGACGGCGCCGTCGGCGTCGGAGCGCGCCCTGCAGTCCACTACCTGCGCAACACGTGCGTTTAGAACGCTCTAGTTCTCGATGGGTTGGAGTTAGAGGGAAAAGTTTCGGGTGAAATTTGCGGGGAATTGAATTATCTTTCGAATGGTGCAGGAAGTTTTGATACGAGTTATATGGTTTTCGAGATAATTAGATAATAAGATGGAGTATAGAGTTGCGTCACTTTGTCGAATTTGAAGCTATTTTTAAGGAAAATGAGCAATTTTAGAAAAAAAAGTTTTGAGTGAAAGTTGTCGAGATCTTTAAAATGATTTAACTCGCTTTAATCAAAGTCGTCTAGTTTTCAAGATAATTAGATAATAACGAGAAAAAGACTGATTTTAGAGGAAGAAACCCGTTGGAATATAAAAACATGCGGAGGAATAAATTACTATTAAAGCAAATAATAAAGGTGTCATCGAAATTTATGGCGCGCCATACAAGTATTTACACACACACACATACACATACATTACAAATGTACGGCAAACAATAAAGGAAGAAAATCATCAGAAACAAAAGACAAACCACACGCACACCTTTATGCAGACAATCCGCCCACTAGATATATAGGATAAATGTACAAGCGCATTTCGAAATGTGTATAAGTTTGCGTTTGTTTTTTTTTTCACTTTTTTACTCTTCTCCATGCATTAAACATTAATGATTTCCGACGAAAAAGGCACTTAAACTCGACCGTAAAAACGTCTGAAACGGTGATTTACGACGCAACTCGGAATTTTCAATTAGAATCGAAACGATACAGGAAAACCCTTCGAGAGAAAACTTGAAGTGAAAACAGAGTGGGCTGTCGATGTGACGTCACGAACTGTATAGATGGGTATGATTCGGTGCAAAAATAAAGGACGCGGTGACGTCACGGTTATATACTTGCCTTGTCGTAATTGCGCGAGGAATTGCCAGTTCTGGCTGACCAACGGTCGGTTTCCAGACGGGCTCTTTCCAGAGCCCCCGTAACGCCGTCGATTCTCGACCATTCGCGGACGTCATGGTCGCGGAAAGGCGTCGCGACGACCTCCATACTGGCGTCGATTCGCCAATTTTATGAGCTTCTGGATACCTTCTGGAAACGATAATTTTTGTACAGGTTTCTACTTATTATATAAAATCATAGCACTCGAATCGTTGACATTTCCAAAGAAATGGATAAATGTTTCTGATGGGGCATCATATATAATAGAAGTGGAGAAATACTTAGTTGTTGATTATAAGTAAAATGACCCATCTTTTTGTTTCCATTCGGTTTTTTCGCAAATCAAATTTAAAAAGTGACAGATTTCTGAACAAAAAAATTCAAAGTGTCAAAAATGTCATTTGATTCGTTTCCATGGATATACTTTGACATTAAATTTGATATGTATGGTGTTTTCTTCAAATATTATTGTTTAAATATTAAATAATTGTTAATTAAACAAAGTTAAACAAAAGAGAAGAACAAACTTTATAATAATTTTACCGCGAAGTAATTCCGAATAATCCAAATTTGGAACGACCGAATTTGATTTGCAATGAATCGGAGTCGAGTGTATTGGAATTACAAGAGACAAGTTCGAGCGAGTTTCGTTCGAGTAACGGGCAAAAAACGCGTTGGTGATGCGAACGATCGCGCAGAAAAGAAACCCACCCGAAATTCCAGCGATATGAGTGATCGATTAGGAAAGAAACCCACCTATAAACCCGCTAAAACCCGTCGAGAACGAACCTTTGTTCCCCTATAACTTGTAAATAGCGAAAAATGCGCCATATGTTCCTGACTTAACGAATCTACTGCATATATCAAAAATCCAACGCCTACTAATCGATAAAGTAGGTTCGAAACCTACTTTTGTACACCAATAAATTCGATTTGAACCACTTACTTGTTCTTATCGCGATGTATCTCCTATTTACGCGAACACAGCACTAACAAAAACCTCCAAGAAATTCGGAATTTTAACCTCAACGATCGCCTTTTAAGTACGCGTTTTATTCCTCTTTATCTCGCGCACGGTGACTCGCAGTTTTACATCCTCTTTTACCACTAAAAGTGTATAAATGGCCTGGTGAAAATCCAGCTGGTTTTAGCGTTTCTTCTGCTTCCTGCTATTCGAAGAAGAGGATGTTCAGGCGGTGAGACGGGCTGGTGAGGACTGGTCGAGTATTCGATTCGAGACAGCTGTGGCAGTGTCTCGAGATTTGCCGAGGATGCACGAAAACCCGGCCGATTGTCTGCTAGAAATCGAGCAGGAAATCTGCGGGTTTTCCTGCAGTTAGGTTACTCTTGAATTGGTGGAAATTTGTAGATTTGTAGGGGTAAGTTCGTGGTGTGGTTGAATTCTTTCGAATTTTCCCTTTTTTTCCGAGGTATTGGTACTGCTGGTGTAATAATAAAGCTGGAAGGGAGGTTGATTGACGCACTGATTGGATGTTTTATCGTTTTGGATGGGGAAAAGTAGCGAGGCTTATGTAAACGTGCGCGGGCGATCGGAAAACCGACGTTTCGATTTCCGGTAATTTCATCTTCATTCTTCAGGGTGGAATTTTTAAAAAGCGTTTCTTTTTTTTTATTTTTTTCAAAATTCCTTTTGAATTTATTCATCAAAACCTTCCAAAATGTTCTTAATAAACTCATCTGTACCAAAGTGCTTCTCGGGCAATTTTTTTAATGAGGAATTACTTCCTCAAAATTATAAAAAATATTGCTTTTGTATATCTCGAATATCTCTAAAATTAAGCGATTTTCAAAAATTTTCGATTCTTGAAAAATCGTAGAGCGACGTTTTTTCTACAAAATAAAACAAACAGCGCGTTTCCACCTCAATTAATTTTCGAAATAATTGATATTTTCCATCACATTCCACTAAAATTAGTAAATAAAATTCTTCAGCTCGGCAAGTCTTTAAATAGGAACTCTATTAAAGGTTCATTGGTGGCTTTCAAGAACGTCAATTAATCAATTCGAAATTTTTTCAGCAAATTTGCGTGGGCATGAGTCAAACACCAAAATCAACCTTGTTTGGATGCCTTAACTGGTAAAGGTCAACGGGTCCGATTATTACAATAACTTTGCATATATGATTTGCGTGCGAATACAAATCTCGTGTAGATAAATTATTCAATCAAAAAGGGACAAAAACGAACGAACAGAACGTAAAATTTTATTTTTTTTATTGTAAAAAAAAACAGATAAGATTCGAACAAAATCCATCAGAAGAGCTAATTTTAACTGTTACTAGGCGAACGTACGTGATAATTAATCAATAAACTAATTATGCTATAATTGCACCGATTTGTTCGGTTTTCAAATGATACCCACTAAAAACCTAGATAAATAAAATTGTACAAGTGTTATAATATAAACGTGTATATAGATAAAAAAAATCTCACTATACAAAAATCATATAATATACGGACCATAAAATAAATACATATATTAAATAAATCTAAACTACATGATAATATTTTTTACCACTTTCGACTAATCAAGCAACAAATATTTTACAGGCTTTTTATTTTCTCCTTAATTTCTCCATTATAAAATCAGCATAATTATATATTTTATTCTAGGCAGAGGATCAAAAATACATACATACATTTAACCGCAAATAACCCTCAGAAAGAAACAATTATTTTTTACATATTTTTGATACTTCTCGCGCGTTATTTATCATACTTTTTTACTTACAATCTACGATCCATCAGTAAGTGAATATATTCCTAAAAGTGTAGGTAAATTGTTAAATTCGTTCGCTCGAACGAACCTTTACCCAAAGTCAACATATTTCCACTATACCCCGATAAAAGTCTTTTTGTGTTCACTTTCAGTACATTTCGAATCGTGCTGCATCAACTAAAGCTTTACAATCTCCATTGAGCTGAAATATTTGTGCCTTTAGAAAACGAGAAAATGTCAATTAATACTCCACTAATTAGGTACTACATGAGATTACTTGATAGTAAGGCTTAAATGGGGAAACGAATCGGATATATCTAGTTCTAGCGAATAGAAATATGTTTACTCTGTAAACGAAAAGAATCTCTTGTAACAATTATTACTCTAATATTAACGCATGCCTGATTTGGAGTGAGCGATTAGCCATTGCAGAGTTATGTCGATGTTGTCTTTTTCTTTGCAGGATATCGAATAACAGCATATTTCGCGATCTTGTATCGCAGACAGATTCCTGAAATATGAAAATTTATAATAAACAAATTTCCGAGCGATTACTCGATTCATACGTACATTCTCTCGATGAGCCCGTTCTCGTCTAGAGCTTGCGGTTTATCCCTCTTGTTGCCCAACACTAACACCGGAATGCCGGCTAATTGCGGTTTATCCAGCAAATTGTGGAGTTCGTTCCTGGATGCTTCGATTTTGTCCGGATCTGCGGCATCTACCATATACCTGTCAAAATACTCGTATTACCAAGCATAGTATATAAATATAAGTATAAACTTACACTATAGCGTTTACGCCTCTACAATATCTCTCCCACATCGACCTAAACCTAGGCTGGCCCCCGATATCCCAAACTTTAATCGTAACATTCCCTTTGGTTATTTTTCTCATGTTAAAACCCACCGTAGGTATCATGTCTTCGCTAAATTGACCAGACTGCAAACGAAACGACGTAAATCAAATTGTTATTCACCTTTATTTGTGTGTACATACGGCGATAACGTTGACGAATGTTGTTTTGCCCGAATACTGCAACCCCACTAGGGTCAGTTCCATTTCTTCCTTCCAAAACAGGCTCTTGAACCAGTCCAATATCCTGTTCATCAACGACAACATCTTGTTTTTGGTATTCGCTAGTGGAATATTTCAACGAACGTTCGAAAATTGATACATAAAGAAAAAATCGAAAAAATCTACACCTATCTGCGAATTTGACACTTAATATGTAAACGTCATTAGTGTCAAATAGAACAAAACAATTCTTCTTTTTATTTAAAATGAAAAATGGTTGGCTGGTGGTTAAGCAAGAGTCACGTCAGCTGGTGCGCTAGCGGGAAACTCAAAACAACGCAGTAGGTTTCCATGACGAACGCGATGGGCCGCGATCGTTTCGATAAATTCTCACAAACGAAAATCGAAAACCGCAACGAAAATACAAATATTTTTCGATCGATAGTAATAGTAAAAACCGCAACAAATAGAAATTCCGTCGACAATACGACCAGTCGTGGTAAATAATAGTCGCGACAAGTTGATGGAAAAATAGCCTGATAATAATTATGATTAAATAATCGTCGTGTTCCTCGATAAGAACCGGTACGTGTATAAATAAAGCGCGAAGGCCCCGATTAATCCATTCACATGCCTACGCATTTTCGAACGCGAATCGTTGCCGACTTGATACATTACTAAATCACTAAATCCTTGAAAAATATCGAAAAGATGAGCGCGATTGCGGACCTATCAGCTGATCAGAAAAAGGCTCTGGACACGTTAGCTGTCAACAATTTTCGCGAATACCTGCAAATTCCATCGGTGCATCCCAACGTCGATTACGGTAAGATTTCCAAAATTAAATACCTCTTCTAATTCTATTTAGTTGTTCGAATAATTTAGAAATTTGCGTTTGTAAACACGGTGAAATCGAGATGGCCGTGTTCGGTAGATGTGCGTAGAATCAAGTCGCCTATGTATGTCAAATTATCAGAAAATCGGCTTGGCTTCGCTTTTTGGGTGTGGAGTTTGTACACGTTTAGTTTGTTCGATATTTCGCTGGAAATTTCTCGTTTATCCTCAATTAATTGTAGTCTAAATTGTTAGGAAACCGTTTGGTAAGTTTTAATATAATATTTTTCGTAAAAAGCTGTGTAAATTATTGTGAAATTGCATTCGTTTTCGGCGTGTTACAGTTTGTAGTTTTAACAATAACGGTTTATTAAGCAATAAAATATCCAACAATAGTCCATTAAAAAGGTTTTACGTGGTTTACAAGATCTGTAAATATTAGCTGTACAAGTAGATAAGCTAAATTAATATGTACTACATTTAACATACATTTGAAGCCCTTTGCGTGAAAAGGATACAAGCCATAATAAGTCAATACAAAAATAACTGTGGTTAAACATTCATTTAAAATAAATCCTGTAAATTCTATTCGGAAATTATCTTATTTTTACAGTTTGACAAGATTTATAATGAAGAGGCACTGTCATTACATTACAAAACAAAAATAAATAAATGAAAAAGTTATATGTTTAATCAGCTTTATTTGAAAAAATGAGTGTGTAACGTTATACATGAAAATAAAACGGCAACTTATTGTGTCTACTAAAACTAGTTAAAACATTATCCCTTCTTAAAAAAGTAACAAAAGTAAGAAAGTAAGAGAAAATGTGGCTTGTATCTTTTTCACGCCAAGGGCTTCATTTATAATCTCGACAATTCCAGCTCCTTGCGTGGAATTCTTGAAAAAGCAAGCTAAAACTTTGGGCCTACCGGTTCAAGTATTCTCAACAAATCCTGGTAAACCCATTGTGGTACTAACATGGACGGGAAAGGAGCCTCTTTTGCCCAGCATACTGTTGAACAGCCACATGGACGTCGTGCCCGTATTCCCAGTAAGTTTCCTACTTTCTATCATTCGTTTCGATTACTTATCGATGTTGGTTAACAGGAAAAATGGACCTACAAGCCGTTCGATGCCCACGTGGACGAAAAAGGCAACATCTACGCCAGGGGGGCGCAGGACATGAAGTGCGTGGGCATCCAATATTTAGAGGCCATCAGGAGGCTCAAACAGCGAGGGGTCAGTTTGAGACGAACCGTACACATAAGCTTCGTACCTGGTAATATTTATTATCCCTTATCCTCGTTCGATGCATCTAAATAATACGTTTTATAGACGAAGAAACCGGAGGCGTCGAGGGCATGAAGGCTTTCGTGAATACCAACGATTTTAAGAATTTAAACGTCGGTTTCGCTTTAGACGAAGGCATGGCGAGCCCCAATAACGATTCGCCCGTATTTTACGCCGAGAGAGTTATATGGCGTGAGTTTATTACATCCCTATCTATCGCTAGATTTGCGAGTAATGTATTTGTTGTAGAAATGCATTTCCACGTACCCGGCCATCCGGGGCACGGTTCCTTGCTGCTCGAGAACACGGCCGGAGAGAAGGCCGCTCGTCTTCTGAATAAAATCTACGAATTCAGGCGAGGCGAACAGCAGAAAATGAAAGACAACGCGAATTTGACCATCGGAGATGTCACATCCGTAAACGTAACGCAAATGCATGTAAGTAACTTGAGGGTTAGGGTAGCTGTAGAACTACCAAGGAGTAGGTTAAAAAAGATAGTAGGGATACTGCTGTCTGGGTAAGCACCTCTATAACCTATAGGTTTAGAGAAAAGTTATGTCATGTCATCCTAGAGGCATCATTCGAGGACTGAGTCCTGCAGTAGAAGTAGTAGTACCTTAGACATTACACTTGGTAGAATACCCACTAATTGCTTTACATTTCTTTTTCTAGGGCGGCGTACAAACCAACGTAATTCCCCCGGAGTTTGTGGTAACGGTCGATTGTCGACTAGCCATAACTGTCGACTTCGTAAAGTTCGAAGAAACTCTGAATAAATGGTGCAAGGAGGCGGGGCAAGGAGTTTACATCGAATACGAGCAGAAACAGACTCTCATCGAGCCCACGAAAGTGGACAACACCAACCCCTACTGGGTGGCTTTCAAGACATCCATGGACGAACTGTGAGTACTAGTAGAGTTGTTTTTTCGCGATGGTTCCTATAAGCTACAAAATCTACTTTGTACCTTGTAGGTTGCTTGCATAGGCGTACCCTGGGCGTTTCTCCAGGACGAATTCGTTGTAATTTACGTAAAATTCTCTCTTTTTAGCGGTCTGACTGTGAAAAGCCAAGTGTTCCCGGGGGGCACCGATAGCCGGTACATCAGGAACGCCGGAATACCCGCGTTGGGCTACTCGCCCATGCCCAATACGCCCGTTTTGCTGCACGACAACGACGAGTATCTCAGCACTGATGTGTTCCTGAAAGGGATCGATATTTATAGCAAAATAATACCGGCAGTCGGCAATCTGGTCGACAGAACGGGCTGAATGGTGTTGTTTTAAGGCCTTCGATAATCGAGAAAAATCAGGGACAATCTGTATAAGAGTGCAAAAAGATACATTCAGGGCCGGTTAGCTTATGCCATATATTACCGGATTTCATTAGTTTGGCGCCTAATCTAGCGTCTTATCTTATTTACTTAAAGAGAAACTTGGAAAATCGGACATGTTCTAAAATAATATCGTAGTGTTATCATTTTGCTCAATTTATGAAAAGTAAATTATTTACTTATATTTTGATACCTATAATCTCAAAATAAAAACAAACTCAAAAACGCACTACAAAATGATACTGATCACACTTTAATCGACCACGAATTAATTGATCCTGTGTTAACACCGTGTTAAATCGAGATTTTCCTTTCATGCAACGCAAAATATTCCTTAATAGGCGTTAACACGGTGTTAACACTGGATCACAGTTTCGTGCAACCGGCTCTGAATAATTACGCGAAATTGTTCCCGATTTTTCTGTTGTTTATACTAAAATAACGGTTTTTGTACACGATTTGTGAAATGTTTTGTTTGCGAGAGATATATTTACTGGTTGAAATAAACAGAGAGAAAAAACTAACAAAGGCGTTTATGTCACGGCCAAAGCGTCTTTAAATATATACCGAAAATACTAAAAAATTCTTATTTTTTCAGGAATACGAGAATAGTACCGTGGGTGTGCCCCGGCGGGACCGACGCCCGGTTTCTGCGGGACCGAGGCGTTCCGAGCCTCGGATATTCCCCGATTTACCGGCACAAGATGCTGGCGCACGATCACGACGAGTTTCTGAACAAGGACGTCTTTCTGAAGGGCATCGATGTCTACGTGAAGTTGATCGGGAACTTGGCTGGAAGAGATTAGAAGGTGCTGTATACGCATATACTTACAGGCCACATAATGTGTGGCGTAATATATTTTTATACGAGAGGTTTAGGTACATTATTTAGCTATAGTTGGATTTTTATAGCTGCTCGTTTAGAATTGGGGTTTACACAATATACATAACTGTGGGATTGGCCTTTATTTTAATTTGTGTTTCAGATTCCAGATGTATGAATGTTTAGGATAATTGTGGGAACGGCGAATAATGAATTTTCCATAGTTTTACTGAGAATTTCTATGAAATAATAAAGTTTGGAGCAGCTGAATGGTAAATGTCGTTTCTAGAACTTATTCTAATTGAATTCGTGTTTGGAATGATAAGGAAAATTGAGGTAATACGTATTTCTACTCAGAAATTACCTGTTGTCGAGCAAATGCGATTAAAAATAATATATTGGAATACAATAATTAAAAACCCGTAGTCATGACTAATTTGACAACTACTAATCTATTGAAATAATTAGTAAAATTAGATAATAATATCCATATTTACTCCGCGCTCGTAATTTTAGAATACTTTTAAAGTGATTTTGAGTATATACGGTTCTGTGCGTAAAATAAATAAAAACCTCCACCTAACTCCCCTTCCCATCGAAATGGACTCGTCCAAACAACAAATCGATTTTTATCAACACAATAATCGTTCCGAAAAAAGGCGGCATTTATTCTTTATTGAAATTTATCCGAATTTTTAGCGAGCATATCGCATTGTTTACCCAAGATTCGCGCCAATTTAACTAACCTACTAAGGGGAAATCGTTTTGAATTTCCGCGGCTGCCATGACACCGCGCCATACAATCGCAACGTCTTTCCCGGGGAGAACCCGCCTCGAATATCAATCGCGTATGATGCGGTTTCCCTTTAATATGTCCCGATATCGGTACCAAAAAACGGGCGCCATCAAGCCGAAGAATTTGCGGCCGATAACAAACCACCAGTTTGTTTATATCGGCGAAAATCCTAGGTTAAACCAAACGTCAATCGGCGATTCCATGTGCTTTGTGGCCGCGCTTCGGCTGTTTCCGCCTCGGCCGCGATTCGGCCGGCCAATGAAACTCGCGCGGGAAGCGCACGTGACTGCCGGCAACCAATGGCGTGCGAGCGATTTGAATTCCCTCCTCGTCTTTGTGCGCCGCCAGCGAGTCCCGTGTTTCGGTTGTGTACGTTCGCAGGGTGTACAGTGCTTGTCAGTGAATAACGAAAACTTTCGCCCGAATTCGATGTAAATACGATTCGACGTCGCTAAATTCATCCAGATTATCAATCGGTAAGTACGTTGGAGCCGTTTGTGTTCTTCTTCGCGCGACGTTCTGTTACGAATCGGCGATTAATAATTCGAAACGAAAACGCGGTTGTTGTTTTGATGTTGGCGCAATGTGTCCATTTGTAAATGGACTCGACCCGACGATATCCCGCTCTTTTCAGACTTCGACGAGCGCATGTTATCTTATCGACTTCGTTACTATTTAAACTACGCTCGTTTGTCGTTTGCCAGTAATCGAAACGAAATAAATAAAATCCCGCCGGATCGTTGCGGCGTTTAAAAATAATACATGTAAATAAACAATTCAATTGTTCGTCGTTTCTAAAGCGACGGGTACACCCACTGCGATTTTGTAATGCCATTATTCGCAAAGTTTCTCGATTGTTTACATACCGCGATATATCGAGTTTTAAAAGTCCCGATATTATTTAAATACCTGCGGATATTTATTTCACGTCTAGGCGGGAAGAGTGTAGAAAGACTTCAAGGTCGAAAGGAAGGTAGTTTTGATACAAATCGATACATCTGTAAGAAGGAAGCATTGCCCTCTTGATCCGGTCGACTCGATACTATCGTTTAAATTGGTATTTTCAATTTTTCATTGGGTATCTAGTGTGCCGTGTCGTAACGTCAAATTGTTATTATTATGACGTTTCTTATTGTAACCTATAAAATGTTTATTTACTGAAATAAATCGAGAAAATACTGGTCGTTTTTTATCTTATTTTCGATAAATATAAAAAAAGAAACATTAATATTAGCGTAAAAAATAAAAAAAATATATATTAGGATCGTATAAGAAGTCTCCGGTGATTCTCGCCACCCCATACTCGTTCCTGTTCCCCTCTATCGGAGTAGGTAAAAGCAAAGAGAACATCGGCCATCTGCTGCGCGCCTAGTACAGTGCTGTAATGAAAATCGAAAATATATAATATCGGCTCGCTCGGGCGCTCTTCGCACAGGATACAGGGCCGGCGTAGGACCGTAATAACTCGCCGAATTAATCGTTTTAAAATATCAACGTTTTCTCCGCAAAACGCGAGATTCGTTTAGAAATAACGAGAAATCGAGCCGACCTTGGTCGGGCGCATTTACATAAGCGCCTTATTGAGGAAATTTATGCTCGGCGAATTCGCGCGCGCGGGTCGACGAACTTCCATAACATCTAGGGAAAAATAGATCCGAATCGTACGGTCGAAATGCCCTTTAAATTTAATTGTCTCGATTTTTAAATCGATAAATACCAAAGTCGGTGCATTAAATCTTATCTCTACTCGATCTTGTTGTCGTTACAGGGACGTACCCGCGAAATTTCGGACCCTTGAATATTAAAAAAAATTATACGATAATCACTCCTCGTTAAAACAAGAAAAATAATTCAGTAATTTATTGCTCTAATTGATTCTTACACTGATAGAAAAACTACTTCTACACCAAATAATAACATTGAAGAAAATAGAGATGCGCTGTAACTTACGTTACAAAATAACCGTTATTTTTTCTATCGTCAATTGATCAGTTTCGATTACAGTAGATTAATGAAGAATGAAGAGCAGCTTTTTTAATTGCAGTTTGCCAAAATGTCGACGGCGATGGACATATTTCTGAGCGCGACGGACTCGCTGTCGTTCCCCGACATCCTCGACATCGACATCAAATCGGAGATCGACACGCTCGCGGGCGCTCCCAACGACTTCTCCGGCTTCAATTTCAACGACATGCCCCCGCTTGAGATGGACGACGTCCACGACATACGGTGGTTCAATTCTAATTCCAACCATTCAAACTTGGACTTTGGCGAAGACGGACCGGCCATGGTGAATCCCAATGCCGTCATGCCCGTCATGTCTTTGGCCCAAAGCATAAGGTAGAAGATTCATTTGATTATATCTGTAATGGAACGAGTAGCTCGAGTAGGGGGTGAATACACCACGCGCGGGTGGCTGTATAACCGAATGGCAAAAGGCCTCGTTTTTGACACTTGACTTTGTGATTTTTCTGTTAATAAGAGCGTGTTTTGGGTTGTTTTTTTAGGTCTCCTTCGCCTACGTTGAAAGAGAGCCACCTGACGTTCTCGCCGGCCACGATAAAAATAGGCGCTTTCAAAGCGGAAAAGTCTGTAGTTAAAAAGGACCTGTCGAGTAAATTGAGCGAAGCCATCGAAAGGAAACCCATCATCAAAACCGTTACGAAAGTAACGCCCGTACTAGCCAAATCCGTCGTCAAAACCATCACGAAAACTCCCGCCATTCTAACTTTTAGGTAAGCCGTTAGTGGCCTCTTACGTACGCGCGCATCCAGCCAATTTTCTTTTTATTCTAATTAAAGGAACGCAATAAACAAGTCGATCAACGTGACGCCGGTGAGCAATATCGCGGCATTGCGAACGGTCGCTTCGTCTACCATCAACCGGAAGCTCGTCAACAGGGCGATATACGACGACGAGCGGGCCTTTCCAAAGCCTGCATACAGCTACAGTTGCCTGATAGCCATGGCGTTGAAGAACAGCCGATCGGGCAGCCTGCCCGTATCGGAAATCTACAATTTCATGTGCAGGCACTTCCCCTACTTCAAGACGGCGCCCAACGGCTGGAAGAACTCCGTCAGGCACAATTTGTCATTGAACAAGTGCTTCGAGAAGATCGAGAAACCCGCCATGAACGGCGTCCAACGCAAGGGTTGCCTGTGGGCGATGAATCCCGCGAAAATCAGCAAAATGGACGAGGAGGTGCAAAAGTGGTCGAGGAAGGATCCGCAAGCCATTAAAAAGGCTATGGTGTATCCCGGTAAGTTTATAAACACGTGTAATAATACTATAAACTATACAGTACTGTTTTGTAGAACATCTGGAGGCTCTGGAAAGAGGCGAAATGAAGTTCTCTTGTTCGTACGACGAGGGCGATAATTTCGGGGATTCCTGCGGCAGCGCCGAAGAACAGAGCGAAGAGGGATCGGATTTCGAGCAGGAAATCGAAGAGGCTCCGGTGGTGGTCAATTCGCAGTACGAATACATCCAGGTTAAAGAAGAGGATACGTCCGATTTGGACATAGAGGTAAGCACAAATCTATAAAATGTGAGCAATACATTATTGATTCTTTTTTGTGTATCAGGCATCTGATGGGGCGTACGAAGAGCTCGAGGACGATCAGGAGCTGTTGAGAGTCGAGATGGCGTTGGCGCAGAAGGAGCTGTTGGCCTACGAAAGGACGGTGAATAACAAAAGGAGGAGGACATTTATATTGCAGCATTAGGATTAAACTAGGAAGCTATTAGGTGCATTGTTCGTACGTACGTGCCGTTTTACGGACGGGTGGTTTTTTTATAATAAGAAAATTGTTCGTTGTAAAATGGGACGGACTGGTTGTTTCTATTTTTTTAATGAGAAAAAAGCGAAGCTGTGTCTAATCGGTGATATATATAAGAAGAAATGTACATAATAATGTAATGTAATAATCTTTTTTTTCCTTGTACATGTAAGTTTTCTTAAGGGTATAAGTACTTTTAACGTTTATTAAAAAAAGAAAAAGAAAACAAGCAACAAGACTGCCAATTGTGACAATTATGTTTTTCTTTTTTGATGCTGTATTTAAAAAAAACATCGTCCTGTATGTATAAAATGAATATGATGGAAAATTGATAATGTAAATATTTTATGATTTTTGTTTTTAATACACAACACTGGACTAGTTGCAATATAAAATTCATTTAAAAATTGTACCGTTTGTAATAGAACCGATAATTTTTCTTTAAATCTGTAGTTAACATGTAGAATGGTCGTTTTACTTCTTGATTTTTTCGTCGGGCAATTGCGCTTGTTGATGAGTATCGATGAACTTTAACAAATCTTCAGATATGACGAATTAGAGTTGTATTTGATTCGTCATTTCTTAATTATATGTTTATTTAGAAAGATTTCTCGATATTCATCAATCATAGCCCTACTTAAATCGATTTATTCTATTTTAACGTCCTTACTGTAGGAATTGCGACGTAAAACTTTCATAACGTGTTTAGCAATATTAGAACAATTTCGGATTCTTAGATAAAACGATTTTCTTCTGTACATAAATAGTACTCTCATCTGAACATTTTCGCCTAGTATATTATAAATGTACAGCTAGTTTGAATTTTCTAATTTCATTTGCCGCTAACTAGGCTAGGAAACGGATTAATTTCGAGGGTTTCAATTAAATTTTTCGGCTATATCGAACAGTTTTAAAAGCTTAATAGATATCGTGCCTTTAGGAATTTTCTGTTCGCGCATTCAGGTATATTTAAACAACCAAAGGGGACCACAAAATATGTTTGTTTTATTCATTTTTAGATTTAGAATTTGGTGTCTAATTTACTAAACTAATGTGAACTTTAGTTATGAATTTAGGACAATCAATGGTGGGTAATCAGATTTCTTTTAGAACAGCGAAAAGGTGAATTCGGTTGGGTTTCTTGCGGCCTAAAAGCGTGCGTGTTTGTAACAAAAATTAAACTTATCGAATAAATTTAAGAGGAATGATGTTCTTAGAACGGTTTAGAGCGAAATTTTTATGTGATAATTTTGTTGTAATCGTAAATAGGATCGTGTGCGTTTTCTTTCGTAAAATGTCTAGACGAAAAGTGTAATATTCTTTAGGAAAAACTAGGGCGTTTCTTTTGTAGGAAAAACGACTGATCGCGGGATTTTCCGGGAACTCCGAGCGCCGGGTTCCCGGCAAATCTCCACTTAGTTTTTAGATCTAACTTTATTAATCGTGTAAAAATTATTTTTTTTACTTATAATAACAGTATTTGTAATAAGTTCATGTACAAATTTCGTTAGCACCTAAGGTTATATTTGGTAATAAAATGTGATTTTTCATATACGACATCGCTCTTTCAAATCGCCCGTCAAATTTTGACAACGATGCACACCTTCCTAAAATATGTCCTCCTGTTTTATCTATCTCATTCCTGCATAAGTATATTACTTAATCCAATTAATTATTAATTAACATAATTTAATTGTTCTTCAGGTGGTGAAGAAACCGATTCAAATTCGAAATGCGGCAGCACTTTGAACCTAACAAACTGCGACTCGAACGACATCCCTTTATTATCCCGAAGAGTTTTAAACAAATTCAAAACCCTCTACATCAAAGGAACCCTATGCCCTATACGCGAGCACCATTTCCATTGGTACTTCCTTTTAAAGAGTAAGCCCAACGAACTAAATACGCTCCAAATCAACCCGAATGGGGTCTGTTTTTCAGACGGTACCGCTTTAAACTTCGATCGCTACCAGTACTGGGACACCTTCCACTTGGAACCCTTCGCTATATCCGGCGGTACTCACTCGCTAACCGTTTCCGTGCACGAAATATACGAAAATAACCTGCGAGGAAGCTTAAAAGACGGCGTACGTAGCATTAGAACGTAATTTTTTTATTGTACGACATCTCGTTACAGTGTAATTTCGTGATTGAGCCGGAAAATCCCGTCCCTATTATACTAGGAGGCTCGCAAAGGGCCGTCGAAGCCGGAAAATCCTTCATTTTAGACGGTGGAAACTCCATTGATTTGGAAGTACCGTCTAATCAGAAAGGAAAACTACAGTATTTCTGGATGTGCCGCGTCGAAGGCAGTACTAAGGGTACTAACGAAGATTTCTGCTTGCATTTACCTACTGGTATATTAACGCTCCAAATAAAATAATAATACAACTAGAAGGAGGATTTGTATTTAGAATTTAGCGCTGTGCTGGTAGTACCGGTTAAGTATTCGCTGGAAAATCTAGTCTACGAGTTCGAGCTGGAAGTCAAAACCGAGGACTCGCCTTGGGAGAAGACCCGACAAATCGTACACGTGAAGAAAAACGTCGAAACATTGTCTATAGTGTTAGTAGCTAAACGTTTGTACTGGCAGAGGCCTATTTTCCTCAGAAAAAGAAGAATAAAGACCGGTGATTCCCCTACATATTTTTGTGTGTTTAAGATGCCTGCAAAACTGCGCTCCGAACGTACTCATGACGAAAACAACGAAACCTCTAGTACTACAAGTAATTAGCGATAATAACGAAAATTATTCGTACGTTTGGTCTATCGATAAGCCCGGGTTTAATTACGGGACGCAAACGAAGCACGGCAGAAACGAGAAGATCTTCCACGTGGTGGAAGGAGCCTTGGAAACCGGTCAAATTTACGAAATAAAAGTGGAATTGGAAGGTAATTTTGTGCAGTAATTTCGAACGATTTAACGGGATAATTTTAAGGATTACGCGCTGGCTTGGCTTGTGTGAAAATCGTCACGCACAAACCCCCCGAATTGAAATCCTGCAATGTCGTACCGCGCACTGGAAGAGCCTTGGAAACTCCATTTTCCCTGGAATGTCTCGTTCCCGAGGGACAATACGTATTCGAAATTTACAGTGTAACAAAGGAAGCAGGTAAAGTTGCGTGAATTCTCGTTCCTTTTCTACCACACGCCTCCTCTTACATCGATGTGTGGTTTTGCAGAAATATTGGTGGAAAAAGGGCCGAAATTACCCGATATTTCCTTCGTGTTGCCATCTAATTCTAAAGTCAAATTGAAAATTACCGATAAGTACGAGTTCTCCACCTTCGAGATCCTCAGCGTCACTGTAATTTACCCTAAATAACTCCACTAAATAACTCAATAGCTAACTAACCTCGTAGGTTACGGAATCTTTGGACTATAACCTACCTAAAGACGAATTATCGAAAGACATTTCCCGGATTTTCTTCGATCCGCGCTCGGAAAACTCCTTCCCGGAGTTGATACGATTGAAAAAATTCGACAAACTCGTACAGCACGTCTCGGTATTCGCCGAAGAACTCAAATCTTTACCGTGCAAAGAACATTTACACGACTACAAAATGAAGCTCTTCAATACATTAAATCAAGTAGATGATTTGCACCGATAAACTCCTCATTTAATAACACATTTAAATGATTGCAGATCCCGTTAAATTCGCGAGCAAGAGCTACACAAGTAACGGGCCTAGCCAAGGAAGTGGCTGCTCAAACGGTGGCCAAACAGGATCCTTCCTTAGCGGACGAGGCCGCTCGTTTGTGCAAAAACTCGGCGTCGAAGGAATTGGAGTTGTTTAAACAAGAACAGTTCAAAGAAAGCCTAACTGACGAGATTATGGAGGACGTTAAGTTAGTATTTTAGCCGGTAAATAGCAGGTTTTTTTTTTATATTTTTTTAGGGTGCTTTCCGAGTGTTCCCAAGTGGGTTTAGATCCGAATTTGGAGTTGCTGGAAACTCGCGACATCCCCGATCCTACAACGATCGTCCCTCTGCTGGATTTTCCCTCCGTAAACGAAAGTTACCCGGATTATCGGGACGACGAGAACGTTTCCAGGGCCGTATTTAAAGTAACCACACACCTCTATTAATCGATTATTCTTACAAGTTACCGTTTCAGTTGGAATCTTACGCGGATAACTTGGTGAATTTGTGCTTTTTGACGGCCAGAATCCTGCTGGAAACTCTCCTGCCGCACCAGCACAACGAAAAGATCGTAAACAGACAATTTATCGTGGTAGCGTATAAAATATCAGGCAAACACGTCCCGTCCATAAAGGTGGTTCCCCACAAATTGCACCTGCGCCCTTCGGACGACCTTCCCCCCGGCGAAGCCGATACTTTGGTACTAAACCAGTGACGTCACTACCCAGCGAGAGCTCTCATTGGTTAATAATCGCATGTCTTTTAGTTGTGTTCGAGCATGAAGAACCCGCATTGGTGGCGAGAGGACGAGAAAATAATCCCGCCCGTTTGTATATTGAAGTTCCATGCTAGAGGGCGCGTCGTGAGTCGATTTTCCCGGCCGTTTTCGTTAACTATCACACGGAACGAGTCCGAATCGATCGTATCGATAAGCGCGGTAGTACCGAAAACGTACGATGGAACTAACGAGGATTTCGAAAGGATGACTGTCTATAGGATAGACGTGTTCAAAGGGCAGGATTATTTCGTGGAGTTTGACGAATTGGGCTCGAATAAACTGAAGGTGGTAGGATTTTTTATGCAGGGTGTCCCAATGAAAATAAGTAGCCCATACTCACGTCAGATGTAGCACAATTTGGTCGAGGGGATTTTGATGATAAAACTGTACACGATAAAACATCATGTACAGGTGATGCAAAATGTCTGTGCCACTGTAACAAAACTTATAACAGTTTGATTGAATGGGTTACTTTTCATTAGGACACCCTGTATTAAGGTTCTTGCTAAAGAATACATTATATAGGTATATGTAACTAAATTCTACAAGCCTACTGTGGAAGAATTCGTGGATAAATCGAGCGAAATTAACGCGAATTCCAGCAAATTGTTTATAGAAGTCGACGAGGATTACGATCGTTGGGATTATTTAACAATCACTCCTTTCGATAACACGGCAAGTTTATTTATTCCACAATAAATTCCAAGCATTTTACATATATTTCTAGGCATCCGTCGATACGAAATTCGCGTTCAAAGTGTACACAATCGCCTGTCACAGTTGGAACTCCAATAAGAGGAAATGGGAGTTTTCCTGCGATGTAATCCAATGCACTTATTCCAATAGAGCGTTCTAATTGATATTATTTCAGAGCACGAATACTTCGAACGTAACAACAATCGAATGTTTGTGTTACAAATCGTCGGTGCTCAGCGCCCGGGTCACGAATAACGCCGTGAGATTGGAACGCTCTGTATATACCGAGCACAAGCTAGAAATCCAAGCTTGCTATGTGATATTTTTCGCGGTTTTAATCGTTTGGATCGCTTATTGCGCTTTGCTTTTGTACATTTTGATGTCGCGAAAGGGAAAAGCGGTATGTGGTAAAGCTAGATAAACGACTAAACCTAGGTTTGCCTGGGTAAAGTGCGAAATAAGGTTTTTTTGGGTTTCTTCTGCCCTATCCGCCTTTCGCACTTAACCCGGGTAAACCTAGGTTTAGTGATCGGTTATCTTTACCCATTAACATATACACTTAACAATTTAATGTAATTGCAGTAGGTACTGTATTTATTATTGTTTTATAGGAGTCTTACGAGGAAGTATATTTTTTAAGCGACGTTCCCAGCTATTGCAAGTTTGGATATTTGATGGTGATTAAGACTGGCGACAAGAGAAACGCCGGTACTACTTCCAATATTGTCATCAAAATTTACGGATCGCGTGCTGACAGCAAGGTAAATGTAGTACTTGTTAATATTGTTTTATATTATTTTATTCTACTTAGGAGCACGTGCTGAATTATCCCGATCCCTACAAATTGTTGTTGCAGAGGAATTCTGAAAATTGGTTTTTCCTCGCTACGGAACGCCATTTGGGCGATATCGAGAAAATCGAGATGTGGTTCGATTCTGTAGGATGCAAACCATCCTGGTAACTACACTCTTACAAGTTCTTGGCTGAGTAACCGCTCTAAACCTCTTAGTTTTCGAGCTACAGAGGGATGTTGCAGTTTTAGATAAAAAAAATAACTTCTATCATGATTTTCTTATTATTCCAGATATTTTATGAAATTTTGACACTTTTTGACACTTTTTAATTATTAAGGAGCTTTTTTGAGGAAAAAGATTTTTTAAAAATATTACCAGTGACGTCCGTACGGGGTTTCTTCTTAAAATCTTCCAAATATTGACATCTTAACATCGGCACTCATTAACACCCTGTATGTGGCTGTAAGACAGTAACAGTAAAGGTTGGTTTATTGTTCCGTGTAGGCATTGCATGGAATTGGAGATTCTCGATCTGCAAACGAGCACGTACTGGAGATTCTGGATAAATCGCAAATTCGAAATTAAAGACGTCGAAAATTATTTCCACACGGCCGTGCCTTCTGAATCGAAAAGTTTCGGATTTTTCGAAAACATTTCTAGCTCTTTGTACGATCGTCACATGTGGATAATCTGGTTCGTACGCTTAAAATAATCATATAGTGCAATCAATAGTTTAAATGAATTTTAGGAAGGAATACCCTGGATTGAGTAAAATTGCCAGGCTGACTTTGATGCTTTCGATTTTTTACACCAATTTCGCCATCCTGCTTGTGTTGTATAGCGTACCTTTGTTCAGGCCCAGCGATAGCTTGAGTGCATTTTCCCATTACGGTTTTCACTGGAAAATTATCTGGACTACTGTTGTTAGTTTCGTCATAACGTTTCTTCTGCACTACCCTTTAGTATACCATTTAAAGTAAGTTAAATAGACATTTTAATGGCGCATATTTAGTAAAATGAGTTTGTTTTAGGCGAAATCGAAAGAAGATTTGTTGGTACACAATAACCAGACATTTTCCTCGTAATTGGAAATTTGTAATAGTATTTTTTTCAGGATTTTGTTGATATTTTTAATCACTTTAGCGATGCTAGCGAGTTTAATATTGGGTTTTTGGGTACCCTACATCACGAGCTTACTCTGGCTGACTTCCTTGATAGCCGGTTTGTTTATATACGTTTTCCTTTTGGAAAATTTGGTTTTGATTTTTGAAAATTTAACGAAAACACAAGCAGATCGCGTGAGTGTATTTTATACGATTATTTATAATTCGTTAATTGATTTTTTTTAGATACGCTATTTGCTCGAAAATATTTCGTTGAAATCCGTGGAAAATCAGCGGGAAAAACTGTACAGAGCATTCGGAAAATACTCTTTGAGGCCATATTTCGAACACCTATACAAACCATTGGATATTGACAATGTAAAGGAAATCAAACACCGCGCGATGATGAAGGAAAAACTCCACTACATTTTTGAAGACATAATAATGATTGTTACGTACATTTTATTATTGTATTTGCTTATTTTCCTCCACAAGGACCCCATGATTTCGGTCAGTAACGAAGAGATGAACGGTTTGATAGCAGGCGAACATTCCCGAACCCGTTTCGACTCGTCCCGAGGCAAATACGGGTATAAAACCCCTCATATACACAGTAAATTTTTTATATTTTTCCTAATTTACAGGATATTAGATTACATCGAAAATACTCTAATATTCTCCCTGCACTCTCCCGTGTGGTACGGGAGATTCGCGAGCAAAGATCCCGGCATGACCGTGGACAATTCGAACAAATACGTGGGCAGGGCGCGGCTCCGGCAACACCGCTCAGGTGAATCCCCCTGCCGGGAAATCCTGCGGGATTTTGTTTGCGTGTCCCGCTTCTCCGAGCGCCCGGTATACCGGAGTTTCAGCGAATCCTGGCGAAACGATTCCGAATCGGATAGATTCGCCCGCATGGACTCGGCTTGGAAGTACCGAGACGCCGGGACTTCCCCGTACATCGGTCAGTATACGAGAGTAAGGTGAAAAGTTCTACATATATCTCTTTGAATCCAATACAATAGGCCCAGCGTTTTTCCAGCATCACGAGAATCTCAACTTCCTTATCGAATCCGAGAACTTTTCACCTTTCCTTCGTATTAATTCGCCCTTTTACAGTGACGTCACCCACTGTAGCCAATCACAATGCTCCGTTTTTACTCAATTCAACTACCAGCCAATAGGAGCTCTCGCTGAGTAGTGACGTTTTCTGTAAAGAACTGGCCTCTTACTTATATAACGCTATAATTTCAGGTGAAATAGACAGTTACCCAGGAGGCGGTTACGTATTGCCGTTAGGGAGAACTTTGAAGAATTCCTTGACGAATTTCCGCTATTCGAAAAGACATCGTTGGTTCGACAGGAGCACCAGAAGCTTGTTCGTGGAATTTTTGGCTTATACAGCCAACGCGAACATTTTGAATTCGGTTACCGTGGCTTTCGAAGTCGGCCTGACGGGATACGTTCGAATGAAACGCGAAGTGAGCCAAATACTCCAATGAGAGATTGATGTGTTAGATGTGTAATACTAAATTTATTTGCAGGTGATTACTGCGAGGTTGTTGTTGGTGGGCGATGGTAACGCGTTATTATGGCTAGTAACTGTTCCATTTTTCCTAATAGTGGTGATTCTGGCGTTGAAATCGATCCGGAACATAATAAAAAACAAGTTATTATGGTTGAAAGACGCCTGGTGTTTGATGGACGCGTCGATTGTTTTAATGACGATCGCCTGCGCCGTTTTGTACGCGAAGAGATCGACTTCTTTAGGTGAATTTTTGGACGAGATTGAACGGGCTAAACGTAACGTGTTTGTGAATTATTTCCATCTCTTTCGCATGGAGAAGCTGCTGACGATCACGTCGGCTATGTTGGTGTTTTTGGCTACGTTCAGGTTGTGGAAATTGCTGAGGTTTATGTGCATAATTCGCGTGGTAGAGAAGACTTTGAGCCTCTCGCGGTACTATTTAATTTCCGTGTTTATCTGCCATTTTCATTTGATCGTTGTTTTCACTGTAGCGGGATTTTTGTTGTTCGGAGACGATTCGGAGGATTTCAATCGGTTAACGGACAGCTTCGTGAGTTTAATTTTAGCTTCGATAGGCTTCTTTAGCTTCGATTTCGACGCCTTCGAGTCTCCCTTGCACTATTTCTACTTCATCGCTTTCGTATCGTCCACCATGCTGATTGGCACCGTGTACGTCGCCATAATATCGATTTCTTTCGCCGAATCCAAGAATTTCTACTCCAATTACCGGGAATACAACGTTGTGGATTTCATTAGAGAATATTTGGACTACTACAAAGAATGCGCGGTAGTTAAATGGAAGAAACTTCGCTTAAAAGGCGGCGAAGACGCCCCCGCAAAGAGGCTATTGGTATACCCGAAGTCGGACGAAGAAAGGTAAATTATTCGCGCAAAATCGATATTTGAACTAAATTATTTACGTTCAGATACGCCGATAGCTTGAGAATCGATCGAATCAGGATGGAAAGGATGCGGCAATTGGCGAGGAACGTTTTGAGGAACGTTCGAATAGGGGAACCCCGCATGAACGATGACGATGTTCGGTTGATTGGCGACACTGTGGCGGCTTTAAGAGCGCAAAACGAGGAAAATGTTATCTATTTTATCGATAAAACGGCCGGAAGGACGAGATTTGTCGATAACCAGACGCTTTTAGATATCGAGAAATCGTTGAACAATGCTTACTGTAGGATATCGAACGAGGATTCGTTTAGAGATGATGCTAATAAGCGAATCGATACCATTTTAAGGAGTATCGAGGTTGTTAGTAAAGGTTTGGAATCAATTGTGTTCGATTGAGTTGTTATAATTAGGCTGTATTATTGTTTGGATTAAAAAATAAAATGACTAGAAATCTCTCAATTTCGTTGCAGGTTGTAATTAGTCTGTATCATCATTAAGAAAGAGGCCATTTTTAGTGACTTAGGACACCTGTCAAATGTCAGAAACCTTTATTTATAAATAAAAATACTCGATTTGATAATAAAATAATGCAGAATACACAGGACAAGGTCAAAACACTTCATAATCTAATAATTGGATTTCATACACAATTTTAATTCGACGAAATGGTGCGTAATCGTTATCGTTGCGGATCGTTATGGCGAAATTTCAGGTAGTTCGCTCTTGAACGAGACCCAGCTAGTGCGTAGCGCGATGAAATCGTCGAAGGGCGATTCGAAGTCGTGCGGAGTCTGCGGCGACAAGGCCCTGGGCTACAATTTCAACGCGATAACGTGCGAAAGCTGCAAGGCCTTCTTCCGCAGGAACGCGCTCATCCAGAAATCGTTCAAATGCCCCTTCAGCAACCAGTGCGAGGTCACGACGATAACGAGGCGGTTCTGCCAGAAATGCAGGCTGGACAAGTGCTTCGCCATCGGCATGTGCAAGGATCTGATCATGTCGGAGCAGGACAAGGTGGCGAAGCGCCAGAAAATCGAAGAGAATCGAGTGCGGAAGCAGTCGATGAGCAAGTTCAAGTCGAGCTTTAAGAAGGTGAAGAGGGAGGCCGATTTCGTCGAGCCCGATTCCCAGTTGAATTCGGATTTGGATAATAGCAGTTCGCCCGCTGAGGCGGAGACCAACGATAAGTACCACCAAGTCTCCTCCAGCGACGACGTAGCGACGTTTGCGTTGAAGAATGTGCTGAATTCCTCTGATGTAATAGACCGAATGGAGAAAGATAACAATTTCAATTGCGTGCTGCAGTCGAATCCTGCTAATACCAGCGGCCTGAATCGAAGCAGCCTAAGCTGCACAACCGATTCGAGAAGCTCCAGTAACGATAACAATCTGGATAATTCCAATTCGAACTCTTTGATAGATAACATTTCCAATGTTATGAACGATGTACAGAGGTGAGGACAAATAACAATTTTAATATTTATCGATAAATCGCCTGAAGCACTTACAGGTGTTTACGTTTTTACGCACACATTTGCGTCCTTTATCAAGATCACTCGACGATAAGATAATTATTCTTCCATAGATTTAAATAGATTTTGTTTTTGTAGTGTCCATTCGTACGATCGTAGCCCCATCGAATCGATCCTGTGCGAAGCCATAAAATTGGAGTTCCAGGCGTTCTCGTCGATAAGCCAGATACAGTCGAATTCCAGGGAGTTGAACGATGCGGAGAGGGCGAAATTGAACGAGCTAATAGTAGCGAACAAGGCCTTTCTCACACCCGTGGACGAGGAATACGAGCATTTAGTTGGGATGTCCGGTTTCGAAGTATATACACGGCAAGATTAGGCTTCGATTAGATACCAATTAAATTGCGCTTGTTTTAGAATGCTCAGCAAAAAGTAGACGGCACCCCCGCTCTGGTGGATGTTATCAATTTAACCACCATATACGTAAGGAGGTTGATAAAGATGGCTAAGAAAATCGGAGCGTTTCGGAACATGTGCCAGGAGGACCAAGTGGCCCTATTGAAAGGCGGTTGTACCGAGATAATGTTGCTCAGAAGTACCATGAATTACGATTCGAAGAAGCAAATATGGCAGGTAATTTATCCGGAAACGTTGCTCGGCTCGTATTGACATCGACTCGTTTCCAGATACCCCATTCCGTGGAGAACCTCCGGCTCAACGTGGACATACTGAAACTGGCCAAAGGCAACATCTACATGGATCACGATAAGTTCATCAAAACCTTTTGCCCTTTGTGGAAGGACGACGAGAATATCATCCTGATCCTCGGCATGGTGCTGCTGTTTTGCCCCGATAGGCCTAAAATCGTCCACCAGGACGTGATCAAATTGGAACAGGTAAGCGAACTAAACTCTATTTAACGGTATATCGACGAGTTGTTTGATTGCAGAACGCTTATTATTACCTCCTGCGTCGGTATCTCGAAAGCATCCATCCGGGCTGCGAGGCCAAATCGACCTTTTTGAAATTAATGCAGAAACTGAGCGAACTGCGAAAGCTAAACGAGGAACTGATTAGCGTCTATTTGAATATCAATCCCTCGCACGTTGAACCGTTGTTGATTGAAATATTCGATTTGAACAATACGAAAGTGTGATTAAACGAGGCAATAATGCGTTGGGGGGTGGAGAAGAAATTGTGATACGAGTATTTTTTTTTTTTTAGATTTTTAAGGGAGATTCATCTACATACAATTTTTTTTTGTAAGAGATAATCCTTAATAATTGACACGATTTGAATTGTGTCGTATCTTCCGTACTATTAGCGTAGTAGAAAGAAACAATATTTGCATTTAATGGGTAATTTACATTATATTTTTTTATCGACTCGTTCGTGTACTGTTGCTTTAAGAAAGTTCATGCATAAGTTACAATGAAATTAACGGTAATTTATGGTAATTATGGTAATCGAACAAGACTGACAGAGTTTACGATAGGTATTTTTGGCATCTATTTGTTAACGTGCCAAAAACAATTTAAATACATTTAATTTGTACATATTTCCGCATGCAAGTTTGTTATATCTATAAGTTTCCATCGACTGAACTATAAATACTATCATAAGTTAAAATATTATATTTTTTTACACGTTTAACTCGCTCATCCATTAAAACCGATGGAATAAGTTTGTTACATTAGGTTGATGTACATATTCTATATCTAGTTATTTCCTTTATAAATCGGATATATAGTAAAATTTATATTAAAGTGGATAATTTCGCTTATCGATTACCTGGCTTCTTCTTCCCCGGATTGTCCTTCTTCCCTAATATCGGGCTGCTGCTCATGTTCCTGATGATGTTCCGGAAACTCCTGGCCTGGCTGTCGCCCAAGTAATTCTCCTGCGCTATGACGTAGAAATCGTCCAGCAAATGTTGAGGGGGCTCCACTTGGACGGGCGTAACGTTCGCCTGGGGCCCCCTGTCTATTAGAATGGCCAAACGTTCTTTCAGGGACTCGTTTCGCTCTTCGAGTTTGTTGATTTTACCTGCTTCTTCTTCGTAGCACATCAGCGTAGGCGTGGGCATGTACTGTAAAATTGAATCTTTACAATTTTTATATATATAATATTTTGAGTATACCTTACTTGTATAATTGTTGCTAGGAAATTGTGTAGCGATAATAGCAGAGTGTCTTGCCATTGTTTGGTGAAGTGGAGAGAGAACGTGGGATTCTCTTCGGGGTTCTTAATGTATGGTAAAACTGTAAGGTAATACAGTTAATATAATACAGGGTGGTTTAAAAGTTTTACGTACTGAACCAATCCTTCCATTCGCTTTGGTTTTGTAATTCATTGGTCATTTTGATGAAGAATTCGTTCATTTTTTCCGGTTTGTTGGTGACTACAGTGTTTATCAGGTACATTTTTAAAACTGCATTTTCTAGTTTTCTAACGCCTGTAACAGATAAAAATTGTTTACGAAAGGTGTACTTGTGGATTGATTTAATGCAACTTACTAGGTAGGAAATTGCTTTCTAATTTAGAAAACATGTGTCTGCTTAAATGGCCCCACAGCTCCCGCAGGGAATTAAGGTCGTAAGTGTAAATCGAGTGGCAAAGTTGCTCGATTATTTTATCTATTCGGAAACTTTTTAATTTGTCCGCTTTCAAGTCGGTATCGAATGCTTTTAATGTCGCACCGAAGCCTCTATAGAGTAGGTATTCTCGAATCAATTCGTCCAAAAATTGCGCTTGAGCCATTTTTTTAATGGGGAGAGCTTACTCCCAAATTACATTTGTTTGTGATTTTTCACGGAATAACATAACCTAAAATTAATGTAGGCCAATTGGAGTTGTCATGTCATTTTGTGACATATGTCATTTTGTTTGGGTTTTTGAGAAAAACGAAAAATGTTTGCTTTATTTTTGAGTTTTAATGTGTTTTGTAAATAATTTAACACTTTCGTTTAGAATATAAATTATACCTTATAAAAATTAGTGGTTAGATATTGTGAAAGTGGCTGAACGATTAAAACATCAAAGATCAATTGTCATAAATGTCAGTAATATTTTGTTTTTTTTTCTATAGTGTATAATTCAAACTTTTAATTCAAATGTATTGAAATGTTTACCCCTAATGAAGTGCAAAAACTTGATGATTATTTCCATTCTTCAACAATTATCGTAAGTTTTCTTAAAATTGCAAATTTAATGGGAAATCTTTTCCATTTATTAATTCTTTGAATATACTTCAACATTCTACCAGATCCGTATTTTTGTAGGCAACATCCAGCTGGCCGGTTATTAAAAAACAAGTAAGTAAAAATCCTAAACATTTATTATCTATTACCTACGACAAACGTAACAATTTCAATTGCAACTAGTTAACGAAGAACGTGCGAAAAATTTGACAAATACAATCGTTTATCTTAACTAATAGATAGGAAATATATAAACATGCACAGTACGATTTATTTTTTCGGATCTTGTATAGCTTTGGTGGCGTCGCAAGTAAATGATACAGTTATAGCGAACCTCGAGCCCTCTTGAACGCGCTCCACGAAATGGGGGTTTTCGTAACCCGAGGTGAACATCAGCACTCGCCCTTTCTTCGGTTCTACAGTCACATTTTTACTGGGCGCATCGATATCATCCATAAATACGAACCTACCTCCTTTGAAATCCTTGTTGTAATCGTTCAAGTACAGTAGGGACGTGTAATGAAACGATTCGTACGTACGCTGAAAACAAGTAAAAATATATACAAGTTATTTAGAGATTAGTTAAACCTATTATACTTTATCTACGTGCTCGTGCCAATATTCATCGTGCCTCGTCTTAGGTTCGACATTGGTTAATCGAGAGAAGAACGTAGGATAGGTTAAATGCAGACTGTTGAACTCTATTCGAAAGGCATCGGCTATAGCCGTTTGGATTTTCTTCCTCACTAGCTGGTATATTTTTCTTTCTTCCGGAGTTAGAACGTTGTTATCCCCGTTGTGAGCGTATACGTTAATGAATTTATCATTAAAAGACAGAGCGCCTGTGTGGAGGTCCATGATAGAAGCGCCACCGGACGAGCCCCCTTGCGCCATTACTACAAAATGAACAGTTTAAATGCCGCTGGGCTGTACAAATTACAAGACTATCACCTCTTATCGCTAATTTTAGCAATATATCGGCTTCTTGGGACGTTACTAATTTATCGCTGACAAATCGACCGCATTTCTGCGGGACGCATCCTTTGTAGTTTTGGATATCTTCCAGGAACTGTTTGCTGCATTCCACGTTTTGTGATCTTCGAATGTACACTTCGGATTGCTTAGCTAGTACTGTTTCTTTCGTGCTTTTCGAGAAGTACAGTATGTAAATGACTACGCCTAACAGCAGGATTCCTCTGCTCCATACTCGTTGATTGGCAAAAGAGGGCAAGGGCCCGTATTTGCTGTAACGATACAATATAAATAATAACAGTAATAGAGTTTGTTTATGTACGTACAATCTTTTCTCTTTAGATTCGTCATCGGTTTTATTCGGAGCGGGTTTTTCTTTATTTTTGTCTGTACTTTGGCTTTCTTTGTGTCTTCTGGTTACCTTTGGAGACGTCATGGTTAATATTTGTTCAATTGATATAGGTTTTTTTGTCAGCCTGTAGATATGTGAAGATTAGGTTTAAAGTGGTTCATTTCCTTATCTACCATCTAAGCAAATACTTATAAATCTGTCGAATTTAAAGTTAAGAATGATATAATGTTGGATTAATAAACAGATATATCGATATGAAATAACTAAACTTATTGATATTTTGATATTCAAAATTGTAGCGACAAATGTCAATAATCTCAAGTCTAACTCTTCTTATTTAAATGCCATCAATAACTTGCCTTTTACCTTTTATTTATATAGCAAGTCAAAACTTTGGTGTTTGACATATGAAATTGACACATTCAATTTCAAACATAAACAGAAACGTGTTTCCAAACAAAATATCGATAAAACTTTCGTTGTGTCCATTTATTTGTGAAAAATGACCGACTGGTTGAGCCTTTTGAAGACCGCCAAGAAATCCAGCATAATAGACAAGAATCTAAAAAAAGTGAGGTACGAGTTGAACACGGGACAGGAGCTGGTGGAGGAGTACAACATGGATACGGGCGTGTTGACCAGAAGAGCGTGGAAATGCACCGGTCAATTTTCGAACCAAGAGAAATGGGACATCGAAATAGGCGAGCCCGAACCGAATTACGACAGTAAAGGAGACGACGTGATCAGAGAGAGCTCCGGACAGCCGACGGTGTCCCGAAGGAACACGAAAACTAACTTGGAATGGAGGATTCGCAATTTGCCTTACCCCGTAAACACGTATACCGTAACGGCGGATACGGACGAACATTGCCTCGTCGTCAGGACGAGCAATAAAAAGTATTTCAAGAAACTCCCCATTCCGGACCTTTCCAGATTGAATATCATGCTGGAGCAGGCCAACGTGTCGTTCACTCACAAATTCAACACGTTGATTATCGCATATCAGAAACCTAAGCAACTGTTGGATTTCGAACGGGCCCTGTACGAGGAAATTAAGAATATCGAGCCCCAAAATCAGGACGCCGTAAATAACTGTCGGCCCAGTTGAATTGGCCGATTGAATTTCTTTTCGGGAGATTGGATCAAATTTTTGCAATTGATTAAAAATAATTTATTAAATAAATAATTTGTGTGTACGAATTAATTACAATAAAGGAATTATCCGAAGTTTTCGAAGTGATGGATGAAATAGGGCAGTTTTCTGGCGGTGTTTACCTCGTCGCAGGCGGACATGACGCTCTTCGTTAGAGGCCTCGGTCCACAACTGAAGACACCTATTTTGCTTACCTAAAAGGATTTTGTAACGTAAAATGTTCTAATAAATCGAATTCAAAACTCACGTAGCTGTGTCTTTTCTGTACGAATTTTAGGAAGGAAGTCATGTCGGGCCTTCCGAAGTGATTAACAGCCTTCAAACCGGTGAATATGGAAGTTTTCGACAGCCTTTGGAAATGGTTCTCGCAAATATACAACATCGTCGTCCTCAGATCGAACTTGTGGAAAAATTGCGTTATGAAAATGTGAATTTCCAACACGTTAGTAACGTCCTTCTTCTCAACGTCCCGCAGCACGTCGATGAACCATTCGAAGTGCTTGTGCGAAGGGCATATCCACAGGAAGTAGACCTTCTTGCAGGCTACCCCGGAGTACCGGTTGGTGGACGTGCCGAACACCAAATCGTTGAGTATCGAAGCGTAGGGCGTCACGCCGATGCCCCCTCCTACCATAACGGCCACCTGGAATTTGTACCAGTCTTGATTTCCTCCCCCGAACGGCCCCTCCAGCAGTATCTTGGGCTGGTCTTCGGGATCGTAATTGCAGGGGTCGAAGTAGTTGCGCAACTTCCACGTCCAAGGCCCTAAACAGAAACGATTTCAATGACGAAATTTGCAAGACTTTTAGGGTACCTTGTGCTTTGATGTGGCAAGATAGGAAGTTCTCGTGCGGCGCCGATGTTAGGGTAAACGAGTGAAATTCGTAATTGAAAGCTGTACAGGCCAATCGGACCCATTGTCCTGATAGGTACTTCAAATTGGGCGGTCTGTAGAACCTGATTTTGATCACATCGGATGGTAACAATTCCGTTTCGAGAACGTCCAATGGGATGTACCTGGTGCGTAAGCTAACCACCTAAAAATGCACCATATCAGTCGCATATTTACGATCTATTTTTACGCGTACCTTATCGATTGTGAATATTATACCGGGTACGATAAAAAAGTACCAAAACCTTGGAGCTCCGGTTAATCTCGCCAAGCCGTGTATCAAACACAGTATATAAAACGCTATGTACAAACTGTGAGTGAACCAGAAGAATTTGTACGCTTTCTTGCGTACCGTAGGATGAGCGAACACGATTATTATGCACATTATAACGAACAATAACACACCAGTAATACCTACAAAATTGGTAAAAATGTATATATTAAAAATACATAGACAGAGTTGTTACCTGTGATAGTTTGGAACAACCAAAAGGCGATGCCCGGCTTGTAATCGGCCGGGAACCGAACCTCGTTGGTGAGGCACTTGAGATTCTCCACGGGCTGCGTGGAGACGTGGTAGAAATTCACGATGTGCCCGACGGTGTGCAGCAGAGAGAAGAAGAGCGCCGTGCAGGCGGCGATCTTGTGGAACTGTATGTTGGCGTCCAACGGTACGTACTGCTGCACGGCGAACTCCTTCAATTTCGTTATCAGATTCCTCGACATCGTCAGCAACAATACGCTGTAGCAGAACGACAGCGAAGCGGCCGAGCCCCTGGTGATGGCTATGCCGACGCCCATGATGTGCCTGAGGTCCGTGTGCTCCGTCATGAACGAGTAATCTATCAATAATTCCTGTTAAATAATGCGTAATGAATAGATGTCGCGAACGTACGTATGAATCTTTCGACGAACAACAGTATGGTGACGACGTAGAAGAGGAACAAATAGAAAATGTTCTGTCGATTCTCCTCGAGGAAGGTGACGAGCGCGTCCCATTTGAGCCGGACGAAGGTCTTCTGGTCGTCGGTGCTCGGCTCTATGTGGAAGCTGGTCATGCGCGCCACGTTCGTCGACATGTCGAGGAAGTTCTGCTTGGCGCCCTTGCAATCCAGCCCGATGGCTATGAAGTCGCCCTTGTACTCCTGCATCAGCACTTTGAAATCGCCGTAGGTCAGGTAATTGTTGTACTCCAATCCGGCATCCTTGAAATCGACATACACCATGTGAATGATTCCACAAGATATCAACGATTTGTCTACTACCTGAAACATCCCGTCGATGAGTTGGGTAACGTGATCGTCGGATAGACTGGTGGTTCGGGCGATTTCCACCAGGGAGCGCAGCATCTCGGACAGTTCCTTCTTGTCTATTTCGCCGTTTCTGTCGTTGTCGCACATATCGAAGATTATGCGCAATTTATCGTCGGTAGCGCCGCGCGAAAACAGCACCACAGTATCCAAAAACTCCTACAACAACACCCGCTATATCTATTAACCGTTACTTTTACGTAACGCCCACCTCTAACGCGACTTAATATACGTCAACCGATAGGGATGAAAGCGTTGTGATAGAGGTGGGTGTGCATAAAAATACCGTCGCCGTTACCCGTTACGTACTTGAAAGGAGATGCGACCGTCTTTGTCTTTATCGACGATGTTGAACATTTTGGTGACGAAAACGGCGTCGGGTTTCATGCCGAGCGCGCTGGCGAATTCGGCCTTGGTGAGGGAGGTCCTCATCACCGTCACCACCTCCCCGTCGACGCTCGGATCCGACCGGCGCCGACGCTCGCCCGGCTTCAGGCCGAACGTCAGCGCGTACGCCTCCCTGAAGAAGTGCTCCAGCTTCCTCTCTCTGCGCTGGCGCGTCTCCGCCTTGGCCAGCAACACTTCTCTCACGATCTGCAACGCAATCAACGCCGATATAACGATTCGTTCGCGGCTTTTCAGGTGCTTACGGGCGTGGAAAACAGGTTTTTTTTGTTGGAATTGAGGAACGTCTCCAGCTTGTGCATGAATTTCTTCTTGGAAGCGACCGAGTCCATTTCGAGCACCAGGTCGTAGTCGCGGGGCACGTGCAACAGCACGATGGGTTTCTTGTTGGAGGTGACGTTTAGGGATTCCTCCACGACGACGGTGTCGACGTGCCGCAGGTCGATCGTTCGCAGTTTCTCGCCCTTCCGCTCCAGCACGTGCACGGCCACGTCCGGCCCGAATTTGATCTTCACCGCCCGCTTGTGGCTGGCGTGCAGCCATTCTGAAATCAACCGATGGCTGTAGACGTGTTCCGTACGAGGCCTACGCGGAAAAGAAGATGAAATAAGGGTAATTTACCGGTAACTATCATGGTGTCGACGGGTAGTTTGACGTCGCCGTTTTTGAGTTCCTCTTGCTTGATCTTCAGCCGGCGCCTCTTTCTGTTCTGTAATTTCACCACTCCGTATCCGGCGCCTGCGCACAGTATGGGCACGAAGCCGAGGAATAGGCAGGCGTAAATGAACACCAATTCGTTACCCTACAAAAAACGTTTAATAGAAGATAATTAATTGGCGTATAGAGATTATTACCTCGAAGTAATCGTAGCCGGTGATGACTTTGCAGGGCTCCATCAGGGAGTTGTTGAGTTGCATGGGTTGGGGACAGGGATCGCCGGTTTGCCAGTAGAAAACGTTCCGTTGTATGGCGCTCGGGGATATACCGGTGCTGTTGATGATGATGTCGTATAGGGTGATTTTTTTAATCTCCTGTATTTCCTCTTTGCTGAACACCCTGCGAGATACGAGCGTTAGATGTTTTTGGAGTTTTCGTCGAGAGAAAACTTACTGGTTTTCCTCGTTTTCGAACCAGAATCTATCGGCGTCGCGCAAGCGCAGGAATTGCTCTTTGATGACTTTGGTGAACAGCTCGCCGGGGTTCCCGTAGCTCTCCAGCATGCCGCCCACGTAAACGTCCACGTTGTCTATGTTGTTGTTGTATTCGGAGATTAGGGCCTTCAGGACGGCAGGGTTCTCTTCGAAGAAGGCCCTGTTGATGTCCTCCCATCGCTCGATTTTGGGCAAGCCTGGCGGTGATTTACGAAAATTATCCCGCGGCTCGATGATAATGCTTTTTTTAAATTTCGTCGTAAATCGGTTAATTTTTGAAGTTTCATACGGTTTACGTGTGAAACGGAACGAACTGTGCATATAATTTAAATAGGCAATATTCACGTACTTCCATTGAAAATAAATTATCGGAAAAAATACTACTGTAGGCGCTATTGTATTGTAATGAAAACAGATCTGACGTTCGTCTGAAATTAATATTCTCGTATATTTACAATAATTAGACGAAAGGGACGAGGGGGTAGCGAGCAATAAATTATTTAACCTATTGCGATTAATTCGTATTTTCGGCACCGTCCCCGTGAATTTACAATTCACAACGAAGGTCGGGTAATTCTTTTTGATTGCGGCAATTATCTATTTTGAGAGACACGTATGCAAAACGTAGTTCACTTTAATACCTAATAATTTACTTTTGACTTTTGAATCAATTGACTCTGCAATTGAGTATAGTTATCAAAAAAATTAATGTGCATTCTACACCGTATCAGTTTACTCATTTTGATACACTAATAAAACATACTTCCTTTTCTGTTTTTTTAATGATATCGTTTTATTAGTATGCCGTGACTGTCATTGTCAATGTCAATCGTAGTGAAATATCATACTGGAAGTTTCGTGAGTTATGTCAAAAAAGGTTTTTTCAAATGCATTTTCTTGGTGTAGATTTTCGAAAATATTCCACCACCACAAGCAAATACGATTTATGCTAAACCTTATTTAAATTTGAACTTCCTATAAGAATAGAAAATCACTGACCGTACGCGACTCGTACTGTATTGTAATCCGGCAAGCCGTTATCACGGCCACGCATGATATTAATAGCGCCCAAGTCTCTCCTGGAGAACTCCATCGGCCCGAACAGTTTATCCCTAACGTCCGAGCACAGCAGCGAATCCTCGCGCTCCGCCAGTTGCGAAGCCATCCCCATCAGCAGCTCCTCGATGGAATTGTTCGTCAGCACCTCCTGAAAACGCAACACATTACAGAGGCCGCCCCGAAACGAAGAGCAATATCCTTCGTACGTTGGAGTCCCACCAGGTGGAGCACAGCCTCAGGGCGACGTCTCCGGCGGGGGTCCTCTTGAAGTTGCACCGCGAGTCCCGCCTGTAGAGCCCCGGCGGTATGAGCGAGTGCCCGAACCGGAAGGCGGCGCTCTGGAAGACATGGGTCACGCCGGGGTGCACGTCGGGCCTGTAGCCCCCGTACGGGGGCACCTCCGCCTCCAGGAAGGCCGGCAGGTACTCGTAGAGCACGATGTTCTGGAACGATCATCGCGTATATTGCATCTTCGATTCGAGCGTTATCGCTATCGGAATGTTCGATGTTCTTTTCAAGAAAAAAATCGCTTACTCTGCGTTTGAAACCGAAACTGTTTAAAGAATTTGATATTCCAATATCTAACAATCGAATTTGTTACACAATCGATTTTGTACGAGGGTAGGGTGAAAAGTTAGGGCGCTCCAATCGGCAACAATTTTTATTTCCTCCTCCAATTGTTTTAGAACTGTCTAGAAATATTTAGAATGTTCCAGAATTATTTAGAATTGCTTGGAATCATTTAGAACTGTTTAAAACCATTAAGAATGCTTCAGAATCATTCAGAATGCTCCATATTTATTTAGAACGCTCCGGAACCATTTAGAACTGTCTTGAAATAAAGATTATGACTTAATAAGAAGAATAATGTAATTTTTTTCAACTGAAAATCGCGATCTTTCATTGTCAGGCCGAGAACTTTTCACCTTACCTTTGTAAATACATATCTATTTATTATTTAGATGTTATCTTATGGAATTGTCTAATCGAGGTGTACAAATGCGCCGAACAAGGTAAAAAAAATAATAAATAATAAAACGCGAGTTGTCAAGGCGCCTCGTAAAATTAAACGCGGTTAAAACAGAGTTCTGCGTACAGAGAAAGTATGAGTTAGCAAAAAAAATAAAACAAAAATAATCTCGACTTTCGTTGCGGATTAAAACGATTCGATACAAAAGTAGAAATGAATTAGAATGGAGACGGTTCGATGGCGTTTTTATCTCCGAGAGGTCCCAAGGTTAAACATTCAAATAAATAGCTCGACAACTTTTACGTTCTATCTTATCGCTAAATTTTTATTCGATTCAATAAATCATCGTAAGTGCTCGTTTTCTGTTTTATAGAAAAATGAGTTGTCGAAATTGTTTGGCTCACTCTGTATGTAAAAGGAACATCGAAATTTCGATTGCTTTTGCCGTGAAAAATGTACTTGCAAGGTGGCGATGACGATGCGCCTGGCTTTCTGGAAGACATCTTCGTCGCTCCAGTCTGGATTGTGCTTGCTTATCCTGGACGCTACGACGTTGTGCCAGCGGAAAAACAGCACGCTGATGGTCAACAGGGCCGGATTTTGATTCGTACGAGCGTCTCCTAGCACTACAAACACACATAATTACTTATTTGTCAAGTCACCCTGTATTTATGCTTTTATAGCACCACCCTGTATATTCCTAATTGTGCTACTGCATGCATTCTCTTGGTATATTTAGAATTACAACACTCTGTATAATGCAATGTGTAATATTGGAGGTCAAGAGTATCGTAAACTTATAAGAAACTTGTTTGAATTTGGGCCACTGTATATTTACGCGTTTATAGCACCACCCTGTACATTCCGACTGGCGCTACTGCATGGATTATTTTGATATATTTGCAACACTCTCTATAATGTAAAGCGTAGTATTGGAGGTCATTTTTAATAATTAAAAGAAGAAACTTTGTTAGTGTTTAGGCCACCCTGTATTAGTACTAATTGCGACTGTTACGAATTTCTGGAAACTACACCCGAGTACTTTTGCCGATTTAATCAAAATCTACGTGTTAATTACGAAAAGATGATAGATTAAATTGTATTATCGCTATCGAATATTTAATGCGGGTAATTGTTATTCGATATGTTCAAGGCCGGAGATGATTAAAATAACAAAAAAACCGATTACATTTTTTTTCAAATTGCTTTCTTTCCGTTTTTAAATTGCAAATTGTTTTGGTTCGGTTTGGCCTTTTATCTTGTTGCCTGCCAGACTTCGCTATCTGCAAATCCGTGTAAATATTACATATTTTTCAGCCCATTAAGCTAAATCATCATGAGTGTTTTCTGCGTGATAATTAACCCCGTAGCCGATACAAAGAAGAATATTCCGCTAATAAAGTAAGTGTAATTAACTGTATTAATTCAGCTACGGCGCGACAGAAATAACTGTAGATCTATACGCACGTCTACAGCTAATCCCGTCGGTCTGTAGCCACTAATTACGGAATGTTTTTCGTGAAAATTCAAACTAAACACACAATTATAGGAGCTTATAACGTACTATTAATTCGTTTCGAAGGCCGGCATGTGTTCTTACATGCACATACCTCGTTCAAGATAGAAATAATCGTATTTAAATTTTTCGTTTTGTTGAATTTAATTGCACATTTGCGGGTGTAATTAACGAAGTAATTACGTGTTGTAATACGTCACGTTCTTATCGAAGATTCACAGTTAAAAAACTGACGAAATGCATCGTTCCCTGTTCGGTCTACATTATTTTAAAATCGTGAATTTATCGGCGCTATTTGAATATTAAGCAGTTGACATTGGAGTTTATTTGCATAATTTTTTTTCAACGTTTCATTCGTAATTAAGCTTAGAATTTTTGTTAGATAAGCATGACTGAAGCGTTGCGGTGGAATTTTTACAAATAATAAATAAAAGTTCTATAAAAATCACACCATATCGTTAAGATATTAATTGATTTTGGGTGCTAAAAATACATGCAAAGTAGATTGATTTTTTTTTAAATTATTTCGAGCGGTTTCGTGTAAACACGTGTTGAATTAAATATGAATTACATGTACGTATGCAGACTGTTTATAAAGTAAAATCTAAGTCAGCTTTTGTGACTTGTGAGGCGATTATAATTTCAAATGGGAAACAATGGTGATTGATAGATTTAAATTGATAATTGGATATTTGACGAAATTCCGTTTTTAGCGAATAACAAAATTATAAACGAATTCGTCGGGCGCGAAAGAGAAACTTTTAATATGTAGAAATTTGGTTGTTTACCGGTAAGGTAATTAGAGTAATTTGTTTTTACGAATAGCGCGATTTCCGAACAATACATACGTTTTTAACTTTGTTAATTGTAAATTAAAATGCTGAAAAGTCCAAAATAATATGTTTATTAACCTAATCTTATCATTTACATCATATATCATTATTTTATTGTAGTTTTTTACATAGATATCCAATCTTTTCAAATGCAATATCACAATAATATAGTTTGCGTGTTTCATTACGACATTTAAATATGAATTATATTTTTCATAATTACCAAACATTTTCATAAAACCAGTTTTGGAATGAAAATCGAATGTTCATATCCTTGAATAGACAATTAACCGATATTTCTAACTAAAAAAATTACACAGTACATCACAATTTTATAAGTATTCTTTCGTGTGTGATTTAATTTTTTTAATTTAAATACAAAATAACTAACGACTTAAAATCTAACAAGACGCCATTCGAACGGATTCAAATCGCTCCAAGTCGCGTACAAAAAAAGAAACTGCTGCTTTCTTCCTAATAAACTCGAAAATAAAAAAAATAGAATAAATCGATTAATCGACAAAAATCGACGAATAAAATAAAATTGGCTAGTCGAAACAACATAAATTAACTCCACACATCGGCCGACAGGCGTTTCTGCGTCTCCATTTTCTTCAAGAACGCCACCGCCTGCTCCTCGCTCATCTGGCCCTTCTCCTGCAGGATCCTCGTCAGTATGGCCCTCACGTCCGTCGCCATCGACTTGGCATCGCCGCAAATGTACACGTGCCCGTTCTGCTCGCCCACCACCCGCCACAGCTCATCGGCCTGCTGCTCCAGCAGGTGCGTCACGTAGACCTTCTGCGGCTGGTCGCGCGAGAACGCCAAGTACATCTTCACCAAACCGCTCTTCTCGTACCCCATCAGCTCCTCCTCGTAGATGAAGTCCTCCTTGCGCTTCCTGCAGCCGAAGTAGAGGATCGTCTCGCCCACCGGCTTGCCGTCCTGCTTGCAGACGTCGCGCTCTTGGATGAAGCCCCTGAAGGGGGCGAAGCCTGTGCCGGGGCCGATCATGATGATGGGCGTCTGGGGCTTGGTGGGCAAGCGGAACTGGGATTTCCTGATGAATATCGGCACGGCGGGCAGCTCCTTTTCGGCGTCGGGGATCTTGCGCTTCAGCCAGGTGGTGGCGACGCCTTTGTTGTGGCGCCCCGTCGGCGTGTCGTATTCGACCACGACGGCTGTGATGTGCACGGTGTTAGGGTAGAGCCTCGGCGACGAGGAAATCGAGTAGTATCTCGGTTGGAGCCGGGGCAACAGTTCGCAGACGTGGTCTAAAGCCGGGTGGCACGATGGCATATCTTCGAGTATGTGTACGATGTTTCTGTTGTCTTCGATTATCCATTTTTGGTATAGAGCTTTGCCTTCGGGCGTGGTCGTAGACATGAGTTTTAGTTTCTCTTTTTCGTTGGGATCCGAACAGTATTCGGCGAGTTCTTTCAGTACGTGCGTTCTCGGGTTGGATGTTATGTCGACGTAGTGCAGCAAAGCCGTTCTGTAGGTGCACGGGCACGGGAAGGGATGCTTCTTGCTGGAATCCTCGTCGGTGTTTATCAACGAGAATATGGTGTTGAGATCTTTGCTGCAATATTTGCCGATTTTCTCGACCAATTCGATGTCGTTGATGGGGTACACGGCGACGTGATCGCCCGCATCGTATCGCATTTTGGAGCCTTCGATGTCGAATTCGATGTGCATGCAGGATCTCTCGCCGGTTTTGTGCAGCTCTCTGTTCACTTTGATTTTGGCGAGGAATGGGTTTTTGGAATCGAACGGAGGCCGTTGGTTTTTGATCGAATGCAATCGGGCCATCTCGCCGGTGAATACCCTATCGGGCGCCTCGTCGTACTCCTCCAATCGGTATTGTCTCATGCTGATATCCTCGCCGGTCGATTCGATGCCGAAGTGTTCGCACACCGACGGCCAGAATTTATCCTTCCACGTGATGAAATCGTCTTCGATGTTGGCATCGTCGTCTCCGAGGCCCAGCTCGTACAGTCTGGTAGCGCCGAGCTCCTCCATGCGCTTGTCCACGTAAATGGCCACTTTGTTGTAGTGCTCGTAGGTTTTGTTGCCCAGCCCGAACACCGCGTAACACAAACCGGACAGATCGGCGTCGCCGTTTTGCAGCCACTCGTAGAACTCCATGGCGTTGTCGGTGGGATCGCCTTCGCCGTAGGTGGCTAGGCAGAAGACCGCCAAAGAGTTTGGTATGTTTTTTAGATTTACTAATTCTTCCATGTCGCATTCTTCTGGATCGGCTACCATACCTTTCATGCGGTATCGAGCGCCTTCTTTGGCTAATCTACCGGCGAATTCTTCGGCTGTGCCCGTTTGACTGCCGTAGAATACCACTAAACTCCTTCCGGACGATTGTAGTTTCTTGATGAAAGAGTTATCGGTGGAGCTTTGAAGACTGATGGAAGTGGGTTGTATGGAGTATGATCTACCATTAGCCACGGCGGTGGTTTTCTTGTGTTTTCCCATCAGATACCAGCCGATTCCTCCGACGATCAAGGCCAGTAGAATCATATCGAGGGGCCCGAACAGGCTGTCCGTAGTCTCGGGTATCTGTTCCTTACCGATAGTCTCCGCTTCCGATTGATCCATGTTGGCGAACACGCAACTAATCCAATACACGAAAGACACGAGCATTGTTGTATTGTGTTGTTTTTATTTTTCTATCTCGAACGCGAAATTGAGCACAACCTCACCGAGTCCACATACGCAATTAAGCGACAGGTCGGCCTTGAAATGCACGAACCGATGATTATTCTACGACCGGACGAGAGAGCGACTCGCACGCGTACTGGTTCAGCTTCGACTAACCGAACCGACTAAAGTGAGAGTCATCGGGCCCGATCATTATGTTAAATACGGTATTGTGTCGGGTGACGTCGACTTGATTTTTAAGTACATAATTGATTCGATAGCCCCCTTTACGTACGTTCGTTACGTTTGCGCTCGTGCGCCTTTTGATATAAATGAAATTTTGTCGATTTTATTTATTCTTATCGGGCTGGCATCGCGTCCGAAACAAATAAAGACACAACAAAACTACCTGTTGAAGATATATGAAATATGACAAGTTGTAGGTTATGTGATTATATGTCAAAATGCGAAATGTCAAATGGCGGGTATGGCTACGGTTACGTCACCGGAATGTTAATTTGGAATTTCGATTTTACATAGGTTTATGAACGAAAACGGTATCGTACTTTTGTATTTATAAATAATTAATTTGTAAAAAAAGCGATAAGATAGGAATTTTCCTTAGAATAGTCCGAAGGTATTTTGCTAATTATTGAAATTTCCACTTCCGGGATTCTCTTCGCCATTAGTTGCTTTCCTTCAATCACGTAATATTTTTCGTTTAATTCGGTCTCAAAGTTCAGGGTAATTTAAATGCGCTCGTTCGGAATAAAACTCAATAAGTAATCTAACGAACGGGTAATATTTCCGTAAGTTCAAGTCCCTCTATTGTCTTTCGAAATATATTCATCCAAGTATAATATAAAAGAAAAAAACAAAAATCACTTATGCCTTGCAATAATTTTGCGTAATTTCTTATCGTATGACGTAATAAAAACAATAAATTTCACAAGAACCATAGACTAATAGATGACAAGAACTTCAAGACAAGAACGACAAGATATCCTAGTAGGTATGCAACACTTTTTACACCAATGACAGAACACAGTATAAATGTAATTTCTCACGAAATGTACTTACAAAATAGCCGTTCGGTGCTGAATGTTTTCATCATGTGCGGCACGGGGTAGTTAAAAAGCGGCACCCTCATGTAATTCAACACCGGCATTTTCCCCGAAGCGTCCGTAAGAAACGAGCCGTTTTTAAACGAACGCATGGTATTCACCCAAGGTTCGCTCGTGCTGTATATGAAACTCCCGTCTATCCAACTCGTCACTTGATTTACCTATGAAATTACAAGAAAACCAGCGTTCTAAAAGCACCACTTTACGCTCCAAATACCTGCTCTCTGGGGCTGTTGGGGCTCTGCCCCGTTCTACCATCGTAGCTAGCCCTGTGGAACGGTATGTACTTGCCGCCCTCGCACCTCTCGTCGTACATTTCATCGCACTTTTCCACCTCGATGCGGTGCATCTCGATGGGGCAGCCGCTCTCGCTGGCCATCACCATCTCCGACGTGACCAGTTGCCCGAAGAACGCCAGCAGGGCCGTCCTGTTCCTGAGCGAGCCCAGCCCGTCGGCGCCCTTCATGAAGAGCCTGCTCAATTTGCGCGGGCTCGGCCTGTTCTGGCCCGACAGCATGTACACGCCGTCCGAATAGGCCGCCGGCGCTCTTCTTATCAAATGGCTGTCTGAAATTTATTCCGATGATTTGTATTTATTTATCGTGGGAGATCTATAGATAAATTGGGCGCATGAATATTTCAGGTAGAAAAGGGGATTATTTAGAGTTTTAGTGTTCATTGCAAACTTTGTAAGAAATTGAAATTTACATTGTAGGCTATGGTAGAGTAGAATAGAGTTAGAAGCGAGTAAAAGAGAGTAGGGCAGAATAGTAGGGCAGATTAGTAGGGCAGAGTAAAGTAGAAGAGTGCAGAGTTTAGTAGAGTGGAAGAGAGTAGGACAGAGTAAAGTAGAAGAGTGCAGGGTTTAGTAAAGTGGAAGAGAGTAGGGCAGAGTAAAGTAGAAGAGTGCAGGGTTTAGTAGAGTGGAAGAGAGTAGGGCAGAGTAGTGTAGGAAATAGTATAATTGATTAGAAGACAGTAAAAGAGGGTAGGGTAGAGCAGAATAGAAAAGGCTAAAAGAGAGTAGGGTAGAGTAGATTCTATTTCGATTACTAACTTTCATTGAAAGATTTTTCGTGATGCCGACGTTGTTTATGTTAAAATTTAATCAATTTTATCTTTGCGCTGACCTTAGTCGCGGTTTTTGGGCACGATCGCCGCGTATTTTTCTTGGTAAAATTGTTTATTCATTAGCCCCAAAAAATATATCAATTACAATGCGAAAAAAGGTAATTTCGAAGAGGTAATTAATTTCATTAAGGCGATTATGTAAACAGGAAACGGACAAAAAATAATGCGATATTTAAAAATCGAGGTGTAATACACAAATACCGAATAAATTAAAACAATATAAATATACAATTTATTTTATTGTTGTTGTATTTCATTATATTTAAAATCGGCTAGCGATAAAATTAGGAAAAACTATTTCCGGAAGGGTATATCTAGTCGAATAAATTTTGTTAAAAGGTTAAAAATTAATTCCTTGTAAAAGGATTTCGAAAGGCAATCGAAATATCAAGAGTGGACTTCAATGATATTAGATAGTTAAGTAAAAATCTAATTATCCACGATTTGACCCAAATCCCAAGACCAGCACCTAGATAGCCTAAGGCCTTCAAGGCCATTTTCTTCACCGGTACGAGACCTATTACAGTTCTATATTTGCATCACGGATATTACGAACGCATTTACTCGGCATTTGCCACTCAAATTTCTTCAGTTTGTTAATTACACATTCTATGTAGGATATCAATAAAAGAAACTTACCTACGGAACCCCATTCTGGATGGGCTAGATTATTAAACCAGCCGTCGTGTCTCTGCTTTTCCGTTTTACTTATGATCCCGTCTGAAAGAGGAACATTCATAATAAATTACGAATTAATTGCGACATGTTTAAACTTTCGTAGAATCGCTAAAAAAATTAAATTAGCGATTGTGTCAGGGATATCCGGGTAGAGTCGAGTACTAAATATTTTATGTACAATACATTATTAGTTTTTTTTTCGCGACGAATCGCGAATTGGAATTACATTGTTGGCGATCGAGAGATTAACGGGGCGATTAATCATTCCGTTAACAATTTAATTGTCTCTCGTAATTGATCAGCTCCTGAAATTCTTTTTTTCTCGTATCTCTCGCTGATGAAATAATGTAATGCAAGGTTATCGCCAATTAATTAAGGATGTTAAAAGGTACGCGTATTGTTGTTGAAATTATTTTTGTTTGTACGTATTCAAATGCTAATTTACTCGTATACGGTTAAAACGGTTAATTTATTCCAAAAACTCGGTTTTTTTTTCGACTCACCTGAGCGATAAATCGCAACAACAAAGAGCACGAACAGCGATAAAATTACCATCTCGACACTTTTTTGTCACCACTCCATCCGTTTCGAATCCGAATCCTCACCTACCGCAATATTTTTACTCCCTTAACAATCGAACGCGCCCTTTATTAATTATTATATAAATTCATCGCGGTCGCGCTAGCCATACTGCACAATCTTGTTACTCGAAATTTGCGTTACGATTTTTTTTTCTCGACGACCAGATTGCCACAGCGGATCCACTTTGGTTGATACTCGGCGTACACGCAAAGAGAAAGTAGGTATATTGTATTAGCTGGTGCTGGCGCGAGCGTATCCCCGCTTTAGCAGCGAAGAGGTTGAGCACACGATTGAAATTAAGAAATTACTGGCACATATTTTATGTATATACTCTGTGTGATTGCCGGCCGATCGAGAAGAGAATGGGTAGATTGTGTGAATGATCGAAACGGTTCGTTGCGACATTTTTCATGAATGGGAATTTCGAAAAAAAAAATTATCGAGTGCGTACTGTGTGAATAATTGAGTTTTTTTTTGTATTAATTATTGAGACATTTTAATGGGAAATGTGGGAAGATAATTCTCATCGAGTTTCAGTATTAATTTTATTCAACAATTATATTTATTTAAATACGCTTTTTTTAACAATAATACATTATATAAAATATACTTTTATAGTCTATAAGTCTATAAGGATTTAATCTGTTCGGAACTACTCGAAGTAATCTTCAGTTTTAAATATCTCTAACTGTTGATTAGGTTCTTTTTTGTCTAAGGTTTTTTTCTACAAAATTCAAATAACCAATTTAATTTCCCTTGAATTTTTTCGTGCATAACTTAAGAATTTATACCGTTAAACACGCTTTAAATCGAACTAATCGAATTACAATCCAACAGGAATTAACTCATTTTTAATGGACATTTCAATAAAATTTCTTTGTATAATAATAAGCACTCCTTCCCAAGTATGAGTACCTTCTCGAGGTATTCCTGTTGAACTGTCCTATTATTAAGTACTTACAAATAGCGGTGTAAAAATCTGCGTGACTTTAGAAGTTTTCTCGGCACATCCTAAATTCGTTTCGGCTTTATCCATTTCGTTTTCTAAATCGTTCAAATTGGATTTCATATGGCCGATTAGTTTTTCGAACGTATCGATCTTATCGCAGAGATTATCGAATTCGCCTCGGTAATTCGGAATAGACGTCAGAATATCGGTGAAATCTTGCTGGTCTTGCGCCAGAGAAGTCATCGTCGTCTCGATATCTTTAAGCCTAGTTAACATTTCCTCGATAGATGCATTTAACGGAGTCGCCTAAAGTACGTGTTTTTACCGATAGATTAGGTTCAGATGAAGTTACTTACCAGTGAATTAATGTCGGTTTCTAGATAATTTTTGTAATCTTTTGCCGTTTTCTCTATATGTTCCATTTTAAAATAAATATTTGAGTATTTATAAACAAAACACAACCTATATTTCTTCTCTTCTTTGAATATCAAGTGACAGTTGTCCTGTTGTGTATTGGCAAATCAGCCAAGCTGTCAGTGATTAAAAAAAAGGGTAACTCTGGAGTGGTTCGGTGTAAGGGTTGGAAACGAACTTGTACGGGCGACGGTGGTGCCATCTGGCATTGCGCATGTGTTTCAGCGAGCGCCGTGTGAAGTGATGGACGTTGGCGTTTGCGAATAAATTTTTTGATATTTTGAAAATTATCCCGAAATGGTATCTCCAAAGGCGGTGATAGGGATTTGTGCGGGTGTATCGGCGACGATATTCCTTGGATACTGCATCTACTTCGATAAACAGCGCCACAACGATCCCGATTTCAAGAGGAAACTAAGAGAAAGTACGTGTGTGTGTGTGTGTGGTATTCGATTTAAAGGTTATGCGACCGTACTATTAATTAATTTTTAGAACGGCGAGCGAAGCGGGAAGCCTCGAATTGCAAGAAGAACAGCACTGTGTTCCCGGACATGAAGGACCACGAGGCCGTGCAGAAGTTCTTCCTACAGGAGATCCAATTGGGCGAGGAGCTACTGGCCGCCGGCGACCTTGAGAACGGGGTCGACCATCTTGGCAATGCCGTGGCCGTTTGCGGCCAGCCCAACGATCTGTTGCAAGTGCTACAGCAAACATTACAGCCCAGCGTGTTCCATCTACTGATCCAAAGACTGCCGTGTGTGGCGCCCCGATTGATGAAGGGCAAAACGGGGGGACTGCAAGAGGACGACGTCGAATAAACTATTCGGCGTAGCCTCCTCCTCATCGGGCTGGTCTCGTTTCGTTAACTCTCGTTAGATTTTTTCTAGATACCTGTCACCTCATTGTTGCCGTATCAAAGTAATAAATATGCCGATTGCTCGAGCAATACAATAATTAGTCGAGTTTTTTGTATTTAATTGTGTAAATGTACTTGGATGCTATTCGATACAGATGTGGTAAAAGTGAATCGTTAATTTATTGTAAAATTCAAAAGAGATATTTACGTAGAAAATATAAATGATATATTTGTGAGTGTTGTTGTTTCTTTGCAATTCATATCGAAATAAAGCTGAACAAACGTTATTTAATGGCTGTTATTGTGTTAATTAACATCATTCTCGTGAATATTCGAAATATTGTTGCCAAAATTCCTTCGATTGACATCTAAGCATGTAAAGCGGCTTTTACTTGAGCTTGCTGGAAATGGTGTTGTAATCTTTGTAGACTTTCTCTGTGGGTGTCTTGTTTGTTCTCCAAACCTCCAATGATATCGTCGATCCGCTTCAATTCTTTGCTGATGTACTCCATTCGTTTGGTTACGTTTTGTTTGGCTTCGACCAAATCGGTTTTAATCAGAACGGGCCCTACCGATTTGTACACTTTACCATCGCTGGGCAACAGCTCCAATTCCTGTTTTACTAATTCGTTCTCGTTCAACTGGCTGTCGAGCTGCTGTCGACTTTGTATAGTTTTTTGCAATTCTATAAATAAGTTTGGTTAGGAACCGTTCGTTCCAAGTGTTTTCTCGTTCTTACCTTTTTGAGTTTTCTTGAAATTGTCTAATTCGTTCTGTAATTTTCTTTGAATATCGTCGCTCATTTTGAATGTTTTTAGTAGGTTTATAGGTGCACTGTGCACTAGCGAAAAGAAAGTATTTGTTTGCAAAATGTGAAAATTTCTATTTGCTATAAATAATTCAACTAATCCAACTAGTCAACTTGAAGTTTGACAGTTGACACAATTAACTAACCGAATAACTTTTAGTACGATTAATTTTTAATTGAAAAGAAGAAGAGTTTTAAATTTGTAGTTTAGGCCCTAACCTAACTTACCCAACTCGGAAAGAGAAAAAAAGACTGCAGACAACATACTAAATTGACGATTGAAAATGGTACATTTTAAAACGTTATAACTATTACAATAAACGTGTTACAACGTTTAATATTCTAGTTCTTTTACACAATGGCAAGTCTCGAATTTAAATTATTTAAAATCCGTAATTATGTGTTTCAGGCGCACACGATATTACTGGTACAGCCGGGTTCTAATCCAGAAACCAGGACCTACACGGATTACGAGTCCTTTAACGAGTGCTTGGAGGGAGTGTGTAAGATATACGAGAAGCACTTAAAAAGGCGCAATCCGAATACCCCAACGATTAGCTACGATTTATCGCAATTGTTTGACTTCATAGACCAGGTACAGTATACGAGTGAAATACTTCGAGAATTGGTTGAATTTAGCGATTTGTTTCAGCTTGCGGATTTAAGTTGCTTGGTGTATCAAAAGTCTGTTAACGCTTATGCTCCCTACAATAAGGATTGGATAAAAGAGAAGATTTATATATTGATGAGGCAAGCGGCTGGCGCCCCAGCAGTTTAGGTTGTACATATTTTTAATATAATTAGGTTTACTTTTTTAAGCTATCCGTTAAGTTTTCTATCAATAAATTGTCGAAATCTCAAAAAGCTCGGCTAAAATACACTTATATTTCTTTCTTGAATGTTACAATTCATCACGATTTGCTTAAATGTGATCGCGAAGCTCTCGTTGCCACACACTAACACTTGTATGCTATCAGTTTTATCCGATAAGAATTCTTTTATCTTGCAAGCATCTAGTTTATATTCGTGTATAGTTTCGTTATATTTTCTCGACGAGTTATCCGAATTGCCTAGGAAAATGTCGTAGCTGAAATTCCAATGATGTTGCAAATCGTACAATCGGTTCCTTAAATAAATGGTATCGTACGTTTTGCAACAATAGAATAACTTTAGGAACGTTTCGCAGTCCTCGTTTTGCGTTATATTGTGTATTATAGTGTACAAAGGAGCTATGCCAACCCCTTGGGCTATTAACAGGATATGTTTGTAATCGTAGAGCAGGTTAAAATCTCCATAAGGACCTCGCCAGATTGTTTTTGAGTCGATTTCCAGTTTTCTAATGTATCTACTCATTCGACCCGATTCATATAATTTAACGAGCACAGTGAACTGTAGAGGATTGGATACGTGTATAGGAACCGGAGTGTACGGCTTTTGATATTCCCCGTTTTTCAGCATAAAATACTGGCCCGGATTGTACATTACTCTGTCGGTTTCAATGTTAGATTTCAGTAGTTTCTTAAACTCGAACGTGATTAGAAGGGCATCGGCAGATTCCCTCTGGATATTCCTAACGCTGAAAATCGAGTATGCGGTCGTTATTAAACAGTTTTTGAATCGATTTAAATCATTTTGGTCGCGTTCCAGCCTTTGCTTGTACTTTTTTAGTTGTTCTTCATAGCTGTCCAATATGCAAGGGTTGCAGCCGGAGTTACAACAATCTGTTTCATCTGGTTTTATTGGTGGTTCCATTTTATTTATTGTAAGAAATATGCTATTAGTATTATATTCGAATGAGAATTCAATAATTTTATTAATTTTTGCTAACACAAACTAACCTAAAATTTTAAAAATTCTTCTTTTTTTTTAGAATTATTGACTTAGGTGCGTCTAGTATTTAGCCACCTGATTTACACCTGTGTGAACATGAAATCAGTCTCCTAGGCAATAAATCGAATAAACAACCATAAATCAAACGGCTTTCGAATCGTTACGATCAAAATTTCTCAAAATTTCCGTTCGAAAAGTACAAATTCCCACCTTAGCGAAGACATGTCTTGTCTACCGTGCCCCCCGTGCGGTCCGTGCCCGCCGAGCGGGCCTTGTTGCCCGCCGCCCACCGGCGGTCCTTGCTGCGTCAACCCCTCGCCGTGTCCGCCCTTCGTGATGACGCCCAGCGGGCCTAGCCCGCCCTGTCCCTCGCCCTGCCTTCCGTGCCCCCTCAAGCCGTGCGCGCCGCCCTGTTGTGCCGGCGTCCAACCCTGCGGTTCGCCGCCCCCGTGCAGCGTGTGCGCCCCGCCGTGCGGGCCCTGCGTGCCCCCCCAGGCCTGCGTCTACGTGCCCGTCGTGACGCCGTCCTTCAGCGCTTGCTTCTGCAAGAAGAAGGTGTGCCCCTCGAAGGACCCCTGTCCATACCCTTAGAAGCTCTCCTTATGCGGCGGGTGTACGTGTCGATGTAACTGTTACTAATGTAACGCATGTCCTAATAAAAGAATTTTACTACTAATAGATATTTGTTGGATTATTAGAAACAATTTGAGATTTGTATTATGTTCAAGTCATTTGGTATTTGCAAAAGGAAGAATTGTTTATCCGAATAGCCTAAGCAGCATAGACATATTTCCGATGAAGTAGGAAGACTTGTTTTGACAGTTGACATTAATTGTACTTTTCAGTTCCTAGTTTACCGGAAATTTATTTGTTGTTAGTTATTACAACGTTTAACATTCTAATTCTTATATAAAATGGTAAGTCTCGAGTTTTAATTACTTAAAATCTGTTGGTAATTTTGATGAGTTTCAGTCGCACACGATATTACTGGTACAGCCGGGTTCTAATCCAGAAACCAGAACCTACTCGGATTATGAGTCCGTTAACGAATGCATGGAGGGAGTGTGCAGGATATACGAGGAGCACTTGAAAAGGCGCAATCCGAATACCCCAACAATCACCTACGATATATCGCAACTATTTGACTTCGTAGATCAGGTATGGTATGTGAGTTAAATCCTTCGAGAATTGGAGTAAATCGAGCGATTTGTTTCAGCTTACAGATTTGAGTTGCTTGGTGTATCAAAAGTCTACGAACACTTATGCTCCCTACAACAAGGATTGGATAAAAGAGAAGATTTACATATTGCTGAGGCAAGCGGCTGGCCATGAGGTTTAAGTTACACATGTTCTTATAATTTAATTAGGTTTACTTTTTTAAGCTATCCGTTAAGTTCGCTATCAATAAATTTTCGAAATCTTGAAAAGCTCGTCTAAAAACTCTTATAATTATTTATTTCTTAACCTTGTTACTAGCCCTTTAGCATTACCCAGGATGCACTACGAAGAGGTGAACTAGAAGTGAAAAGTAAATCCATCTTTCTCAGGTAACATAAGATTGTGTCATCTCATGAGGAAATTGTGGAATGCCAGGAACTTCAAGGCGCACGAGGGTATCGCCCTCACAAAATGCTATTCAAGCTGTTGGATTTGTGGGGTAAAAAGAGTCGAGAACCGGATAAAGTAACCTACAGAGTTCACATTTTACAAAAGTCTACGGGTCAATGTTGTACGAGATGCAAGAGTTGTATATAACTGATATTTTACCGCAAATGATTACTCTATTTCTAATTGAAGCTTACATACGAGTGTAAATACGAATTGACAACGACACAATGATTTTACTCCTGTAACGTTTGTATTTTAATAATATCGTCTCCTTAATAATATATTTTGTAAGAAAATAAAACTATCATTGAAAGATTTGTTTTATATATTTCGAAATTACCAACCAGTTTTCATGTAATTAAAAAATACAGCAGTTTCAAAATAGTTTCACTTTATTATTTCCAATGCATTTCTGGTATCTAAGATTTTCTGCATTTGTTTGAAAATTAGTTCCTTATCTTATTATTAGTAATTAGATGGCGCCACCAGTCTTACAAAATTATAAATACACGTGTTGGCTACCGGAGCGCTCAGTAACTCCTTTGCCACGGTAGGGGTATGTTACTTCTTTCTTAAAAACAAAATCGACGAGATTCTTGAAAACTCATCTCATGTGATCGTCATGGAAAGTTGGTAATAGTTGAATTTTGGCCATCCAAACCCTCCCCCGCCGGTACCACCCTTACAACTATCTTTCTTAACTAGCTTTTACATATGTTACCGTGCGCGATGTGTTGCCAAAAAGTTTTGGCGCCATCTATTACATTTTCGAACAAGGATTGGATTCGTGGATACTACTAGGTAGGCAACCTGTATTTCGGTTATTGAAAACTTATAAATGCGTATTTTTCCCATTTTTTTAAAATCACAATTGAGAATGCCTTTTTATATAACATCGTTCATACTTTAAAAGTTTTAATTAAAAAAAAAAACATTATTTCTATGAAAATAATGAATGTAACACACAACAACAACACTTTTACTCATCGACAATTTACAATGTGTATAAACAAAACCTCCTCTTCCTCGTTGAAAGAAAAAGAAAGCGATACTGTAGGATGGCAACTTTCTCACTCTGACCACAGTTATTTCAATAATCATTCCTTGTTCAACTCTTACATAATTGACCATATTTCCACTTAGCTGTATATCTAACACAAGTATCATAATTCAATGGATAAACCAAATAAAAATTTTGAACTTTTAATCAACAAAGTATACATAAACAATCTACCCCACCGTTTTCTTTACGATTCATTGCACTTGGCCCGAAAAAATCGTAATAACATCTTCCTATTCACGAAATAACGCAAGAAAACCGGTGGTGTAATTTACCAAACAAGTTAAATCTATTAATACTTATCGAAACAAACAAAAGAAAACGCGATTTATTTTAACTTATAACTAAATATTTAAAATAAACAATAGGTAATGTGAGGTAACGTAAAAAAAACTTTTCTAATTGTCTAATTGCTTCGTCATTTTCATGCACAACTGTTTATGTTGTTTCCAGTCGTCTTTCTGCAAAAACAATAAAATAACTACCAAATAAATTATAAAATTGGTCAAACTTACCTGACACGTAGTACCACAATACATCACCATCCGACAATCGCAAATAAAAGTGGCCAATTTCTCGCAAATACACAACCTTCCCGAGTACAAATACTGCCAAAAAATAACCTTATTAAAACCACAATGTCACATTTACTCGCTTTATTTACCTGATACGTAGAAGATACTCCATCCATCGACGAACCATCCTAAAAACAAATACAAGAATAAAAAAAAACTCCCTTTGCAAAATTATTAATAAAACCACTCACAGTATCGAAACGTTCCTCATCCTCCAAAGGTTCCTCTTTCTTAATGAAATCCACATCGATTTTCAGCTCCTCGCAATCGATACTATCCAACCAAGTCAAATCGATCACCTCGTCACCGTTCGATTCAACTACGATACCATTCTTATCATCGATAACAACCTCCTCGCTTTTAATCGATTCATCCAATACACCATTTTTGCTATCGCACGCAAAACAATCCTCACCTCCATTCGATTCAGAACAAGTTTCCGTCTCCGTTTCGTCGAAAAAATCGTCACCGAACGAGGGATTAGCGTTAACGGACGTTTTACTAACGTCAGACGGATCGAACCGCCCGTTAATCGGCGAATCAACGTTAACGGACGATTTACTAACGTTAGGCGGATCGAACAGTGGATTAGCGTTAATAGAAGTACATGGCTCCGTTAACGGACGATTACCAGGCGATTGCGCGTTATTAACAGTTGTTGGATTGACGAGATAATTCTCTACCATGGGTAATTGATTGGAACTGGTCGAATTTGCCGAATTAACGTTAACGGTGAATTTATCAGCGAAATTGTGGCGACGAATCGACCTCAATGGATTAATCGATTCGTTAGTGTATCGGGAATCGAATGGAACGTAAGAATTCCTGTTGTATTCTCGCGTACTGGGAACAGACACCTCGTTTCTTCGATGTGTATTAACGTTATTCGTACCGCTTTCTTTGGAGGATCGATTGATATTCGCATTGATCGAATTGTACACCAATATCTGCTGCTTCAACCTATCCAATTGCGTCTTGTCCCAAACGGATTCTCGCACAGCTGAAACCAAACAGATAGATATCTTCGAATTGTATATGCAGCTAAACAACTCACTCGCTCGCTTGGCCTTCTCCGTGATAGCGCAAGCAGTCGCCTTAACGTTCGCGTAGAAACTCCTCAAAATCGGATGGGCCAAATAGAACGCCTCCGTCTCGGACATGATGCAGTGCAAGAACAAATAGAACAATGGCAACGGTACCGGGACCTGTTCCAGCCCGTTCAAGTACTCGATGACGAGGTTGATGTGCTGCTGCGGCAGGAAGGCCGCCAGCGGATCGATGCGCGACCGGTCGAGGAACTGCATCAGACCGCGCCCGTACACCTTCCATCGACAGAGCGACGATTGGGATTCGACGAGGTGCGGGAACTCGCCCAGTTTCTTCGATTTGAACAGGTCCCACAGCCGCTTGTTGCACTTCTGGTGGCTGATGGCCATGTAAACGAAATCGCCCACGCACTTGTGCCATTGCTGCAGCGCCGCCGGTCGCCAGTTGTTACACGGATATCTAAAATCAAACGTAAGTATGCACCAAATCCCACAATTGTTCCATCGACTGCGTTATACCTAGAATTTTGGGCGCCGGTGGCTCGATACTCCTGCGGCGGTACGTCGACATTACACGCTCTACTTCCACTGGGAATCGAGTAATTTGGATTCGTGGAATTCCCCGCGAGTCCTCGGGAAGCTGTTGCGTTGATAACGTGAACATCCGGAGCAGGATAGGAGATTCTGTTGCAGGGATTCGAAGTTGGCGGAGAAGGTGCTTTGTTCGAGTCATTTACGGCAGTACTAGGGCGCTTTTGAGCTGGAGAAGGCTCGTTAGAAAGTAACCTTGCTATGGTTAGATTGTTTTGAGGTAAAGTAGGACGTTCTGTCGGTTTGTTAGGAGCAATTCTTACATTGATTAGATTGTTTAGAGTTGAAAAAGGCTCGTTGCAAATAACTTTTGGATTGTTTTGAGGTAAAGAACTTTCCGCAGGTTCTTTAGAAATAGTTCTGGTGATTAGATTGTTTAGAGGTAAAAGAGGCGCATTACTATTTATTTGAAGCGTAGGAGAACTTTCTGTAGCTTCATTGGGAATATTTCTTGAATTAGTTGTATCATTCGGAGGTTCATTAGAAACGGTTATTGCGTTATTTAGATTGTTTTGTGGTACAGGCGAGCTCTCCGTAGGTTCATTAGAAACGGTATTTGCGTTAATACTTCTGGTGTCTTCTTTAGGTTCGAACAGCGATTTGCTGACTGTTAAATACCGCCCGATTATCGGTTTCTTCTCCTCTAAATTCTCGCTAAATTGGTCGTTTTTCCGCGATTTTAAATAGGACATTCCCGGTAGACAAGCCGATAAAGCCACGATTTCTTCATCGTTAGCCAATTGGTTTTCCTCGCTTCTATACAGAGTGATTTTATCGTTGGCATTGTTGTTGTTATCTTCGCTTTTGGTTAAATCGATGAACGTTACTTCGTTAGTGTACAATTTCTCCAATTTGGGGATTCTTTGGTGGATTATTTCGGTTTTTTCGTACACTTCTGTTATCTTCACGATCGCCGAGCAAAGCTCGGTTACCTCTATGTCTTTATATTCGCACGTTTCTAACATCGGGCGCGCATCTACGATTAAGCTGCAGCAATTCTCGAATGACTCGAGTTCGGATTTGATGGCGTAATGTATGCAAGATACGACGATGTTCGGTGGTTCCTTTTTAACCACATTATCCACTTCTGGTTGAACATTAGCAACGGGTTCTCTTTTGGCCGCAATGCCGGGCGATTGTGGTTCTTCCGGAATTGTCGGTTTGAAAATTTTCGGTTTTCTTTCCAGAGAATTGGCTCGCGCAGCGCTAAAATGGCGCGATACGGTACCAGTCGCCTTTGGCGTTTTACTGTACTCGGAGTAATGCAACAGTTTATCGAGCAGCGAAAATTGTTCTTTTACTACTGGCGGTTTAGGAACACTCGGAGAGGTATCGCGATGAGAAGTGTTTTGTAAAACGTTAGATTTGTTATCAGTAGTTTCAAACGCACGATTAGGTTCTGGAGTAACATTATGGGTATTCGATACGCGAGATTCGATTGCAGGATTATCCGGAAGGCGTTCAGTTCGAGTATCGTTGAAGTACTCCCGATTTCTTATACTATCACTAGCCGGTACATGCTCTAGGTAATTTGCACGAGGTACTCCCGATGCATATTGAACAGGGCGATTATCCCAAGCATCTCTAGATTTATGATAAACATTCATGGGTCCTGTAATATTATGAGTATTCGATACGCGGGACTCGATTCCTGGATTATCAGGAAGTCGATCAGTTCGAGTATCGTTGAAATACACCCGATTTCTTAAACTATCACTAGCCGGTACATGCCCTGGGTAATTCGTACGAGGTACTCCCGGTGCATATTGAACAGCGCGATTATCCCAAGCATCTCTAGGTCTCTGATAAACTTCCTTGGGTCCTGTAATATTATAAATATTCGATAAGCGGCACTCGATTCCTGGATTATCCGGAAGTCGATCAGTTCGAGTGTTGTTGAAGTACTCGCGATTTCTTAAACTATCACTAGCCAGTACATGTCCTAAGTAATTGGTATGGGGTACTCCCGATGCAACGCGATTATCCCAAACATCTCTGGGTTTTTGATAAACTTCCTTAGGTCCTTCGGAGAAGTGCCTTCTAATATCAGGCTGGTCGTTACTCGGTTCGCTGGAAATCAGTCTTTTACGTTCAGGTACTTGTAAAGTTGCGCTACCATCGGATTGTTCTGGTACTTTGTTATTATCGCTATTTAATCGTTTCCTTTTAACGTAGTGTTCGAAAGATATTCTATTAACGTTTCTTACGGTTGTTTCTGATCCATCTGCTCCGCCTTTTCTAACTTCTAGGTTATTAATAGTTAAATTATTATTATTATTGTACTGTTTTTTACATCCTAATTCGTTGTGTTGGTTGGGTTTGGAAACGTTATGTACAGATTTATCGTTGGAAACTTCAGTTGGCTTATTATCGATTGTACTGGTACAATTCGAGCTGGAAATTTGTGCTTTCGGACTAACTTCAGGTGATACTATACTGTCCAGTAACACCTTGCATCTTTCCACGATAACGCTACAAGGTTTCAAGTTTATATAAACCCCTTTGTACTTGTATTTACATATTATTTGGGATTTGTCTTTCGACCTTTTGCGCACTCCTTCGGGCGCATTTTTACGCTTCGAAGGCACTTTCGGGTCTTCGGCGGGGATTTTTTTGTGCAATTTCTCCCTTTCATCGGATGCACGTTTCGCATCCTCCGAAACATCCGGTTGTTTCGCTTCGGGCCCCACTTGCTGGAACAATTCGCTGATTGTCGAGATGATAGTCTCGTTGGGTTCGCTGAACGTTTTCTTCTTGGGTATCTTGTAACTCGAAAGGCTGGGATAATACGGGTTGGTTTTACTTTTTTGATTATCGATATTATCGACGGTTTTGTCCGAATTCGACTTTGTAGCTTTCGCAGTAGGCGGTGCGTTACCAACGGCTACTTTTGGCCTCTTACTATCAGGAGAACCGGTTAGCGAGAGTCGTTTCTTTACAATAGGCCCCGTTTTATTGGAATCATCGTTAACTGCAGGTTTATCGACGTTCCAATCCGATATATCTGTAGAAGAGTGTCTTCTTTTAGCGGTTTCGTTCGAACTAATCGCGGTATTTTCCGCTTGCGCATTATGTGAAGTTACTGCACATTCGTTGTTACTAATTATAGATTCTAAAGCCGAATTTATGTCGATGGTTGGTTCCTCCAGCCCCAGTAGGGCTTCGTTTTTGTTAATGTTCGTTTCAGCTTCTTCAGTCGAAGCGTTCTCTTCATCGATTACCACCATGTCTTCTACGTAGCTCGTCGAATTCACGCCCTTTCGTCCCAAATAGGGCCTTCCGTACGCATTCTTGAAGCCCCTGGCTCTCAAACGAGGCCTTCGATGGCTGGAAAATTTAAAAATTGTAATCTCATAGGGTCCGGGTAGGTTAGATGTAGACTAACCTATATCCTCCTCGATATACGTAATTGGTGTAGGATGATCCTGTCTTGAATTGCGGGGTATTGAAATTCGTGTTGTACTGAAAAGAAGAATTAATAATGATTAATTTGCATGTCATGTAAAAGGTGCTTATTGTGAGAAGTTCGAAGTCATATCAAATACAAATTTTGTTGAAACAAAGTAAAGCAATTTATCTTGGTTAGACGCTAGATAAAAAGAAAATACACAAATGGATTGATAAAGTTTATCTTTGTGTAGGTCCAAAGTCCAAATGAAATCGATGCATCGCAGAAATGCACTTTGAGAAAACTAAATACTTTTATCATAGAGCATCTTGAGGGAAATTTTTATCGTTGTTTACGTATTTTCCTGACTTTTTTCCTTGACTTTTTTTAATAACTCGTATCAATTCGCTTTTTATCAACGTATTTCCGGTTTATGAAATTAAACCCACACTCAGTAATATTATATGGAAAGAGTAAATGCAGAGCTGACATATTCCTTATTAAAGTCAAAACAAGAAGTATTCAAAACTCAAATAAGTGCAAATTAGCTGATAAATATTGTCCAATAAGCGAATATAATGAAAGCGCATTATGTTAATGCGCTGTTAATTTATTTAAAAACTGATGACACTATTAATAGCTGACCAGTAAACAATTTAAAATTGTTAATAAAGAATTTATATTTACGAGACACCTTTGCGAAATAAATTAAATTTAAAAATATCCCATAATTACTTACATGCTTCTTATTGAAATTTCCGCAACTGGTGAAATTAGGGTAACTCTAACGCTTGAAATTAAACCTGTTAAAAGTCGGCCGAGGTTTTCTCATTATTTTTTATCGATTGACTTTTGCGCCGTAAAATTTTCATGTTTTTCAAAGCCCGCTTCGACGAACTTCAACTGTCAATATTATTTTGACAGATTCGCTCGATTTACAAATTAGCTGCGTTCGTGTGTCGCGTTCGGAACTGTCGAGTCGAATTGCGAAAAGCGAATTGATAATTCCAGATCTGAGTTCTGAGTTGGCGGGTCGAAGGTCGAACACTTCCGATTCGTTGTTATCTTTCCGAACTGCCCGAATCATACACGAAGACGTTGATCAAAGATAAATAAATATTATAACAGTGGTTGAAGTGAGAAAGTTTCTCAGTTTCAAACCGACCGGCGATTAATACAAAGTTACCGTATGAGTTAGGTTTCTATACTGATCCATCATGGGGCATTTCTACCCTTATAAACTAAAGAAACACCCCCACCTACGGGGGAGGTTTCTTGAATCGTGGGAATCGAATTTGTTTAGAAATTTCAGAATGGTGCAAGATTTAAGATGTCCCTTAGTTTTTTAATGGCCTAATAAATGTATTCGGTTGACGTTTATTTCTTTTACGAGTGTGGGAATCTAACGGACGGAAGTAGGTCACCTGAGCAAAACTCTACTCTACTCTGAGTCTACTCCGAATCTACTCTAATCTACTGCACTTTGAATCTACTATACTCTATTCTACTGTACCGTAGTCTAATCTGAACCTACTCTACCCCACTCTGAATCAACTCTAGTCTACTTTCAATTTACACTACTCTAATCTGAATGTATTCTAGCCTGAATCTACTCTACTCTACCTACAATGAATCTACTGTACACTACTCTTAATCTACTCTACACTACTCTAAATCTACTCTACTCTCAAGCAGTATACAAACAAAACAGAGGAGGAACGAACGAAGACGGAAGACGATCAACGTCGAATAAATTAATCGATCGGAAATAAATTACCGATTAATTAATCGATTACTAATAATTAGAAATAAAAAGAATAAGTACAATTAAATTTACAAAAGCAATTACCTGTACATTTTTCTCATATCCAAACCACTTGTAATTCATCACACACAATTTACTAAACGATTAATAATTAACTATTCAATGATTAGTATATCTAACATATTTATAGGTTACTTCATTGTTTAACAAACTGGCATTATTTAACGTAAATACTACATAAAGACAACCTTTGAATTGACAAAACAATAACTTAAGGTTGCGTAAAAGAATTATTTCATGCACGTAAGTACTCACCAAAAGTTTAAATAAAACTGCACTGTCACACTGTGCACTCCACAAATATCTGCACTAAAATGCGAAATGAAATGGGATATTTTAAATTAATAAACCAACTTGCTTTTTTTTCGTCAATACAGCTTTTTTAGCACAGACACCGCAAAAACTGGTTTTTTGTCAATTATAAATTATGAACGACATGCAGGTACTTCCTGTCTGAGTTACAGGGTGTTTGTGTTTTAATATTTTAATTACAAATGAAGAAGTTACTGAAGATCGCCAATCGCCATTATTAGCAGTGACGTTACTGACGTCTAGCCAATGGCTATGCTCGATTTTCGCTCAATTTTATTACCGTCCAATTAGAGTAGAGCTTTCATCGAGTGCCGAGTGGTGACATAAGACATAACTGTCAAAAATTGCTGTCAATCAGTATGAATTGTATATAAATGTTTTTGAAATAATTTTGGTTCAGAACAGTAATATACTAATGATTCAGAAACAGATGTTGGTATAACAATGGGTATTATAGTTTGGGAATACCCATTAACCATAAGAAACGCTTACTTACAATAAAAGGATTTATTTTCTTAAATCACCCGGTTTCTTGCTATAAAAGTATTAAAGTAGGTACCATAATAAAAACCGAAAAATTCTTACTTTCATTTCACCAGTTCCTTCGCACAATTACAGTAAACTCAACTTTTCTTCTCAAGAAAAGAGGTCAATGAAAAAAACTTCGTAAACCCAAAAATAAAAAGAGGTACTATTCGAACTAAAACGTCGATTAGAACTAAAAGAATGATGCAGCTGCAGGCCCTTTCGACTAAAATGCATGTTCAGCTAAAGTACGTGTCAATAAACAGCGTAGGGACAAAGATTACAAAATCGGGGTACTCGATTCGATGAGTTATACTTACCAGATGTCTTCAAGGCCAAGATTATTGTTTTCGACTTTATCTCTTTCTGTATAAAAGGTGTTTATTTACAATGCTAGTGTACTAGCCAATGTGTGTAGAGGCCACACAAACCTTATTTGGTAAATACCAAATTATAAAAAAACAATATTATTTTAATATTTATTATTTAAAAATAAAATTTTGGTAAATAAACTATAATAAATATTTTGCAATTCCGATATTTTCCGTTGCATCATAGTAGTATGTAAATGCGAAACCGATTTGCAAAAAAATAAAAATATCAGAATTTCACAAAAATTATTAATACTACCATAAGTTTTGGAAATGATATTATAAAATTAATATAAAATCGATATTCGAGTAAGCCGTGTGTATATTTAACCGACTGCTTCAAATTACAAATCTAAATAGATACAAAGCAATTTACTTACTAATTAACGCCACAATAGATAAATAATTTACGTAAAAAAATTGAAATTAATTTGCATTTACTTTCGTCTTTTAAAAAAAAATCGTTGTATAAAGACTAGTATGCTTCTTACACGTTAATAATAAAATGTCATATAGCAACAATAATAGAATTGTCCGATACGAGAGCGAATAAATTCCAACATTCTAATCAGTTCGATCACTTTTATCCTCCTCCATTTTCGCCCTTTGCAATTTCTCCGGATGCGTACAGGCCAATCTCGAAAAATCCCTAACCACATCGTTAAACGTATCATCACCCGTCACTCCCATCTCCGAATCCTTCATCTCCTCGTTCAGCCTTCCCAGCCTCAATCTACACAAAAAAAACACATATTATCAATAATCCCTACCCCTACCTACCTTCCTCTAGCCCCTTGTACCCTATCCCTACCTCCTTCTAGTCTCCTCCAACCCTTTCTCGACCATCTCTCCTCATTCTACCCTCCTCTACCTCTCTATATCCACTGCTACTTTATAGTCTTTATACATACAGCATATAGTAAAAAAAACGAAAGGACTGCGAGTACTTACAATGTAACGATATCGGCGTGCTCCTTTTGCTCGGCTATCGAAAGGGGCACCTTCCCTTCGTCGTCCTCCAAATGCTGATCGGCCCTGTGTTTTAAAAACAGACAAACCTGGGCCGTATGCCCTTCCTGTGTGGCCATGTGCAACGGCGTCCTCCCGTCCTGATCCTGCGCGTTGATCTTTATCCCGTTGAGGATCAGATACGCGCAAGGCATCACGGATCCCTAAAACCAACGGTAGAAACTTTCTCTAAATCTCTAATTAAAGTGTTAAAAGTGAGTCATTACGCTGAGTACGGCGGCGTGCAGGGGCGTCCGGCTCCTATCCTCTACGTTTATCCAGCACTTATCGGCCCCCAGGGCCAGGGCTTCGCACATCACAGGGAGATTGTGAGCGGCCGAGGCTTTGTACAACAACAAATCGGGCTGCAGTTTGGATATGTCTTCCTCGCCTGGTAAATGGAATTATTTATTTATATCGTTTTTCTGAGATGTAATGATAAATTTACCAACTGTCTCGTTTTCCTCTTCGCCTCCGGTGGATTCTTGATCGCTACTACTCAAATCGATCGTTCCGTCTAGGGATTGTTTATCGAGATCGTTGCCGAATAGTAGCACGCTGTTGCGCTTTTTCGGACATTCTTTTTCGCTAAAAACACACCGAAATAATTAACTTGTAGTTTGTAGTCGTAGTAGAAGAGTAATAAATACCTCATGTCGTTGGTTTCATTGGATTTTTCGACTCTTAACGGTTTCTTATCCCTTTTATCGACGCTCTTCGGCCTCCGTCTGATTTTTCTCACGCTCCATTTCCGCACGTCCATTAAACTCGAGGGTCTCGAACATCGGCTCGATGTCGGAGAGACTTTCTCGAATTTCGGCAGAGACTTCACGAATTTCTTGTCGACGTATTTCGCTTTTATAAACGTTTCTCTCAGAGCTCTAAAACATAACGAATTAATTCCATTACCTCATAATACTAAACAAATCAATTTACTCACCCCGGACATTGATCCGATGGCTTCACCACATCATCCGGCAAGTTCGCTTCGTATATTTTATTAACAACGGAATTGCCCAATTCCACCATCACTTTTATTATCTCGGGCTCCCAATCGTCCAACGTTAGCGATCTGACTTTGCTGTAATGCACGCCCAAGCTTCGGTGAACGCCCGAACATTCTACAAAAATTATTCTATTATCAACAGTATAGAGTTGATAGGCGAAACGATACCTATGCACAAGGTAATGCCCAAATTGATGCTGGCCCATCTCGGATTGGGGCTGCCGCAATCGCAGCAGGCGTTGTTGCCCGGTATTTTTATCAATTGCTCCCACATTCTACAATTTATGTTAAGTATAAGATTGAGAAAATCGTTGATTTATAAAAAGCGCCTACCTCTTTTTGGTACGGTTGTTATTATCGCTATGCGCCGATCTGTTATGGCCTTTATCGTCGAAGTTATTCGAATAGGAAATGTGTTGGGTACCGTCGGTTTTTAAATTATCGAAATCGATGCTTTGTATGCGTTGTATGGCCGCCCCGATGCCTTTTTGCAAAGCCGTTATCCAACAATCGAACATCTCTTTCGTATCAGCTTGCAACATGTGGCTTCTAAAATTAGCAATACACATAAATAAATCGTTGAAATAAACAATATAAAATCTCACTTGAGCGGCGATAGAACTTCGAAACAAAACCTCCTTTCGCCGTCCACCACCGGTTTGACCGAACACAATCGCAGATCGTCCTCCATGATGGTCTCATGGTCTTCGCCAGATCTCTTCCTGTACACCAATTTGTTATCGTACAAGTAGAACCACCGGCGGTTCCACGTCTTGAAAGCGTTCGAAGTGCGCTTGAACAGGTAACCTTCCATCGTGGGGCCGTTTTTCTCCTGCTTCAAACACACGGGCTCGATGTTCGATACCTTCGCATGGGTATTCTCCACTTGCTTTTGTATCTTGTACGTTTCCTCGCGCATCGTCGCTATCTAGAACGATAAATGGTGAAGTTTTTTCCAAGTTGAGTAATTAAAGACGATTACCTCTTCGGCCAATGTTTTGAAGAACGAATCCAAATCGGAGCACAAGTCGGAGCCCTGATGGTAGTATGTGGTACAAGCGTGCATGTAGGAAAGCAGCTATATAAAAATATATCAATGTTATTCATTCGGTAAATAATGAAAAGCGAAAGTTGATTCGATTAGATCCAATGGGATATTTCGAGCGTTAGTCATTTTCTATTACATCAATGAATAGGCGATTATTTTACCGCGAAATTTCTACGTTTCGAAATTAACTGTTAATAGTAAGAATTCACAATGAACGTGATTATTTTTTACACTACGATTATAGCACGAAACAATTCGAAAATTCCAAAGCAATACTCTATGATATACTGCTAGTCGTAGGTACAATGCATTTGATAAATAAATTGATATATACCGTGCTTAAAATTTCGTGTCTTTTCTTCGACTGTAGCACAGTGATGCTGTTCACATAGTCCAACGTTTGGTGTCCGAAACACGACCGAACAGCCACCAACACGTTTTGAACCTCCTCGACCTCCTGCTGCTTGCTCTTGGGCGTATGAGAATTCCTCAGCAGGACGTTATCGTATTCCGTCGAGATTTTCTCGAAGTGCATCTTGAAGTCTCTCACACCTTTTATGTCGCTGAAATCAATCATATATCGTTAGTGTCCTGCTTTAGTAAGGGCCAATAGCGATATTTTTAGTACAAATAAGGTGTTGCTATGGATACGGATTTTAGTGTATTTGACATTGACAGTTGTTGATGACAAAATGGTGGTTGTATTATTATTATTGTATTTGCTTACTTTTTAATAAACGAAGTGAGGTTCTTGAGTATAGTCCTTGAGGCTTGGTCCAAAAGGATCGTGTGGAATTTGTTCATTTCTTGCAGACTGTGAATGAGCTTGTTCAGTGAAGACAAAACCATTGGGTCTTCTTTGAAATGCGTACTCAAATCCCATAGGCTGTTTGCAAATAGGCTACAATATTTATATTTATTAGTTCAAAAGTTTTTCTACGTATTAGTGAATAAATTAGTTCGCTATTCCAATTTTTTAGTATAAAATTGTACGCGTATGAATCGAAATTACCCGTATGCAAACAAACTTTAATAAACGTTTTAATTTCTATTAATTAGCGTAAATTAAACGCACGAACCTCTGTTGACCAACATATGTTTTCCCCGAATCCACCATGGACCCGCAGACTTTCAGGATTTTTTCTAATTTACTTTCCAATTGATCCACGCACGCCTCCTCCTCCTCCAGCACCAATCTTCAATTAAACGGAATATTAAACTTATTAGATACGAAAACATACACGGGAACTTTACCTGAACTTCGGCGAATCCCGCAGGCATTCCTGCAACTCTATTCTCCCGACCATTTCGATAGCGAAACCGTATCACCGTATCATAACAAAACGAATTATTCTCGATAAAAAGACGCTTTAAATACTAACAAGTTGAGTCATCATCATCAACAGATTATCGTATTCCCTATGCGTACAATTTATTTCTTACTGCTCGTTTTCCAAAGAAATTTAACACACGTCAAATTACTGGTAATTTTGTTGATGTTTTGTTGGCAACACTTGCTCATTTATTTTCCGTATATACCAGGAGCGATCAATAATTAATGCAGATGTATAAGGATGGAGAATGATGGAAACGATTTAGTACTTATGTATATTTAAAAAAAAAACGCAATTACTAAGGTAAATTACAGGTTTGTAGGATATCAGGCGAGGATCGGGCCCGTTTCAGCGAGCCCACGACGTTCGTGGACGTGTAAGAAGTAACGTTAGATACCTGAAAAAGGGCCAACTTAGACGGTTTGTATTTCGATATTTTCTCTTTGTAGCTATCGTCTACGTTGATTTTACAATTCGACAATAACTCGCTGACGATCGACGTTTGCGATTTGACGCTCTTCTTCTTCGATTCCTCCGTTTTCGCCTTGCTTTTGCGCTTCTTCTCCTTCCGCCGCGACGCCGGTGTCGCCCTTTCGTACAACTTGATCGTCTCGTATTCGCCGGTTTTGCTGCAGCACGGCTTCGGCTCGTCGTTGGCCAGCTTCTCCGGCGTTTCGTCCGCGTACAGCTCCTTGGGGTCCCTCAAATCCACGGGGAACCGATGGGGAATGTAAGATAAACGCTCGTTCGTCGCGCTCTTGCTCTTTTTCAGCTCGAGCTTCTCCAATTTGTAGTTCAAATTGTCGACTTCCAGCTGCAGGCAGAGGTTCTCGTACACCAAGCAGCTGTTCTGCTTCACCAGCTGCAAAGCAAACGGGTCGGGTATTTGAAGTTTTTAAGGGTTTTTTTTAGTACCTGGAGGTATTTTTTGCTGCTGGGTGAGAGGGTCTCGCGGATTTTCTCGGTTAGAGCCTCGTTGAGTTCGGTGTTTAGGCATTCGATTTTCGATTTGTACTCGTTCGTAAGCTGTATATTAAACTTGTATTAATGTTTGTTGTTATTAGCTTGGAATTGTACCTTTTCGTGTTCGAGTTGCATGGTTTGCAGCTCGGTTTTGAGGCAGGTTTTCGTGTTTTTCATGCGTAGAAATTTGATGCTCAAATTGTAATTGGCCTCGAGCGTTTGGTTCAAGGTTTGCTTGAGTCTGGCCACTTCGTTTTTGTACTCTTCGACGGCCCTTTCCTGCTGCCCTACGGTGGATTCGCTCAGCAGCTTCTTCAAGCGCTTGCACTCGTTCATCTCGTGACAGTAGATTTCTTTCTCTTTGAAATAGAATTTGCGCTCGTCCTCGAGCTGCTTGGCCAGGTTGCCGTTGGACCGTTTCGTCCGCAAGAGGTCCAGCGTGATTTTCTCCTTGTCTCGGGCCAGATTCGCGATGGAAACGTCCTTTTGCTCGGACTCGCTTTGCAGCGCTTGAATGGCCGCTTTCAAGTTCGTTATTTGGTCTTTGAGAGCGTCTAGTTCGGTTTTCAAAAGCATCTCCTGCTCCATTCGGCCTTGTAGCGAATCTACGGCGTCCGATATGGATTCATGAGACGACGAACTGGGTTTCGATAGGACTTTCCTGGAAGCGAGTTAGCGTTACGATACGCGGCGATCAGTCGCGGATGGCTCACCTGACGAGGTTCTTCGTGCCGGTAAACTTATCTTTGAAAACTTTTCGCATTAAAATTCGAATCCAACGTCAGTTTTCGAAATTTCATTTGACTTAGCGCCTGATATATTGACAGCACCTCGTACCAATCGATTATTGGTATAAATGGGTAATTTTATTTTTCCATGTTGGTAGCACTGAATGTTTGAGTTTTTTTTGACAGGTGACACAAATGATTTGTTTTGCTTGCATAGTTTGGTTATGTTCGCATTAACAGTGGAGTGTTTTTAAGAAAGTTAAAAGTACAATGAATATAGTATTACCAGAAGAATCGCAACAAGATGCCTCGTCGGCGGAAGAAACGAGTCTGTTAGTAATAATTTTAGACAGTAATCCGGGTCAAAAAATGCTCAGGGAAAGTCCCCATGTTCTCACCCACTGCGTGGATTCGGTGATAGTTTTCGCAAACACTCATTTAATGCAAAAAGTTCAAAACAAGCTAGCTATAATGGCGTGCCATTCGAAGTCGAGGTAATATGCTACATACGTATTATAACAAATCGTTCAAACGAACGTTTTTACAGCCAATTCATATACCCCGATCAAGGTAAACATGGCGATATAAGGCAAGTAGACGGGCAATACGAGGCATTTACGGCCGTTGAGAAAATCACTAAGAAGAATCTGGCCAAGGTGCTAACTTCAGACGGATCAGCTGTGATAACGGAATCTCTTCTAGCCGGTGCTATAGCGATGGCTCTTTGTTATATCGCTCGATTGCAACGAACAAAACCGCCAGGAGCGAAGGTAAATCTCATTGTACTCTCTCATCACATCGTACTAATTCCTCTAATAATTTCCAGTTAAACTGCAGGATTTTAGTGGTGACGGGAAGCAGCTGCTCCACGTCTCAATACATGAATTACATGAACGTGTTTTTTACAGCGCAAAAACAGAACGTTGTTATAGACGTTTGTGCGTTAGATCAACATTTGAATTTGCTGCAACAGGGCTGCGATATAACTAATGGATTGTACCTCAAGGTGCCCCAGTTGCAGGGGTTGTTGCAGTACATGATGGTATGTGTTCAATTGTAATTGTCGATTGATTTGTGTTATGAAGATATGTTTTTTAGTGGGTTTTCTTGCCGGAACCGCCGATTAGAGAGAAATTGGTTCTACCACCGCCGCTCAAAGTCGATTACAGGGCAGCGTGTTTTTGCCACAGGCAATTGATAGATATCGGATACGTTTGTTCGGTGTGTTTATCGAGTAAGTTGCTTATTAGAGAGTGAGAATGGGAATTTTAGTGTTTTTGTTTCAGTTTTTTGTAAATTCAGTCCAATTTGCACTACATGCCAGTAAGTATTGAAGAATTTTATGTATTTTTTTTTTCGCTGATTATTCTGCTTTCAGTACCGTCTTCAAGATGCCAGCTCTTCCTGCCGTCAAGCCAAAGAAAAGGAAAAAAATGTAAACTGGATTACAGCTCGTATAATAGGATTAAATATATTTTTTACTATTATAGTATTCATTTTTATGCGTGTATGAAATTTTGGTATCTATCGGTCATTATTTCAAAAGAGAGCTAATAGCTACAATTGTAATTTATTCTCTAAATACGTCAAATTGGGGAAAAAAGCGAACCTTAACTTGTACACAGAGAAAATTGCACCGTTATTATTATATATACATCAGTCGTACTAAAAACGTACCGTAAAAATAAAGAACCTAACTAAAATCGAACAGCTCTAATCTAGAGAATACAAAAAGAAAATCGAGCAAACAACGAGAGAAAAGTCGCCGGCAAATTAATTTACAAACAATATAATTGTTACTTTTATACACTTTCCGAATGAAATTATCTCGTTTTATCGGCGGTATGTAAAACTTTCGCCAAGAGGAATCCTAGCGCCGTGACGGCGGCCAAACTGACGCCCGCCTTCCACCAAACCGGCGTCCCAGCTGCCAGCACGCCGAATTCGCGGAAATTCCTGCAAAAACACACAAGAAAATTACCGAATTTCACCGATACGATTTCGCAATGGAACGTTACACGCAAAAGCATTCGAGATATAGTGTAGTTACCGATAGAAAAAACGATTACATGCGAGTATACAGTTAATAAATTTGATCGAGTATTTTTAGATTTTGCAATTTGTGTTACGAATTTGATAATCAACTATTTTGCTTCACTACTATTAACTATTCCACAGAATTTTGTTTGTAAATTCAATCGATACACAAGTGTTAGTAATGGTTGCCAATTGGATTAGTAAAAAATAGGACATTCCAGAAAATATATACAATATAGATATAATAGCAACCTGCAAAAATGATCTAACCACTCAGTCGGTTGGGGACGAACTAGTAACGCATGTACCATGCGACGTAATGGACTGCAAAATAAAAAAACACCATGTATATTTGCTACACGATAGTGTACGTGTTAACTAGAAACATATCTAAGTGTTTAGTTCTGGCTGTTCAATTCGAAGGACATTACACTTATATTAATATTAATCGTATCTTACAAACCTGTGTTTGTAGAATAAAACCCAAGCGGCTTGAAAACGACTAAGGGAAAATATTAACATTTCTACACGGATAAAATTAAATATACTTACGGAAAAGCTGCCATGGTTGCCAGTTTAACGTACACGTCCTTCCTGTGGTGGCCTTTTGCTGAGAATTTCTGCGGCGGCAGGATTTTGTACTTTTGACAAAAACTCTCCGGTTGAAGTATGTACTCTTGCTTCACCTCGTCCAAATCGTCCTTACACGCAACTATCAACACTGGTATCTTACTTTCAGCGAAATATTTCTAAAAAAATTACAAGTAAGAATAAATAAATTAAAGAAATATTGAATATTTCGTACGATGTATATCCTAGCGATGTATTCGAACGATACCGGATTGTTCTGATCGAATATCAAACAAGCCACGTCGCATTGTACCTCGTTGGGCATCAACGGATCGGATATACTCTTCCCTTTTATATCCCTAAACACCATTATTTTCTCCTGCCCGTACACTTGAATGGAATTCACAGTGTAAATCGGCGTGCCGGTTTTATCCGATTGCAATTTATTCGCCTGGAAAACAATCCATAATAGAGAGAAACGCAGTTAAAAGCGACATATTCACCTCTAAAATCGGCTTAATGAAATTCCTACAAAACGTCGATTTTCCAGAACCCGGCGCGCCTATCACGTGACATTGATACACGTTCCTACTGGATTGTCTCTTCGCCAAATCCGTCTTCTTATCTCTCGTAACTACAAACATAAATTACAAAATTTCCTCTACACGTTATAAGCGAATAACGAACCTTGTACGGCCGTCACTTGGCTATCGTTCTCGTACACGTTGTACCCCAAATAAGCCAAATATTCGAAGGTCCTCGCCAGATCCGTGAGCGTCATCAACGCCCATTTGCACATAAAACCCTGATAGGTGATCCAGCCTTTGTCGTTGGTCGATACCGTGGAGGAGACGTCGAGGGGCCAAGCGGGCGTCGGACACGTCGAAAACAACTCCTCGTACTCCTCCGGCGACAGACACTTGTCCCTGTCTTTGTCGTACCGCTCGAACAAATGGGCGAGAAACTGCTGGCCTCTGTACGATAACTCCGTCGTACAACCGGGCAACACTTTCAAACTGCAATTTACTTCTTTTAATAACGCACGAATCGAATGATTCGATGACACCCCATACCTGGGACACAAGTAATCCTTGGACATGTTCAGGTGATCGTTGTAGCCGAACTTCCTGAGCACCGTCCACGTGGTCTCGTTCCTGCCGCGCTGCACAAACAGGCTGTGCAGGTAGAGGAACCCCTTCAAGGTGACGCAGTTCCTGCGGATGCCTTCGTCTATGTTCTTGCGCAGCACCGCCTTGACGTCGTCGATGACCTGCGGCTGGAGGGGCGCTTGGAAGCAGCGGCTTTGGAAATTGTTCAGTTCGATGTCGTCGAGCAGCCCGTCGCAATCCACGTCGCATATTTTGAATATTCGCGCCAACGCCGTCTTGCAGGCGTCCGTTAACTAACCAAAATGTTTTACATAGAAATATAAGTTTATAAAATCTTCGATTAATTCTTACGTCGGCCTTTTCGACTGAGTAAATCGGTGCGGTGGGATGCAGCACGGCCTTCTGCGCGTAGTAGAACATCTCTGATATATTCTTGAGAGTTTTGGCGGAACATTCGATACAAGTTTCGATCTCCGAGAACTCCTCCATTATTTCGAACGTGTTCTAAAATCGAGTTATAACAAAATCTAACTCTCATATTTACGTTAACAAACTCACATCGATTGTGGAATATTCGATGAGATCGATCTTGTTGCCCACCAGGACGACGGGGCAGGTGGAGTCCGGGTGATTTCGTCTAATTAAAGGCATCCAATAGGACGATATCCTTTCGATGGACTCTTCATCGTCCACCGAATACACGATGCACACTACGCTGGCCTTTCTTATTTGTTCGTCCAGTTCGGTTTCCGTTTGTTCGGCCAACGAAAAGTCCACGATGTTCGTGGGGACCTACGGCACAATACCACCTTAATACTCTCTTAATATAGTTCGAATTGGGTTCATAATATCTAATAAATGTGATTTTCTTGCTACCTGTTCCGGTGTAACGTCGGCGGGTATGGTGATTTCCTCGGCCTTGTTGGGCACGTTTTCGGGGAATTCCTCGCTGACTAGCGACAGTATGAGGGACGTTTTGCCTACGCCCCTGTCCCCGACGAGCAGTATCCGGACGATTCGTTTAGAAGAAGTCCTCACGACCATTTTATTGGGATGCGATGATCTGGAATACATTATGCAGGTTAGTTTGTTCGGTGTTCTGTTATCTGCTTGAGCAGGTGATAAACGTCACTTTTACGGAATTATAAATAAATATTACGCGAGAACGGGACTTTTACATGGGAAACTGGGTAATTGTTTGCGTTCGCTCTCACCTGTTCGATAATTGCTGGGTATTAATTCAAGCGAAGTTTCCCGGGGAATTGATGCACTATTGTTATTTTATGCACTCCATTATTATCGCAAAAAACCGCACTGCACGAATATAAATAACACAAATACCATTTTTTTCCTGTACCAATTTTTGTGTCAAATGTGACGGGTGACGTATGTTTAAATAACGAAATTCTTTGGTAAAACTTTAACTATGTAAACTCGTTAAAATAACCCCAACCTAGAACGCAGCGATATGGGGCTCGTTAGAATGGTCCAATGGTCTCCCGCGCCGATTAATTATAAATTTGAATCCGAAAATAGAAAACCCAAAATAGACGATTACAAAGAACAACAAAACGTACGCCGCCAACAAAACGCACTTCACATCTGTCAAAACTATGGACTTTTGCTGTTTTGATATCTGGTACTTCAATTGACAGTTCAAGAGGCATACTGAATAACATTGGCAACTGGGACTAAAATAATAGAAGAAGAATTAAGTCTCGAAATTAGATAATTTACTGATTTTTCAATTTTACCGATTGAATTAATTTTGAATAAGTTTATAACAGTTACATCGGTAATATCGACTCTACATAAGTAGATAATTCAAAAATATCGAGAAAATGGTTTTCAAATGTCAAGATGATTCTTTTTTGAAAGAGGTATATACCTACATAATTTGTCTAAAAATAATCAATTTTAATTAACTAGAACAGCAAAATTTAAATTTTTTATTGCAGTTCACTTCAACTGTCGTGTCCTGTGAAAAACTGAGCTCCGAAGGCAACTGCGAATCGTTCGAAGTTATTTTAGATGATACAATTCTGTTTCCCGAAGGAGGCGGGCAGGTATTTTACATTTTACTCAACACACACCTATAGTAACCACCAATTTAAAAATAACAGCCTTGCGACCATGGCTTTTTGAATGGAGTACCGGTGAAGAAAGTCCTGAGAAGAACTGATAAAGCCGTTCATTATGTGCCAGAGCCCATTGAAGTGGGTTCAACGGTTAAGCAAACAATCAATTGGGAAAGAAGGTTCGATCACATGCAACAACATTCCGGCCAACATTTATTATCAGCCATATTGGAACAACATTTCAAAGCTAATACTGTATCATGGTGGCTGGGGGAAGAGGACTCTTACGTTGAACTAGGTAAAAACTAATCGCATTTCACGTTCAAATAAATAATTCGGATTTTGTAGATGTCCCTACTTTAAAGGAAGACGATTTAAAAAGAGCCGAATGTATGGTAAACGATTACATAAGGCAAGGCAGAGATGTTACAGTGACTGTATACCCAATGGATACCCCTGAAGATGTTCTAGAAAAGGTAAATGTGTTATTTTTACTGTTCATTATCTTCACACAATTCTCTTTAAGGTAAGAAGCGTGAAAGGTCTTCCTGAAGATCACAAAGGCGATATTAGAGTGATAAATATCGAAGGTATCGACAGTAACATGTGCTGTGGAACTCACGTAAAAAACCTGAGTCAACTCCAGATGATGAAGTTGTTGTATATCGAAAAGAGCAAGAGGAAGGATAACAGTTTGCTTCATTTTCTGTTTGGAAATCGCGTTTTGAATCGATTGGAATGCTGTTTGGATAGGGAGAAGAAATTAACAATGCTGCTTAAGTAAGTTTGTTTAGAAATGCGCGATATTATTGGTAACGAGGCATGTTTTTTAGTAATAACCCGTGTCAACACGTTGAATTGGTAGAGAAGCTGCAAAAGAACGTGAAAATACTCAACAAAAACTTGCAAAATGTTGCCAAAGAATTGGCATTTAGTGATGCGAGAAAATTGAAAAGTACAAACCCGTTGCCAAAGTACTTCTTTTTATACAGGAAAGATGCCGAAATAGATTTCATAAATAGCTTTTTAAGAGAATTGGGGAATACGGAAGTTTTTCTATTCCTTGCTGTAGGCGATGAAAAGAAAGAGGGCAACATTCTATTGCAAGGCAAGGAAGAAATACTTTCGGAATTAGGCCCAAAGTAAGTAATCTATATATTTGTAAATAAAATGTAACACTCAATTTTTGAATCAACAGGGTTTGTCAACTGCTAGAAGGAAAAGGAGCTGGTAAAGGAACAACATACAGAGCGAAAGTATCGAAGATGATAAAACGTAAAGACGCCGAAAAATTAATTGCGGATTATTTTAATCAGTTAAACCAATAAACAATTTATTTCTACTAACTTAACTCTGTTGGCACGCCCTTACAGCGATCAATTGCAACAGAATATATATAGGTACGAATACCTCTGAATAATCCAGTGTGGCTTGTCCCAACAATCGTCTGCACAAGAAGTATTTGAACAGGAACAACATCAACAGCACCGTCCCGGACCAGCTTAGTCTCACCAGAGACGATTTGATGGCGGTTTCGAGCAACATTCTAATAAATATGATTATAACAAAATACGCGTTGAGCGCGTCCCCCGCGAACAGCGGCGAGAATATGAACCACCAATCGTTGTTTTCTATAGGACCCGATGGATCGTATTTGAATACCAACACTACGGTGAACAATAGAAATGAAATGAGGTAAATCCATATTTCGAATACGGTCACGCCCAGCCACTTCTTCAGTTCGTGTAACGTGAAGAACATGTTTTAAGCCGTCGTGGAAACGAGCGAATTCGTATTTACGAGCTTGATTCTTAATGCTGAATTGAATCGTTTCTGGATGTCGTAGTCCGCATCGTCTACAGCGGGTTCTAAATCGTCTTAAAAAAATATACAAATTAGTTTCGATTTTGTGTGGAATAATTGGAAATTAATTACCAATTAATTCTGTAGTTAATGTATTAGTGTGTATCTTGTAGGCGATATTTTCTTCGCATATCTGTAGGGCTAGTAGTATGCCTTTTTGAATGGCAGCTCCCATGCAATAGATGATAATTTCATTTTCCCTGTTGCTCGTTAGTTTGCTGCATTTTTTTAACTGAGCCTAGAGAAGTAAACGATGCTGTTAAATATGATAGTAGAAGACTAGTGTTTACTGCTTACCTTAAAATTTGTTTTAGAGGACACGTACAAAACGTTTTCGCCTCGTTCAGGCTTTTTGGGCTGTCTCGGAACGCGAGTATGTTTAGACGAATTAACTGGCTCTTTCTTAGATTCGCGATTAGGTGTATTGTCAGCCATCAAATAAAATGCTTTATTAACAACAAATCTCGGTTTTTATATTCTTTTCCAACGAAAATCCTATTGTTTTTTAACTTCAACTCACATAACCTCAAAAACACGAATTACATGACACACGTCACACATGTCAAAAATATAGTGCCTCACTTCAGATCGCATCAAAATCTTTGACATTGACATTTAATTGCCATAAAAAGTAGGGTTATAGTTTTTGTTACATGTGTTGCAGTTTTTGAATGTTTTTGCTGTTTTTAGCCGTTTATCGACATCAAATGTTAGAGATTTGTCCGAAATGGAAATTATCGAAAACAAATTGCAGGAGTTCTTGTTGATCGCCAGAAAGTCGCAGGAAAACGATGGCGGTAAAACGCGCACTGAAGACTTCAACGCGCTTTTAACATCGGATAGCAATTGGAAGATATTTACGGACCGTTCGTTCGACATCGGCCAATTAAAGACCTATTTCAACAATTTAGAAGGCGACGAGCGATTCGCTGTTTTAAAATTCGGCGTGGCTTGCATGGTAGGCTTCGTGCAATGCAACTTCACGGGCCCCGACATAACTCGAGAAATCGAAGAATGCCTCAACAAGGAGGCGCTGAATAAAATCGATTTTTCCAAACTGTTGTCAGTGAATAACGAGGACGTTAATGTTAACACCAAGTTTCCCATTCTTTTGGTTACCGCTAAAATTGTATTCGAGCATTGCCGAGCTGATAGCATGATAAACGACTGGTGGTGTTGGAGGTCTATTCTCATACACCAGAAAATACTGGAAGAACGGAGCCCCTCTCTTTTATCCGACGCCGATCGTTTATACAAACAATTCCAAATTAGCCTCGATCTAAGCGGTAAACAATAATACTTTCATATTATCGATAAATATTAATTAATTTATTATTAGGTAATGTAAAAGCATCGTTGGATCTCGAAGTGGCCCAACTCTACTTGCTATTCAGAAACGTATCGAAAGCGAAAGAACACATTTTATCCGCCATTACGATACTCGGTTTACACTACGATTTCATAGGAGCTTTAGGTAAAAGAACCAAGTATCAGGAAAAAGAACTCGCCCAATTGGCTTTAAAAGTAAGCTTAATTCGTGTCTATTACAACCTATAGCATATTAATTTATTCATCATTATAGGTAACACTAGACGAGAAAGATATCGAGCGATTAGAAGCGAACGACAGCCACCTGCCCAAAGACATACCCCTCAATGACGACGTTCGCTTAAATAACATAGAATTCTCCGAAGATTTAGGCGAAATTTGCAAACTGGGTATATTAGAACAGAAATTATTCGTCACCTTCATCAAAGACATGCTGATATCGAAGCCGCAGGACGAACTTCAAGTGGAAGAAATAATGGCCTTCGTCGATATGATTTTATGCCAAAAAAACAGCTACGCCATAAGAGCCGTTACTCTGTTACTAAGATCGCTGCTGGAGAGCAAGAATCGAAGGACGATCGAGAGGTCTCTGAGCCAATGCGAAGAAATCATCGGTAGCTTGAAGCGGGAGGAACCCGAAGCTTTGATTAGGATATACGATGTGTTCGGTACGGGAATGCCCCCCATTTGGAAAGTAGAATCCCAATACGCCGATTTGCTATTGAACATCGGTCTAGTTAAAATCGCTTTGGATGTTTATTTAAAAATCCAACTCTGGGAGGAAGTTATCGTTTGCTACACCATTTTGAAGCTACGACACAAAGCCGCGGAAATTATAGAAGAACAATTAAAGCTGAATCCTTCAGTTAAACTTATGTGTTTATTAGGTACGTTTTTTACTTGATTTTTAAACCCGATTAATAATACATGTTGTAATTAATAGGCGATGCGACTGACGATGTAACGTGCTACGAAAAGGCTTGGGAAATGTCGAAGAAGCGCAGCCATCGGGCCCAAAGGCACTGGGGCCAGTACCTCTTCGTTCGCAAGCAATACGACGAATGTATCCCGCATTTCGAGAAATCACTCAGCATCAACCCCCTACAGGCCGACATCTGGTTCCGTTTGGGCTACGCAGCCCTGCAAACGGAGAACTGGCAAACCGCAGCGACCGCCTATCGACGTTACACCACCCTGGAACCGGAATCGTTCGAGGCCTGGAACAACCTGGCCCAAGCGTACATAAAAATCGGCAACAAGCGCAACGCCCACCAGGCCATTTTGGAGGCCCTAAAGTGCAACTTCGAGAACTGGAAGGTGTGGGAGAACCTGCTGGTCATCAGCTGCGACATATCGAACTTTTCCGACGTCATCAGGGCCTATCACAGGCTGCTCGATTTGAAGGAGAAGTACATCAACGTGGAAGTGTTGAACGTGCTGGTGTACAACGTTTGCAACGATTTGAACGATTGCGAGGGCCAATCGTGCCGGAGATTTTTGAAGAAAACTAGAGAATTGTTGGGTAGGGTGACGGCCGTCTATCCAGGAGAGGGTTACGTGTGGGAATTGTACGCCAACTTGGCGCCGGCCGTGCTGCTGAAGGCCCAACGATTGCAGAGGGCCTACAGGGGTTACAGCCAAAGCGGTTGGGATAAAAACCCGGCGAGTTGCCAGCAGATGCTGTACGTTTGCATCAAGCTGGCCGGTATCGTGTTGGACCACGACATCGATCCCAAAGATACTCTGGTGAATTCCATCAGGTTGAATTTGAGCGCGGCTGTGGCGGCCGTAAAGAAACAGGATTGGGAGGAGACGAGAGATTTGGTGGAACAAGTGACGGGGCTTCTCGAGAAGATTATTGATAAAGTGAAAAATGACCATAGTAAAGTTATCGATTAGATTTATTTTTAACACGTTGAACGAGGAATAAAAAATTCATGATTTGTTGTCCTATACCTTACTTATACGAATGGTTTAAAATAAGTAATACACCCTGCAAGGATAAATTGTATAATAATAATAATTTGTTTACAACATATACTATGGAATAAATTAAATGTGGATGAAGAACACCCATCAAGGAACGTGTTCAATCAAATTGTATATTACGAATATATCTAGTATATTTCCTCGGTACGTTTCTCGTAGCCTGATCGACTTCCTGCAGGAAACTAGTCGAGTTGTGAATGGTAGTACCGCCCAATAATACATTGAAATTAGGATTATTCCTGTTAATGGAATGCACCGTCAACGATTCCTCGTAGGTGGCCCCTCCGACGATGAATACAACAACGTCCTGTTGTCGTCCGGACCCCCGATTGCCCAAATAAGGATACAGTTGCTCCTTCAACCGGCCTTTGACTAGATCTTCGAGCGTTTCGTTCAACAACGGTTTGTGTTGCGTGTAAACGTTATCGACTCCGCTGAGCCCTTTGATGAACCTCTTGGTGATTTTCACGGCGTTTTCGGCGTTGAACAAGTCGCTTTGTCTGGCGTGCGAGCCGGCGTATTCGATTATGTTGACTATGTTCTTCAGAAATCTGCCCGGCACGCTCCGTCTTTTTATCAATTCCACCAAACCGATTAAATCGTTGTTGTTGTAGTTTTGGTATCTTAGAGCGTACAACATCACCAGCTTGGCGACGTCGCTGTCTCTGGTCCGTTCGCTGTTTATTAGCTTTTTAACGCCTTGCAGGTGACCGTGGTGGTCGTTGTTTTGCGATGAAATTTCCTGTTCAACTTCGGAGACGTCGAGCAAATCGAATTTGTTGACCATCGCGCTCAATTCGCCCACTACAGTTACGTGTTTAGTGACGTTACCGGAGAGTTTCTTGAATTGCGGATAGGACTCGACGAAGTTCTTCATATCGGCTATGGATTCGATTTTCTGGTGGCTCTTCGCCTTGGCTTGGAAATGATCCATTAGCTCTTTGATATTGGTGCCTATTTCGCCGTAATTCATGAATATGTTTTTGGCGTAAAAAGCGTCTTGTTCGACGGATAAAACCACTTCCGATAGTTCTTTGGGTATTCCGTTTATGTCCGATAAACTGACTCTGTTGTTGTTGATTGTTAGTAGTTCGTGCACCATCGCTTGGTAGGTCCATTGGTTCAGTAAAGGCGTTATCGGATCATCTCTACGATCTAGAATTAACAATAGGCAATTGTTGGTTTGGCTGAAAGCGAACAACGACGATTCCTTGCTGATTATCTCCTCGATACGAGTTCCCAAATCTTTGCATACGCTCGAATTGGCTTGGTACCGAATGACGGGGCATTTCTTTAAAGATAACAAAACCGATACTAATCCTTGTACAGTGCGCTGGAGCGCCGGAGGATTCCAACTCAAGCTCGACAAACAGGAGCTTATGCCGAGCGAAAATAAATGCGGATTCACTGCCAGGTAATCCATGTAAAACTCCTGTACTTCTTTAACCACCTCGTGTTCATCGTGCTCGGCTAGAATCTTTATATCAGCTTTGGCTATTATGTTGCTGAAGTATATGTAGTAGGCCCCGTACTTGGGGTTCCTCAGCTCGTTGCAGAGAGCCGTTACGTTCTGTTGGGTGGGCCTGACGAAGACCAAACACTTGAGGTAGCGCAGGCCCGTGGAATTGGGGAAGTTCGCAGAATCTATGCGCTCCAGCAAGTAGACTTCTTTCTGTTGGATTTCGGATTGCCCGTACACCATGCTGATAACGCTGGTCGTTTCTTTATCCATTAATAGGATTTTCATGCCGGGCTCGCTCTCCGAGGTCATTTTTACCACGTACGCCTTCACCGCTGATATTACGTTCATTTTTGATGGTTTAGATTGTTAAAATTAAGAATTAACTTTTGTATTATTCTACATTATTGTTTCTAGTTTATTTTCTCGACAATGTTGTTGACATTGACGTTTTTGAATTCGATTTCGAATTGACAGAAAAGTAACTTTTACTATTCAGTGATTCAGCCATTTTCATCTTTTTCGAAATTGTGAAGTTTGACAGTTCTTCGTAGCTCACGTAGCCTTCCTTCTCTAATTAGAACTTACCGCAAAACTTATTCGTGTATAAAACTTTTTTTAGCACACCAAAAACCTAAAGGAATTATAACAATAAATAAAACGCCTCATTAGAAAAATATACTCGGACATTTTACAAAAACAAAACGGAACAAACAAACAGGAAATAGTAGTCTTTTAAACGGGCGTCCTATAGGCCGGCCCCGTGGTGGTTTTAAACGGTGGGCAACAGTAACCCCCCGGCGCTAGGGCGGGCGGCCTGATAGGTCTTCTCTTGATAATGACGCACTCACCGCAAGGGTGACAAGGCAATTCGGGCGGGCGACAGGGCCCCCTCGGCGCCTCGGGCGTCCTAGGGGGAAAGGGGCACACCGAGACAGGATAGGCGGGACGCACGACGGGCTTGAAGACGGCCGGTACGGGCACGCAGGGCACGGGCAGGGTGTCGCAGGGACAGTGCTGGGGCTGCGCGGGACATATGGTGATGGGGACGCAGGTGGTGTTGGCGTAGCAGGGATTGCAGAAACAGGCGCAATCCATATTAGAAACGGAAAATTTTTTTAACTGTTATACTGGATATTTGCGAAGCGAATTGTCAAAAACTGATCGACGTTTGTATTGTATACAGAGTGTTTGATAAAAAACTATTTTTATACCAATAACAGCGAGGTACCTTAGATCTTTTTAATAAATTACTACTACCCTGTATAAGATTTAACGTATTTTTCTACAGAAAAATTATCCTCTTTTTCCCAACTTGATTCATTCTATTCTCGTTAGAAGAACTTCCCTCTTCAGCCGAGTTAAATTAAATAAATAAATAAGTTGTCTAAAAAGTTATTATTCGGAAGATATTTACATACAGACGTAGAAACAATTTTCTACATTATTATTCTTATCTTATAGGTTCCATTACATCAACAATTTAGTTTCGTTTAAATGAACTAAACAGATGTATTCGTACGTGCACGATTCCTGTTGGCAGTTTCGTAAACTTTATAGGCGAGTCCTAAGAATCCGACCATTATGAATATTCCCAGTACGTGAATTATACCGATAAAGAACCGTTCCAAGTCCAGATTGAGGCCGAAGATACCCGAAGACTTTCCTCTGTTCGATTTGAAGAACGGCAAAACTTCTAGATCGAGGAATTGTTGATTCAGGAACTTATCCGAATGCAAAACAGCGCATTTTGGCACTGGCATATCTACCAGGTGTGTCAGAAACGACAGTTTTTCTGCTCGGAGTACGGTTTAAAATCAATCGCTTGAGTTCCACCGATAAGTTCTAAGAGGAAAAGGACAGCGATAATGTCCATTTCACTTCTTTTTCTAACTTATTTGAACCTGTCAATTTTACTAACTTTTTTTTGTAATTCATTATCATCGTTCAAGTTTATTTTACACAAAATAATAACAAAACCTGTTATCCTTACATTATTTAATGAACGTTTTGTTTAATATAATCCAACAAAGCTTCATAAGTCAAGTACATAGTTTGCTTTGTTTTAGTATGAAATAGTTCCACTAACGAACTATCTTCCGATGTCCTTTTATTAATTACAACAATAAACGGGTATCCCACTCTTTTAGCCTCTAAAAGCCTCCTTCCTATCGTTAAACCAGTTCTATCATCTAGTAAAATGTTATCTCTCAAATCTGGTATTCTTTCCTCCAAAAACGAGTACACTTTTTCCGGCACACCTTTCGTCAAAGTCTCCTCTTTACTGCCTTCCTATAAAAAAAATAATTAACTCAAACACCTTAAATTAATCAATTAACTCACTTTTGCCGGTAAAATAATGATATTATAAGGCGCAATCGAATTAGGCCACCTCATGTCCGAATCAGTCGATAACACTTCAAGACAAGCAGCCAACATTCTACTTATACCTAACCCGTAGCTCCCCATTTGCAATACTTTCGATTCCTGATTCATCGAAATGTATTTGGTATTTAATAGTTTGGAATACTTTTCGCCGAGCAAGAACGTGTGGCCTACTTCAATACCGGAATGCACTTTGATTTTATTAGAGTCTCCGCATTGGGGGCACTTCGATCGGTCCTCACACAGCTCGGCGTTCACGTAATAATCACAAGATTCACAATGCAACAAATTATCTTCGCCTATGGACGATTTGAATTGGTATTCGTGTGATAAATGTCCCCCCATCAATCCCGAATTCCCCAAGACTTTGACGAAATCCATTCCGATCGTTTTGAATATATTCTCGTAGCTTTCGCAAACTTCCTCGTAGGTTTTTTTGGCGCTGTTTAAATCAATATCGAACGTATACATATCTTTCATGATGAATTCCCTGCCTCTCATCAGCCCGAATCTCGGTTTGATTTCGTCCCGGAATTTCGTGGAGATTTGGTAGAATTTCAATGGGAATTCTCTGTACGATAATGGAGAAAGTGTAGATAGCATTTCGGTGGCCACTTCTTCGTGTGTCTACGGTTAATGTTGAATAAATAATATATAAATTAAGTATAAATTACGTACGGGACTCAATATGTATGATTTTTGATGGCGATCTTGTAGCTTGAACAATTCCGGTCCGGCTTCTTCTAATCTACCTGAAAGTTTATCGTAAGCGTATATTGTCATAATTATGGGAAAAATTAAGGTTTCCTTACCGCTGTCATTCCATAATTTGGTGTTTATAAGGCTGGGAAATAGCATTTTCTGTCCGCCTATGTTCGACATTTCTTCGTCGATTATTTTGGTTAATTTTTGCAAGGATTTGATTCCCAACGGTAGGAAATTGAAACAACCAGGTACCGAGTTTTGGATGAATCCCAGATCGAGCATTAACTGCAGCATAAAGTATAAGTGTTTAGAAAAATAGGGTTTTCAATACGATTTCGTTCGAAACTAACCTTTAAACTTTTCGACGTTATTTTCGATGATTTCGCCGGCATATTAAGTGGTTGAAATATTTTCGATAATCGGTGTTTAACGAGAAAAGACATTGTTCTCGAGTATTTATAATTATATTTAAAATAAGGCCGTTTTTTGTAGAAATTTTTTAGGTTATTAAGTAGGGTTATGTTATAACTGTCAATTGTCATTTTGTCAAAACATTCGGTTCGGTCAGTAATCAGCTAGAGAAAGAGAGAGGTATATAAAGAAAAAGGCAAAATTAACGAGTTCGATAGAGATCAGGCTACTGAGATTGATTGACATAATAATCAGTTATATGTAGACTTTTACTTGATAAGTAATGGAAAAACCGATTCTAATCTAATTTTTCGTATGTCGTAAACCAAAAATTTAATTTTTGAGGTAGTTTAGTTTAGAATATTTATATTTTTTATTATACACATATAAAACGTTTTCAGTTCACAATATTTCAAACGAATAATAATGGCGACGTTTCAACGCCAACTCAAGCAAACACAAAAAGTAGTTCCTATTTTGAAGATTAACGTAATACGTCAATAGAGTCGACTTTTCCTCGGTATTCTCGCCACATTGACTCGATACCGAAGACAACGGAGACACGCTAATGGCAACCTCATCGCTATACTCGTACTTTTTGGGCGATAACATGAAATTCGTCGTTTTTTTAACGTAATCCTCCACTCTCGCTCTACTATCCGGATCCATATCGATACTCTCCTCGTCCGGTTCTTTATTAACTTTAGGCGAATCCGACGCGATTATCTTGAAAACCAGCAAAGTAGGATCGTTGCTAGGACAAACGGCCAACTCTGATAGATTTAAAACCTTTTGCACGGCATCCTGTTCCAAACTGAACACTATAAGAACATCGGTCGTAAGGATCAAAGCGACAGTCTCGTATTGCGAGGCGTTAGATATGGAAGTGCCTTCGCAAACGTACAGCAAATCGTTCGAATAATTCTCCAAATACTTCCAAAGATACTTCAACGAAGAATTACTGCCTTGCAATATCTTTTCTATCGACGGTAACGATCTGGCTTCGGGTAAATTATTCCAACCCGCTCCTTGCAACAGTCCTTAAAAACGATACAAAAATTTTTACAAACACATACGAGGAGCGCGTAATAATTATTTACCTTGTCCTGTTAGAGCCACCAATTCAGCAGCGCCGCTCAGAGGCTTTGTTACCATGCCTACCAGACCCAAACCCACGCCTGTTACCAACGATATGGGCGAAACTCCTTCGGCTATCATAAATTGCAGAGGATGATGGGCTACTCCTCCTATGGCGCCCAGTAGGCTCACTCCCAGCCCCGTCAAACCCTTCAAATAATTCAATTAGCTCGAGAATAGCACGAGATGGCGCTCGCTTTGCGAATCCCCGCAATTACCTGCATAAAACCCTGCGCTAATCCTTGCGGTTTCCTCTTCCGTTGCTCCTCGGTGCGCCTCACGTGTTCCTCGTCCAAAGTCAACCGATCCAAATTCCTGGCTACGCTCGAGGCCAGTTTCGTGACCGATTGCAACGTTCCGGCCGTGACGTGTCTCATCAGGGAGGCCGAACCTTGGGTGATGCCCCTCAGGAAGGCCATGGGGCCGATGATGAAGCCGCGCAACGGCAGACTGACGAAGTCTCTCAGGCCGGTGCCCATCGCTCTGGCCAATCCGCCGGGGCTTCCCAGCAACTCCAGCGAGCTGACCACCCAGCCCGCTCCGAATATGGCGTCGGAGAGGTAGTGCATCGTCAGAGCGTGTCCTAATCTGAAGCGGTTTCGTTATTAATGGATTTGTTTTTAGTTAGATATACGGGGTGTTACCTGTACGGTGTAGTGAATAATCTCCTTCTCTCCAGTTTTCCGAATTGCAAAGGAGACTGATCTAAGGCTATGTACAATTTAACGGAGTAATGTACCGATAGGGACAATGAAATCGGCGAAATGCTGAGGCTTCTTAGAGATAATGGTTTCGCTAATAGGGAACTTTGCCAAATGATGATATCGGGAATTAAAACCTTAAAAGAAAGAGACCTGTTAGAATCTCAAAGGTTGGTTTCTATAATTGTGTACTTACTGAACTAGGAGGACCGTTTAGCTTTTGGGAATTCTTCACCGTTTGCCAACAGATAAGGTTTGTTGGTACGAATATATTGAAATAATCCATCAAACAGGCCACGTAGGTGTCTTCAATGAATATAGAAATAGGATTTACGTTGATTTTTACATATTTCACACCTAAAATAATTATAATTAATTTATTTTACATTTATATAAATTGTTCTGCAATCAAATTTGGCCGAATAACATCATAATAAAAGTCCATACAACAATTGACATTTCAAATAATGCGAAACTTGACCTTGACAATCAACTTAAAACAAGAAGATTGAGGTTATGTATATTCTAACGGCCGAAATTCAATCGAAAAACACAACAAATACATAAAAATACCGAAAATATGCCTTACTTCGGCCCCGATATATCAGATAGCGAAGACGACGACGATTATTTCGTCTACTCCGACACACCTAAGGTACAACATCAACAACAAACCAAAGAGCTAACGCCTCAAGAAAAATTAAACCAGCGAAAAAACCAACTGTACTACGCCATTTGTTCTGGTAAAGTAAAAGAAGTAAAAGAACATTTAACAGACGATATCCCAATCGACGTAGACCTACAAGGAAATTGGACTCCATTACTCTTATCAGCATCAATTGGAAACCCTGAAATCACCGAAGAACTACTAAACAGAGGAGCGGATCCAAATTCGAGCAAAGATGGCTGTACGGCCTTAATGATGGCAGCCAATTGCCCTAAAGAAACTTCGCCCTACGAACATTCCCTTCAAGTGGCCAGATATCTTGTAGAACACGGAGCAAAAGTAAAAACCATCGATAGAAAAAGAATAACACCGCTTATGTTCGCCTCAAACGCAGGAAATCTATTACTAGTAAAATACCTACTACCTATAAGCGACAAGCAAGCGCAAGATAATCAGAAATGGACCGCTTTATTTTGGGCGGTCAGTAACAATCAAGTCGATGTAGTCGAGTATCTGATCGAAGAAAACCTTAGCTGTAACACCACAGACGTAAGAGGCAACACGCCGTTAGACATAGCAAAAACCAACGGTTTCAAAGAAATCGAAGAGCTACTTTCGTATGATGATATAGAAGAGTTTTATAACGTACCGGAACCTTGTTTTGATGAAGTTCTCGATCAAACAAATAATAACGGAGAACCCATTTTCTTCCAAGATATATGCGAGATGCTATGCGGCATGAAGAGCCAGCAAACTATCAAGTTATTAAAAGATAGCGACATATGTTTGAAAGATTTCCTGTCGATTTCTGACGAGGAATTGGAAGAATTAGGCATCGAAATGCCCTATCGAAGATACAGAATTTTAGCCGGTTTGCACAAATTCCACAAGCGACCATTCCATCCTAAATCCCTGCATTTGGTGCCTTTAGATGAAGTGTACAGTAACCTGGACGTCTCTATTCAAATCCTTTCTGCGATTAAACAATTCATCGCGATGGAAGCATCGCTGAAGTTTATGATGAAACACTGCGATATGAGCGATATTTCTAAGGAAGATTTATCGAAAATGAGAAGTAGTATTGAATCAGTGAGAAACAGAATTAGATCTTGCAAAAATATTGCAAATGGGGTGAAGAAACGAGTTAAAATGTGGGATAAAGAAATCCAACCGGTCGATTTAATAACGAAGAAATCCATCAGATACAAATGGCCATGGAGGAAATTAATGTTTTCCATAACAATCATTTCGATTGTAGTCGTAATTAAGCTAAAATAAATTCCGTTAAGCGCTCACCAGTAATGTTTATTTTCCTAGCTTTGTCAGTCCAAGTTTCTAACGTAAAATCCGCCGTTATCAACGCGTCATTATCTTCAATTTCTTCTAAATTTTCTAAAGGAATGTTAACCGACCTCGCCGACCGGCGCTCCTTTCCCTCTTGCCCCTTCAACAACACGGGGAAATCGTAGGAATGTCTCGAATACAATTGGTTATCGAGTTGAACGTCCGATATTGAAAATTTCATCTTCAATTTCTGAAAATTTTCGCGTACATTACTCGCCCAATCACTCCGCCAAAAGTCCTCACCTCGGTTTGCGTTCCGTCTACGACGACGTTATCACAGATAAGACTGGCGATTTCCCAGCGCTCTCGGCCCTGCTCCTTCAAATCGGAGGCGAACGTCACGGTGAACGTTTCGACCTGTATCCTGAACTTCATCAGGGCCCAACGCTCTCTCGTGGGCAGCGTGCTGACGAGGAGGGATCGCTGGAGGGGCGACGTTGCCGATAAAATCGAATCGGAGCGGGTCCTCGGACACGGGCACGAGTCTTCGGCCCCTTGGAACTGGCTCTTATTGTTTACCTTAGAAATCGACGAATCGGACATTGCACGGTGGATTTCTTCGGGGTGAAAGTTCGACGAAGAGGGAGCTTCTTCTTCTTGTTGTTGTTCTTCTGCTTCTTCCTGTAAAAGGTAAATTAGTTTGTTTGTTGAGTAATGGTGTGGCTATTTACCTGAATTGTTTTGTCCAGTTCGTTCATGCTTAATCTAGTGCGTATATCGCTAGCGTTGATTTCCATCTAAAAATTGTTTAATTTCAAATATAATTAATGCCGATTAAATTCACTTTTACCTCTCCTGTTGATTGTAAATTTATAAAAGTGGTACAGGCCGAATTGACTACAATAACTTTTATATCCCCGTGAGGGGGTATTCGAAGGTATTGCTCGTAATTGTGGGTGATATTAATCGGTTGAGACCATTTGATTTTTTCCGAATTTTCTAAAAACATAACTATAAGAAAATTCACAACGAAATAACGAAAATTACATACGCGATTCGCAGGCGAATCTAAAATGCTCGGGGAAATGGTACTGCGGCAATTCGGGGAACTTCTCTCCCAACAACGGCATGCTATAATACATCTCCTCGTTATCCTGTATCCTGCAATTCCAATTGAAATGCTGCGATTCCTCCGCCACCGATCCGTCTTTGGCGGATTGTCCGCACAGGATCGTCCTGCCCGTGGAATTGGCGATCAACGTTTGCGGGTAATTGTCGTTGAACAACGACAAAACCAGCTGCCCTTTGTGCTCCTGGCAGGTCAACAGGGCGGCTATGGGATGCGGCGTTGCCGTTATGCAAAAGGATTTCCGCAGGAACGGCCTGTCGACTCGGATCGGACAGGACCAGCCGGACGTTTCGTCCGTGCAAAAGGACATGTACAGCGCGTAGTCGTTGGAATTGCTCGAGGATTTCGCGGAGGTGTACCATTTGATTATCGATACGCCGCATTGGCTGGAATCGAAAATTTGTATTGATGTTTTACGAATAATAGATAAATCGGAACCTTTTATCCAAACATGGCAACAGCGCGAAGCTATAGCGATCGGCGTTCTTCGGAAAATTAAACTTTTTATCTCCATTAGACACAGCCAAACAGATCACTTGTAATTGCGTCGGTATTTGATTAGTAAGCACATGCGTAGATGAAATCTGTAACGCAAAAATTCATTCAAAACTTGTTATAAAAAATATAATACATCAATCTCACCTTTAACAATCTAATTTCATTAGCGATTGTACTCGACACTGAAATGCAACAAACGTGCGAATCGCATTTAATCGCAGCCTTAATTGATCCTTCTATAGGCAATGTACCGGATATGGTGGGCATGTAAAAGGTCTGGCTCCAATCGGATTTGGCCAATTGCAAAGGTTCTGAATAGTACCGAGATCCTCCCATAGAAATTCCCATGTTAAAATTTCCCTATGAAACAAACATGAGAAATTTATAACAATTGGAAGTGCGAATTTAGTACTAACTTCTAATTTAGGTGGCGCCACGATCCCATGATGGGGTATTCTACACAATTCCGTCCCGTTTAGCATCAAAGACACGGGGATTCCCAGAGTATTCGCCGCCAAACACCATGGTAACAATTCTACCAGCAAAGAACAGGAATTCGGACTGGCGTTTTGGTATCTAACCTAAAAAATTATTCGAATATTTCGAATTATCCCGTTTTATTCTGGTTTTCCGCGTTACCTGAACGTGCGTCAGCGGTTGATCTTCGACGATCCAATCGATTTCGTCCAATTCGTCTCCGAACATCGGCCAATTTACCTCCGAAAAAATTTCTAATGCCGATAGATTTTCTTCGATATCGCCGTTTTCGGATTTTTTGAAAAACGCCGATTGGTCTACCAGGCTGTAGTTCAAAGGAACGTACGGATTCGAGGTAGAATTTTGATTACTAAAAGTAAAATAAACCTTTTTAATGTTTCCGGAGATTTGTAACTTTCTCTAGACCGTTCCGAATAGTTCTAATTCAAATCTAAATGACCCATAATTGCTCTAAATGATTCTGGACAGTTCTAAATGATCTAGAATAGCTCTAAACGATTCTTAAGCTATCCTGAACAATTTGGAAGCTTCAAAACATTGGCGAGCACACTATGTAGTTCATTTATACCATCAATAATTTATAACTAACGTACTCCATTTTGAAGGTGAGCTGATGCGAATGATCGATGGTACCGGGACAGTACAACTGTTGCAAGCGACCTCTACCTTCGACCGTCGAATCCAAATGAACGTTCAGAGTAGGCGTTTCGATGTGTACGTTCGAACTAACGGGCAGATTCGATTTGACGGTGAACAACGGCCACAAAATCGCCAAAATCCTTTTGGTATCTTCGATTTCTTCCGTTACAATGCGACACCAGATGCTCAAGAATTGGCCGCGCTCTTGTAGAGGAACTGAAACAACATCGAGAATGTACAGGGTGTCCCGTGACTTGATAACCGTAGCTTAAGATTACTTGCTGTAGATGTTGCTAAGATGTTGCTAAGCTAAGGTCAGTTAGGGGTAAGTAAGGTCAGCTAAGGTGAGACAATTTAGGGTTATTACCTTTAACCAGCCACGGCTGAGAGCCGCTGTAATGAGCCTTCAACGGCACATCTCCCGTCCAAGCCGAGTCCAATCCGTAGAACCTCAATCTCAAATAGTACTCCCTATCGGTCCTGAGGAATATCGAGGGAGTGGTATTACGAGAAGGCACCAGCTCGGTAGGCGTATTCCTGAATTCAACGTCTTTATTTTCTTTCACCGCTTCGACTACTTTCATCTCGAAATGCTCCATCAGCATGTTAGCGACGATCAATTGCGCGAAAATCGTGATTTTCTTCTGAGTGGCCGATAGAGATTTGATCGATACGTACACCGCTACGTTACTGCTCTCTTCGAACTCAACCAACTGAGTACCTAAAACGAATCCACTCGTACATAACGCATTTTTACACCCAACAAGGTGGTCTTATAAGCTCTACAAACCATCTTCGTAGACTCCGAAAGGCTCCGACCACTCGTACTCGTTCGACTCCACGCCCACGCGCAGCTGTTGCGCCTTCTTCTGCGACCTCCAGCTGTACAAATGGAACTTCCTGCAGCCCAACGACACCTCCTCGTCGGTGTGCGCCTGTCCGAATCTCAGCGTCGCGTGCGTATCGTTGCACACCACCAATCGCGTCATCACGATCAACCGATCGGGCCACGCGCGGTCCCACACTTGCGCGCTAACGGCCAACGTGTGGGCCACGTTGGGGCCGAATCTCGCCCGGACGGGCTTCGATATCAACTCGCAGCTCGCCCGGTCCGAAGCGTCGAGGCGCAGCTCGAAGTTGAAGGGCTCCACGAAGGGTTGTTCGGTGAGGAAGTGGTAATCGAGCACGGTGCACTTCGCGGACGATCTCAATTCGGCCGACGACACGTCGCGTTCCCAGCACGTGAGGTGGCCCTTTACGTTGAAGAGGCTCAGCGTGAGGAATTTCTGTTTGTCGGGAAAGAGGTAGTCGGACGTGAAGCGTTTGAGGAACGACGGGGGTTCGATGTAAACGAGTTTGTCGAAGTTGTTGGTTAGGGATACGTCGATTTTGGTGATTTCCAATGAAACGCATATGTTAGGTACTAGGTTTCTGTTGAAGTAGGAGTCTATTCGCATGCAAGCAGCTAGAGCTCTAGGCGACATTTGGGCTGACATGCTCGAAGGGCATTTACACACTATTTTTCCTTCTACTTTCGATTCAACTGTGATAACCTGGAAGTATTTAACACGTAATTCGTATTTTGTAGATTATTTTATGTACTCACAACTCTCCATGTAGATGCTACGACAGGCTGGGGATTGGATTTTGGTAGTTTCAAATGGCACACTTCGCTTTCGGACATGTAAAACTGGGCGTAAGGCAAATAGGACGTCCTGCATTCGGACCAATATTGCAAGGAGCACGAAATTTGAATTTCGTCCTGTGATTCGTTGCTGAAAGCGCCTTTGAACGGTACGGGGAACACCCTGATTTTAGTGAGAGCCCTGGGTTGGGGGTAGCGCCAAGCCATCGCCGATATTTTCGCGTTCCAAAACACCACCTAAAATTAGATACAATGGAGAACAAAGCGTTTAAAGCGGAGGAAAAGCGAGTACTTGATAAGGTAAGGGTAATTCGTCGGCGTTGTCGGAATTCGCGTCGATAAATTGGAAAGCCCCCGCTCGTAAATCGTCTTTGTAATGTTGTTCTTTCTCGGATAATTTCCTGGGAATCGAGTCTTCTGATGCGGCTCTTTTAGCAGGTTGAGGGCGATTTAAATTCGACGAAACCACGTCTTCTACTTCTTTTACAATCGTTTGCATACCTCTCACGGTTTCCGGACTGATATCGATGACTATATTTTCGCTCTTTACGTTGACTTGTATCTGGAATGTTTCATGTACATGGTAGAGTTTGTAAGTATTAAATACAAATACCTGGGGATCGCAATCGATGTGCTGCCAGGGCTCCCAGAAAACGAAAACGTTGAACGAAAACGACCAGGGATTCAACAAAACGTTCTTCTTGCCTTGGTTCATTTCGTTTAACATAATCAAAGTGGCCGATTGGAAATTCGTTTTCAAAGAAATCTTCTCGGGTCGAGTGGTAATGGAGAAACTGCTGGACGATTTCTCGAAACTCAATTGAACCTACAATAAAAAAATTATTTACGAATATTGTCAGTTTATTGTTGTTGGTAATTTACCTCGTGCCCGCTGTCGGAGACGATGCAAAAAACGGCCTGATCGATTTTGAAATTAACGTTCGTAATGCCGTACAAATAATTTTTTATCTCGTAAAACTTGCTTTTCACGACGGTAGGTCGAACGTACGGTAACGTATTCTTTTCTTTCACTTTTAAATCTTTATTTTTATCCAATAGCAGGACGATATCTTTGGCTTCGGTGCGCATATTATCGGCAATCTGTAATTGAAAAAAAAATACATATAGAATATGTCCTAAATAGAGGAATATCTTGTGCAAAAATTCCGATACCTTACGAAAAACATCGAGCAGAAAAGCGCACTTCGATGGCGAACACAAAAATTTCGTCGGTTTCCCTATTTCCACGTCCAAAACCGTACATTTACGTGAAATTTTGCTATATTTCAGCGTAAGAAAAGCGGGGAAAACCCCCGTATTCGGATTGGGATGACCCGATTTGGTTTCGATTAAATTCGTCGAATAACTATCCTCCGAAAGGACTTCGTTTACGATAAAATGGTCCATTCCGCCTACTTTAAACGCGAAATTGAAGCAGGATATTTGGATTTTCTTCGTCGCGTTCAAGTAGGACAAAAACGCGTTGGGCTGGTCTATGCAAATGCAAAACTGCAATAAAAAAATTACTATTAAATTTATTTAAACTTAATCTAGAGCGGTTCCAAAGGATTCGGAACAGTTCTAAATGATCCCTAATGGCTCCTAATCATTCTGGACAATGCCAAATGATTTAGAATGGTTCTAATTTATTTTTGAAGAGTTTTAAATGATCTAGAATGATTCTGGACAATTCTAAATGATCTAAATGATTCTGGACAGTTCTAAACGATCTAGAATGGTCACCTAGAATGATCATTATTAAATATTTATAAACTCGTATACAGATAGGTGCAAATTCGTACACAATATGATCTATAAGGGTGCAACAAAGACAACTAATCCCATGTAAAGGTAAGAGTGATATTGTGAGATGATAGCAACTTTCTCACTCTAACCACTGTTAGTTCAATAATCTCTCTTTGTTCGACTCAAAGAATTGACAAAAAAATTTGCACTTATCCGTTCACTCTGTTCACGCGCAACGAACAAAAATTACCAAAGGATAAATTTTCTTAGCGTTCTCGTCGATATCGTCCATATCGTCGTCGAACAACTCGTTGTAGCTCGTCAAGCTGATCCTCTTTTGCAACGGCATCGACATTCTCCTCGTCAATTTCTTCGTCCATTTCTTGTGGATATCCTCCAAATCCACCTCGTAGAAGCTCACGGTGAGTTTCCCGGCGGTGAAGAGCGCCTCTATCGGCAGATTATCGAGCGAAATCGACTGTTTGTGGGCGAAATTCCTCTCGCTGTCGGTTTTCAAATTCTTCGAGGAATTCACCGATCGTATGTCGGACGTTTCGAAACCGGAATCTTTGTACGAATCGCCGATCAAGTTCTCCGCGGATTTGCCGGAGGCGGGAAATTCGATTTTACCGTACGGGAATGTTATCTTAGGCTTAGAGGAGTCGCTTTTCTCTTCTACAGGCTCGACAAGCAATTGGAATTCTTTGAGCAAACAAGCCGCTATGCTAAATTGCTGGTAGACTAGCGCAATATTGATATCAGAAGTTAAGTTTATTTCTACGGAATGTCCGCATATTACTGTGGAATCTTTGTAGACCATCGCTGGTGCTGCTATAACCTGAAAAATATTAATAACGAGGTAAATATGCATTGTTATTCGGTATATACAAGGGTAAGGTGAAAGGTTCTCAGCCTGGCAATGAAAGATCGCGATTTTCAGTTGAAAACAATTACATTATTCTTCCTATTAAGTCATAATCTTTAGTTCAAAACTGTTCTAAATGAATCTGAAGCGTTCTAAATGGTCTAAGACCGTTCTGAATGGTTCAGGAGGGTTCGAAATGGTTCTAGACAATTTTAAATTTGATTCTGAAGCATTCTAAATGGTTTTAAACAGTTCTAAATGATTCTAAATGATCTAGTTCCCACTCTACCCTCGTAGAGTGTTACTCTTACCGATATATCGAATTTATCGATTATATGCCAGAGATCCAGCAGGGGTTCTTGAAACTGGGGCTGGCCTTTGTCAATGCTGTTCCATTCCAGGGCCGGATTTTCGCTGAAACTTCTGGAATGCGAGGATTTGGCGCTGAGCGATTGAGCGAATATGCTTTGTACGTCGTCCCAAATGCCGGTAGAAACGGATATTCCCGTTATATTCAACTCGTATTGTCTATCTTCTACGTCGCTACCTAAAGACTTTTGTGTTAAAAAAATTGATTAGAAGAGATGCATTTGCGTTTACCGGGTACGTTTAATATCCTCGAATGGGCGGCTCGCTCGTACAAATCAGGCCTGAAAGGCGTCCTGCATATGGGATTCACCGCCGACGGGGTCAAAGATATCTTGTCTATTTGCACCACCAGGCAATCCTGCAAAGCCAAGCTGTCTACCAGATTCTTCGAAGGCAACACCACCCTGATATCCTGGCATTCCAAATAGGCCAAAGGCAGGTTTTGATTTGTGAAATTCGACAGAGCATTACCGGCAATTTTCGACGATTTCCCGCCGGATTTTACGGGAATTTTTAGAACAGGAGCGATTACTTGATAGAAGCTTCGTAGAGTATTGAAAGATAACACGAAATCTGAAATAATATTACAATTCAATACTATTTCGATAAAGCTACAATCGGTATTATACCTATAGGTTGAACGTTGACAACGATTTCCGTAATATACCTAGATTGGGACAATAACTCGGGCTTGGAGCTGCCGGTGGTCCTCTTAGGTTCCAGCATGTATTTCTTTTGTACGGCTCCCCATAAGGTGTGAGCGTGCTGACAACTCGCCCGCGTTATCGTTACGTTAATGAAACCGTTATCTTCGTGCCTTTGATTGACTTGGGCGTCTTCTCTAATCCTCATCACGACCCCCGTGTAGGGCCCGGGCTGCCAATTCTCCTTCGGAGAAGACCTGAAAATATCGAACAATTCGATCAATAGTCCTTTTCAACGGTTCTAGTTTATCCCGAACAGTTCCAAACAGTCTTGAACCTGTTCTTAATGAATTTGAACAGTTCTAAACGGTTCCAAATAATCCTGAACCATTCAAAACGATCCCAGTCACCTCTACGAAGCTTCTAAACCCTTCTAATTTACACCGATCACTCACTTTTTATAATGCTGAATGGACATCGATCCGATTTTGCTCTTCATCTTCAAATAAACGTTTTGGAAATCAATCGAGCTGACGATGTCTTCGGCATCGATGACCAGATTCAACCGACAGTCGGACGATTCGGAATCGCTTGTCAAACTGCAATCGTTCGATAACAGTTCAACGGTGAAACGCGTGATGGTCCATTGGACCCAAGCGGTCAATTTCACTCCCGCCTCATCCGGATTTTCCTTATTCGTAGCGATAGTAGGGGTCTGATCGCTGAGCGATTCGAATGATACCTCTCTTATGACGTTTTCCGTTAGAGACACGCTGGAGTCTTTTATCGCTGCCGAAGAAATCGCTTCGGGAATCGAGGATTTGCCGGTACTATCCGGCATTAGATTCTCGCTCACTTCGATCAAACCGTACAAGATGCTAGCGAACAGATACACTTGCACTTCGGACGTGGATATCAATATAGGCGTAACGTCTACGTGTATGTAAATACCCAAAGGGCCTATATCGATTTTATTGGAATCCTGAGCGTCCGCGTTGGATTTCGTCGACAAACCCACGGTGGCGCTCAGCGAAAACGGGTTCAGAAACGACAGCTTGTTGCCGAATTGCACGGTGTAACAGCTCAATTCCGATACGGACATCGTCCATGGGAAGCTCGATGTATCGGGCGACCATACCGAGGCGGGTAACGTTACTGGTAGCTTGTTGAGGTATTTTTTTATGCTCTGCCTGTGAGCGCTGCGTACGTTCGATAACGGTAGGGTTATTATCAGAATGTCCGGCGGCTGTTTCTTGTTTACCGCCGATTCCACTGCTTCTTGGATACCTGCAGAGTAAATAGATGTATTAGGCTTGCCTCACTTAATAATCGAGGTAGATATAATGACGCTTTCATGTCCATACAAGCTGTTAATTAATCGTCTTGCAGATACTCGTGTAGAGACGAGCATGTCCGATTATTATAGTAAAAATCAGGAACTTTAGAGATCAGGAGCATTAGTATTAGAGATTACCTTGAGAACCAATGGCAGAAAGGGACACCAACGGAAAATACACCGTACATTGCGATATATCGCCGCAGATGAACATCCCCTTCCAAACGTCGAACCATTTGATTAGAAAATTGTAGATTTTCTCCTGCAAATCGACGGTTTCCTCTTTGGGCGATTCCACTTTGACCGGTTTGAACAATTCCCTGTCCGAACTACTGTGAACGGTTTCTATTAAACTGGTTATTCTACGCGGAGTATCGGATAATATCGGCTCGTTGGTTTCGTACGTTTTCGTCTTTAGAACTTTTTCTAAAATAAAATTTACACACATGTACGAATTCGTATGTTATCATCTAAAGAGCGGTTACCGGAACTTTGCTTCGGTAGAAGACTTTGAGGATAGTAGAGCAACCATCTACACAGCATGGGATCGATGCAAATTCGAATCTCTTGCAGATTGAACAACAATATCGGCGGATGTCTCTGATTGTCCGGTTCGAGGGGATATTGAATCGTGGCAGTAAATAAAGGCAAATTGAATTCCTCCGATTGAGGATTGTCCGACGGTTTGGGATCCGGTCCTGATATGAACAAAATTTGCTGAATATCATTCGTCGACGCTGAAGCACCTTTAACCGGCTCGAATATGAAAGCTTTAATCGAACCCAAACTCATGTCCATCGAAATAGTCGAATTAGTTTGCACACGTTTAAACCGGATAGATTCAATGCAAAGCTCCATAAACGGCATATCTGAAAAAATTGTTGTTAATAACATAGTCATTAATAAACAACTATATCATTTACCATCCTTAGAAGCATCGGATAATATGGAAGTATCTTTCATGGTGCTCAAGGCGCCCTCCGAATCCATTTTCAACATTTTCCCAACGATGAGAGCGACCACCATCATCTTCGCGTTGGTTCCGTTCAAAGTGATGGTGTCCGATTCGAACAACTGTTCTTCGTGCGGAATGTTCGGATTCACCCAAAACTGGGGCTTAGCTATATGTCTGGTCGAATAGGAGAAACTCGACGGCGTTAAAATGGTAGTGTGCTGTTGTTTGTTGACTATCAATTGGCTGCATAGCCCGACTATTTTCACGTTTTGATGCGAATAACAGGCTTCGAATAATTTAGCCGGAGGGTCCGGTAACTGGCATGTGGTGTGAACCAATCGATTAACGTACATCGGATAGGTCGAGCTTATATCGATGAATTGACATTCGATCGAGAGTTTCGGTAGGAATGATTGTGTAGCTGATGGACTCGTTGGGGATATACCTTTCTTCTAAAAAACAAGATGATTGTTGTATGGGAGGTATTTTAGGATATTTGAGTAAACGTACCTTTTTTCTAACAAACAGCATACCCTTAGTGGGTTGAAAATAGGGATGATCCATCAGGTCTAGTTCTATAATGGGCGCGAAAAACGTTATTCTCATGCTTCTTGTGGGTATAAATTCGTTGAGAGCATCGAAATCTTCTTCGGAAGGCGGATGGATGTCTTGGAGGGTTTTCTCCGGTTTCGGAATCGCGTACGGTGGATAATCGTAATACGAAGCTACAATGCGATGATTAATAAAAATAAACGAATATAATTTAGTACTAACCGGCCGCTTGTAAAGAACCAATTCTGTGGAACAACCCGGAGCAGATTCGAAGCTTTAAAGGACCAACGCACATTCTCATATTAGCGTTTTCCATTAAATTACTACAAACACAAAATATTATTACAATAATTTCTATAGGAAAGAGAATTACCTAAATTCAAAATCGCTACCCAACTCCGATAAAACTTCACTAGACGTATCACTAGGTACTTCGATTTGGTACAAATAATCGAAACAAAACGCAGGCGTCCTATCCAATAATACTGATTCCGTATAAACAGTCATATGATGATCCCAGGATGTATTGTACATTCTCCTCTGACCTTTATTCTCCACGGCTTCCGCATCGAACAAAGAATCCGTTTTGTGGCTACTACCTTCGGAACCTGCAAAAATTCAAACAAACCCCATGAAAAAATGAATGATAAACATTTCGTAACTCACCAACCGATTTTTAAGTAATTTATGGCAGTAGAATGGTCGGGGATTTCCGTATGGGAACAACTGCACGATCCCATGGGCAGTAAAACGGCCTGGCTTATTCCGCAAGTCGAATTCAACCATTTCAAGCCGTGTATGATCGTCTCGCAGTAAATGCCTTGCAGTTGGAGACAGAGCATCGGGTTGTAGCGGATTTTTTTATGGGCATTGTAGTAATTGCCTCGATCCGGACTCGCCTCCGATACCTACAAAAAATGTTATATACACCAATAAATTAGACATGCAGAAGGAACCGTATTATCGCACCTTAAATGTTATGGATAAATTATCAATGTAACTTCCGAAATGTACTGTATGCCCTTTGAAACCGTCGAAATCCTCGTCTTGTAACTCATCGTCCCAAGGTGCTGGTAGAACGGACGAAACGTAAGACCAAGCCCAGCTACTCCACGATGTTTGATTATCTTCTATACCTACATTTATTAATAAGTAAATAAATCATAAACGCACTATCGATAATACACTGTTTGTCAATATATATGATTGCATTCAAGAGGCCATTGTCAGTGGACTGTTTGTTAATACGAATTGAGGCCATTGATAGTGTAATAATGAGTATATACCGTGTTCAATGGGATTGGCTGTTCCTTCGTTAAGAGGCGTATCGGAACCCAGTTGTTTTTGCTTCAATGTGTAGATTAACATTAGAAGCCTCATAAACATTGGTACTTGTTGTTCTGTCATACTAAATTCCATGCTGAAAATGAATAAATTAGGTAATGTGAATCTGTAAGTGGTAATTTACTTGTTGCAATAAATGTCGAATCTCGTTATGGAAGCTCTTCCGGCGTGAGCCGAGTGGTAATTTTTAAATAAATGCATCGTCATGGAGCATTTATAGAGCATGGGTTCCATGTAAATTTCGATTTTTCCAGAGGCATTTCTTTTATCTAAACACAACGTTAGGTCGTTGATTGTTATCACTTTTCTTAAAATCACTTCGGCCGGTGATATATCTAAAATAATATAAAAGTAATAAAACGCATTGTATTGTATTTTATTGTTAATTGTACCTATGTAAGCAGGTTCCCATTTATTGTCCGCAGATTCAAATTTTAGTAATTTAACGTTTATTGAAAGTACTATGTCTTCTTCGACGTATTTCAGTATTAAATTATTGCAATATATCCGAATGTTGCTTACGATTTTGTTTATTAGTAACTGTACGTAACCTTGTGGCGCTTCAATTTCTTTACTAAAAATATACTATAGTAATAATTTCAGATTTACGTAAGCTCACATACTTTTCTTTTTTTTCTGTTGGTGTTGAAACGCTTTCAGTCCTACCGTTACTTCCTTCTCCTTTTAAATTGAATATGCATTCTAAAAATCACAATAGTTATTAATCGAATTTGAATTTTACACTAGAAAAGTACCTATCGTGTTTATAGTAATGGTAATCGGTTCGGAAGCTAATTTCGTCCATGGTACGTGTATAAGAAGTTCTCTGATACTCCCTGAAACAAAACTAAAAGGCAAATGGAGCTCCTGCTCTAGCACCTGCAAATTTAACTCCAAATTGTTGAAAACTGCATCGCCTCCCCAAAAAGACACCTACGAAGAAAACAACACATTTCCACTTTGCTTAATTAAACGAAAATTGAAGCTTACGCACTTGAGAATCTTCGGTTTTAAAATTCGAAATGTACTTATTCACGTAACTCAATAAAATCGGGGTGATGTAGGACTCTAACTTGAACATTTCTTGAAAACGCTGAAACATTAGTGAGATATCGCTCGTGTAACGTACGTACAAGATACAGGCATACCTGATGTGCATATTAATGTGGTGAAATAGTCGTAACGACGAATTACTCGAATGAATTAACTAAAATTAAATAAATAAAGTTTTGACGGCATATTTTTATGATAACGCAAACATCTGATTTTTAAACGTAGCATTAACGGCGCTGCCAATTGTTACATTTTAATAAATTTTACACTAGATTAATACCACCACAAAATTTGCCAAAAAATTAAACGTTTTTATTGGTCAAGCACCTGTCATGTTTCGTAACGTCCAATAGGAATACAGGAAATTTCACCCTATATCACCTGTCATTATAATTTATATATTTATAATCAAATTACAACTGTCAGTTTGTCAGTGTCAATTTTATTTTGTGTTGGGTAGTAGACAATCGAGAGAATTAACAATTTTAGTAAAGAAAAACGTTACTTTTGATACTTTAAATAACCTAACAACTATCTTAAACGCAGCGTAGTCACCTTAAACATGCTCGTACCGATAAAAGTGTAAGTATTAAGAAGATTGCGTCATATTGCGCCTAGCACCCTTCGTTGATCATGGCCCCTTCTAAGCGCCCCGGCTCGAATAAATCCGACTCTAAATCCAAAAAGCGCAAGAAGGAGGAAGACTACGACTACGCCGCCGAAGAGGACGATACGAACGATGCGGACATCAACGAGGCCGAAGTCCCGGGCGCCGCGGCTCGGGACGCCGAAAAGAACGACCTGGCGGCCCAAGAGGACGAATTCGGAGCGAAAGACTACCGATCGCAGATGATCCTCAAATCCGATCACGACTGCCGGCCCCTGTGGGTCGCCCCGAACGGTCACATATTCCTCGAGTCCTTCTCGCCCGTGTACAAGCACGCCCACGATTTCCTCATAGCCATCTCCGAGCCGGTGTCCCGGCCGGAGTTGATACACGAATACAAGCTGACGGCCTATTCGCTGTACGCCGCTGTCAGCGTGGGCCTGCAAACGAACGATATCATCGAGTACTTGAAGCGACTGAGCAAAACGAGCATACCCGAGGGTATCGTGGAGTTCATCAAACTGTGCACGTTGTCTTACGGTAAAGTGAAGTTGGTGCTGAAGCACAATAAGTATTTCGTGGAGAGCCCGTTTCCCGACATCCTGCAGAAGTTGCTCAAGGATCCCGTTATACAGGAATGCAGGCTCCGGAGGAACGTTGATAATGATTCCGAGGAGTTCATTAAACAGGTAAGTGATCGCAGGGTTGTTGTTTTTATTCGTTACGTTACTCAATAATTCTCTAATTAGATGATATCTGCAACCCTGCTGTAATTTTAAGCTCGATAGTTAATCTATTTAGTGCATTTCGTAGGTGCAAGATAAGAAGCAGTTGTTGACTTTCGGGGCCAAGCCCGGTACAACATCGGAACCAGTGGGTTCGAACGGGCAACCAGTACCGGACGATATAACTAGCTTTTATGAAAAAATCGACGTGGAAGAAGAGGAGGATGAGAATCTTCTGGAAACTGTATCGTTCGAGGTAAACCAGGAGAAAATCGAAGTTATCCAAAAGAGGTGTATCGAATTGGAATTTCCTTTGCTAGCAGAGTACGATTTCAGGTTGGTTATCAATTATCGAATAACTCAACAATAATCTATTCACTATAATAATTATTATAGAAATGATACCGTAAATCCGGATATAAACGTTGATCTGAGACCTTCGGCTGTGCTGCGACCTTACCAGGAGAAGAGCCTCAGGAAGATGTTCGGAAACGGCAGAGCCCGATCGGGAGTGATTGTCTTACCCTGCGGTGCAGGAAAGTCTTTAGTAGGCGTAACAGCTTGCTGTACGGTCCGTAAAAGAGCATTAGTATTATGCAATTCGGGCGTATCTGTCGAACAATGGAAGCAACAATTCAAAATGTGGTCTACAGCCGATGATAGCATGATTTGTAGATTCACTTCAGAAGCCAAAGATAAACCGATGGTAATAATATTCTTCTAGTACACCGTAATTTAACATTTAATTGTACGTTTCGTAGGGTTGTAGTATATTAGTAACTACGTATTCGATGATAACTCATACGCAACGTAGATCGTGGGAGGCCGAACAGACGATGAAGTGGCTGCAAGAACAGGAATGGGGTCTCATGCTTTTGGACGAAGTTCACACGATACCGGCTAAAATGTTTAGAAGGGTTTTAACTATAGTTCAATCGCATTGTAAGCTCGGTCTTACGGCTACACTGTTGCGAGAGGACGATAAGATAGCCGATTTGAATTTCCTAATAGGGCCCAAACTGTACGAGGCCAATTGGTTGGAGCTGCAAAAACGAGGTTAGTTACCTTTTACGTTATATAAAATCGTATTTACTAACAATTTTTTGTGATTTAGGTTACATTGCTAGAGTGCAATGCGCCGAGGTTTGGTGTCCTATGACCCCGGAGTTCTACAGGGAGTATTTGGAATGCAAGACGAGCAAGCGGTTGTTGTTGTACGTGATGAATCCCAATAAATTCAGGGCGACGCAATTCCTGATAAAATACCACGAAAGAAGAGGAGACAAGACCATCGTGTTCTCCGATAACGTGTTTGCATTGAAGCATTACGCTATAAAAATGAACAAGCCATACATATACGGGCCGACGTTGCAAAGCGAGAGGATTCAAATTTTGCAGAATTTCAAGTTCAATCCCAAAGTGAATACGATTTTCGTGAGCAAAGTGGCCGATACGTCGTTCGATCTGCCCGAGGCTAATGTGCTAATACAGATATCGTCGCATGGGGGTTCGCGAAGACAAGAGGCCCAAAGATTGGGGCGTATTCTAAGAGCTAAAAAAGGGGCCATTGCGGAAGAGTACAACGCCTTTTTCTACACTTTAGTGTCGCAGGATACGATGGAGATGAATTATTCGAGAAAAAGGCAACGGTTCCTCGTCAATCAGGGATACAGTTACAAAGTCATTACGAAATTGGCCGGTATGGACGAAGAGCCGGATTTGATGTATAAAAATAGAGACGAGCAGTTGCAGTTGCTGCAACAGGTGCGTTTTATTTGGTTATTTTTTATTTATTGTGTTAATTTTTGCGGGATTTGTAGGTGTTGGCTACTAGCGAGATTGATTGTGAAGACGAACGGATACCCGGAGAAGGTGGATTTAGATCGGGAACAACCAGAAAGTCTGGAAATATGGGTTCGATGTCTGGAGCAGACGATGCTGTTTATTACGAATATAAAAAGTCCATGGGACACAAGCACCCATTGTTTAAGAAATTTAGATGTTAATTTTGATTTGTTGAATTAGTATTTTCATAAAATGTTTTTTAATAATTGGTGTTTTATTTCGAATGCTTTTACGATATTATAGTAGACTTAAAGTTTTAATTATAAATGTTTCTTTGCAGGTCCAGAACAGGGATGTCGGACGAATGGGCTCTAATAGAATTACAGGGTGATATCAAATCGAATGCCGATTTGGGCCTGGAAGGTCAATTTCTAGGAGATTTACATTTCACCACAACGGGCACTCCATTACTCATCATAGGGCATCATTTGCTCTACGGGAAAGAAACGAAAATTCAAAAACCCTTCGCGCTTATCGAGAAACGCGCGATCGAAGGTACCGCCGAATACGTAGTCAAATCGATAATTAAAAACAAGATAATTTTCAAAACCAGACCGAAACCGATAGTTGGTAATGTAGAGTAAATAAATGTTAGGATGAATATATTTTTTTTAAATTTTCGCGCTTTATTTGTCAATAAAATATCGCTATCCTTGTTTTGTTGGACCTTCGGGCCATTTTGGAACTTATGAACCTGTCAAAATAAAATACGCACAATGCTTCTTTTCCTTTTTATGGCCTTATGTGTTGCGTCTATTCAGCCTCATAATTGTCCAATCAACTGATTATCATAGAGAAAGAAAGATGAGAGAGTTCGATCCTTTACTAAAAATTGGCATAATGTTGATGGTGCTGCCTCTAACTCCGGTCGTCAATTTATCGCGAACTAATCAAGAATGACAGTGTAGATTTCTTCTATATTTAAAAACAAAAAATTGCGGTAAATTTAAATTTTATTTCTATAATTCTATTTTATTTTCTTACATTTGATAATTGCGTAGTCATTCAATAGCCGTTTCTCAAGCAAGAAAAACGACTATCAAAAGCATACACAATTTACAAATTGGAATATTTAAAATAATACAAAATTGATTTATGTAGAAATTTATTAATTTAAAATTATACACAATACAATTATATACGATAACTACGAAGAAATAAAATTTTACATTAAAAATAAGTGCCTACTAATATTTAAAGGAAAAATCACATTTATATCACAGAAGTTACGAAAGGATATTTACATACCCTAAATTTAAATAGAATTATTTTAGTAAAATTGGTTATTTCTAAAGTTATACAACGATAAAGTTGGTCTTATTCCTCAGCTCCCAGGGTCTACACCTTCCAGTTCCTATATCGTACGTTATCTAAAACAAAAAAATATCAGCAGCATCGAATTCAGGGAAAATAACGAATAGTGAGAAATAGTTGTTAGTTTTTACCATTTTCCCGATAATACAATGGCATACAATAATACAATTGGTACAATGGCTCCAACAAGTTGACAAAAAACATCTGATTTATGATCCTTGCAAGAAAGTGTTCTTTGGTGTTGACATTTTAAATGAGCAAACACAATTAAAAATAAAAAAGTATATAAAAACTCACCAATTTAGGTTATACACAAAAATGGCGCCTACCTACACTACTCACGAAACTTATGTAAAAAGACCGGCATAAGTGCATAACACAACTCAACAAGAACGGCAAGGAAAACTACCGAACGAAACAAACCGAACATCGCTATCGTTTGCGTTCGAGCATTTATGTGAAATTGTCCAATCAAAAAAATTGAAATATATTTCATTTTTCGATAGCAGCGCCTCTTACGGGGTCTTCAAAATGAATCGTGTAGTCCGATATTTCCTATGCTTTAAGAGGGGCGTTGAGATTTGGTAACCCAATTTCAGTTGGCAGCAATGAAAATAAGCCCGATTTTTCGGTGTACAAATCTCAAGTTTTACTTAATTTTGAGATATAATATGAATCGCAGCTGATAGAGTGAACCTTCGTGTAGGTCATAAAGGTTTTTTTTACAGATCTATGCAAAAATAACGAAATTACAAGCGTTTGAAGGTAGACATTTTTCAGTTTTTTTTTCTAACGGACGGTAACCAAAATCCTTTATGACCTAGCGATGGGTAATAGAAATGTATTGTGAAAATTTGGAAACGATATTCTTTATATTTTTTGAGATTTGTACACCGAAAAGTCTGGATTTTGGAAAAAACTTCATCGATTTGCCGCTAGGGGATACCGAAAATGATATTTTGGTAATGTGGGTTGCATACGCTCAACGAGATATGAGCTTTAGGAAGATAAAATAAGGGTTATTTATGATTATACGATATATGTGCACTTCACAAAGCACACTGTTTTTATTATAATAAACAAATTTAGGAGAATTGAGGAAATTCAAGTGAAAATTTATTGTAAGTGTCATTGCTGCCAACAAAATAGAGTATTTGACGTATAAGACATGACATAAGACATAAGACAAGATGTCATGTTGATTTTTAGGAGGTTATGTTTACGTTAACATATTTACATTTGCTATATTTTACTTTATCGAGTTATTACTTTGTAGTTGCAATTGAAATTGCAATATACAAACAATAATTAATTATGAAGATACGTTATTATATTTGGATATTATGCATTTATTAATTATTTTTTAAAACAATATTCGAAGATTGATTGAAGACTAGAATGAAATCAAAATTTATCACAGCGTGCACTATTAGGTATATTTTTCATATTCATTATTGGCATACAAATTTATTATTGTATTTTTTCTTTTCCAACTTTACACTTATCAGTTATTAGATATGATATGACTTACGTTCAATTCAACTATCATGCTAAACTTGTTGTACCTGTAAGGAAAAGAATTCAAACATTTCATTGATATACAAGTTTCATCGGTCCACTTTTCTTCTCTTCTATCTTCGGAATATAATGTTTTATCGGGTATCTCATAGGGCAGGTTGATGATCAAATCTATACTTGAAAATGGCCCTGCACAGGTCCCCACCCAAGTCCTACGACCCCAGAGTGGCTGTAGTAGAACTATTTCACTTACAAATTCATCAGTGCCATTGTCATTTTCGGAGTGTGTGTTCGGAGTACTTATTGTTGTATCGGGCATCCCATAGGGCAGGTTGTTGATTAAATCTATGCTTGAAAATAGTCCTGCACAGGTCCCCACCCAAGTTCTACGACCCAGAGTGGCTGTACTAGAACTATTTCATTTAGGCCCAGTTGCTCGTTGTGCGGGTCAAAGTCGTATCAAGTGATCTCGAATCAAAGTCGGATCAATAGTTAGTCCTGGAAAAGGGCGGCCATATTTGATCCCGATTTAATCTCGGCTTAATCCCGGATCATAATTGATCCGCGTATGAGCAACCGGGCCTTACAATTTCATCGGAGGCATTGCCATTATCGGAGTGGGTGTTCGGAGTACTTATTGTATCGGGCATTTATCAATATATTCGATCGTAGAATCGCGTCTCCCATTTTGTCGCCTGCACGTACTTTTACAATATTACATAGGTATACAATACAATACAGGGTGTTCCAATAAAAAGTACCCCCTTTAATTAGCTAATAATTTTTAAACGCCTAATCATAAAAACATGCGGTTTTCTCAAATATGTTTTATTTTATTATAAGTTTTGTTACAGTGATACAGAAATTATGCATTAACAACACATGGTGTTTTATCAAAACCTCCTCTTTTAAATTCACAGTAACCAAATTAATTTAAATGGAACATCCCGTATATACAGAGGTATTTTAAAAGATACACTTCTACTTTTCAAAAATATATTATTTGTAGATATTATTCTACAAAAGAAGACATCCTATTTCATAAAATTTAGTTATTGCGAATTTAAAAGAGGGGTTTTTATATGAAACATCCTGTGCAGGCGATACAAAATTTTTGTCTCACTGCAACAAAAAGTTATAGAAAAATAAATAATATATTTGTCAAAACCGCATGTTTTATCATCATTAGGCGTTTAAAAAATATTAGCTCACTAAAGTGGCTACTTTTCATTGGGACACCCTGTATTTTAATGAACACTATATCATTATAATTACATGATTTTTAGTGAAAAAAAAAAATGTTTAGTGATTTTTACCTAATACCATTGTAATATAGGTACCACTCGACAAAGACTGGTCTTTCTAGCAATGATTGTACGTCTATTATTAATGTATCTTTGTAATTAATTATAAAAATTAATTAATAAAATGTTTCAAATTTACATATATTATAGTTTACAAAGTTTGCAATAAGAAATTGAAATATAATTAACTAATAAACTATATAATATTTATATAGTCATTGATATTTGAATTAAAATTTGCAAATTAATATACCTTCTTATACATATATCAAAAATGAAATTTGCAAATTCTAAAAGCAAAAATGCATCTTCGCCGCTACAAAAATAGAGAGAATATTCGCCAGAGTGTTAGGGGTCGAAAACGATTAGACGGCAATCATAAACGGCTACCTGCTTATGCAAATTTACTTTATTTACAATGCGACGATAACAATACATTTACTTTGAAAATAGTCTCTTAGATCCACTGCACTTGCGCCACCTGTTAGAACATTTTCTGAAATATCACTGGTTAAAAACCTGGCTAAAAATTTAATTTTGAGACAGCTAACGCCATCTGGTTCAATTAATGAAACTATAAAAAATTACTAGATTCTAGGGGCGATTGGTACGACTGATGAAGTGCTCAACGCCCCTCTTAAACAGTCTCTTTTATTTTGTCTATGCTGATTATTAAGATTTTGCCGAATAGCTCTGGCAGCTGAGGCCAAAAAATTATTAAGAAGATTTTTTGAGGTTAAGTAACCTTATTATTGTTGTGAAGTGAACTCAAGTGAAAGTATTTAACCACAGACTACATACCTGCATTTAACAATGATAGCCGTGCAAGGGATAACCCAATCGGGAATTCCCGACAAAATGTGGCAGCCGCCCTTCGTCCAATTCGACACCACGATGGGGGAATTCGTGATCGAATTGTACTGGAAGCACGCCCCGCAGACCTGCCGGAACTTCGCCGAGCTGACGCGCAGGGGCTACTACAACAACACGACCTTCCACAGGATCATCCGGGACTTCATGATCCAAGGCGGCGATCCCACGGGCACCGGCAAAGGCGGCCTGTCGATATACGGGCAAACGTTCAAAGACGAGATCCACCCGGAGCTGAAGCACAGCGGCGCCGGGATTCTGTCTATGGCCAATTCGGGGCCCGATACCAACGGTTCGCAGTTTTTTATCACGCTAGCCCCGACGCAATGGCTGGACGGGAAGCACGCTATATTCGGTAGGATCAACTCGGGAATGAATATCATCCATAGGATAGGCTTGGTGGCTACGGACAGGAACGACAGGCCCGTCGAGGAAGTGAAAATATTGAGAGGAAAAGTGCTGAAAAATTAAAGTTTTAATACGTTAAGATGTAGTGTATTTCACGACTTTTTTTTTCGATAAAAAGACTTGCTACAATCGATAATGTTATTAATTAAAATTTAACATATTTCACAGTATTCTATAAAAAAATACTTCATTTTTTTGTTGAATTCAATTTTCTTATTAAAGAACGTAACATAAATTTTTATAATATTAAAATTTAAAAATAGTTTGGCTAGGAAGAAACGGAGAATTTCATTGAAAATAGATCAAATCGGTATAAAATAAACACTTTAAAACACTCAAAGAAGTTCTCTGTTTCAATTAAATCAAATTATTTCGATAACAATTATAAATTCAAAAATAAAAAAAATTAATCAAAGAAAACCTAAATATATCAATTTTTTATCCTTATATTTTTTATTGGCGGTCTACGAGATGTCCATACAAATACTTGCAGGTTTTGTATATTAATTCTATTGAACACATTTTCTTTTCTTCCTATGCATTAATTAATTTTAAATGGGCAAGTAACAAGTTTTAATGCGAGTGAATATCGTCAATACAATTAACTATACAAAACGATTTAAATTCATAGTGATATTGGAATTTATACAATACTCAAACATGGCGATGTTTTCTCGCATAATTGTGTGTTATGTGTATTATTGACGTCGAAATATCCACCTAAATATTTATATATAAATGCAGAAATAATATAAACAACTTGGCAAAATTGCGATATACTTAAAAATCGTTAAAAAAAACAAGAATCACATTTATCCACACTCATTATGTTGTTTTGTGCTTTATAAAGATATACAACGAATCTTTTTAGTTAACTAACAAATTGACATTATACAGGGCGTCTTCGCTAAGTAGCGAGAACTTAGCACAAACACCCTGTATATAAATAATCTCATTAGAACGCAGCCGAGACGTCGAAACTTACAAATCTAAAAAGATTCGTTCAACAGAATAACTTTGAACCATTTTGTACAAGCTTAAGTACAAAAATCATTCCTAGTAAAAACGCTGATTCAAAATTACCATGCACCTACTTCGATTTCCAAACACTATTTATCGGATCCTCCCGTCACTACTATATATTTTTATATCCTATATTTTTTTTTATTTAGAAAACTTTCGAAACGTAAAAAAATCGTTGTAGATGCAACTTAAAAAAAAAGAACAACAATTTTTTTTAAATTTCCCTCTCCTCGTACCTTCGCGTTTAATAATTACAAGATGATACACCTACGTTTCGGTTTGACTTGCATAACCGGACAGAGTACCGCCCGTATGGCCTCGTCGAATACTGTCTTCAGTCCCTTTTGCGTTAGCGCCGAACATTCCAGATATTTCACAGCGCTGATTTCTTTCGCCATAGCTAAACCCTGCAAATGCGCAATCGTTAATACCAATATGTATGATTTACCAATAAATTTACCTGTGGATATGTAATAGGCGAAAGTTTCTTATCTTTTAACTTCTCGATAGTCGACCTGTCGTCTCGCAGATCCAGCTTTGTACCGACTAAAATAATGGGAGTGTTGGGACAATGGTGCCTCACTTCCGGATACCACTACAAACAATCGTACAATTACATTACATGTATATTTAATATAAGCATTTTTACCTTAGCTCTGACGTTCTCAAACGACGCGGGATTGACGAGGGAAAAGCAAATTAAAAACACGTCGGTTTGTGGATAGGATAACGGTCTTAATCTATCGTAATCTTCTTGTCCGGCCGTATCCCACAATCCCAAATTAATGGGTTTCCCATCGACCATTACATTCGCTGAATAATTATCGAACACGGTGGGAATGTACTCGCCCGGAAAGGCGTTTGTCGTGTAACTTATGAGAAGACATGTTTTACCAACGGCTCTGTAACAGCAAACAAATCGCATTATCGATATGTTAAGGGTAAAGATTAGATAAATACCCAAAAACATTAGTAGGGTAGGTTTCATGTATTCCTATTAAGTTACAAAAAACCTACCCTACCAGTATTTCATAACCTTCCTCATAACATATATACATATCATTCTCAATAATTAATAGGAATACAATTAGTTTGTTATGAGATTTAACGTGTAAGTTCATATGACTAATAAACGGTTAGTCACAATTTGTTTACAACTAATTTTTCAACATTCTTGATTTAGATTTCGGGTTATCGTAAATCGGTTTACGATGTTCTAAAATCGAGCAATGTTAGAATTTACGGGCTATAAAAAGTAACACCTACACGTCAAGTCGAATTTAGCTTTGCCAAAATATTCATTAAGCTAATAATACTGTTTGGAATTATATCATTCGATTATATTTATCTAGGAAAATTTTTATAAACATTGATTCGTGATAACACAAGTGTCCTGGTTGAATTTCGATTATTAATAGTTTGCCAATTTTGTAACTTAGAAAATTACCAAAAAAGGTGTAAACTATCCTTTAAATAATTATTTGCTTTAAAATAGTAATATACTAGTGAAACGTATAATTTATAAAGGTTAACCAAACAATCGTATGATACATACAGGAAGTATGTATTAAACAAAAACATATACAAAGAGCATTTAGAGCAGAAATTACGAAAAAAACGAACTTTGTTCTTCCTCGTATTCGCTGTATTGTAAACAATCCAAGTAAAAGTCAACCCGATTATCGTAATTTCGAAAAAAATAAAAAAAAGCACCACTTACCCATCTCCGACCACAACGCACTTGATCGCCTGCATTTCGCTATCTGACTGAACCGATAACGAATAAAATGTGTATCAATTAAGGAAATTCTAATTAAACGACCAATGCTCGATGGTTTGGGTGTGTGTGATGTGTCAAATGCTGGGCCACCTTGCACTTACGCTTACGGGCGACTTTGGGTTTGACTTCATCAAAATTGAATGCCACCAGTTCGATTCGGACGCGTCACATTCGCTCTGTTGGTGTTTATCAATCGAATATATTCAATTTTTTAATGCGAAATTGCCAAACACGACCCCACACAAACTAATGACTGATAATAATTGTTTGATATTTGACAATATTGACGTCTGTCATGTAAAGTAACTGGGTGACAACTTGTCGTGGCTAAGCTGACGGTTACTTGCATTTAATGATATTTTAAATGTATATTTTTAAAGACAAAAATTAAACTGTTGGATTGAATTTCGCCTAATATTATATAATAATAAGTACTTTGAACTCTTCCTAAAGTCTAGAATTATTCAAATAACATTGAAGTCGAGAGAGAATAAAGAGACGGTTACGTAAATGTACAATGATTTGTTTTTTATATTTTCGCAAAAAGAGTCTAAATTAAGGCAAAAAGTCGAACAGTTTTTAAATGTAAGATGGATTTCAACCGAATATAAGACAAGATATGCCCTAATTGTTTTCATTGACATCCCTGATATTAGGCAACATATTTTACACTACAAAGACGGGACTAATAATTTATAAAACCCGGGTATTTACCGAAAGTTCACATTTTTATCATAATTAATACACCCAATCATCTAATTGATGCATCTCCTATAAATCTTCCCAGTCCTACCCATAAATAAAATACAAATCAACACAAAAATGCATCTTTTAAACACCTCTGTCTACAATCCGATATCGATAGCATTTAAAGCCAAATTCTAATCCATTTATCAAACTCTACTAACAGAAAAGCGATTAAAAAATGAACGTAAAAAGCCCCTAAAAATAATGGGTCAGTGGTAACAGCTATGTGACAATCAAATTATCGACGACCGCTTTGCGCATGTGCAGGCCGTCGGGGTTCGGGTTCTACCCCTTTCGAACGTCGTAGGGACGCCGTTTAGTGAGCGCCGCGACGCCGAGACCAGCACAGCAGCGCCGCCTTCGACTGCTCTCGGTCCGGTACAGTAAAATTTCCCTATCGGATTATGTTGTGTAGGAATCGGTGATTCTTGAGGAATATCGAGTGTTAGCTAAAGTGAGTGGTAAATTTCGATATTTAATGCTTTATATTTCGATCATTTACATTTTGATGGTTAATTTGATGCGTGTATTATGCAGCATGTGCTTCGTAATGACGGGGAATCTGATTAAAAAGGGGTAGATTATTTTTGAAAATTCGATTAAATTTATAATTGCGTTAGGGTTGAAATTTGATGTCTGTAATTATTTGTGTGCAGTTACGCGTTTTTGTTGACAATTAATTATACCGCATAGGTTTAATTGGCGTGCACGTTGTAATTCGATCTTGTTTAAATGAATGAATATATTAATTCGCTCGTATGTTTAATTACTAGGTGAAACCTGTTTGTCAGAAATCGACTCTCGGTCTATTTATTTAAATAATTTTATAGTAGATGAGAATAAACGGTAAAATAATTTTTGAAGTAATAAAAAAAAAAGAAAAAAAGTGCTCCAGGTGAGGCTCGAACTCACAACCCCGGCATCGCTCACGACTACTGTCTTATAAGTACCGTGCGCTAACCAATTGCGCCACTGGAGCGTTGTGCTCACGGTTTCGGAAACACCTACTCTTTCTGCAGAAATTACAAGCGATTTTTTTTCATTTTAATCGTACGAAAACTACTTTAAATTCGAAACTAATTATTTCAATAACCAAAACTGATCGATGGAATTTATAATAAACATTTTTTTCCGTTATAGATGGCGTTTTATATCAAACTAACCACGACTAATTTACTCATCGCAACCCTACTGAACTCTATGGTAATTACAGCCCATATCAAAGTGAGTAAAATTTTAATTGACTAATTAGCAACATTTATCATTTACATCATTATTAACAATTCGTAATATTTGCAAAATATACTCCACTCATCCCTTTTAGATATACCAGTTTAAGGCGAGGATGCCTAAGCAATTCCCATTTGCAGTTCTTATCCACAGCGTGCACGTTTCCAGCGCTTGTATACGCCTGGAATACAATATAATCCGGAAAAATAGGGAACACGACCAGCGGCGGGGAAGCCCCCCCGTTTTCCAACACCGAACACCGCGCGAATAACGGGCGAAGTACGAGGGCCCCCGCGGGGGCGGACATGAAAAAGCGCGATGTGCACGAATTTCGGGCATTTTTGCGTGTCGCCGCGACAAGACAAGAAGCCATTAGTCTGCGGGGCACGTTCGCCCCTCCAGTATGCCCGGATAAAAATGTAATGGGTCTGGAGACACGCCCGAAGATTGAGATCCGGCACGTCGGGGCCGTAGGCGCGATGGATATCATCGCTCATATCCCACTTATTTTTTTTTCATTCTTATTCCTACATATTATCTGTCTCTGGTATTTTGGAGTTCCAACAGCTCCTAGATCGAGACGAACATTTAGGACTTTTTTTTGACCGCCCTGTATAGGGGGATCTTCCAGAATTCCCGATTTATCTATGCATTGTGTTCTGGATTAGATTGAACAGCTCGAAGCTCTTGGAAACTGTATAGGAAATTGAGTAATTGTAGTATGTGGGGGAAAGTGGAGCAATTGGCGTACCTACATTAAATGATGAATTTTTTAATTCATTTTTGAGGTACGTATTTAAAATAATCATTTCTGGACATATATCATCGCTCATATCCCACTTTTTTTCTTCCACTTATTCTTATTCCTTTATTATCTAAAGTGTCTCTGGTATTTTAGATTTCCAATTACTACTAGATCAAGAAGAACTTAGAATTTTTGATATATCAAAAATGTGCTTTTTTGACCACCCTGTATACGGGTTGTTTCAGAATTCCCTACTTATCCTCATACGAGTATTTTGTATCCCGGATTAGATTGAACAAGAAGCTTCAGCAAACTGTAAGAGATAGAGTAATGGTAAAATGTGGGGGAAAGTGGAGCAATTAAATGGATTTTGAATATTCTAATTGTTTTTTGAGTTTTTTTATCTATCATCTATCTTCATTTATTTATTTATACCTAATATCTCTTACAATTTCCCATTACCCCAAGGGCAAAATTGTTTCCAATATAGTCAATTCTATGAGTTGAACAAAGACAGATTACTAAAGAAACAGTGGTTACAGTGAGAAATTTGCAACCCCATACAACATCATTCCATCTTTATCATTTTAAACGAGTCTAACGCGATGCGTCTTTGTCGCACCCATATAGATCATATTGCGAACTAAAATGCATCGTTCATCTTTGTCCAGGCCACCCTTACGTGCAACTGTCCCATACATCTTATGCGATTCTTTCTCTTTTCCTCTAAATAATTTCGCCGACATCCAGAAACCCGCGAAGGCGTAATAAAACAAGCCAGAGCTCGAGTCCTTTTGTGATAAAGTGATAAATCTATCAGCGAGAGTAGCGCGAATGGGAAATTCGGTGACGAAAATTCTGGATATATGGAAAACGTGCCGAAACAATTCCGTTTAATCCGAATCCCGGCCGTACGTTATAAGGGAGTTAGTCAAAAAAGCGGGGAATTTGTCCATCGGTTCGAAGTTTATGGACCCGACGCCATAAATTCCATGGATATCTATGCGTATCATTCGATCCAGTCGGGCAGGTTTTCCAAACCGAAATTGTTTTATTGTCTTTTCGAATGTGTTTCGCTTGTTCGCCAGTGGCGCCCTCTTAATTTAAATTAATTCATTTTGTTTCTCATCGCTCTCCCGAATTCGACCCTGAAGATGAAATATCCGGAAACCGAAACGTCGATTTTCCTTATTCATTTACACAAGATTTCCCAATAGGAATAAACGATCAACTGTAACTGCTATATAAAAATCGTCCAATCAGTGAGTCAATCAATATATCGCTTCCACGCCATTATTACAGTGATATTGAATGGGCATCCAACGTGTTAATTTAACACCTATTAAGGCAAAAACGGATTAGCATAATATCGATTTCGAAACTACGCTACTGCCATACATAGTATATTCGAGTACATGCAATTGTATACAGGGCCGGCTCGAGCGGGAGAAAGATAATGCATTTGACAATTTGCAACAGAGGGAGAGAGATGCTCGAGAAGAGAAATATTGGTTAGAAGAGTTTAGGAATTATTTAAAACAGTAAAAAAATCATTCAAAACTGCCCAGAGTTAACAAAGAATTATTCAAATCATTCAGAACTGTCCAGATAGTTATCTAAGAGCTGTTCAAATCGTTCAGAACTGTACAAAATTGTGTAAGAATGATTCAAATCATTCAGAAGTGTCCAGAGTTAACACAGAAATGTTCAAATCATTCAGAACTGTCCAAAATTATCTAGGAACTGTTATTCAAATCATTCAGAACTGCACAGATTTATTAAGGAATGATTCAAAATCATTTAGAACTGTCCATTATTGTGTAAGAATGCTTCAAAATCATTCAGAATTGCCCATAGTTACCTAAGAACTGTTCAAATCATTCAGAACTGTACAGAATTATTAAGGTGATTCAAAATCATTCAGAACTGTCTAAAGTTAACAGAGAACTGTAGAAATCATTCAGAACTGTACAGAATTGTTTAAGAATGATTTAAAGTCATTCTGAACTGTCTAGAATCGTTTAAAACTAGGGCCAATTGAAATACTTCGGAATCATTTCGAAAAATCCAAAACCGTTCAGGAACTCTTTAGAACTTTCAAACAATTTAGAACTTTTAGAAAACTAATTTAGAACTTTTCGAGAACTATTATATTTAGAATTTTCATCGCATCGCCTCGAGCCGACCCTGTATACGTGTAACTGTTTATTATTATTATGGGCTGCTGTAAGGCCATTCGGTCGTGAGCTCGAACAAATGGGCAATTCCGCGATTGGGTTTTGATTGATCCAGAATCCAGAGAAATCAAAGTTAGGGGTCAATTGCCAGCTGGAATAATATATGAGAACACGGTCGGTTTGGCCGCGGAAATTTTCCCGGAAAATTTATACATATCCTATCAAAATGTAGCAGAAGCGGGAAAATCCTGCCGGGTATATACAATAGCAATTTGTATCTCGAGCATCGGGAAATGTTTATTTAGTAATATTTTACGTTGGGCGATTGGATATTTTTTTAGTATAAATTAGTGAAATTAATTATTTATTTTGAATGTTCCATTTATAGTAGAAAATTTCCATCGTTTAGAACAGTTCAAAATCACCCAGAACGGTCAAGAATTATAAGAATAGTTCGTAATTATTTAGAACTGTCAACTGTAGAAGTATATCACCCGGTATATTGGTAATTTTTTTGGTGGAAGGACCTACCTGTTATTTTTTTATCGTATTTTCCGCAAGAAGACATCAGTAAAAATAAAGGGAAATGCCACAATAAAATAATGACGTCGTTATAAGTAAGAAAATAGAGCTATATAACTTATACCTATGAATTTTCTCTATTTCCACGCGATGACAGTTCCGTTTTCCATTCAGGAAAACTCCGTGACAACGGGCCGTTTATCACGCTTTTCCAGGATCTTATACATTCTCTAGGTAATTTACCGTTTTTTCCTCTCCGTCCCTTCTTCTCTTTTGTTAGTTACATTTTATCGGTATAAAATTGAGCCGGCCCGCTTGATGGACAAGGAATATTTTTTACGAGCTCTTCGACCGGGAAAAGTCGCTTTTTTACAACCGCTTTTCCAGAATAAAAATAAGAGCGCGCTTTTTCCTCTGGCATAAAACAGAAAACGGAACGGTTCCAGAGGTCGGATACATTGTCGGGTGATGATTAATAGACGGGCGAAAATGCGAGTGGAAGTTTCCTTTTTAACGAGCCTTTTGATTTAAAATTTTCGCTTTACGGCCGGGAATAAACAGAAGTTGCCCGAGCGCGATATACAGGGCGCACGATACATCAATCTAATCTAATGTTACCAACTTCAGTGAACCAAAACGAACTGTTCGAATGCAACTAACTTCAGCGCGTCAGAACAAACTCTTCCAGTGTTACCAACTTCAGAGGATAATTGGTTTTTCCGAAGCGAAAAAAGGCGAACATTAAGAGCAATTCCGGGCAATTTCTAACTCAATGTTTAGCAAGAAGGCATCCGAGAAAACTATTAGCCCCGACGGAACGGCCATATTTTATTTTATTTCTCGCGAGTGGCTGCACGCTAGAACGTACGGAGTCCTCCCATATATTACCTGGCTGAGCCGCGCCGAAGAGGAGACGTGCCCGTGAATAATAATTACACGGGGCCGAAGAGGAAAAGGATTAGAAATTGTTAGGGAGCAGTTTCCTGGGGATTTTTTCCCCGGTGATTTATTACATGGGAGAAGAAGAAGTTTCTCGAGCGCGAGCGAACAGTGAAAATCAATTTAAAAAGTGACGGACGCGCTTCGCTCGTTTCCCGGCCTTATCTTTATATACGAGAGTTACGTTGCAAGAATTTCGGTGTACAAGAGCCCTATAAGAGCCTTATTAAGGGGGCGATTTTGCATTTTTTTATGAAAGATGCGAAGGGTCGAAATAATTCGATTATAGGAGAGGTGGCTGTGAATGTCAAAAATTGACTTATTGACACATTTGCAATAAAAGTTTTTATTTTTGGTACAAAGTAAAAACAAGGATAAATGTGGTTAAATTTTTGAGTTTAGACATCGTGTGTATTAGCGTCAAAGGCTAATTAGTTGGAACTCTCTGAAGTTAGTAACATTAGAACAGTTGGTTGGACTTGGAAGTATCGGAATACCCTGAGGTTAGTAGCATTAGAATAATTCGTTGTAGAATGCCCTGAAGTTAGTAACTACCGTTTGATCAATCAGTTAGGATTTAAATCACGTTTTATTAGATGGTAAATTAATTC